CTTTTGCAGAGCTGCGGCAGCTGCCTGAATCCGCTTGTGCTGATCCGGTCCAATGCTGGTCTTGCTTTGCCCAGCCTGGTTGCCCGTTCGCTTGTACGACTCCTCAATTGAAGATACCTTCTTGGCCGAGGACTTGCGGCGGCTCAGCTTGGTACCCTTGCGGCTACCAAAGCTAAAGAAGCGCTTCTTCTCCACAATTTGAGCGCCCGCCTCCGGTTCCGGAGCGGCGCCCTTGACCTGTTCCTCAAGGACAAGCCACTTTGTATTACGGATGACGGTTTCGAGAAGTGCGCACCGGCCGAAGACTGCCTTGCGCGCCGAGGGCTCGTCGCCAGACAGACTAGTGATCCAAACCCACCAGAATGAGTCGTCCAGATCCAGAGAGCTGATGCTGGCCAACTCAGCCGGCTCCAGTGACGGCTCAGCGTCCAAGTGACGCTTATGAGACTGAGAGCTCTGGCCTCGTGCCGCGACGATAGGGGGCAGTACTTTGTCCGGTGGCAGGAGCAGGGGGCCGACAGGATCTTTGAGGTTTTCATCCCCGAAGCCGGACGACATGAAGTCGGCCCAGGACGGAGTGGTGGGACGGCCGAAATCAGCGCCCTGGGACTGAGGCACAGACTTGATACCTCCAGCTGCTTCGTTCTTTTGCACCGCTGCCGCCGCAATGGCATCCTCATCCTCATGGTCAGACTCAATTGAACCTCCGAACCCGATATCCTCAAAACGGGACCAGGATGCATCCCGCAGGCTAGTCGAGTGTTTCGAGGTGGAGACGGTAGACTCGTTTGTGGTGGAAATACACTTAAGAACACGCAGGCACTCGTCGGTCAATGCCTGAACAGGGTCCTCGAAGTCGGCAAACTCTTGCAAGTGCCAATCGTTGTCACTGTATTCGAAGTTCTTGGCGCGGCGCAGCAAGGAAAAGGGAGTCGGAGAGACATTCTCCACGATCATAACCACCTTGGTCGTAGAAACCTGTAACAGACTGGGGGTCTCCGGCGGGTATTCCGTGACTTCGAGAAGAGTCTGAAGGGAAATAGGCAGAGAAGAGATACCGGTGACTCCGCGCGGCACATCGGGCGTCAAAGAGCGCAAATAGGCGAAAAACAGGTGGCTCGTGGCATCGGCACCACTGTAGATGTCAGTATTACACCCATTTTCAGTGCGGGAAGAGGTCCATACGCAGCCCAGTTCTTGTAGGAAGCCTCGAAACCATTGCCCGTGTCCGTATGTTCGAATGCCCACCATCCAGCATAGCGGGAGAGTTTGCGACCTCCCAGACCATTGCTCTTTCCATGCGCGGCAATTGCAGCCAGCAAGTCAAAGAAGGAGAAGATGATCTGTGTACGCGCATCGGAGTCGACACTGATTGGGATGAAGGTCGAGAAAGCGTCGCGCGCCCAGTCGGAATCTGTACTCATTGTCAACTTTTGTTCTCCACATTCGGGTTGTCCAGTAGTACCTTGTTCGCCGACCTTGAACAGCTCATAGGCCTCCCACGTAACCACGCCACCAGGAAGTCTGCTCCAGCACCATTTGAGCACACTGGCCAGCACCATCGGCTCATTGAGCCGCAACTCCTGCATGAGCTCATCGCCATTGACAGGGGTGCCCTTCTCGAAGGACTGGTTGAAGTAGTTGCGAACGAAAGTCCGGGCAGCGCTGGGATCGGAGCTTGGACGGAACGGCAGGAGAAGGAATGGCGTGTCAAGCGCTGTTCCAATGATCAGCAATCCGCGGAATGCGCGTGTCAGGATCGGGCCGAGTGCCACGACCACCACATGGTTGCAAAAGGAATTTGTCACCCACCTCGAGCCTTCAATTCCTGCGCACAGCCCTTCACAAGGTCCTGCACTTCCTCCGGCGCAACCTCCGTGCGCAGCCATGCGTCGGTCCACTTGGGCTTCGCGGGTGCTGGGTCCGAGGTCGGCACGGGCTTGGCTTGCTTTTTGGTCACGCTGGAGTCTTTACCCCGGAAGACGCGAGAAAAGAACGGCATTTTGGGAGGGGATGCGACCGCGAAAATTGGAGTCTAGGCGTCTGGGAAGCGGACCAGGCAGTGGGAAGGAAATGCAGTCCCGCCTCGTTATTTTTTTTTTTCCTTTTGGCTGTCTGCTCGAAAGTCAACAAATCAGTAAGGGAGCTTGCTAAATGGACTGTGCGAGTAATGCAGGAAACCGACTAGCAACAAACTCCGGGATGTCCTGCAGCCCCGGACAAGGCTCAGGAAAGAAGGGAAATCCTGGTCGGGAATGCGACGGGACGGCTCGTGGGAGCGTGCAGATTGGGGAGACGACCAAGAAAACCCCGGGAAGAGAACGGAAGGGAAGAGAGCGAGAGACGATGAAAAGGAAGGGAAGGGAGTAACACCCAAGAGAAAAGAAAAAGAGGTGGAAGAAAGAGCTCAGAGTTTCGCGATGCTGGCTCAGGGGTAAACGAAACCACACTAAACTTACCCGTTGGTCTCGACCTCGGGGCAAGCCACCGCCCAAAACCCAAAGCACAGCAATGGGGGACTACTTCTCACACGGAATGATAAGGATATCCCAAAACAGGGATGATGATGGCTGACAAGGACAAGCCACTACCTACCGTAGGATGTAGGATTGAAAGTGACAGGAAGAATAGTAATGGATGATGGTGGCGATCATCATCTCCACGCTGGAGAGGTCCGATCCAGGGTTCAGCCTGCCCTGTCCAAAAGTGACTATGTACAACACCTAAAGCATGACTTCATCCCCAAACCGGGGGCCAATCATGGAGTCTCCGGAGGCCTGAAACCGGCTGTCCATATACATACATAGAGTGAGGGCTCTAGGGTTGTCCAGAGAAGGTGATCGACATGACATAATGGGACAAGAGGGGCCACGGTGAATAAAACGGTAGCAAAGTAACTAATTAAATTTCCAGAATCTGGACCCGCCAGAGAGAGTAACTATGCCCTCTCTATTGCTTCTAGCATAGTCTAGAGCATACCAAAAGCTGTTTGTGGTGCAAATGCCTAGCCGTATCCGCTATCGAGATTCTGCAGTCTTAACCTTGACGGCGACCATCAATCTGCCTCCTAAATCCATAATAATGTGGTCTGGAGTCTTTGTGTGGTGTATTGGCATCCTGGAAATCCAAACTTCAAATTTAGCTGCTGCGCCCTGGCGATGATGGTCATAGTATGGCCAATTCTACGCTGAGCCGACCTTGGACTCGATGCTCGTTCGCGACCTGTGAAGGCGAAGAGAAACCAGTCCCAGAACGCATACGCGTCCGGCGAGAGCATGATAAGGCTGTGACCAACCTCCCGTCCCTTGTTCACGGAGGAACCGCGCAAGATCATAAAAATGAGGTACAGCAATTGCGGCATGAAACGCCATGTAGCAATATCAGCCACATCCTCGATCTCCCATGTCAGTTCCCACTCGAGAAAAGCAATCTGCCTAGGGAAGTCATTGTCCTCGTCCTGATCAAACTATATGGTCGCCGATTGGATCTCGTGAAGGAACCTCTGCGTTTCGAGCAGGTGGTATGATGGAAGTGGAAGTTTTGCAGGGTCATGCGGAAAGTCATGACATGGCCAGACGGTCCAAGTTGTTGAGTCGGCCGATAATACTGAAGCTTGGCGAACTTGCAGGGTCATGTATTGACATTCGGTAGGACATCAAACTCTTTCTCTGTTACCAGCGGAAGCGTGAGTATCTGCTGGCATGGTTTGAGTTTCCGCAACAAATCGTACTGCGGGCGTGCGACATCCGGGGGATGTCCGGCTCCGAGGTACTTGACAGCGTTCAACTTGGGTAGACAGGGATATTTGGGCGACACATGAGGTGCTCTGAGGCGCTTTTCAAGGCGAGGCAGCTAGTAGAACTTAGCCTCCATTGTCTTTCCATCCGCAGCCGGCTGCCTAGGCTTCGGCGCAAATCGAAGCCGGTCCTAGAAGGCGTGCGCATCCTGTGAGAGCGTGATGATTGTATCGCGTAGCCACTGCATTCTTTGCGCATTGGCTGGTTGGGTGCCCCATTTTCGGCAGGTCCAGCATTGAGTGGTCAACGCGCATCGCGGACAGGCACCGGGACATTGCTCACTCAGGCTGCTATGATACGTAGTCAGAGCAGGTGACCCCCAGCGGGCATGACATAATGGACCTCCATGGTGCCTGGCCAGTATGTCACTGAATAGTTACCTACTAGGTCATATCCAGCATCTAGACCCCGCTAGGGAGCGACCCGCCCCCTTGCACTGGGGGGAAGCTCCACCCAGGGCGAGAGGCTTCACCATACTCTCTCCGGAGTAGATACCACTTCATCTGTTGAAGAATGGACAACGACATCGCTCCTACTGCAGGGACTAATACTAGACAGTCCCTATCACAGACGATCCCCCGTCTCATAGGCCCTCTAAGCGCGGGCCCCTTTGTCGTCATTATAAATAGAACACGGCTGCTTACCTAAGTCCCACCCTGCCTCGCTCCTTCCCATTCCTTTTTCCCTCGATACTATCTTTAGAATCAACCTTTCTGCATCGTCAATCACAGCTGTTCCGGCCCGATCTAGTCATCCCAGTTAGTGATCTGCTTGGTCCCGCCTGGACAGTGTCGCTTTCCTCTCTTGTCCATCTCCCTTCTGGTTCCTGGTGTGGTACTCGTCCCCTGAGTGCCCCCGTTCATTCTTCCCTCATCCGTCCTGCCCACTTCAGTCGCGCGGTGGTTCATCTTCAGGTCTTCTGAAGTGTTTCACCTACTCCGCGAGGGTTCTTTCCTTCCCCGGTGATATCCGTGTGGGTATCGCGACCCGAACTTCTTGAAGGGAACGGTCGCTTCAGAGTCTTCGCTGACCCGCGCCGGGTCTCACTTCGCGACCCCCGATCGGTATCGCGTCAAGTCCGCAACCCACGGACAAGCACATAACTGTGCGGGGCCTCGTGTAGACTACGAGGCGCATCGCTTGACTTTACATCTTCCGTTTAACCACACCGTTGCACTTGTCGTGCGCCCATAGCCATCCGCAATGGGTCGGAGAAAGATCGAGATCAAAGCCATCAAAGATGATCGCAACCGTTCTGTGTAAGTCGGTCTTGTCGACTCAAAGGATGAACTGTAGCTAACCGACGCGTTTACTGTCTAGTACGTTCTTGAAACGAAAGGGGGGCCTCTTTAAGAAGGCGCATGAGCTCGCCGTTCTGTGCTCCGTGGACGTTGCCGTCATCATCTTTGGCCACAACAAGAAACTATACGAGTACTCTTCATGTGACATGCACGATGCCCTGGGACGGTATCAATATGTACGTATCTCCCGATTTTGATGCGATTCCGTTTCCTTGCTAATCCGCCGGGATGCTTCAGTTTGGACCTCCCCACGAGCACAAAGGACCGGATGATTTCTCTGGTAAGCGCGATGACGATGACGAAGAAGATGAGACCACGCCCGCTCCAGAAGAGATACAAGCCCTTCAACATGGCGCTCCTACCGGCCCGCCGCACCTCCAACACCAGGCTGGCTTCCAACACATCAATCACGCGCCTTCCGCATCTCCCCCGATCCACAACGGCCTTCCTCTAACGCGACATGGAACCCCGCAATCGCACTCACGTCCCACCTCGAGGAATCATATCCGTCGTGGCAGTTCGAACCTGGGCCCCCAGCAGCATGCCACGCCTCCGCCGCCACCTGCACCGCAAAATGGTGGATATGCATACATGCAGAATCCCTCGATGTACAATCCGAACGTCCGTCCAGGTCAATTTCAGCACTACGGTCATCCGCCGCATCAGGGAACACCGCCGATACACGCCCACGGCTTGCCGCCTCAATCGATGCCGCCACACCATCAAGGTCCGCAACATATGCCACCTCATGCGCACTCAGGAGGCCCGCAGCAACAGCAGCAACAGCAGCAACAGCAGCAGATGGGAATGCCACAGGGCTCTCACGCACCGGCGCAGCAGCAGGCATACATGCAAGAGTCTGGCAGAAGCTCGGCGCCTCCCCCTATGCAGCAGACAGCCAACAGCAGCGCAGTGTGCCTACATCTCAAGGCTCCCAAGAGAACACGACGGCGACAATGAAAGTTGAAGAGAGACAGTCCCCACCACAGCCGAGGTCATTGTCTTCATCCAAGTCGCGCAGCATATTCACGCCTATTGATGACCGCGGCTCCGTGCTCGCTCGTCATTTCGGCTCGGGCGTTCCAATATACGAACCACCTCAGAGCGAGGCAATGTTGCAGAAGATCAACCAATCGCAACATGAGCCATCTGAATCCAGGGGTAGTGTTGCGGCCGGCACTCCTCGTACAAACTCGATATCGTCAGTCTCGGATATCAGACCGCCAGTGCGGACAAACAGCGGGCAACTAGCATCGAAAAGACCACAACTGAAGGTCCAGATTCCCAGCGAGAGTTCAGATCACGGCAGTGCGACGGCAGGATCTTCATCGCACGATTCTGCTGGAAACAAGACGCTCACTCCTGCCAAAGGGAATGCCGATAACCCCCCATCTGGGGTGGTTCTCCCCCCTCCGTCTCCCTCAGCCGGCGCAATTCTGAGTGCCGGTGCGCAGGGTCCACCGAATCCGTTTGCCCGCCCACCCCCGCCGGTCGCTGCGTCACAGAACAACTACGGAGGCAATGCTGGCAACCCCAATAACAATGGGAACAGCACGAGCAACATAGAAACACCCATATCGGCACTCCCTAGCCGGTTTGTCTCCGACGCACTCCTCCCATCACCATCCAGCTTTTTCCCGGAGTGGGGTTTTGGCCGCTCAGGACCTGATTCGAACATGCTGCCCAGTCCTCTCACATTCCCAACCCCCGCGGTACAAAGTGGCCCTGGCTTCTCTCGGGATGATGAACCGGACAAGAAACGCAAATCCCCGGATTCAGGTCCTCCGGGAGAAGGCACCAGCAAAAAACCCAAAATATGATGCCCTTGACTGATGTCTTACTTTGGTAGCGCCTGTGGATCTGTGGATCTCAGGGTCATCTTTCATGCTCTCTATACCCCCTACATTTCATTCGCCTTTGCTATCAACGTGCCTTGAAGTTGGATCACCAAGTGGTTTCTTTTTTCTCCTTGGGTTCTATCGTTTTTCCTTGGTTCAATTGTTGCCTGCGTACGCTTTTGGTTCGGAAATTGGCGTTTCTTTTCTTGTTTCTTCTTTCCTGTTGTTGTACATAAGGTGCCTATGCTCTTTCGTATAGGAGGGATAGGAACATAGATGACGTTTGTTCCACATTGCCGTGTGCTAGGATCTGTAGGGCAGCAACATGCTGCTATGTATTTTGGTGGCTTATGGGGCCGACTGTACTGGATGGCTGATCTCTAAGCTACGTTATCTACGGGGTCGTGCCTAGTTCCCTGAGTATTGCGAAGCCGTCTTTCGACTGTTTATCTACCATAAAATTACCGCGCTAAGAATCTGCTTCCAAAAAAGGACCGCTTCCGCAAAAAGGGGCCAAGGGTCACTTAGGTAGGGGAAAGTATTATTTTCGACTAATGAGTACTTATGGTGGCATAGGGCAGATAGTGTACTCGATGGCTGATCTCTAAACTATGTTACCTATCGTCCTACTTGTATACCACCTAGGTTACTTGCACTGTACCCCGTCCTATTTCATGGGGCAACTAGTTCCTAGAATATCTATTTTGCTTACTCCGTAAGGACTATAGTATCAATCCTATTTTAGCTCCATCCGTCCGTCAAGGATCTGAGACCCCTTGGCTGGCCCCCTTATAGGTCGAATAAAATCTTCGCAATCTATAGTTATAGAATGTGAAATCTTTTTAATTAAGTTCTGTAGATCATGCCCGATCATGCTCTTCAGCATCTTTATTACCAAAGATAATCGTAGCCCTCTTTTGACGCCCAACGAGCGCCCAGAAGGCAGCTAATCGTATCCTCTCACTATCCTAATCCCTTGGAAATTTAGTACATAGGTAGTACTATATGGATCGGTTAGCATTGAAGTAGGCTAAGGGCTAGAAGTATGATATAAACTGAAGGGGGAGGTTGGGTATGATCACCGTGATGAGGGCCTAGGTTCTTTAGTGAATATCTCTAGTCTAACTACGTACGCTCAGAAGTCGTTATCAAGCATTTCACATGGAGCCACGTTTGCCCACAGCTGAGTGAAAGGTTGCCTGCCTTATAAAACAGATAGGTTTGCTAACGCAGTGCCAGGTCAGTACAAACGTATATCAGCAGATGGCGCAGAGGTATTGCAGACTCCAAATCACTGGAATAACTAACTATGAGGATTGGCGGCTTGGCGAAGACCCTGGATTGGCCCCTTTTACCAGCATTGATGGATAATTAGTCTGAAAAATAATTGGGCGAGCCACAGACACTCGAATTTCCCCGGACTAGTAGCTTGGCGGCTTGATTACCCGTGGCATAAATGGAATTAATTGTTAGGCAATTATTTTTTTTGCTCTGACGAAAGACACATCCTGTTGATATCCTATTGGCTTTGAACACTGCGGGGATTATTTTGCGCCCACTCCGATAGATTTTGATGCGCAAGAAGAAGCTTCATGCTGTAGGAAACGAAATGCCGTAAGGGTGCAGGAATCCGGAACTCCGTTTTTCAAAGGAATAGTTGAAACCTAAGTGAGGGCCGTGCCAAAATCTTACTATGAGATACTACCTCCAGACTAAAATTTAGACCGGTTTCTTTGGTTTGGAAGGCGCCACAGTGATAACCTGACCGCGCTACCAACACTCGCTAAGAATGAGCCCTTCTAGGATTACACGAGCGTCGATACGAGTGGACAGCCACAAACAGACAAATACGGCATTTTGATTCGTGGTTAACCTTGCATAACCGAGCAACAATGAGATATAGGCGCAAACAGCAACAAATGCGCCAAGAGGGTCCCGACCCAAAATGGCTGAGCAGACAGGACCGGAGGAGGGGCATTCGCATGATCTCGCGTACATTAATAACGGCCCAGATCGCCCACTGCATCTTGCTTCTGTATTGATCGCTCCCATTTCCACTTGCACCAGAACTTTACATTTCCACACTTGGAGTTGCAGCGACGTACATTTACCTAGGTGCTGAGCCTCCTTACCCGACCTTGGCATCATCCTCGTTTCAAAACTGATGTATGGGGTGAACTTGCGAAACTGTTTCCTATAGTTTCTGGACATTTCCTCTACTGCCATTGGGCTCATGCGCCAGCCAAAACAACCTTGCATCGGTTGAACAAAGGTGGGTCTACAGGGTTGATTTCGACAGTGGAGTTTAAACTCTTTCCCCTTGCCATAAAACAAGGTGTCTAATGGCTGACCCGGAAATATCAGCAAGTGGCAGCAGAAAAACCCGCTAATCTAACTGATTTTGTGTTTTTTGATGCTCTTTTTCTTATCTTGAATCTCAAAACCAATGGATTTGGCCAAAAAGCTAGAACGTCTCAAGCCCAAGAAAGGCAATATTCGGGGATTGTGGAAATCTAAACAGACGCCAGAACAACAGCAAGCTACAGCTCCAACCCCATCTAAGGATCAAAATTCATTAGAAGTACAGGAACAGAATTATGTTGTCCCTCCAAACCCTCCGCCGGTTCCAGATCAATCGTTTTCCCCAAGTCAATCGACTGCTGCGAGCCCAGCAAACGATACTGGTATATATGGACGAAAAACCACTGGCCCTTATAATCTTCGAGGCAAAATTCGGGGATTATTGAAATCCAAACAGACGCCAGAACAACAGCAAGCTACAGCTCCAACCCCATCTAAGGATGAAACTTCCTTAGAAGCACAGGAACAGAATTCTGTTGTACCTTCAAACCCTCCGCCGGTTCCAGATCAATCGTCTGCCCCGAACCCATCGACTGCTGCGAGCCCAGCGAGTGATACTCCCAAGCCCTATACTCGAACCTATGGTCTATATGAACGAGAAACCACTGGCGCTCATAAACGTCAAGTCCCTTCCATCTACCGATGGGAAAACCCTACGATTTGGACACTCGGCTCGACCATACTAAACCATATCGCCAAATTCCTGGACTACCCTAGTGTTGTTTGTCTTAAAGCCACATGCACAGGGTTCCAACGGATAATTCTTATCTCACCCAGAGTACCGACACAGGAAGAAAAGAAGCTGTTGCGAAAATTATTTTTCGTATCGACCCCTTTGGCCGAGGGGGGTCTTCTATGTTCACCTACTGAGGTATTCATACCGATGGGGGTGAAGCCGCCCATCGAATATATCCCACCCAATAAGGAACTTCCACAAATGTGCACGACTTTGCAAAACATTGCCACGTGCAAACACTGTCAAAAACAAGTTGGACTGGACGATTTTCAAGGATGCCCGCGGAAATGCAAAGGAGGCGATGGCCTTTCGGGGAAAGTAAAAAGGCCTGATAACTGTGAATCGAGTTTGGGAAAACCCGAGGTTCACAGTACGAGATATGTACAATCTCTGTCGTCGACTTCCAGCCCAAGCCGTCGAACATGCTGGTCCTGCTTAGGTTATTTGGATGGTGCCGGGGATCCAAAAGAATGGTGTATGTGTCGCTGAGCATAGTTGCTCGTTTCGTTGGGTTGGAAAAGCTTGGATGGGGGTGAAGGATTAAAACTCATCAAATAAATCTCCAGTTCAAGAGTCATCATGCAGCTCTTGTAGACAGACGCGTGACTCAATCCAAATTGACGGCCTTTGAATCGAGCGCAAAGCTAGTAATAATAAACCTCAGGTTTAGGCCGACATGTCTGCTGCGCTTCGATCACCGAACGGAAATGGAAACACAGAAATGCAAAGACGGACGATAAATGAATGTTTTCCATGAGTGTAGATCCAATAAAAGGTCAGTAGAGGCCCACTCTGGTAGTTTGCCGCACATTCGCTACTCCCGCACACGGTCCGCAGCTCGAGATATCCCAGGGTTCAGCTATTTTCACGGGGAGACCACACAGCCGTGATACAAAGCCATGGGTGATAATGATATTCATTGATACAGCTCCCACGTTGTGATGTGTCACTAAGTTTGGACACTTTCGCGTTTTCTGTCTACGGAGTTATTGTATGGGAACAATTAAGGTTACCAAGCCGGAGAGTACTAAGCAGCGACTTAAAAGGATCCTGTGCTGATTGAGCTGAATAAAGTTAGGGTCGATAGCGTTGCACCTTCCAGACGCAAAGCTAAGACAAATTCATATATCAAAAAACCACGCCCTGTGGCTGAAACGATCTGGCGTTGCCAATTTGAAATAAACGCCCCGGTGAGGGCACGTGGGAAAGAGTAGAGAAAGGATTTCTATTCTTATCTCGAATCCAGCCCTTAGCTCCAAACCAACGCTAGCACGTCAATCCTTCACATTTGCCTCAGTATCGTTGGCGAAAAATGGGGCCAAACCACACTAGATTAGGGGCCATGCTTACTCTAAAAATTTCCTTAGTTATAACTAGAGCTTAGTCGTGACTCTATTTATCTAAATTTCCCACGGCATTCATCGGAGAAAGGGAAATCCATACCTCGGACTCTGTCAAAAATGCGCGCTGTTAACATGGTTAGTTCCGCAATATGAAACCTGGCACCCATATAACTTGATGTATTACTTACTAACATCCTCCTCCTGCATATAGATCATCGCTCTTAGCACATTCCTGCTTGGTTCTCAGCTGGCTGCCGCTAAATGCCCCGGAAATACGAAGTCGGCGTGCCTGTATATCATCAATAACTCTTGCGGCGAGGAGTGTGAGTCTCCTGATGTGAAGTGTGGGCCGCAGTGTTTTGCGCCTGCTCACGTACAATGCGATGCTCTATGTGATTGAATGGGAAGCTTGTGGCATTTTGTATTTTGAGGGTTCAATGTACAATTGGTATATGAACAAAAGCCTCTCGAGGGGATAATGGGTAAATACTTTGAAAACACACGAGTCAAATCAATGATTGATCGGAATTTCTGTGCCAGCTCTCGCTAGTTAATCCTCTACACAGTACTCTTATTGCCAACATAGGAACTACAAATTACTTATTATGATAAATAGCGTCTAATCTCAGACTTTGTGGCTCGCAGTCTAACGGGATTCCTAATGCGAATATCAGCGTGAATATCCATATAAACCGGATTATGTTGTAACAACACCAATGAACCAGTGGATTGCTACTTGACAGGTTTATCAAGCAAAGCGACAGCAATTCATGCCCCTTGGTATGGCTCACTTGGAGCTGCTACGAGTGCTCCTCTAGCTCCTCTAGCTCGTATGTTCTAACAGGGAATGGTGATCATTTTTAAGAGGTGGAAACCTCATAGTTCTGTATCAAGTGATCAATTTTCCATCCTTTTTAAAACGTCGATCTCTACTTATGATTTTACCATCTGGGCAAGAAACAAGTTATCAAAATCGACCTCCCAGAAAATTAATCAGGCTGGTGAATGTAAATAGTGCTTCCAGGACGAAATGTTTGGAGTGCTGGGATGCATTCAATGAGAGATCAACTTTGATCACTTAGTTAATTCTAGACGTAGTGAAAATTAATCACCCTTATCATTTCTAGAGCGGATTAAATAGCGGATTTGGAAGTGATTGAAAGGGCGTTCAAAGCCTATTCGGGAGTCTTTAACCCCTCGATTATCTTATTGGCAGGGAGGGATTAAGAATTGAGAGTGCAAGAGACGGCGATAATGTTTCTGATTCTGCCTTTACTATGGTCATGGGTATGGTAAATATTACTACAAAACAAACGTCTCCAGCGTATTCGGGGCAAATATTTCCTCCGGCTTTAACCGTCTCGGTGACAGGCCTTGCCGGTGGTGATACTCCAGAAATTTGTCAATAACGTGCTTGTTCTCCTGGAACCCATCCTGCCACCATCGCTCATTTCCGCCCATCAGTGCTCGAGTCTCTATGACATGGTCTTCAAGCCATGGCAAGATATATCTGAGTGCCGATCGATCTTGAATGGATGCATAGGCCACATCGAGGCTCAGTGCAAACGCTTTGGTCAGGCTTTTTGCAACCCACGGATTTTGCTCATATACATCCCGTTTGAGAGCAACCACATGCATTATTGGGAATAACTGAGTCTTCCGATAATACTCAGCTTCGATCTCCTTGAAGTTGGGAAACAGACGTTCAACATTTTCTGATGTGTCAAAAGATGAGGGCCTGCTAGCACTGAAGACGGCGTCGAGTTCCCCATTAGCAAGCATTTCTGATAGATTTTGCCCCTTGCTAATTGCTGTCACTTTAATATCGTCAGGTACGGAGTGCAGGACCTTGCTGATTCTTTTCTGGTCACTTCTTTCAATGGCGCCAACATAAAATTGCACTTGGCTCGCACTAACACCATGATATTCCTCGAGGATACCCCGCTGCCACACTGCCGCTGTCACTGTTGTGCCGTAAGTTTAGCTTCTCTTTCAAGTCAAATCTCCATCTTGTCTGGGCACCAACTTTGGTATTCAGGAATCCCAATTTTTTTGCCAGCCAAATCTTCAGGTTTCGAAATGCCCGCATTTCTGTTGACATACATGGACTGGTGCCGAAAGAATCGAGATGGGAAAACAGGCAGGGCGATGAAAGGCGGCTTCTCTTGATGTAACGTCATGACATATGAGGACAAAGACAGCTCAGAAAGGTCAAACTCCTGGAAACGTAATTGACGGAAGAACCTGCAAAATTGAAGCTTAAATTAGTTATGCCGGGACCTTGTTAGGAAGAAATTCCAAGGATATGATAATCTCTTGACATGTCCTCACGTTTCTTCCACGCGCAGGTTCAAAAAATTGAGCTCAATAGCTTCTGCGCGAACCCGGCCGTCTTCTATCGCTTTCATGCGATCATAGTCCCAGCAGGCGAACGACAATCTCAAAACCATCTTGTTGCTGCGAGCACAGTTGTGCTGGATGTGCTGAAAGCCAGATATTGTCTTGAAGACCAAGCTTGGGGGATAATTGTGGGACAAACCTCAATATATATATACTCAAGACATACCTAGGTACATGTCGGGACACAAGGGGAATAGCAGCAGACATCACAATGTAGAGCATTGATATTCACAGCCGATTCGTCGGCAAGTACGGAGCACATACTAGCCGACCCCGCGGAGTCGTAACTAAAATGTCGACATTCCGCGGAGTTGACGGTCACGATTACACTTTTTTCAATGCCGGTAACCGCGCTATTTCAGGCATAGATAGGCGGGTGTTCAAGGATTGCGAACCATATCGAAAACAACTCCCGCTTATTAGGATAAAGCCCAGACATTATGGAATCCGCCTCTTTCCGTTCACCATTCATAAGGAAACGAATACTTGAGCAGGACCAATTCTCGCAGAATCCAGTTCCTGTGAATGGCAAAGCTATTAAATTATGCAAAATCCTTCCGCTATTATTGGACAAAGAGAAAGGTTGATAATGGATAGAAAAAGGATTATGATGAGGATACTACGTGATACTCAGGAGCTAGCCGTTCCAGTGTCGAGTAATGCTCCGCTAGAGTTCTTGGCTGTAGTGTTAGGCCAGGTTGACATTCTCATACTAGAGATAGCTTGAAAACATCTGCGTCCTTCCAATTTCACCTCCATGAAGCCATTCAAGGAATGGTCGTTGTCAAACGATGACGCAGCACACTAGCCTTGCGGAACGTTCAAGGTCTACCAGTACATCATCATTGCATAGAAATTTGAGGCCTTGGTCCATGTTGTAAGGAAATCCGATACCTAGAAATGACAAGCTTGCCTTGTATCTAATTTCTTTATTTAAGCATTTTGAACTTGATATTCTCATTCTGTTACATCTGTTCATTCACGTATAATTGCTATCCGTGTCTCTCAGTGAGTCCAATGGTAGCCAAAGTAGATCGAGCTGGTTACATGCTGTCACGAACCGTGAGCTTCATTCCAAACGCTGTCGGGGGCACCACCGAAAAGTCGTAATATTCATATTTCGGTCTCCCTCCCAAGTACGGAGTCCCTTCCTTTTCCAACCTCAAGTCCCATCTGGTTATGAGCTTGGCTAGCATGAGCTTCATGAGATTCACAGCAAAGAATCGGCCTGGACATGCTTGGCTGCCGAGGCCAAATCCAAGAGAGTCCTCTGTGGCCATTCCCATTTTGAAGGTACTTTCCCCAACCTTGTTATTTTCACGGATACGAGTGAAGCGGTGTCCATCAAAATCATTTGAGTCCACGCCAAATGTATCGGGATCAGTGGCGATAGCAGCAGTCGCAGCAGTTGTCATGGTGCCGATAGGAAGAGTGATCCCAGACACCTTGAAGGTATAGTCTTGTGTTACAATTCGGTTCATCGTCACTGCAGTATAGGAGTCAGATCGTCCGGAGCTACAAACATATAAAAGGTAGCGAACTTACATAGGAATACCGGGGTGAGCCTTTGACTTTCCTTAAGGAAACAATCCAGTTTGACCAGTGCGTCTATGTTGATAGAACCGTTTGGCAAAGTAGCTTGTGCTGCTTCTTTGCGGAGTTCCTCGAGATACTGAGTCTGTGACAAGATGTCGATGAGAGCGATACTGATTGTCTTTGCCGATGTATGAATCGATGCGATGAGGGTTCGCATCATGGTCTCTGAGAAATCGTCCAAGGTAACATCGTCTGGAGCTCCGCCCCATAACCATTCGTACCCGAATAGTCCCTTCCGGTATTTGGCCTTTTCACCAGCCCCAAGCGCGTCTCGACGTTTGAGCTCCTCGTACATGGGCGTCAGCTTCCTTTTGACGTATGCCTTGCTCTGTCGTAGCCTCCTCACACTTGGAATCAGAGGAGAAATAAAGGCAGCAAGGTACGGAGGCCATGCCCGCACATCGTCTGCAGATTTGTATCGGTTCACTGCAAAGTCGATAGTTTGATTCATCCATTCCGGGTCTGACGCAAGCTCCTCACCCACGAGCAAGGAGTTTGTGACATTTGCTATGGCAGGGACAAAAAACTCCATAAATTTGATAGTTGCAACTCTTTTGTTTGGGTCACAGGGCAAATGCAGGGCAAAGTACTGATTAATCCTTCGCTCCAATTGTTTTGTGATATCACCCAAGTTCTGATGGATACCCACGCGCAGAGCCTTTCCAGACCACGGACCTCGTTTGGGGGCGCCAGTGTAATCTTGAGCGAAGATGACCCCAGAAGCCTTAGCCCAGCTGAAGATGTTGTTCGATAGGTGCTTCATCTCCTCTAGGTGGTCCTTGGGAAGGATGACCCGATACTTAACAGAGTAGCCCCCGATCGGAATGGGAATTTTGAAAGCACGGCCCTGTTTGTTGTATCGACGGTAGCCTGACTCCAAAAGGTCCTTGAGATCGTTGATGTATCGAGGTCTTGTACTGTCGCCATCTGGAAAAGCGTGGGTGGATATATGATCAAGGGCATGGGACTGACGCCAACTTTTATACAGATGGTGGAAGATAAATGCGAGCAGAGTAGCTGCCGTCCCCAAAGTGACAGTGTAAATGTTCATGGTGAAAAGAGGGATATAGAATATTGTAATACTATAATAAAGATGTATTGCCGGTGCATTGAGATGAAAGGACTTGCACTGAGGTTGTAAAATATTAAGTTAAGAAGCATTTTTAGATTTGTGCTTATAGTAGGTTACCAAACAGATGCGTGAATTCGGCAGTCTCCGCGGCTCGGCTCAAGACACCCCGCGGTTCATCTTGTGGATTCCACGGCTCATGACGTCGACTCCGCGGTTCAACTCCTGCCCTGCTGAACCAGTCAACGTTTATCCCCTCCGGCCCTGTATCTTATAAGGAACTCCGCGCGGCAAATATATAACGAAGATAACAGCACGCAGACCTATTATGCTGACTCCGCGGCTTGTCGACAATCGCCAGTGGGATGATTAGTTTATCCGCGGTGTAGTCCCTCCATACCTGCCTGCAGACATCGCCGTCCTTGTCCACATCCCTTATTCCACGTCCCTTATTGACTCTAGTGATTTTCTGCGGAGTGCTTAAAGTATTCCTCGGTCCCCAATTCTCTGTGCTCAATTCAGATAGCCACCCCTCAAAGCAAGGCTACGTTTCCTTTTTTCCTGTCAAAAGATTCGGATCATTACAGAGATGGATGTGAAGGACTTAGAAAGCAAACCAGTTGCTGAAATGCATGAATATGCCTCTGCAAGTGGACAAACATTGTTGCTCGATGGTCAGGGCTATCCGCTGCGTCCACAACCCTCTGATGATCCTCTAGGTTAGGATGCCTTTCTCTATCGTAATTCCCCTCACGAATTTCTGTATATTGACAAAAAAAGATCCTTTAAACTGGTCCCGTTACACGAAGCTTCTCGTGCTCCTTCAAGTGTCCTTTCTGGGGTTCCTTGGTCCATTCTCACAGGGCACAATTGTAAGTGATACCTGTGTCTTCATGGGACATAGTTCCGACATGGACAATGCTAATCGTATCCTCTTTTCGTAAGAATGCTGCTTTTGTCCCTCTTGCTATGGATCTTGACGTCTCAGTCACAGAGGCCTCTTACACTACAACAGTTGCCATATTATTTGCTGGATTCACCCCCTTGCTATACGCTCCAATATCAAACGTCTACGGACGTCGACCTGTATATTTGGTGGGTACTGCAATCGGGACGGCTGCAAATGCCGGCTGTGCTGTCTGTCGGTCTTGGGGACACCTTTTGGTTGCCCGCGCTTTTGTGGGAATTGGGACATCTGTCGGCATGGGAGTCGGTGCGTCAATTGTTGCAGATCTATATTTCATGCATGAGCGGGGATTGTAAGTACCCTCGTACGGTTTCATTTCTTCTGTGCTCACATTCGCCAGGTACATGGGGATATACGTGGTTTTGTAAGTTATGTATGTCATGAAGGCGTGATTCTCGGCTAATGATAATACAGCGTAACCAATGGCGCGCACCTCGCAGCCATAATTGGCGGTCTTGTCGCCGAATCCCTTGGCTGGCGTTGGTGTTACTGGGTCCCAACAATCACTACAGGGGCGACATGGTTTCTCAATATCTTCTTCCTGCCAGAGACTTTATATCGCCGAGACCCATCAACGGGTGCCTCTTACATCAGAACAAAATCCTGGGCGCAGCTCCTTAAGTTCAAAGGAGCCCCAACCACAAGAAAGCTAAGATTTGGAGACTTTGCTCATTGCTTTATTATGTTGAAATATCCTCCTGTGCTCTTGTGCATGCTCTATTACAGTATTGCCTTCGGCGTAGGCACAGTTCTGTTTGCTGTCACCGGAGCTGCTGCATTCGAAGGTTCTTACGGCTTTAACACCGTCCAGGTGGGTCTAGCCATCGGGCTGCCTACGACCATTGGGTCTATGCTCGGTGAATTTATGGCTGGATCAATCAGCGACAAGACTCTCCGTCATGCTAACCGCCTTCACGATGGAGCGGCGGATATAGAGTCAAGGCTCCAAGCAACCTTGCCTGGGGCAGTTATTCTTCCTATCGGTATCGTCATAGAAGGCGTTTGTTTGCAATATCAAACTCATTGGGCAGGACCTGTGATGGGCATTGGCATTGCGGCTTTTGGGCTTCAGATCGTCTCTACGCCGATTTTCGCTTATCTCACTGATTGCTACAAGCCACAGTCAACTGAGATCTCAACACTCCTGAACTTTGGTCGTCTATTGTTTTCTTTCTCTCTCGGATTTTACATGGTAAATGACCCTTCTCAACGCAGCATGATGCCTATTGACTTTCAAACCAGATGCCCTTTGCTATAAAAACGACCTTCGGAATCGCCTGGGGAGTCCTCGCAGCAATCAACCTTGCTTTGTTTTCTGGTATTCTTCTCCTGATGTGGAAAGGTCCTATGTGGAGACGGAAACTAGTGTCTCCCGACTTTGACAGAGACCTATGAACATGTCTGCTCTTTAAATTTTGTCCGTCTAAGGTTATTTGACCTACTACATTGTTCTCTGGCTAAATATAGGGCAGTCACATCATGATTTCTCACAAGAGTCTTGCTGTTTCCTTTCTCTCCTCTTCTCTATATAAATCATGTCCTCGCAGTGAAATGTATCAATTACTTGTGCTATCACATGAATGTATTTGGCCGGAAGGCAAGATCGACCAACTCTTTACGGACAAATTCTATAGACCCTCTTTAAATATGTACATTTCGTGAGACCTCGGATTCGGGCTGGGAAGGCAGGGTTTGAAGAAGAACAATTTACCGGGAGGGCAAGATAAGGGGAGAAAACTGGAGGCTATACGCGTACTATTTGGTCACGAAGAATACAGACAGTGGCCAATCCAAGTTTGAGGGCACAGAGCAGCTGTCAAAGCATAATAGTGGAAGTGTCCTTCTGAGAATGAGGAAGAGAGCAATCAAGAATTTCTGTCGTACGTCAGAACCGAAGCCTCGTCAGAATGACAGCCAAAAAGGGCGCAGCCTCTATTAAATGGGCAGGTGGCTCAATAATCATAATATAAATGCTCCCGAGAACTGATCCGAGGAGAAGGCACCCTCAAGTAGCCCATCGCCCGATAACCAATCACCGAGAACAGAATCCTCATAACCCAGAATATCGTATGTCTCTGGAACTTGCAGCGGCATTTGGGACGGCTCACTGAAATTGCGCCCTTGCCTCTGGGACTGATTAAAAGACGGTGGCGACAGAGGACGGCTAGTACGATTGTGTCGCCCATCGTCCTCTGGATCCGTTGTCTCTCTTGTCTCGGCTAGTGTGCGTTCCAGGATGGACGCATACTTGGATGCCAAATTGTTCGTTCGACCAGCTGATCTGAGGAACTCCATGCCGTGTCCTAAGCTGTATTCAATTTCGTTGGTATCTGCATCACCTTTCATTTGTACCCATCCCAGTCTGTCCACATTCTGTACGTGAGCTAATACCCCTATTGACGTGAATATATCTAATTCAGACTGTTAGTTTTTCAATCCCAGGCCGGAACGGATCTCCTCAAAACTCACAATGGAGATTGTATCTGAGAGAATGGAGTAGCTGATTATCGTATTGAGCGCATATTAAGCCCACAGTTCGACAGGCGGCATTAATACAGGTTTTCGAGCCCGCCACCGCAGCTTCTCGTAGGAAGTCTTCCCCAATATCTTGCTGGGTGACCATGAGTAGCAGAGGTCGGTGAATAAGAAGTCGGATTTGAAGATATCTGCAACATGTTAGGCTTGAGAAATCCTCCATAAAATAACGTCGACCTACCTAATCTTCATGACAGCCTGTTGGCGTCGAAATATCCGTTGTTCCATAGCATCTGTGTCTCCACAGAGGTGCACGGGTACATCAGCCCACCAAGCCTGGAGTTCCCCGTCAAGACGAACGACAGTGGCGAGGATGAGGTGCTGTTCGGGTATTGTTGATTCGTAAGGATCCGCAACATATCTCTCTCTCACTCTCCTCGCCGCATACAAATGCGAGAGAACTTTCTCTATGATCTTTGAAAGCTCGATAGTGTGCCGAAAGAACGCAATTGAGGAAGGACGGCCCACAGGCTGTCGAGAGACAGGTGATCGGTCGTGAATATATTGATCATCGATTAACGAAGGATAAGGAACATTTTCTGCATCCGCCAGCTGAAGTGCTCTAGGGCGGCCGAGTTTCATACTAAGCGTCTGATCAATGATGAAGCAGCCCCACCAGACTCTTTTCCGAATTTCTCTTTCCGTTGCCGTGAGATGCAGATTATCAGGATTTAACTGAAGGCCAATACTAACGGCAGTCCGAATCATCAAGCCAACCAGGTTCCAGCACTCATTGAGTTCCAACGTACCCTGGAGATAATGAGACATCAAAAGCAGGACTTGAACAAACTCCAAGTTGCTTTGTTGATGAATGTGTGACAACATGGTTTCCCGAGACCGGTCAACAAAAGGGCGAACATGCGGGAGCCCGCGCTTGGGAGCGAGATCGCAAAATTCGCAGCCATGGGCAAACACAATATTTAACAGGGCGTACCACGAGCATCGCAAAGGGCTATCTGGTAACGAACTCCACATCTCTTCGTATTCAGCTCTGAAAATGCCTTCATGAAGGAAAGGGTAAATGGGATGGAAACGTTCAAAATAAGCGTCTACAATACCGTCGGCGATATGACGGTCAGGGAGGTGGAAAGTAGATGCCCCTCTGTCTGAGCGGGCCTTATCATGAATATCGCATGTGGATGGAACCTGCAAGGCTGGGTTTCCATGTTCGGGGTCGTTATTAAGCAGGTGAACTCCAGGGCCATATTGGGGACTGCCTAGCATGTTTGAGACAAATGCGATCGTCGACGATTCGCCAAAAAAGCCGCGGAGTTCACCATTGTCTTTTGATGGAGCAGCTGTCGTCGTGGTTGTTGCTGTCAAGCCCGACACGTCTGGGGTTTCACATGGCGGGACGGCGCGTGTGGGATGCATATAGGTGGAGGACGCTGTAGGAGACAATGCACGAGTATCTCCATCTGCACCCGTTGAAGAAGTCGCTGAGTATTGTCGCTGAGGTTTGATGGTGCTCACAGATTCCCGAGAACGGCGATAGCTTTCAACTCGGCGGCCTGGAGTGTTTGCTTCATTTGAGTACTGGCAAACGATCTCCCGGCTTCGACAATCTCCACATTGTGGTCGCACACCATCGCAGCGATGTTTTCTGGTCCGACAGTTAATACAAGCATGTCGAGAGGGTAACCTCCGCCTTCTAGCTCGAGGAAGGATCATGGATTTTTGATGGAAGGATCGAGTTAGGACGGCGACAACTTTTGACACGTAAAACACTCAACGCCGGACTCAGTCTCGTTTCCAAGATCAATTACCGAAAGCAAAATGCGGGGTAATTAGCGCAGAGCACGATGCACCCACAATATCGTTAGCGGTTAAATTTGCGGTCGACACTGACAGTCGTGTTTGAATGGTTTTCCTTTTCCATGAAAACTAGAAAGGGTAAATGAAAGTTCCAAGTTTCGAGATTTCGGCAATTTAGCCGCTTGACATGAACTGCTAGGCATAGGGGGACCCGCGGGCGGCCTTCAGGGAGTGGACTGTCCTGTCCACCTCAAACTTCGAAAATGGAGGAGCATATACACCCATCGCCCTTTGTACATCCCTGATTAGTTCTCAGTTCTCTGCCGCTTGGATGCCCCGGAAATACGAAGTCGGCGTGTTTGGATATCATCAATAACGCCTGCGGCGAGGAGTGCGAGTCTCCCCATGTGAAGTGTTCGCGTTGTTTTGCGCCGGCTCATGTACAATGCGATGTTCTGTGTGATTAAATCGGAATATTGGGGCGTTTTGTTGAGTTATGAGGGTTCAATGTATTTCCGTGTACAGTCGGTACATTGGAGACCCTATCGAGGGAATAGTGGGGTTCGTACAAACAATAATGGGTAAAGCACTCTGAAAACCACGAGTCAAATTAGTGATCAATCAGAGTTTCTGTGGCAGCCAATTACATCATAACGTACCTCGTTTACCCTCGTATAACACCCCCTGGCCTGAATTTTCTGACGTGTAGATCCCATCCCCTCCTCCCCGCGCCGGGTGGTACATACACTTTGACCGGGATTTGGAGGTGGAGCAAAGCAAAATGAAACGCCGAGGAGAGGGACCTGGCGGGGCCTATAAAGACCCCGCTCCATTACGCTTTTCAGTTCTGATTCCATCAAGGTACACACACAACTTTGAGATTACCAAGTATAACAAACGCCAGACACCATGACTTTCACCGGCAGCTGCATGTGCGGAGGCATCACGTACTCCATTGAAGGTATCCTCTTCACGTCATGCCACCATTATTCCAATTCACTGACATTCTCCCAGCGGACAAGTATACCGCGGCACTCTGCCACTGCCTTGATTGCCAAAAGGTAGCATCTACCCCTTTGAGAGAGTTGGATCTGTGCTAAACGACAAAACAGTGGACCGGAGGCGCCTTCACCTCGAACGCCGTGGTTCCTCGCACCAGCTTCAAGGTGACCAAGGGTATGCTGGCGCACCTCTCAATTGTTCTCTAGTTACAGTCCATCATCTAATTCTCTAATCTTGTGGACCAGGTACTCCCAGCACTTACGACGCGGTTGGCAACAGCGGCAAAGTCAACAAACACTTCTTCTGCCCCACCTGCGGATCGGGTGTGTACACCGAGCTGGAGGTCTTGGCGGATATGACTTGCGTCAAGGCCGGGACGCTGGATAACGGTGAAGCCAATCTCGGCGGCAAAGTCGATATTGAGTTCTATGTTAAGGACCGTCCGAGCTATCTTGCTGCTGTGGAAGGGGCTAAGCAGGAGCCGATGTTTGGTTAAATTGGGGAATGGTTAGCTTCGGCATTTGATGTGGAGATCGCTTGCGTTGATCAAAGGCCGGAAATCGGTGGTAGATAGGGCAGGACCAGAAGAATCAAACTTGTCTTGATAAGGAAATACTTGCTGCATGTAGTTGTTACGAGCATTTTTCTGGCAGTAGTATCATTTATCGCCTTTCATGATATCTGGCCAGGTCATATACGAGTCCTGATCAGATGCCGAGACAGGGGTGACTCGAAGCTTTGGTGACCACTTTCCGTATTTCTTCGGCATTTGATGCGAGCTTTGTCGGAATGAAGAGCGATTAGTAATTTCTGAGAAGGCAGATAGAGGGTTCTGGCCAGTGTTAATTAGTAGAATGACTGTAAGTGATTAGTCTCATGGATGAGTTTACCTAATATGAGGAAGTGATTTACCCTACATATGACTTCTATGACTTCATCATTATTCACCTTTATTCTCCTCCTTTCGATATCTGACAAATAAAGGCCCTGTAGCATAGAATAACATCAAGTTTATACCCCTGCAGCTGGGTGGATGTGATCTCCCTTCATAGGCACCCCGATTTGCCACCCGTCACAACATCCAACCCCCTTCCCCACATTTTGGTTCTGGAACGGCCATGGCCAATATGATTGGTGGATGGGCTGGCTAAAAACGGGTGATGAGACCATCACTGAAGGAACTTGTTTCCTGGACAGTCCATATCCATATCCTTGTTACGCGTTGATTAATTGATCACATATAAATTCGAACTGCCGCCTTTCTTCAAGAAATGTTCACACTATCTATTCTGCCCTAATTATAGGTTTATCTATCCATATATATTTCAGGCACCTATCTGTCAAGATGGCTACTCTGGGCCAGCATGCCTTCCATCCAAGCACCCAGATTGGAATTCCACCACCAACAACAGATCCGATCCAGCTCCCCCCGGTTCCTCCTTTGAGCATCTCCCGAAGTGAAAAAGACGCATTGCTACAAAAGCTACGGCAAAAGCGTGATTCCCAACCAAGAACCAATACACGAGAGAACCAACAGCCCAAGCGGCAGTCGAAGAAGCCAATAAAGCCAGCCGGACGACCTGCCACAAGGTCTCAGGCACAGAATAAGAAAAACATTTCGCCAGAAAGAGCAAGGCGCCTTGAGCGAAATCGCATCGCTGCAAACAAATGCCGACTGAAGAAAAAGGAAGAAAACCAACAGATGGAACAAGTCCTGGAAGATGAGACGGCAAAATACGACTCGCTTTTGGCAGAAGTGGGCCTTCTCAGGGACGAACTATTGCAGCTTAAAAATCAGGTCTTGGAGCATGCAGGATGTGACGACGATCAGATCAATACCCATCTTGGAGCGATGACGCACACCCTGCTTGGGGATACCTCGGATCAGGTGAAATGCCCATCACCAACCTTTTCGGCTAGTACGTGGTCGGATACTTCGACCTTGGGGACTGGAGATGGTTCGAGTCCTGTTGTGAAATTGCCAGAGACGATTTCGGCGGATAAAGAAGAGGACACCGCTGATTTCCTGTTTGACAACTTTATTGATGGCGAAGCTGTAGAGGGCCTTCCGCCTTGTTCTGTATAATAATTACCCCGTGTCTATTAATGGCAAGCTTAACTTTTGCCTGATATCATGCATGTTACACAAGCACCTATCGGTGCACTTGGATTCAAGTTCCACGAGCGGTGGGCCATTAATCCAGGTGTCCTTGCAGGAATGGGGCGTTCCCACGGGATCTAGGAGGACGAACCAATAATAAAGTTTGTAGGCCTAAACGTCAAGCCGCCGAGCACGGTGGCTTCTCACGTGTCGGGTAGGAGGGTAGATTGGCTGGGTTTATCTCCCCATCAGGAATTCCGGAAGATGTGGGGAGCGGTCAACGCCCTGATTGCTCGGAGGGCACAGCCAACCAGTCAGCGGCTGGATCGTGGAGATCCTCAGCCTTGCGAGCAGCAAACGGGATTCTACTGTGGCGTGAAGAATTTACACGAGTGTTCGATCTTGTTCAGTTTTTGATCTTTGCCCCGTAGCCGCCGATGTCACGCCGCATGCCAACGCCACTATGCCGCGGGTTTTAGGATTAGTATATAGCAGGGTTCTTTTGCACAATATTATTATCCCCTGGCTTGCCACTTATTATGCGTCTATGTTCCTGGGGGAAACAAATCACTGACTGATTATCTGCCAAACTACTATTATTGGAACTCGAGAGGCTATCTACTGGCTCATGGCTAGATCAGTGGGCCAATCACAGACTCCGGGCCAGGAGATGGCCCATTTCACCCAGCATATAATCATGGGTACACCATTTGAAACGACATCAAGGTCCGTCAACAACAGTATTCATACCTTTTCCTTAATCTAAGCTGAGTTTTATAAATAATATAGATATTCTCAATTGGAACCCATCGGGCTTGGTGCCTCTGGGCTTGTTTGGTAGGACCATCATGCAGCTTGACAACTGAAATCAAATCTAATGAGTCTAATCGCCTTTTCAGTTCTGCGAAGGACCAAATTATGCACCGGAATGTGGCTGTGAAGAAGCTGACCGAACCATTTAAAACGGCCACTGTTGCGAGGCATATTTTTCGGGAGATCAAATTACTGAAGCAGCTCCAACATGAAAACGTTTGCCTCTCCACGTATTCTTTGTCCATTTGGCTCTAACGAAGAACCAGATTATTCATTTACAGGATATCTTCATCTCTTCAGCCGAAGACATGTACGCATTCCCTTGATTTGATTATTCAAGGCTTACATCTGACCCATTACTGAAGCTATCTTGTGACCGACCTTATGGCGACCGATCTCCATAGTGTTCTGAAAGCGAAAGCTGTTGACAGCCAGTTTACTCAGTATTTTATGTACCAGATTTTGGTGAGTCGATTCGTCGGTCTTCATTAAGCGCCGTTGCTAATCTGATGGCAAGCGGGGTCTCAAATACGTGCACTCGGCCGGTGTTGTCCACCGAGACCTCAAGCCTAGTAATATTTTAATTAACGAGAACTGCGATTTGAAACTCTGCGATTTTGGCCTGGCTCGTCTTCAAGAGGCACATATGACCGGCTATGTCTCCACCAGATATTACAGAGCTCCAGAGATCATGCTCACCTGGCGTCGATACAACGAAAAAGTGGATATCTGGAGCGCTGGCTGCATTTTTGCAGAATTAATCCTAGGGAAACCCCTGTTCCCGGGCAAGAACCACATTGATCAATTCTGTGTGATTACGGAACTGCTAGGAAGTCCGCCTGATAACGTCGTGGCCAAGGTGACTAGTGAAAATGTTAGTTTTAGTCCAGCACTCCGTTCAATATGGCTACTATTTCTAACTCCTAATATCTACAGACTTTAAAATTTGTCAATTCTCTTCCAAAAAGGCCACGCACGCCGTTGTCTAAGCTTATGCCTGACGCCGATCCGAAAGGTATGTACACCACCTGCTCAATTAGATTTAGATCACTGATTTGAATAGCAATTTCTTTGTTGGAGAATATGCTCCAGTTTGATCCAGACAAGCGATGTTCTGCAGAAGAGGCGCTTGCTATGCCATACCTCGCGCCGTATCATGATCCTACCGATGAACCGACAGCAAGTGAAACATTTGACTGGTCATTTCTCGAGGCTGACCTACCCGCCGATGTTTGGAAAACAATCATGTAAGTACTGTTCCATTTTATTTAATCTCGAAGAATTCTAATTTGCTTTTAGCTACGCTGAGATTCTGCGGTATCACGAGACACCAAACGTGTCAACCCCACTCAGCCCACTCAGTCCACTCAGTCCACCCAGTTCAAGTTTAGATGGAATGTATCTAGGGTGATTGTTGCTGTGCTATTCAGTCATACACTCTTATTTAATATAGTATAATATAGTAATTTCACAAAACTGATCCGGTAAGTCAGATAGACTTGATGGTAGACTTGAAGTAGAATATATGAAGACAGTATAGCCAGACTGCATAGACCATAGTTCTTTTACAAGGCTGCTGACAAAAGCAATAGCTGGTGAGACAATGACCAGACTCCAGGGAGAGTATGTTGTGGTAGTAGTTCCTGGATGTGGGGCTTTTCAGAGAAGAAAACAGTTGTTGAGATATGGCATAGCCCATGATCAGAATAGAACTGCCAGTATTAGGAGTCAGACCGTATTTGTGAAGCAGAAATTACCCAGGAATCGGCACACATTTGAAGCATATAGGTCATTTATACAAGAGTTGCGACAAAGAGGTCGGTATACTTCTCTTTTAGAGTTCGTCTCCACATCCGCGCTTAGCCGATGCAACATCACTCGTCGACCTCAAAGATTGAGGCTTGAGTCTGACGTTTCATTGTATGCGAACGGTGATTTCCCCGGGATAAGAGAGAAACACTCGCTTTTTATTACGCCTTGTAATGTCGGAACGTTGAACACCGTTTACTCCTAGAGTGTGATATCAAACCCACCAAAATGTCGCCGTCGGAGAGCACAGAACCCGTCGTCTCCAAGAGAGCCCAAAATGCCACCGAGGCAGCAGCGAACAACCCCATGTGGGACGTGATGAGCGATGTGTGGTGCCCGTCCATGAACCCAAGGGGCTACGTCAACGTCGGGATAGCAGAGAACACGCTCATGCACGACACGCTCCTCAGCTTCCTGAACAAGAAACTCGAGCTACCGTCCAAGTACCTCACCTACAACGACGGAGGCGGCGGCTCTTTACGCCTGAGACAAGCCATGTCCCGATTCCTCAACCGGCACCTCCAGCCCGCCATCCCACTCGACGCCAGCCATCTCATCATCACCAACGGCGTTTCGTCCGCCATCGAGCATGTCTCCTGGGCGTTCGCCGATCCGGGGGAGGGGATTTTGCTCGGGAAGCCGTTCTACGGCACCTTTATCCCGGATATGTCCCTTCGGCCTGGCTCGGAAGTAGTGGGGGTTGATTTCGGTGACTGCGATCCGTTCAGCGGGGAGGCGGTGTCCAAGTATGAGCAGGCGCTGCTGGACTTTCAGCTGAAGACAGAGAAAAAGGTTAAGGCGCTTATGCTATGCCACCCGCACAACCCTCTTGGGCGCTGCTACCCGCGCGAGGTGGTCGTTCAACTAATGCGGTTGTGTGAGAAGTACAAGGTGCATTTTATCAGTGATGAGATATATGCGCTGTCTGTCTGGGAGAACACGGTGGATCAGGCGCCTCCACCAGTCCAGTTTGAGTCTGCGTTATCCATCGATCTGGTAGGCATTATTGACCCCCGACTCGTGCATGTGCTCTGGGGGTTGAGCAAAGACTTTGGCGCGAATGGCATGCGGCTCGGAACCATCATCTCCCAGGCAAACGGTCATCTCCACGAGGCACTGAAGGGAGTCTCACTTTATTCCTACTCATCTGGAATATCCGACCACCTAGCCTCTTTACTGTTAGAGGATGACAACTTTACAGACCAGTATATCCGACAGAACCAGAAGAAATTAGCAGAGTGCTACGCATACACGGTTCAGTGTCTACGAAAGCACAGCATTGAATACGCACCCGGGTGCAACGCAGCCTTTTTTCTGTGGGTGGATTTAGGAAAGAAATACCGCGAGTTGCATCCAGACGTGAAGATCGAACAAGTTGACGACCGTGTTATACAGTCCCTGCTGCAGAAGAAGGTGTTTCTAGCGAGCGGGACGCTTTTTGGGTCGGAGCGCCCCGGATGGTTTCGCATTGTGTTTTCTCAGCCGCAAGAGTACCTGGATGAGGCTTTGAAGAGGATGGTAGAGGCCTTGGAATAGAGTGTGCGGGGCGGTGCAGAGAGCAAATGAGATGAAGATATCACAGTCTATGGCTAATGGTATTCCGAGAAATATGCAGATGCAAATATTGTATATTATGTCTATAAAGTAAATACAGACACCCCATGCAACCGACCAACACAAGCGCCTTTTTGATCTGTTGTCCAACCAGAAACAGAGATTATCCACGAGCCCATAAATCATATGCAAACACAGCTCTTCAGGCCCTTACTAAAGGGACAAAGACGCAACCAATAGGTATCAAAACTATGTATTAGAATTTAAACAGTAGAATGTATGCAGCCTCAAAAGTAGAGATTTTGAGGGGGGGGAAAGAAGGCTATACATCAGCCTCGGGCTTGGACTGGCCCTTGCGCTCGGCCTCATCCTTAAGGAGTTCCTGGCGCGCACGCTCTTGCTCGGCGAGACCGGTCTTCTGGAAGGTATGCGAGCGGCTCAGGACCTTGGCGCGGATAAACAGCGAGAGGATAAATCCGAGGCCTGCCATGCAGGTATAGAAGATCCACATGCGGTTGAGGGCGTAGGTGAAGGCCTCGAGGACGACGGCACGCTGGGAAGGTTCCAATTTCTCGATGAGAGACTTGGAGGAGCCGGCAAAGGAAGACGAGATGATGGCGGTGCGCTGGGGCCCGATGGCGGCGATCAATTTGCCGCCCTGTTGGCTCATCACGTTCTGGTAGATGACCGTGCCCAGGACGACGGAGATGGAGGTGGAGAGCTGGCGGATGAAGCCGAATGTGGCTGTTCCGGTAGCCATGTCGGCTGGGCGGATGTTGGCTTGGAAAGCCACGAGAGGAGCCTGGAAGTTGGGACCGACGCCAACTCCAGCGATGAGCTGGTAGATGATGATGCGGGGCCAGGAAGCGTAGGGCTTGAGGTCGATGAACAGACCGTAGCCGAGAGTCATGAAGAAGAGACCCGCTTGGATCATTTCGCGGTAGCGGCCCGTCTTCTTCATCGCAATACCTGTTACGGCTGAGACGGCTGACAGAGAGAGAACCATGGGTAGGACGTAGACACCGCTCATGATTGGGCTGGCCAGAAGAACCGTCTGGAAGTAGAGAGGGAGATAGTAGGCTCCGGCAATAAAGGTGAATCCGTGGCAGAAGGTGATCATGAGAATGAGCACATTATACCAGTTGTTGAAGAGGCGTGGCGGGATGATGGGGTATTTGGCCAGCTTCCACTCCGACAGCATTGCCAGCACCCAGACGACAACGCCGAAGATGATGAGGCAGATCACCGTGGCCGAGGCCCAGGGATAGTCGACACCGCCGAACTCCATTCCAAAGAGGAACATGATAGTACCGCCGATGATCAAGACAGTGCCGGTCCAGTCGATGCTGCGCAGGCCGGCCAGCAACGGTGTCTTGTCCGAGTCGATCTTGAGGAACAAGGTCAGGATGACGAAGGAGACTCCCCCAATGGGCACTTGATATTTATGTTAGTGTCGGAATCAAAAGAAAACAATATGAGACCTACAGTTTAGGTAAAAACACCATCTCCAGGTCACATCGGTAGTAAAAGCACCGCCGACAATGGGTCCCAGAGCACCGGCAATGGCCCAAGTAGCGCCGAATAGACCGAAATACATTGGACGTTCTCTGAATGAGGTAGTCAGCACCGTTCAAAAGTCGTGTTGCTTGTGTTCCGACTCACCTCATGCTGAACATATCAGAGACACTGATGTTCGCCAGGACAATGATGCCTCCGCCACCAATACCTTGGATTGCTCGGCCCGCGATAATCATAGGCATGTTCTTCGCCAAGGCACAGACCAAGCTGCCGATCAGGAACAAGAAGTTGGCCAGCAAGATAATCGGCTTCCGGCCCCAGATATCACTGATCTTGCCCCATAGTGGGATACAGGCGGCGTTGGCGAGTAGGTACGACGAGGCGATCCATGAGTAGCCGCTTTCCGAGGCGTTGAAGGAGGATGCGATGGTTGGCAGGGCCGTCGAAACAATCGTCTGTTTAAAACAGTCGGATTAGCACATGAAGCCTCTGACGAGAGAATCGGATACAAGAAAAAAACATACCATATCCAAGGCTGCCAAAAACAAAACCAGCTGGAATGCGACACGGAAAGGTTAGCGCGATTGGTTTCGGATGCGACAAGGCGAATTCTTACACAGAGAGCCGCCATGACGACTGCGACCTTCTTCTTGCCCATTTTCGCGGCCTGTGACGGCGTGCGATCCAGGGGTGCTCCTTCAGTTGCGTTTTCTTGTGCCTTTTCCTCCACCGTAGGTTGGACTGGCTCATCAGCCTCTGGCGCATCAGTCTCTGGCGCATCGGCTTCCGGTGCCGGAGTCGGCGCGTCGACGGGCGACTTTTCGTTGTCTTGATCGGTCACGACGGTGTCGCCACTGGCGCCATCGTGGCTCAGGCGCTCGACAGACATGGCGTCGAAGGGAGAAGGTGTGGTGGTTGGGTGTCGCGAAAGAGGAGAAAGAGAAACCGGAAAAGTGATCGGGGGAGAAAAAAGAGTGGGGGGGCGAACCTATGATCCCGACGTGTGCCTGGTATGGACTCTGTGATGATTATTATGCTGGCACCGATCGATCGATTTTAAATAATCAGTGTGCTTGCTGAGACGAAGTGCAAGGCCCGATGACCAGGTTTTTAAAGAACAAAATCAAAAGTAGGAAGCGTTAGTGTCGGAGCGCTGGACACTCGGGCTTTCACTAGTCGGGGATAACGGCCGCCGACTGTTAGACCCATCGATCCAGCCATGCACTCAACTCCTGAACTAGACCCCCTTTCTGCGCAAAAATGAACAGGTCCAATCATAAGCAGTCCACGCAAGGGTCCACTCTCCGTCGGTATTTCTCCCATCGAAAGATACAGTCTGTTGTTGACCGCCACTGGACCTGGAAGGTCGGATGTTCGGAGTTCCGACATCGTGATATGTGGGGGCGCCGTCGTTTAAAGTGAGTCAGATAGATTTGGTGTGTCATGGATGTTATAGAGTTGCCTAATCAGATGGAAATGCGTGCGAGCAGGGCATTGGTCGGTTTGTGAATACTAGTAGTGAGCCTGATCGGATATCACCCATAGGCGGAATTCTTTCTATGGTACCCGGAGTCGAATCTACTCTTCTCGCGAGGCCGAGAGTGTTATGCGCAAGCTGGAACTACTAGATACGGATGCCATAGTCTGGCTTGTAATGGAACAGTATTTTATTATAATTTGCATTGCGAGTATATGTACTTGGCAGTAGGGCTGACCGAGATATTTACACATGCCTCACTTCTGGCGAGGTCATCTGAAAGCTTTCCAACTTGCTATTTGTCAATTGATCCGGGAGAATGTAATTGGGAGCCTGATTCTGGTCGTTGGGGAGTTGTTGTCTTATCGTGATCATCCAAGGCTCGCCGTAGGGTAATCTAGTTGGATGGAGTAGAATCGGGAAAGGAATAGGCATAGTAGAACAATGGCAACGCCGGGATGAACCTCATTAGCTTCAAATTGTGCGGCTTTTTCGACTAACTCTATGATAGGAAACCGGCTGGGTAGTGAGTGCATGGGGTATAATATGAAGCAGAACAAAAACAAAGAATACTGAGCCGCGGCATGCATTAATCCTGAAGCTGGAGAATCTCTGCTCGATGGTCAGCATCTGCATACACGGGGCATCAATCGTGGGCTACTTACCGGTCAAGAACTCCTCGAAGCTGACGGTGATGTACCCGTCGCGATCATCATCGTAGCGCTTAAACACATCCGTCATGCGCTTGAGACTAATACATGCCTGCACGAAGAGATCGAAGCTCATGCCATCCAGATGGGGGCTCTTCGGCGGACCAATCTGGCGGGTCTTGCTCTCAAACGCCTTGAAGAGGACGGAGATGAACGGCGGGCTGAGCCGGTACCCGAAGGCGACCAGCGCATTCTCAAACTCGCGCAGATTGATGCGCCCGCTGCGGTCGTCGTCAAAGCGATCGAACAGCTCGCGCCACGCCGCGAGGTACCGCCACAGCGAGACGAACTCGTCGAAGTTGATCTTCCCGATGCCGTCGCGGTCGAACATGCGGATCATCATCTTGACCGTCCGCGGGTGGAACGACGTGTAGTCGCCATTCACGAGGGCGGAGCCCAGCTCGGCTTCGGTCAGAACGCCCGAGTGCGAGGAATTGGCGGCGCGGAAGAGTGGGAAGAGCTGTTGCGGGTCGTCGGTAGGCACGGAGAGCGGTGGTGGGTTGGTTGTGGTTGGCGGGCGCGATGCGGGCGGCGGGCGTTCGCGCGAGGGGTGAGGGGGAGGAGGGCCGAAGCCATAGTTCTGCGGTGGCGGTGAGGGATACAATGGATGTGGTGGGTGTGCTTGTGCTCCTCCTGGCGAAGTGTAATTGACGGCTGGAGGACGTGCATTGTACGAGGGTTGGAGGGGTGATGGTGCCGGAGCTTGTTGGTGGTAGGCTTGCGGCGGCGGGGCACTGGAGACGGGGACGCGAGGAGGAACGGGGGATTTCTGGGGAGGAGGACGAGTGGGAAGAGGTTTCTGGTTGGAAGTGCCGGGGCCGGACACATGCATTTTCCCCATCATCTGCGCGACCTGAGAGGAGAATGAGCAAGGAGGAACATTTGAAGCTTTTAGGCAGAAGCAATTCAGACCTGCTCGGGTTCGGCGTGCCTGGGGCAGACGTTAGCGACCGTTGCAAATCAGTCTCCAGCTCACTACTTACGCTGGCAGCGCGTCCGGATTGTAGGATTTGTTGTAGGCCATGGCGTGCAGGGGGTGCAAGGGGGAGGAGAGCCTCGCCCAAGTGAGTGAAGAAAAAAAGAAAGGAGGGCAGGTTCGTGCCGACCAAGTGGAGCCGTGGGGCAGATAATTGTAGTTGAGCGCTGAGTGGTAGGTAAACAGTGAGTACAGTGGGAGGTGAGAAAGAGGTAGGAGAAGAGGAAGAGGAAGAGGAAGAACCGAGCGAGCAAGGCAGGTAAGAGCTCAGCCCTACCGTGTTCGTGTTCGTGGCCCCCAAAGCAGATCCATCCATGCTGTCATGGATCAAGGTACGGTTATTTTTAGAGTGGGTCGATTATTATTGTCTACAACTGCACAATACTTCTGACCTCCGGCGCCTGTGCCTCCAACACCTCCAGAATCTCCGTCCAAGCCTTGTCCTGGAACTGCTTGCCTTCCGATCCAGTCGTCAAGGCGGTAGATTCGCTGCATGCACGGTCAGCACATGGATTACGGTGTCAGCAGTCACGAGAAAAGCTTACTCGAGATACCCATCACTTCGCCAGCATTTCCCCTGCGATTCCACACCCTGGACCGTAGCACTGACCAAGGACCGGCTGCCCTGCTCGGTCGTCCGAGCAAAGAGCTTATACACAAGCCACACGAGCCATCGTTCGTAGAACCGGTTATATTGCCGCCCCAGCGCCGACACGCATAATCCAGGGCTGACGGAATTGACAATAACGGGCAGCGTACCGTCATCCCGTCGGACTATTTGAGCAATGTTCTTCACCACATACTCCAACAGCAGCTTCGAAAGACCATATTGCTTGGGGCCCTTGAAATGGCTCGCGTCGTTCACATATTCAAGCAATGGACCGTCCGTCCGCAGACTCTCCGCCTTGACCCGGACAAACTGCTGGCTCGACACGAGACTAAGATGAGTTGGCTCCGACGCGGTAGAGCTCTCTCGAAGCTTAGGCAAAAGAAGCAATGCGAGCAGCGAGGTGGACAGAGTATTAACCTGCACCGTCTCTTCCCACTCCTCGCCCGATCTGGCGTAGTTCCTATTCCACAAGCCCGCATTCAGAAGCGCCACATCCAGTCGCGGCAGCTCGGTGTTGACGCGGCCCGCGAAGCTCTTGACGCTTTGGAAACTGCTCATTTCAAGCTCCCAAACCTGAACAGCACCCGGTCGGTCGGTTCGTGTTTCCAGCTCGGTTTTGACTCGGTTGCCCCGCTCCAGACTGCGGCTTCCGATAATCAGGGAGTCTACCCCCAGGTTGAGGAATTTGATGGCGGCCTCGTAGCCCAGCCCGGACGTGGCGCCGGTTAGGAGCACGGTTTTGCCGGCGAAGGAGATGCCGCGCGGGTCCGTGGGTGCGCTGTATTGCATTTTGAGAAGGCGAAGGAGACTGCCCATTTTAGAGGCTGGTTGATGTGTTGAGGGTCGAGTTTTTGATGAGCTTTGAGTGCCGAGAACATTACCAATCTGGGAAGTCACCTGATTGTCATGCCCATAGTCAATTGCGCATATATTTTGGACGGTTGGGTATTATTTGAGTGTATAATTTATTCAATACCTTGTATTATTCGCGCGGCTGAGTGTTTGTGGCCTTTTCGGGGAAATATATATCTCCACCTGAGTCGATAACCACCACTCACATTTTGTCCTTTAAATAACTCTCGAACCTAGATGGCGTATTATTGTTTGCATGTCCCCAGTAGAGTCCAAACACGAAATCCCAAGCACTTGCAAGACTTTCCTCCAAGAGAAAGCTCTGCCTTTACTTATAGATCCCATCTCCAAATTAATCAGCAATCACATGACGCCATCTGAAGAAACAGGCGGTCTCCCGTCTTGTCCAAAGTAGACAATACCACGATCCATTGGTCTCACAGAATGACAGAGCAGAGTATAAGTTTAATGCACCCGGAAGGCCGAACATGGAGGAATCATTTCCCGAAAGGCGATCTCTGGGTCTTCGGGTACGGGTGAGTGGATTGCTGAGATGCGGCTAGGGATCGATCGAGTTGGCTAATACTTCTTCAAGGAGTCTAATCTGGAAGCCACCGCCACATTACGGTAGGTCAAGCTCCGTACTTTTTTTCCTGGAGGGTTGAGATATGCATACTGCGCTGGCGGTCTCTCCTGGGGGGTTTTGTTCCCGCTAACAATCGGGTCTTTGGATATAGACCAGCGTGTTCCAGGGTATATCAACGGCTATGTGCGACGGTTCTGGCAGGTATGTAACATTGTCGTCTAAAGGTCCATCATGCATGGATTGCAGAAATGAAGAACTGATGCTGACTGGAAGTCAAGGCTAGGTATGTTGGCGCGAGGTTTGCATATATGCAAATATAAGCTCACAGGAGATAGCACCGATCATCGCGGCACCCCCGAAAAACCCGGGCGCGTAGTGACGGTCATTGAACGGAGCTTCTGGGAGACATTAGATGACCCGGTATGCGATATATCCAGCTACACAAGCCGACTTGACAATTCACCCAAAGAACCCCAATCTAACCTTTGACCAACAGCTAGCCCACCTAGAATCAGAGTCCGCTTCCACAGGTAAAGTCTGGGGCGCGGCATACCACATCCCCGCCAGCCACGCGGAAGAAGTGCACGACTACCTAGACGAGCGCGAGATCGACGGGTACAGTGCGCACTACACGCCCTTCCACGCTGTGTCAGGCGTATCCACCACAACAGCATCCAGGGTCCCCGTTGTGGACGACAAGACTGTGAACCATGATCCGAGCTTATCGCCGATCATTTGCATGGTTTACATTGGACAGCCGACGAACCCGCAATTCCTGCGCGACCCGGCCCGTCGCGAGCCGCAGGATGTGGCGACGGTGATAAGTGCAGGACATGGGCTGAGTGGCAAGAATACAGAGTATCTGTATCTGTTGGAGAAGGCGCTTGAGGGGCTGGGGCTGGGTACTGCGGATGTGCATGTTGCTGATCTTGTCCGGCGGGTTAAAGCTATTGAGGCTGGGGGGCTGGCTGAGGAGGAAGAGAAGGAGGCTGAGAGCGATGTGAAGCGGTATTTGGATACTGCAGCAAGGACGGTGGGGCATGAGGGGGAGAAGGATCGGGGGATGATTGAGTAATGTTGAGGCCCTTCCGAGTGCATATACATAGATCCATGAATAGAGTAGTAAATGGACTGGACAGGAAGTAGAAGCCCACTGTTTGGAGAAGCTTTTCTGCAGAAAGAGAAGAGACATTCTGTAAGATGAGACGATAAAAAGAAGAACGATGAATTCACGAATGCCAATATGCATCTGATTCTTCATATCAAGCACATAAGAAAGAAAGAGAAAGATAGAAAAAGAAAAACCCGATCCCAGCACCCAGTATCACCCAGTATCCCAGATTTGCAGTGCATCAAGTCCCATTTCCATCATGAATCGTCACTTCTTTTTGCAGAGAGTAGCCAAAGAGAACAGTACGGAAAAAACAGACGTCAAGGGGGGTATTTGGAGCACACATGAACCTTAGTTGCCCTCAGCCGGGCCAGGGCCACCACCGCTGTTGTTGCGCCAGCCTGCTAAGAGCCATTAGTACCTGAAAGACTGAAAACCCCGGAAAGAGAAACATACCACCAGAACCTCCGAAGCCAGCGTTAGCACCGCCACCTGCAAGACAGTTTAGGTTAGTTGAGCCGAGACGTCTACATATGCAAGAGGCCTCACCATAGCCACCACCGTAACCACCACCGCCGCCACCGCCATATCCGCCAGCACCACCGCCGCCGTAGCTGTTCTGGTTGTTGTAGCCGCCATATCCGCCAGGACCGCCGCGGTTGTATCCGCCACGGTTGTCGCCACCACCTCCAAAGCCGCCGCCGTTATTCTGGTAACCACCGCCAGGCTGGGTGTTGTATCCACCACGACCCTGGAAGCCGCCCTCGTTGCGGTTGGGACGGTCAAACGCCTTGTCGACGCGAATCACACGGCCATCGAACCTGCGACAGCGATATTAGGACACCGATGGGTTTCATGTCCAGAAGCTTGCTTACTCTTGGTTGTTCATCGCATTCATGGCCGCATCGGCCTCTTCATCCGTCGCGAAGCGAACAAAGCCAAAGCCACGGCTGCGCAGGGTGGCGCGGTCCTTGACGACAATCTGGAGTAAGGCGGAGTCAGATCCGGGTACACAAACAAGATAGAACCACGGTTGGTGGGTATGTGGGGAACACGGACAGCTTCCTGGATCTCGCCGAACTGCTGGAATCCGTCGCGCAGGGTGTCATCGTTGGTGTGCCAGGACAGGCCGCTGCAGGTGTTGACGGTCGTGTCAGTGGGCTCATTCTGCGGCAGGGAGAATTTGAAGGAGGCGATGGGAGGGACTTACTGGACGAAAAGTTTGGACATGGTGGGGGGGTAGATGGGAGATAGACGGGAGTTGATAGAGAGAAGAGGAAGCAGTGTCTGAAGAGGAGAAGTGTGTGAGTGAGTGATGAGAAGAGGAAATTCAGGCAGTGTGCAAAAGGGACAGTCAGCAGTGTACCCTGTCCCCCCGGTCCTTAGGGTTTGTACGATCAGGCGGTACCGGTGTGAATGAGCTTACCTAGTTTTGACGTGAGCGTGGAGTTGAGTAAGACGGGAAAAAAAAAAGAAGCCAGGTGGGGAGGGGAAATGCAGAGGTAACTAACGAACTAACCAACTCTGATGGTCAAGAGCCGCTAGTGACGACTCTTCGCTTGTCCCTGGTTCTTCTACTTAGGCGAGCGGATTTCACCCTCATCGTGACCCTCCTTATCTCAAGGACTCGACGGTCAACAAACCAAATCGAGGGGCAGGCCCACATGGTCCGTGATGGATTAGCGGTAGTTTATTGGACATTAACGCTGTATCTATACATCATGTCGACTTCCATGCTGGGACAGTCGTCCTTTCCTCTGAATAATTATGTTCTTCTTTCGCCCATGCTTGTGCTCGTCTCTTCTACCCTCCACCCACCATGAACCCGATCAACCAACATCCGATCCACGCCTGGCTGTCAAACGTGCAGGAGGGTGAGCCAGGTAGGTCATTCAACATGCCGACCAGTGGAAATCCTCTGACCACCATCAGTGGACCACTGGCCACCATCTCCGAGTCCAGGCATTGCTCACCAAGAACCGTGCAACATGCTCACCACTCCATACAGGAGGCGCCCGCGTAGTGCGCAGCGTGGTTCCGATAGTCATGCTCGAGTTTGCAAGTCTTCGATTCCTCGGGGAGGCGAAGACACAGACAAGGCTCGAGGGCAGGACTACGGACGAAAGCCCAGGCACAAAACCCGGGAAGACCGGTACGAGTATAAAGCTCCCACCTCGGCAGCAAAACGTGCATTGGAGACCGAGAGACCCAGAACGAAACGACAGCGACGGGGCAGAAAACACACCCTGAACGAGGATTTTCAAGCGGCCAACGTCGTTCATTCGCGGCTGACGGTGAGCACCAGCATGATTCTTGCTTCCGGACTCTAATCTTTGCACAGCTCCATCAAATTCCGAAATTGGGATTTTTCAACAAGGCAAAGACATCGTCACCGGTCAAACCTAGGCCAGGTGAGTCCGCAATCTCCGTCTGTGATGACTGGTACTCATTTCATGTTGTAGCCCGGGGTGCAATGATGTTTTCCGAGACGAATTTCCTGGCACGAAGGAAAGACCATGGGACGAAACCAACGCCTTCTGTCATCCAGAGCAGTTCGAAGAAAAAGAAGGGGAAGAAAACCCACCTCCTTCAGGATCTGGTTGAATACAACTCCTCGACCCCCAACAACAGCAAAAGGGAAGCAGAACCGCCATTGAGTCGCTGGTGGCCTGCTGTAGACGAGCCGCGACCACTAGCTGATGATTTTCACCAGCAACTTTCAACGAATCCTAATCGAGATGGAGTTCGGATCTTTGAGTCTGTCTCTTCGCATATCCCCCCACGGGCGAAGCAGGAGAAGGAAGAAGGAAAAGCCATTCAGGATGCCTGTTCCGGCAATCTCTGCATCTGGTCGGATAGTGCGCCGCACAGCACCCAAGGCTACGCATTGCAGGAGCATCTGCTTAATACTCTGCACCATGGTCTGGACTTCGGTGTTAAAGAGCAAAGCCCACTACCGCATGCTTCAAGAGAGTACCTGGATCTCGAGCACCTGAAGGTGATAATGGAAGAGAGACAAAGGCACTGGAAGCCATCTTCTAGCAAAGATGGTCCAAGTGCCAGAAGAGACTCGATGGTTCCAAGGAAACGCAGGCTTTCCTCCATCTGTTTCCATGAGACTGTTTCGACTCGGGCGTTCTGCACCGAGCAAAATGACCAAACCAAGGTCAATCCTGGCGAAGCTTCAGGAGCAGACCAGACTGATTATATCGAGCCTCCGCAAATTCGCGGCGTAGAGGGAGAGATCGAAGACCTTCAATCGCCTTCATTTCCCCGTTTTTCCAACCCGACATTGGGACCAGAGTTCGCTGAACTCATTCTCAATAATGATGAAGAAGCGTTCTGGCATACTCTCGACATGGCCTACTCAATGGTGAACTCAGAGCACACTGGCCAAGGGGTTTCTCGCCGCGACTTCGGTGATACTTTGTCTCAGGCCCAAGACTTAACGAGATATGACTCCCCAGAAGTAGCGCTTCTTGGCTTGCTTGACGCACCACAAACTGAGCAGATGGCCACCATGACCTTGGGTTATTCTTCGCTGCTTTCCCCCACTGCTCGAGTCGAATATGTCATTGAACCATATGAAGTGAACCGTCTTCACGGGAAAGCGCCATTAAATCATAAAGGACATGAAGAGACAGCTCGGGTACCGCGGCTAAACAGGCCGTATCATCCAGATGCTTTTGCGACGGCCCCACACGTGGAGCTGGAGGTGGTGTTAAGAACGTCGTGGGTATGGCGAAGAAACCAACTATACTGACTCGGGCTTCTTTTTGTTGAGACTGGAAACTTTTGGTGTTCAGAGATTATCCTTTTTGTCCGTGCATCACCACCAATATTATTCAGGGTGCGTCGATCAATAGTTATGGGCAACATAGTTAATTCTTGGATTGAACTTGAGCCAGTTCCAGTCTTGCTACTAGATGACCAACAAACGAATTGTTGCAAAGCAACAGACCACCCGCTCTCTACGGAATTCGGGGAAAGCTCTTGATTCGTGAATTGCGAACGCTCGAACGCATTTCCTATCTAGGACTAGCGCCAACATTCCCGCTGTTGACAGTGGCTGCTAGCCTGATTAGGGCTAAGATCGGCGAGTTTGGCGTCGCTCTAGCCTAACGGCTTTTATGAGAAAAGAGTCCGTGGGACTTTCGAAGTCATAAGATAAGAAGGAATTGTTCAGTTTACGGAGTAGAGATGGGTTTTATATTTGGGGACGGGGGAATGCTGGACAATTCCGGAATATCTGATACTTCCACGTGCATCCATCGAAGGCATCACTGATGTCCTACTTGCTGGAAGTAGAATCAGCGATTCAGGAGGTGGGGTAAGATGCTTTTTTCATTTCGCTACTACTCCGTTCTGGGCAATAGCTGGATTCAATTGGAGAATAAATTGGGCGCCGCAAGGCCTGAGAGGATTCCGAATAATCTTACATGTTTACAAGTACCGGTCCACTGCATAATATAAGGCCCCCCCCCAATCCTCCACTCCTACAAGTTTACAAGTACCGGTTCACTGCATAATATAAGGCCCCCCCCTCCTCTCACCCCTCTCCATCCTTCTCCCCGAGCACAGTTCCTCAATTCCCTGACCAAAACATGTCGACCGAAAAACCCACCATCGTCCTCATCCCCGGCGCCTGGCACGCGGGCAGCACCTACGAGCCCGTCGCAGCCCTTCTCCGCGAACAGGGCTACCCTGCCGTAACATTGACCCTCCTCTCCGCCGGCGGCCCGCCTTCAACAACCCTCGCCGATGACGCGAAGCACATCCGCAAAACCCTAGAGCCCCTCATCGAGCAGGGCAAGGAGGTCGTCCTAGCCCTGCATTCGTATAGCGGTATCCCCGGCTCGGAGTGCGTTAAGGGCCTCACTCGCAAGGAGCTCGAGGCGCAGGAGAAGAAAGGCGGGATTGTTTCGATGGTGTTTGTAGCGGCTTTCCTCCTCCCGGCGGGGCAATCCATTGATTCCTTTTTGCCTGGTGGAGCGGGGACGGTTGTCAGAGTTGAGGTGAGTGTGTCGGTCTGGCAAGATGATTTTATCATTCTTGCACTGCCTTGTTCGTTGTCCCGGGGGATGCTAATTCCGCGTTTTATTATTGTTCAGGAGGATAATAAATGCCACATGACCAACCCTGCTGAACGATTCTATAATGATCTCGATGAGGAAACAACGAACAAATACCTCGCGAAACTGATGCACCACGCCTGGCCCACCATGCAGGACCCGCTGACCTACGAGGGGTATCGCGATGTCCCGACTACATATCTGCTCTGCGAGAAGGACGGCGCGATTCCGTTTGAGGCGCAGAAGTTCATGGCTTCGTACCCCGGTGAGGGTGTGGTGAAGGTGCACACTTGTGCTGCGGGCCACTCGCCGATGCTGAGTATGCCCCAGCTTGTGGCGGATGTGGTTCATGGAGCGGCCAGTGCGGTGGCTGTTGCTGCATAGTTTGGAGGCTTGTCGGACATTGATGGGAAATGGTTTATCAGATAAGCGAAGCGGGGTTTCTTGCCCTCAACGAGCCATTATATATACTTGGTATGCTTGAATCGTAAGCTGTGGCGATGTATAGCCAGGTACCCGCGCACGAGCCGCTGCTGCGTATTATGTACCTGTTGTACTATGGCGGAGCTTGGCAACTGTCTCTCCATTTTTCTGGCGTCATCTATCTGCTGTAGAGATGATGGGAAATTTGGGATATGTGACTGAACTTGGAGCATTTAGGGATCCTAGTTACAATGTTTGATCCGCCAGCAGTTGACTCGAGCCTCGTTTGTCGACAAAGTAGCTACCCGCCGTGGCTGGAAGGCCGAGCGTCTATGTAGGCGCATGCGCTAAGTCTTTGCTATGATTGGCTAGCCGACATTCTTCTTTTGCTCCATGTTTCTGTCGTCCTATACGCTACGAACTGGGTATTGACGCTTTAGGGTCAGCTTTACAACGAGTGAGTGTGGCTTGTTTTGTTGCGTAAAGTCAAATCCCAGTCGATTGTGACATGTATCAAGGTTTTGTCAGGTTAGACATGCATTATTAATCTTTTAATGAGTTGCACGAAGCCAATGTATTGGCCTAAAACGTAGAAGGGGGAGGGAACGACTGCTCATCCGCAGAGTTTTACTATAAAAGGTCTCGCCTCGGTTAACATTGTAACAAATTCATTGGGTATATAACAGCTATTTTCGATGTCAAAGCGTGCGAGGGCACGGGCAATGTCATGTCCGAGTCTATGTCAATTTTGGGCGGATCTAAATGGTTGATATTGCCAACAGTCAAAAGCCATCTCCTGGTGAGGGCAAAAGTCTCATGTTCATGTTCCGTGTTCCTTCTTTTATGAGGACCGTGATGAGTGGTCCGGAAAAACCCGCTCACAGAATGATGGGCCTCGGTAGCAAACGGAGTCTAGAAACCAAAGCTCTTGATGTGGTATCTTATCGACCCATAGTGGCCTGCCAGGAAAGGTAGCGGTCAAGAGTGTCCTTTTCATGCTAGACCCCTATCATAGAGTGGCAGCAGCTTCAATGACCCCAGCACCTCTGAAGGCCCCGGGGCTTCTCATGACCACTTCAACGGGGTATTTCCATTCCATGTACCTCGTCCAACCTGAGACCGAATCGGCTGATTAGTATGCGAGACGAAAAAGAGTGTGACCAGGATGACCTACCCCAATATGCACACCGTCGCCCAAGGTACTTCCCCACGAAAGGTACCAGGACCATAGTCAACAGTAACTCCAATTGATCCAGGCTTTCTCTCCACTCGGCCTCCGCATCGGAGAAATCATCGGACAGGGTATCCAAATCTGACTCAGTTGTTGCTTCTGAAGGCAGGGAGGCCACATCGTCATCGGAGGCGGACGAGTATGGGTTTTGGGTGGAGGGGACCATGTAGGCCGACATCGAGAAGGAGGGATTCGAGGCGGCCGGAGAAGCGGACATAATGGGCGAGGCAAATCGGAGGACGGAGCAAAAAACGAGAGTGAGTCGAGCAGGGGCCTGCCTACTATATTGCAAATGGTCGAAGCATCTAGCTGATGGATGGCGTAGTGGGAGTTGTTGATGGCTGCTCGATTCCCGCGGATCCAGGCCCGGTCACCTGACAGCACATAACATAAGCCGATCTGGATGAGTCAAATGCTCACGTGATCATCCCGCGATAACAGCTCGTGATGAAAGTCCGGATTGTCTTTTGCCTCAGAGACTCATTTCAACTCGTCAATCTCCAGCAACTGCAAGCACGATCCGATCTCTTTCTCGTGAAGTGAATCGAACCCCTCTGCAGCCTTTCAGCATGGCGGACGCCGTACGTCACACCCTGGTTTCTTTTTTCACCGTCCCACATTTTCTTTGATTCTCAGCCCTCACATTTCCTGTCTACCCCTCGGTCATCACCCACGCTGGCCTCGCTAGTGAGGGCCTGGGAATATTGCCTCCTTTTTTTGCCAGTTGCAAACAACTCGATTTTTTATTTGATCATCCTCAACTAACCGTGGACCCTGGTACCGCCGTATAGGAAGTCGAGACGAAGCAGCGCAAGTCGGTTGCATTCAGTGAAGGCGGAGTCATCATGGATACCAACGGCCAAGTCTCAGACGCCCCCGGCGCTGAGAAGACCACCGGTATGTCACACCGACATGAAGTTTTGGTTGCTACCCCACTGACTGAGAGTCGCATTTCCACAGACCAGGACGTCGACGAGGTCACCGAGATGTTCAAGGGCCTGTCAAAAAAGAAGAAGACCAAGAAGGTCAAGGACACAGACGAGGGCGAGGAGGGTGCCACCGCCGACGGTGAATTCGACCCGAGCGCGATGAAGAAAAAGAAGAAGAAGGTCAAGAAGGTCGACGACTTCGAGGCTAAGCTGGCCGAGGCTGGTGTGGAGGAGGCCGGCGAGGAGCAGGTCGAGGAAGTGCCCGAGGGCGATCTCGAGGCCGGAACAGGCATTTGGGCACACGATGCCACACAGGTCATCCCATACTCGCTCCTGGTCTCGCGTTTCTTCTCCCTCATCCAGAGCCACCACCCCGATATGCTCGCCAGCGGCACCAAGTCGTACAAGATTCCCCCGCCCCAGTGTCTACGTGAAGGAAACCGTCGTACCATTTTCGCCAACATTGCCGATATCTGCAAGCGCATGAAGCGTTCCGACGACCACGTCATGCAGTTCCTGTTCGCTGAGTTGGGTACGAGCGGTAGTGTGGACGGTAGCCGACGTCTCGTCATCAAGGGACGATTCCAACAGAAGCAGATCGAAAACGTTCTGCGGCGGTATATCGGTATGTTTTTCACATCTCCTAAAAATACGAGTCTAACCAGAAATCCAGTTGAGTACGTCACCTGCAAGACTTGCCGCAGCCCCGATACCGAGTTGAACAAGGGTGAGAACCGTCTGTACTTCGTTACTTGCAACTCCTGCGGTTCGCGCCGTTCGGTCGCCGCCATCAAGACTGGTTTCCGTGGACAGGTCGGCCGCAGAAAGCGTACCGGTTAAGCGGGAGAGAGTTACTGGTCTGGGCAGTCATGCGAGAGAGCGGCTTGTTTTGTATCTCTTCTTTGTGGCGTGTCATTTACAGGAACTGTTTGCGGATGAAATTGGGCCTCGGCACTGTACGTTCTACCGCAAGAGGTTTGCGATGCGAAAATGATTGAAGGATAGAAATAGTCTGGCATGGATGGATCGATACCACTGCATCTGCTCTCAGTATTATTGTAGCTTTCGGCTTTGGTGTGTAGTTTTAGTTGCCGTTACTGAACCGTTACTAGTGATGCTATAATTCAGCTCGTTGCGAATAAACTACAGTATCCACCACTATTTCGAATCTCGACACCCAATCGCTCGGAACTTTTTGGCATTTACAAACTTTCATTCACTGGGATGCTAGAGCCAAAGATGAAGAGTGAAAAACACATTAGAAACCACCTCTCGATTGAGTAATGCTGTACCTAGTCTCTGCCTGATGGCATAAAGACCATAACGTATCAATCTGAATGCTCAGACCTGTTGAAACCATTGGATAGAGACAATATTCATTCCCTTGACGTGACTGGCTGGGTCGACCTGATCAGATCAGCCACTGGCGGTGCTGGCACCAATTGCTGCACCAAAAGCATTCAAGTTTCTGGTCTGAATGTACACAGTTCCCGGTCCGATAAATCTGCAAACAAGCCCTTCTTTAGAACCAAAAGCAGAGAAGATACCTCCGGAAGCGGCACGCTCCATTCTGTACTCCTTGCTAGTCCACGCGACTAGATGGCCATTATCAACAAAGTAATTCTCATCCTCAACAAGCTAAGCATAATAATCAATATCTCTTCTGGTATCTTGTCCAGAGCAGGGGAACTTACCTGTTTTTTGATAATTGCGCCGAAGCTTTGGGCCCAGACAAGCCCTTGTCCTTCTATCTTATACACAAACAAGCCTTCACCAGAAAAGACAGCTTGTGAGAGTTTTTGCCTGTGCAGCATCATCTTAATGCCGGATGTGGATGCCAGAAAGGACTCTTTTCCAAGGTACCAATCTCCGTTGTTGTTGTTGAAGTGCATGGGCATGATATCACCCAGGCCCGAAGGGGCAAGGAGGACCTCACCGGGTCCTGTGTAAATGGAATGGGCCATCTCGCTTCCTGCAATCCACTTCTTAAATTTCATGTCCCATTTGCCTCGCAGTGTCATTGTTGCTGACATTCCAATCATAACACCTGCAGCAACATTTCAGCACACAGACAAGAACTATTAGAGCAAGAATTATGCTCCCTCATAGAGCACGTCAGATATCGGATTTTGGTTCATACCTGGTTTCGCCTTGAGGGGGCATCCTATAGCCAATTGAATAGTAAGGAGAGAGTTTGTGTCCCGATGGCTGACTCTGTAGCTTCCTCCATTGAACGTTCCAACATCATCTGCATTAGGGGTGGCTTGGGCTCCAGTGAATTTCCCATTTGCCGGCGCTCCGCCGGGGAACTGTTGCATTTGTCCCACTGGAGGAGGGGATTGGGAGGACATTGACAGCTGTGACAACGAAGGGGCTTTGGGGTGCCAACTATTTGTTTTCGGCTGGGAAAACGTTTGATCTGGCGGGGGACTTGTTGATGGCGCACCACTGGGGAAATTACTTCTTATTTCTGCTGAGGGAGGTGACTGGTCGAATGGTGCAGGTTTCTGAATGGAAGGGACATATTCGGGATATCCATCGTACTGGGGAGGGCCTGGCTGTTGCCGATTTTCAGATGATGGTGGTGGGCTTTTTGCTGGCGGACTGGAAGAAGGTGGACCAGGATAGTGAAATGTAGGGGGCCTGTACAGGAGTGATGACTTTTGAAATGCTGTAAAGAGTCAGTTGAAATGACATCCTTGCCGTGAAAGGACACTTTACATGTCACATCTGCCGGAGCTATCGAGATAAGTTAGTAAGAGGGTCTCATATTGGCAAACTTGAAGGATTGTCATACCAGAGCTCGGAGGCGGAGGATATTGCATCTGCGACATTATAGCTCAATTGAATGATACCAGATTTGCAGTCTAAACTTCGAATTAGATGGACAGTAAAGTTGGAAAGATTGCCCGTGAGACTCACTAGGTCTCTGCTAGAGCAGCCGCAACAATGAGCAACCAGACGCCGTTGTCTCTCAAAGTTATTCTAATTCTTTTCAACAATTTGCTAGAAGTGAAGCATCAGGGCAGAAGTTGGCAGAGAGAAGAGGAGTTGAGCAAGGACATTCTACTTAAAAAGCAAAATGACCAAATCTGCAGCTCCCCACTTGCTGTCTATTATTAGTTGGATTGGTTGTGGAGGGGATCCCCGACGCGATAGTCGAATTGTATTGGTAGAATAAGCCGGGTCACAAGTGACTACTGCACGGTCATCAACGCCGGCGCTTACAGGTCGCACATTGCACGATGTGATGGGCGGGCTTCATGCAACTACTGATTATAGGTTCTGATTGGTCTCTCCATCATGCTCCGACATTAGGGCCAAGCTAAAGCGGAAACCTTACTCATGTGTGTGGCGCGCTAAGACGAAGGAGAGGATCACCGTAATTAATCTCCTCCTGACGTGCCGGTCGCAACAGCTTGCTTTGATCACTAACGTTCGAGAGCTAAAAAAAAATAGCCCGGAAATTTTTGGTCTAGCTTCAAACCCCTAAAGGCTACAGCTAGTCTGAGGTCCAGCAAGCTATCAAGTGTAAACAAAGGGAGACTTGACAACTTCTATTTAGTGCATAAGCGTTAAGCTGTCTGCCCATCGGCTGTCTCTAGAATAGCAATCACTTCCATGTGATTGCCATTTCTAGCCAATTCCAGGGCAGTTAGCCCCTTGTTGTTTTGCAAATGGAATACAGCGCCCTTAGCTAGCAAGAAGCGAAGAATATTGGCATGCCCTCTGCCAGCTGCAATCATCACCGCATTCTCTCCCTCGTTGTCACAGGCATTGATGTTGGCTCCTTTCTCAAGAAGGAACTTGACCATCTGAAAATGGTCATCTTCAACGGCAGACAGTAATGGTGTTGCCCCGTCAGGCGCACAAGTTTCAATATTCGCACCGTAGGAGAGTAACATGTCCACAGCATCAAATTGGTTGTGCTGGCTTGCCCAGGCAAGTGCTGTCGATCCGAAGCTCTGTTGATACTCCAGGTCTGCTCCATAATCCAGAAGCACTTTAATCACATCCAAATGCCCGCTAGTTGCTGCAATGCTCAATGCTCGCAAGTTATGTGGGCCTTTGCGATTTGGGTCTTGCCCATTTTCCAAAAGGACTTGACATGCCTTTGCATAGCCGCCGTTCACAAGTTCATGGAATGCTGCAACTCCGTTATCGTTTTCCGTCTCCATGGCGGCATCATGCTGAAGAAGAACTTTAACTGCCCAGTCACAGCGACTTTTTGCCGCAGCGACAAATGCATTTTGAATTGTTGTTTTTGTTGCTGGCACTTTGTATTTAGCGGCAAAGTCCATCCATCGTACAAACATTAAATAGACAAGAAGAAAATATCCGTTGTTGACTGCCCATTCAAGCCCCAATTGGAGCTGAGAGGTATGGGCTGTGTATTCCTTAGCAGTTTTGGCAACGAAAACTGGCTCGGATTCTTCTGTATCCTCAAGGAGGCTTTTAGTCAAGTCCAAGCTCAATGCTCGTACTGCACGTGGGGTTTCTTCGGCCTTTATCTCTGGTTCCTTTGGATAACGCAAGGTTGGATGCACTCTCAGGGACTTAAGAACTGGTTGCAACCATTGTGCACTCTCGACATTCACAGACGCTTGCCATGTAATCCACCCCAGCTGTTCAGAGAAGGCATTCCACCAGTCGATCCGTGACTTGGATTCCATCCAATTTGCGGGTCTAACAACTACCCGCGATTTAAAGAAATCTGCTCTCATATCTGACGAGAGAAGCTTGCAAATCTGGCCGAACCCTTCTTTCTGGCCGGGCGTCATGACCTTTTGGGCATTTTCATCCATGCCTCCCAACATCTTTCGGTGGCAAAGGAACGCCAGCTTATAGACAGATTTCTCGAAATCGGATCCATCCGAACGATGGCAAAGCCAGGAGACAAGTGAGACTGCTGCTTGCCAATTCCCCTTTTCGACTAACTCTTCAGTGCGTTTGCGGACATTGGCCGAGTCCCCGGAAAGTCCTGGTAAGATGCCTCTGTTCTTCAATACAGGAATAATGCACAACAGCGCATCCTCTCTTGATCCAAGGTTGGAACTCTCAAAGCATCTCACCAGGTCCTCAAGACGACTGTTATATGCCAGGTAAGACCCTCGGGCCCCAGGGATAAGATCAACGTGTCCACCCAATTCTTTGAAAGTCTCGAAAGCCTTTTTGAGAAAATGGATGTAAATATCTTGGGCTGCCATTGTTTCAACGTCGTTGTCGGTTATGACAGCAAGAATATCCATGTCAACACATAATGTGCTCTGGGAAGAAAACGATTCCTGTGAATTCTCCGTAACAGGCTTTTCTGGATGGAACCCGAAAAGCTGCCGCGAAGAATTTATCAATTTCGAAGGGAGAAATCTTGCCTGTCTTTGTCGGAAAATCCACTTTTGGAAATACAAATCGGTCTCTTCCTCGCGTGCCTCGGCTTCGCTCAACCCCACGAGGCGAGTGAGTGTTGGTTGGCGCCATGCCGCTTTAGACTTCGTCAGAGACCATGTCCAGAGACCAAGTACGGCTTCGAGGTTCGCTTGCTTTATTCGCCACTTCCCTGTATCAGGAGAGCGCGATAATCTAAACGTATAAATTTCCGGAACAACATCTAAGGGCTTTTCGTCCAGTCTCTCACACTCCAGAGTTATTTTGAAGTCAAAACTTTTCTCCAGATTATTGGACCAAGTGGATAACAGGTCCATCGTTGCCTCAATAGTTCGTGCAAGATTGCGAGTCACCCGACGAATAGGGAGATCTTCCCATGCATCATTTATTCCATGGTGTGGGTTGGATGTGAGTTCCGCAAGTCTGATTCTGGTTCGTATCAATTTGCTGGCCACCGATGTGGTGGTTGTCCTCGGGGCATGGTTCTGGGGGAGCGGAGCGGAACGCAAATTGAAGGACTTGATTTCATCGACATGGAAAGCAAAACAATCCAATTCTTTTTGCTTTTCAGATATCAATTGGCGTTCGTGCTTTGGATTGTTGAGCTTGTTTTCTCCTGGTGTCATTCGCTCTGTTCGAAGACACGCTCGTATAACTGCCATAAAAAGCGTCGAACCTAGCTGAGCCAGGATGACCGACGCATGAAGCCCTCGCTGTCCAACAAATTGAAAGACAAACCCGATCAGGGTCAAGGTGAGGGTGACGTAAATCTTGGTATGTTGTTTACCGCGGGTTGAAATCCGGGTGGATTTGATGTATCTCATATTGTTGGTGAATGCTGAGTCTCTCTCTTTGTATGTAGCGAGAAATGCACCAAAGACTTGGTCTCCGACGTCTTGGCAGCCAGGCTGCAGCCAGTATATCTTGCTTGGGTGGTTCGGATAGAGATAGTATTGTTTGGAGGAGTGCTCAAGAATAAAAGCGCAGAAGAACATGCCAATAAAGAGAAAGGTAGTTCCAATGATGTACATTGGGAACGCATAGCTGTGGACCTTTTTCCCGTCCACCTTAAAGACAGATGGGTATGCAAAAACAGTCAATGCAGCATATGTCATGACACCTACATCGAAATTGTCAATATCACTATACACAAGCTCAGCTCCCACGTTCAACTGACCTAACTGCATCACTGTACCAACCCCGGCAGCGCAATAGAACCAAAACTGGCTCTTCCGCTTAATCCCCTTGTTCAAAGACAGATTCGGTATATCCAACTCAGGCATCCCTTTAATCTCATCTTCCTGGAGTTCGCCACCCTTGCAATACCACGCCTTTTTCAAGAGAGCCTCTCGCAGAGTTCCAATTTCAATCGACTTCTTCCCGGTCTTGGGGTCTGTCTGCTCCCAAGCGACGATCTCAACGATCTTGGGCCGGCCGAAAACTCGCGAGATACCCGCATCGTTGAATAGCTCACCAGTCGACTCAGAGACACATGGTAGAAGCTCGATTTCTGCGTCTCCGGGGCCTTCTTGTGCTCGTCCGATAAAAGCACGAAGAGAGGCGCCGCCGCAAACCCTAATCAGGGAGACTACAGCCGTCAGGACCCCAAGTGGTGAAAGCGCGAATATGACGTTGTCTAGGACAGTAATAGATTCGGAGAGGAATTGTTTCGTAAGTTTCTCCCCAAAAAGGATGATGAGAGGAGCCAAGTCCGTCGCAAGGTTATTCGTAAAGTCCTCCCAGTCATCAGCCGCAACAAACGGCACGAAAAGCAACAGAGTCAATAACGTATAACGCATAATGATCAGATATTCATATTAGAAAAGCATATAGTATAGAAATGTGTCAAGCACTGATATTCACACCAACACCAGACAAGTAGGGCTGCCCACTCTTAAGTTCACGAACACTCAGCGTACTTTGGTCGATCAACCCTCCATCTCGAGAGAGGGGCCCCCATCAGCCGCTTGCTGAAGAGTCCATAGCTAATCATGTTCGGACAGTGGCTCTATTCCTGGCAATCCATGAAACCGCTAAGTGACTAGTGCATGTATGTAAGCGCTGTCCAATTTGGGACGCCTACCATGTCGCAGCGCTTAGACGCTCGGCCCGGAGCAGCGGCACGGCTCGACGATCGAGTCTCCATCAGATTCCCTGGTTTCATGAACACGAGTGACGGAGCGCTGTGGCTGCGAGGAATTGTGCGGGTTGCAAGATGTATGCGCCTGTGCATAGTACATAAATTGAGAGCTTCGGAGATCACTGGCTCTGATCAAATGACTTCGTTGGGCTTGTTATTATAGGTTCCCATGCGATGCCCGTGCTATTGAGGGTGGTGCTGTGAAGAAATATTGCGGCTCAATTGTCAGGATCGGTGCATGGAATGCTGGCGCTGGATGAAACTCAAGCGCCGCGCGTTATTAAGAATAGCGGCGAGAAAAGGCCATATTTACTTTTAATTCAGCGGTGTGAGAACAAGCCTGCTTGTATTGAAGCTCGAGAATGGTCTATGGAATTTGACAAATCATCCGACTGCGAATAGTTACCTCCGACCAAGCCATTTTGTCCATCCAGACCAAAACGAAGACCCCAACGCCGTTTCAATGAGATAAGAGATGAAAAAGAGCTGTATTCCGATCAAGATCGTACATCACAGAGCATACCCAACAATGGTACCAATCAGAAGATACTGTTGACAATGTTGGAGCCGACAGTAGCACCGGCACCAAAGATTGCTAGAATACCAGTTAGTCTCAATCGGCCAAAAAACGAAGCCTTTGCTGTGACACATACCGGCATTGCCCAGTTTCTTGCCAAATTTCTTGCCCCCTTGCTGGAACTTATCCGACTTGGGATCATTGGGCTGCGCACTAGACGATCCACCTTGGCTGACTTCTAGCGGCATATTTCCATAACTCGTAGGTGGGGGCGATGAAATTGGTTGTTTCTCATTCAACAGTTCCACGTAGCTTCTGGGGAAAATTCCTTCGAGATTAGTCCGCTCGTTGCGACCTCGCCACCCTGAGAGATCAGTCAGCTTCAAGTCCCAATACGTGCAGGCAAAAAGTCAAACATACAGTCATCATTCATGTGCTCAATGACTTGAATACGATCGCGCGGCTGGATGGCCAAATCTCCCGGGTCGGTCGGTGTGTACGCGTAAAGAGCCGTTGCGAGGCCCATGATCGGCGGGACCTGAGGATAGGCTGGTGGGGGCTGAGGAGGGGGGCTTGCGTATTGGTTGTGCAGGCTGGACTTCTCATTCATTGATGTTCTGGATGCTGGTGGCGAATAAGGGGCAGGAGGGGGCTGAGTTTGGATGGGTAGAGGTTGCACCGGTTGGATTGGCTGCGGTGACTGTTGTTGTTGTTCTTGGGCCAGAGAACGAGAGTCGGACTCGGAGGGCAGTTGGGAGAGAATTGACGAGAGCTGCTGTGAGGTAATGACGGAGGCATCGGCGAGGAATTCAAGTTCCTGGTTGAGAGTCAGTCAACGCTCAACATCAATGTAGGCTACAGCGACAGACCGTCCGGACCATGCGGAGCGACCGCGTGGTCATGGCCGCCGTGAATTCGCTAGAGGCCATGGTGAGTGATACAGAAGGAGAGGGTGTATCGGCAAGAAGACCACAGGCGTTGAAGATGAGAAGCGAAGGAGATGTGTAGGTATGTGTAGGACGGGAGGGAGTTATGGAGGGAGGCGCAGGCCAGGCAGTGGATAAGCTGGCCGGGCGCTGATTCGCCCCACATATATACTCTACGCATGTAACGACGCGCACCTAGTTTGATCATAAGGACATCTATATTATTAGTACTAGCTGCGCTTTAAAAGCCCTCATATCGATTGTTTTTGTAGTACTTCCAAAGCATTTAGAAGCTTGCCTAGGACTCAACCTCGATAAGATCGCTCTGGTGCATACCGTGTACACAGAGAGATAGGGAAAGGAGAAGATTTTTAGGGGTAACATAGATAGTTGTACATGAGCAATAATAATTCAGGTTCGTGCTCAGTAGACTACAATGTAATTATTCTGTATACAATAGTCAAAACTATTGGCGAGTCCTCGTTCCCAAATAATTGTACTTAGCGCCATTTGTAGTCGGGATCGAACACTCTGCAACTGGCATGTCAGCTATGTTCTCGCAGACGAGACCCGCAGTATACCATGAACACATGATGACCAAGATCTGTCAATAGGATGGAGCTGTGTCTCGCATAAACAATAGAAAGGTCAAGATCTTAAACTTCTTCACAACTCTACCAGAATAATATACTATCTGACGCTAGCTTCGACTACATATCCACGTGATAGTCTAGTTGCCTAGCTGTCCGACGATCATCCTTCCTCTCCATCTTCCTTAGCCGAGAACCTCGTCAATACACAGCTGGCCAATACTGCCCTCAAAGTCAGTACATAGTTCGAACATTTGCCCATAGCCGCGCTCATCCCTAACATCCGATCCCACAGATGGCTGCGCTAGAAGTCTGGGGACGACGAACATCGTCCAACGTCCAAGCCTTGATGTGGTGCATCGGGGAACTCGGCCTCCCCTACAAACGCCACGACGTGGGGCACCGCTACGGCGGCAATGACACGCCCGAATTCCTCGCCATGAACCCCAATGGCACCGTCCCCGTTCTCCGAGACGGCGACGGCGAGCCCATATGGGAGACAGGCGCAATCGTTCGCTATCTAGCAGAGCGCTATGGCACCGACGAATTCTGGCCGAAGGACCCCGTGGCTCGAGCGCAAGTCGACAAATGGGCCGAATGGTCGAAGATAAATATCGGTGGGGGTTTTACACGGCCGGTCTTCTGGGCCGTTGTGAGGACTGCGCCTTCAAAGCAGGATCCCAGAGCAATACAGGAGGGCATCTCTCGTCTGGACCATTTTCTAGATATTGCGGAAGTGCAGTTGTCGCGTGCGCAGTTTATAGCTGGTGACAAGTTCACGCTGGCTGATATTCAGTTCGGTCACTTCTTGTTTCGATATTTTGATATTTCAATTCCTCGCAAGGAACGCCCTCATCTACGTCGATATTATGATATGCTCACTTCTCGGGCTGCCTTCCGAGAGCATGTGATTGTGGACTACGGGGAGCTGCGTGTTTTGGATTGAAGTATTCCGGCGGACTATCAACATACAATAGAGTGGCTAGTATATAGATTCATTTGAGTGCGGTAACGAAGTATGTCTAGTCAAAAGCATGGTACAAAGTTGCAAACGAATGTGATACGGAAGGACACAGTGGAAGGTGACTCGATTTTTCAAAGAACATCGTGTCTTTCGATGACAAGTTCTTTTAACCAGTGCGGCATTTAGATCATTCAGATAGCATAAATCATGTTTTCACGATCACCTTGGGTCTCCCTCGGAAAGCTGTAACAGCAGACTCGAAATGGCGTTTGGTAGCATTCGTGAGCTGGATGCTATTCAAAGCATCGAGATTCTCAGAAGCCCAAAGATAAGCCTGATGCTCTTCTGGTCTCAACTGGATATCAAAAGCTGGAGAGTCCCCAGACCGTTGAACTTGGACGAGGAAATGAAGCTGAACAATCCATCGTTTAGAAGTCGGAGTAAGAAAGATCTCACCCCCTAGGAAGGCTTCTATGCATAATATGTCCTGGCCGGTTTCCTCGCGAAATTCACGAACTAAAGCTCCTGGGATGCTTTCTCCGGGATCACATTTCCCTCCAAATGCCTCGTGAAGACCTGGCGATGAGTCCGTTCGCGCCCGTTGTCCGAGGAGGACCTTTACCTTTTCCCCCTCCCAGTCACAAATCCAGCCTCTAACGCTAATGCCGCTTACTTTGTCCATGTCCTTCATGCCGGATATTTTGTGGGTGTCGTTCGAATCGCTAGGATCTTCTTTCAAGTGCTTCAGGTATGACACCCATGGTTGGTTAAGGTAGAGTTTCTCAAGACGCTTTGCGACCTGACAGATCCCGCTTTCGGTGACGATAGGAAAATAATCGTGAGCCATATCTAGAAAGCTACTCCATAATTAGGATCAGACTTTCCGGCTATCGGTAGGGTAGCTGGTCAAAACCACGAACTTTGAGAATACAGGAAGCTGCTAGCGTGATTTTGGGCTTGCGAGGTTTCGCACGGCTAGTGCTACGAAAAAGGTAATGATAGCTTAGAATATATACAAACCCCCAGGGGCATGACTGACTCGGTGAGTTTGAGTCTCGTGTTCTTGCCCCGCACCCGAATACGAGGAGGTAGCTGCCTAATGAGGCTGAAGGCAGACAAAGTTAATTTGAAGAAAGATTACATTTGTCAGCGCAGAGGGCTAGAATAACCACAGAAGACATATTAGACAGTAATGTAAACAGCCCGGAATCCAGCCAACAAAGCCAGAGTACTAAACCTACACCCATGGAGGGTTGATCTGATCCTCGTCTTTTTCGCACTCCACACATTTCCCAACCATCTACATATCAACAAGCATGGACAGCATCAGAAGCAAAGAACGCGATCTCGAAGATACCATTACACGAACCGATCAAGTAGCTGCAGCGTCGGACCAACTACCGGGAAAAGCACAGCCGCTGCCACCTATCGCAACGGAGCGCGGAAAAGGCAAATTTCCCTCGCCGAGTAGTCACATTCGCGTTGCACGCCCGGTAAAGTCATTAGCAGCGGCGGAACAGTTCTGGGTCAATGGACTGGGACTTGAGGTCCTCTGGCGCACGGATTTAGGTCCGCATCCAGCGGAGGGCGAGCATTCTCTGCTCATGGTGGGGTGGAAGGATGCAGCATGGCATCTGGAACTGGTGCAAGTTAATGATGATGATCCCGAGAACCAGCCCCGTCCGACGGAGGAGGATCTCCTGGTTCTCTATTTGGAAGGGCCCGTTGATGAGGCTGTGGTAGAGAACCTGGTGCAGGCGGGTGGCAAACGGGTCACGGCGAGAAATCCATACTGGGAGACGTGGGGGGTGACCATTGAGGATCCGGAGGGATATCGGGTGGTATTGTGTCAGAGGAAGTGGTAGTTGCTATTCCAGATTGTATACATATACATCGAAAGTGATGCCTCAGGCAGTAACCCTAACCAGCGGACACCGCATTTGGCCACCCACACTAAACCACATTCGAGAAGTTTCCAATGTGTCATCATTTATATAGCCAACTAACTGCAAGTCTTTCCTCTCACACGATCAACATCAACGTCACTTACTCCACCACCGCACATACACCACCCACCACATACACCCTTTCTACACCACACCCTCAAGAGCATCAACATCGACACAATGAGCGACTGGGATACCGTTACCAAGATCGGCAGCAAGGCCCGTGGCGCCGGTGGTGCCGCATCCCGCGAGACCGTCGTCAAGGGCAAGAGCGCCCTCAACGCCGCGCAGCGCCAGGGCCTGGTCATCGGGACGGAGAAGAAGTACGCCACTGGCAACGCAGTATGTTCCCTCTCCCCCTCTCCCCAATTGTGCTGTTATCATCATCCTAACCCATCCCCTCTCTCTAGGCCAAAGGCTCCGGCGGCAGCGAAGGACAGCACCTGACGAAAGTGGACCGCAGCGACGAAATCGTCAAGCCCAAGACGGTCGGGTACGCCGTGGCAGACGCAATCAAGAAGCGCCGCAACGAGGAGGGCATCAAGATGTCGCAGAAGGACCTCGCCACCAAGTGCAACACCACCGTCTCCATCGTGCAGGACTTTGAGCGTGGTACCGCCACCCCCGATCAGAAGGTTCTCAGTGCTATGGAGCGCGTGCTGAACGTTAAGCTGCGTGGCGCCGATATCGGGAAGGAGAAGTTCCCTAAGAAGAAATAGAGAAGGTGAATGAGCCCGCTTTTTCCTTTGGTTCTTGGGGATGGATGAGGGACATTTGCCTCCCAACTCATTTTCCTGCTAGATTGGATTTCCTGCACGCATTCGATGATTGTCATGTCACGTCCGCCTTTTTCACATGAGGGATTTTGATTTTTTGTTTTTCAGCTGGTCGGATTAGCGCTGGCCTTGCATGGACTCGGTTTAGAGAAAACTTTCATAAAAAGTGCATAAACGAGATACCTCATGTTTTTTTGCATTGCCTTTGCCACGATATAGTAGACTGGTTTTTTTTTTTCCCTTTCTGTAACAAAGAGATTGGATGATCTGCTTCAGAGTGAAAGGCTACTTACTGGAGACGGACACCGACATGTGCTCTTCTTAAAACAAGAGTAACTCTTCGGGGAGCTCTACACTATTGGGCACGATATATGAATGCTTCTAGAAGCCTCGTTTTGTCTATTTACCCTTACACTCTTCAACCAGATAGAAAATATATCTCTCATCAAAAGGTGAAGAAGAATGAAACGTGCCGTCTTTGATTAGACCAAAAAAATCAATAACATAATAAAAAAAGGGTACCAACTCCGAGTGATCATGGAATCAATGAAACGAGGAAATCGTGTCCCATCATCTCATCCCGTATGCCAGACTCATCATGCGAGTCTTGTTTCTTTCTTTCTTTTTTCACTTCATAAAACACATGTTCCTCTTACTTCCGCATCTGCTCCCGCTCCACCTCATACATGAAGTCAAAGTAAGGCTTGTCGAAGTGGTGGACGCGGACATAGCCGTCCTCACCACCAGAAGCGTAAGCGGTGCCGGCGGGGTGAACGTCGATGGTGTTCAGAGGACCGAAGTGGCCACGGACACGGCCGATCTCGTCCTCGAAAATGCGGTGGTAGAAACGGGCCTCGAATTTACCCTGGCGGGCGGAGGTGGTGGTGACATCCATGGCCGCCTGGCCACCGCCCAGAATCGCAAAGTCCTTCTTTGGTGTGACGGTGGCGGTGTTGAGGGGGGTGTCGGCAGTGTAGGTTTTGAGGATGGCGAGGTTGCGGGCAGACATGAGCTAAGGAAGGTTAGTTGGGGTACCTGTGTAGATATGTGAATGAGACATACCTTGGCGGACTTGTCCTTGGAGGCAGTGATGAAGTAGGTGCGGTCGGGAGAGAATTGGAGGTCGTTGATCTGGTGGTCGAACTCGTGGGCCTGCATGGTCTCCAGCTGCTCTCCGGTCTATCGGCCACATCAGTATAAGACCAAAATCTCCAGATAGAAAAAGACGCACCTTCGGGTCATACTGGCTGACACTGCCATCCTCGTGTCCCGCGATGATGTACTTGGCCAAGAAACTCCACCCGGCGACGGTCGCCTTGCTCTCGGTGCAAGTGATGCGCAAGCTCGGCTCGTCAGCCTGCTCGTTCAGGTTCCCACCTTGTCCATCTCCGTAGGCGATATCGAGCACCGCAATCGTACCCAAGAAACCCATCCGCTTCTCCGTCACCGCCAGCAACTTGCTACCATCCGGCGAAAAGGCCACGCGCTTGACGGCGGTGGGAAACTCCCAGACCTTGACGCACTCGCCCGTCTTGATGTTCCATAACCGCACCGTATTGTCTGCCGAACCCGTCGCTAGGAGGACGGTGTTGGGGCTCACATCGACGGTCCAGATGGCACCCTGGTGGCCGTTGTAGGTACCCAGGCGCTCGCCGTTGGCAGACCACCACGCACACACAATCTTGTCCTTGGCCACGGAAAATAGGAGGTCGCCATCGCGGTTGAACTTGATTTGATTCAGGGACCGTTCCTGGGGTTCTGTTAGCTTCTTTGTGGATCGGGCGAGATTTCGCGAGGGCGGCAACGCACATGGCCCGACAGTAGAATAGGCCGCATCTCTCTCAAGCGAAATAGGATGCGACTCGGGAGTCGACAGAAACGGGGGGAAGGGTGAGGTGGGGGTTGGGAGGGATGACCGAGAGACTTTCTTTGATGAATTTGATCGCACACTCCCGCGCCGCCAAGCCTCTGTGTTGGTATCGCCGTATCGTGGTTTCGGATCGGGGGTTAGTCCGGTATCGACACGTGATGAGACGCAGACCTAGCCCTAGGAGGCCCTGAATGCCTCAGGCAACAATCCATTCTGCGGGATGGCTCCGGCCTGGGTGTTCTGACCACATCAGAAAGGGATCACGGGGTGTGTGTGACTGAGGGTTGATTCGAGTCCATTGTTTGAGTAGATGATCCAGCAGCATCCTCACCACCATCCTGGACTCCTTCCTCTCCCTCAACCTTCCCCTGTCGAGACTCCTATCCCATTCTTCACGTGCATCCCGCGCTGCATCCCGCCCAACCAACCAACTACACCAAATCAATCTTATGTTCCCCGCCACGCTACCCCGCTACCGTTCTCTCTATCATCTTCGTCTTCCTCCTTCTTTCCTCATCGGCTCTTCTCGTTCGATCCTTCATTCATTCTCCGCGCGCAGAGCATTCGGTTCCGCCGGATCTCCACTGCGCGTCAAGCCCTTTTCTCCCCGCCCCGCTTCCTCCCGTTGCAAGTTCTCCAATTCCGCCATGGCTGCTGCCAAGATTGATGGCACCGCCATTGCCAAAAGCATTCGTGGGAGTCTAAAGGATGAGATTGAGAATATTCAAGCGACTAACCCCCGGTTCAAGCCGAGTCTGGTCATCTTCCAAGGTATGTCTTCGGCTAACCAAAAAAAAAAAAAAAAAAAAAAGGGAAAACATGCAAATGCTAACGCCAATGACTTGATATAGTTGGCAGTCGGTCCGATTCGAGTTAGTCACGTCTCGTAAGCTTGCAGTGGCACTCGCGCTAATGTGACTCAGGTACCTATGTGCGCATGAAGCTGAAGGCGGCCGAGGAGGTATGTTTTTCACCAATACGTCAATCTCTACCTGGACCACCAACTAAACCTTCCTTCCGTATGCTAGGCCAATATCCTCTGCACGCTGATCAATGTGCCCGAGTCAACGACGCAGCTGGAGCTGATCCAGGAGATCACCAAGGCCAACAATGACCCCTCCGTGCATGGTATCCTTGTCCAACTGCCCCTCCCCGGCCACATGTCGGAACATCCCGTGACATCGGCCGTTGCGGACGAGAAGGATGTCGATGGATTCGGTGCAATCAACATTGGCGAGCTGGCCAAGCGAGGCGGCCGTCCGCTCTTCACCCCGTGTACCCCGCTTGCCGTGATGGAGTTGCTCAAGGCCAGCGGTGTCGACCCCGCGGGCAAGGAGGCTGTTGTCCTGGGACGTAGCGATATTGTCGGCAGCCCCGTGAGCTACCTGCTCAAGAACGCAGATGCTACCGTGACCCTGTGCCACTCGAAGACCCCGGATATTCAGCGTGTAGTCAAGACTGCTGATATTGTTGTCGCGGCAATTGGAAAGACGGAATTTGTCAAGGGAGATTGGCTGAAGCCCGGTGCTGTGGTCATTGATGTCGGCATCAACTACAAGCCCGATGAGACCAAGAAGTCTGGGCAGCGTCTGGTTGGCGATGTGGACTTTGAGTCGGCCTCGCAGGTGGCCTCGCAGATCACCCCGGTTCCTGGTGGGGTTGGTCCAATGACAGTGGCCATGCTGCTGAAGAACGTGGTTCATGCAGCCAAGGCCTACTTTGAGAAACAGAAGGACCGTCATGTCACCCCGCTGCCCATCCGGCTGGAGCGCCCTGTGCCCTCGGATATTGCCATCTCGCGCGCCCAGTACCCCAAGCCCATCACCCAGGTCGCCGCCGAGGTTGGCATCGCTCCTCACGAGCTGGAGCCCTACGGTCACACCAAGGCCAAGGTCAGCCTTGATGTCATTGACAGGCTCGCCCACCGCCGCAATGGCCGATATATCTTGGTCTGTGGCATTACTCCCACTCCGCTTGGTGAGGGCAAGTCAACTACGACGCTGGGTCTCACCCAAGCCCTGGGTGCTCACCTGAACCGTATTACCTTCGCGAACGTACGACAGCCCAGCCAGGGCCCTACATTTGGTATCAAGGGTGGCGCTGCCGGTGGTGGATACAGCCAGGTCATTCCCATGGACGAATTCAACCTGCACTTGACCGGTGATATCCACGCCATTACCGCCGCCAATAACCTTCTCGCCGCAGCCATCGAGACCCGCATGTTCCATGAGTCTACGCAGAAGGACGGTGCCCTCTATAAACGTCTGGTACCCACCAAGAAGGGCAAGCGCGAGTTCCAGCCCATTATGTTCCGACGACTCAAGAAGCTTGGAATTGAGAAGACGGACCCGAATGAGCTTACCGAGGACGAGATCCACCGATTCGCCCGCCTGGATATCGACCCGGAGACCATCACCTGGCGCCGCGTGCTCGATGTCAACGACCGTCACCTGCGTGGCATCACCGTGGGCCAAGCACCCACCGAGAAGGGTCTCTCGCGTGAGACGGGCTTTGATATCTCCGTCGCGAGTGAGTGCATGGCCATTCTGGCTCTAAGCAACAACCTGGACGACATGCGTGAGCGGCTGGGCCGCATGGTGGTTGCCACCTCGAAGAACGGCGACCCGGTCACCTGCGACGACATTGGCGCCGGCGGTGCTCTTGCCGCTCTGATGAAGGATGCCATCAAGCCAAACCTGATGCAAAGCTTGGAGGGAACTCCGGTTCTGGTACACGCCGGCCCCTTCGCCAACATCAGTATTGGCGCCAGCTCCGTCATTGCGGACAAGCTGGCCCTAAAGCTGGCTGGTACCGAGCCGGACGAGGATCACGATGATAAGACCGGCTTTGTCGTCACCGAGGCCGGCTTCGACTTTACCATGGGCGGCGAGCGTTTCTTCAACATTAAGTGCCGATCGTCCGGTCTGTCCCCGGATACCGTGGTCATCGTGGCGACGGTCCGCGCGCTCAAGGTCCATGGCGGTGGTCCCGAGATCAGCCCCGGCGCTGCTCTGCACGAGATCTACCGCACCGAAAATGTCGAGATTCTCCGGAAGGGTTGTGTCAATATGCGCAAGCACATCGCCAATGCTCGACAGTATGGCGTCCCCGTCGTGGTCGCCATCAACCGCATGGAGACCGATACCGACGCCGAGATCGCCGTCATCCGGGAAGAGGCCATGGCGGCGGGCGCCGAGGACGCTATCCCCGCCAACCACTGGGCTGAAGGTGGCGCGGGCGCCGTTGATCTGGCCAAGGGCGTGATGGCCGCCAGCTCCAAGCCCAAGGACTTCCAGCTGCTGTACGACCTGAACGGCAGCATCCAGGAGCGCATTGAGCGCATCGGCAAGGCCATGTATGGCGCCGAGAAGGTCGAGTTCAGCGAGCTGGCGCAGAAGAAGGTCGACACCTACACCCAGCAGGGCTTCAGCAACTTGCCGATTTGTGTTGCCAAGACGCAGTACTCGCTCAGTCACGACCCGGCCCTCAAGGGAGCGCCATCCGGGTTCACCGTGCCCATCCGGGACGTCAGATTGGCCGTCGGCGCTGGATATCTGTGAGTTTATGTCTTGCGTGCCTTCGTGGTCCCTTACTAACTACTCTTCTAGTTACGCCCTGGCCGCCGATATCCAGACCATCCCCGGCCTTCCGACCGCCCCGGGATATCTGAATGTGGACATTGACACCGAGACCGGGGAGATCGACGGACTGTTCTAGAGGGAATATATAGATGGAGGGAGGATTGTATATAGAGTGTTTCTGCTGGGTCGATTTTCAACACATACATTGCGCAGGATGGCGTCCGACCGGAAGTAAGTAATATATGGTAGTAGAGCGAATTTCAACATTGTGACGAGCATGTGAATCATGCAATGGAATTCCATAGCTATTACTAGAGAGGTAATCCTGTAGTTATCTGTGATGGTCTATTGTTCGTTTACCCTTACCCTCACCATATTCGGCTATTTCGTTTCCCGCCCGCGGCAACAGAGTTGGCCGCCGGAGCAGAGCGCGCAACTCCGAAAGTGGACTCCATTCTGTCTGCTCCACATTGCACTTCCAGAGTAGACCGGTGAATGAGCACCAAGACAAAAGATGCGAATTGTGAACAGGAAGAGTCAAAGTCGCGAACCAACCGTCTCGTGATTGATAGTCCGACTTCGGCACTTTCAGCAATTCCTGCTACGACTCTAGCGTTACTGGTTCATAAAGGGCGCCCGCTGCCCCAATTCTCCGTCCGTCCGGCTTATCCTTCTTCCCCCCATCTTTCCCTCCTACCCGGCCAGCAAGCAACGCACTCGGTAAGTGCCTACAGTCGCTTTGCCCCAGTTTCGCACCCTTCGGATCCTCCGAACCCTCCCGTTCTGCCCCGGCTGTGTCGTGCCTTTCTGACGCGCTGTCTGGCTCCACCAGCCGTTCCCTGGAGCCGATACACCTCGGGTACTCGACAGGCGCGAAAACACAACCCGAAAAAAGAGTACTCTTTGTCGCTGACTTTCTCCGAGCCCTGCCCAGATTCGCGCAATTGACCCCCAGCCATAATAATGAACGCCCTTCGGTCCAGTTCCGCCGTCGCCGCTCGCCGACTGGCTTCCCCTCCCGCTGCCGCTGCCCCTCTCTGCTCTTCCCGCTTCCTCTCTTCTTCCTCTCTCTCTTCATCTTCTTCTTCACCCTCTTTCACTGCTCAGGCTCAGAGATCCCTCTCCTCCATCTCTCTCTCCCGTGTTGCTGCTTCTTCCCGCTGGTCCGGAGCTTCCCGAGTGACCCTCACCCAAACCCGCACCATGGCGTCCGAGAACAAGATTAAGGTCAAGAACCCGGTGGTGGAACTGGATGGTGACGAGGTACGAGTTTTTATAGTTCAAACTCTCTGCTCCCCGTGTCACAAGCCTGGGCATCATTTTTGTTGTCGAGCGCGGGGAAACACGGGGGGCGAGATTCCTTCATGTGCCAATCAGACTAACCGAAGGGATTATTTCCTGTTTCTGTAGATGACCCGGATTATCTGGCAGGACATTAGGGAAAAGGTACGTCTGAACTATCCCTGCAGGTTCCATTTCAACCGAGACTAACTCGGGATCGTTCTAGTTGATTCTGCCGTAAGTGGCTCGTTGCCCGATCTTCTGCATGCATGATCGCTGAGAATCGCCAATCAGGTACCTGGATGTCGATCTTAAGTACTACGACCTGGTAAGGACAATTGAGGATATCTGTAGGGACCGGATGCTGATCGTCGCTGGAATAATAGGGTCTGGAATACCGTGATCAGACCGATGACAAGGTCACCGTCGATGCCGCCGAGGCCATTAAGAAGTACGGCGTCGGTGTCAAGTGCGCCACCATCACGCCCGATGAGGCCCGTGTGGAGGAGTTCAAGCTGAAGAAGATGTGGCTCTCGCCCAATGGCACCATCCGTAACATCCTCGGCGGTACCGTCTTCCGCGAGCCCATCCTCATCCCCCGTGTCCCCCGCCTAGTCCCCGGCTGGACCAAGCCCATTGTCATTGGCCGTCACGCCTTTGGCGATCAGTACCGAGCCCAGGACCGGGTGATCCCCGGCCCCGGTAAGCTCGAGCTGGTCTACACCCCGGCGGGCGGCGAGCCCGAGAAGATCCAGGTGTACGACTTCCAGGGCGGCGGTGTCACTCAGTGCCAGTACAACACCGACGAGTCCATCGCGGGCTTCGCCCATGCCAGCTTCCAGATGGCCCTGATGAAGGGTCTGCCTCTGTACATGAGCACCAAGAACACCATCCTGAAGAAGTACGATGGTCGCTTTAAGGACATCTTCCAGGAGATCTACGAGAAGGACTACGCCAAGGACTTTGAGGCCAAGAAGATCTGGTATGAGCACCGTCTGATCGACGACATGGTCGCCCAGATGATCAAGAGCGAGGGTGGCTTCGTCATGGCCCTGAAGAGTGCGTCCTTTTCCTCCATTTTTTATTCTCTCGCTAACGCAAATCCCCAGACTACGACGGTGACGTCCAGTCCGACATCGTCGCCCAGGGCTTTGGCTCCCTCGGCCTGATGACCTCGACGCTGGTCACCCCGAGCGGCGAGGCATTCGAGTCCGAGGCCGCCCACGGCACCGTGACCCGCCACTACCGTGAGCACCAGAAGGGCCGCGAGACCTCCACCAACCCCATCGCCTCGATCTTCGCCTGGACCCGCGGCCTGGTCCAGCGCGGCAAGCTCGACAACACCCCCGACGTGGTCGCCTTCGCCGAGGAGCTCGAGCGCGCTTGTGTTGACGTCGTCAACGAGGAGAGCATCATGACCAAGGACCTGGCTCTGGCCTGTGGCCGCAAGGACCGCGAGGCCTGGGTCACCACCAAGGAGTACATGGCCGCCGTTGAGCGGAGGCTGAAGTCCAACCTCAAGGCCCGCCTGTAGAGCGCGTTGCTGATTTGGACTTTTTCCTTTGATTTTGCTTAAATATGATATCTCGCTAGATCTCCCAAAGACCAGAGCCTGCATTTGATTGTGAGTGTGATTGTGATCTAGTGTATGTGCGGAAAAGGGGCGTGGACTTGTACAGCTGTAGAGATGAAATGAACATGTTTCCCTGGTGGTCGTGTGCTTACTTGCTCAATTGTATCTCTACACATCAAATGTTTAGGAGCGGCATCGTTGCCGCCCCCACATGTATAGCTAAACATCGTTCCTACTAGCCGTAAAGGGTAAAAATGTTGCCAAGCTTTGACGACGGGTCACGCCAGTCTGACTAGGTACCTCGTGGAGAAGAAAGTTAGTCCCAGGAAGAGCATAAAACATAAGCTGTATCCCTGAATCGGTAGTAGCTGCCTGTTTATGATAATTAGCGGAGGAAATATGTGACTGCCTTATGGGGCAGGTAACAAAGCGTAAACAAGGAAGATCATCGGCGAGTTCAACTTTAGCCGTAGTGCTTGGCCGAGTAGGGCTCGAAGTAACCTATCCCGTTAGAAGCTCGGAGCGAGGCCGAGCGGACAAATTGAGGATCGCCGTAGCCACGAATCCCCCTCATTTGTAATATTGGCTGTAGCCTCGGGATAAAGAGTATGAGAGGACAATAATACCACCTCTTCCTTCATCTCCCCGCTTGTACATTCACGAGATTCCCTAGGTTCTCGACAGCGGATTATTTTAGAGAGCAATTTTTAGTTCTTAGTTTGTCCTTGACTACTGGTCCTTCGCGTGCCCTATTTCCCATTGTTTTGGGGCGGCACTTCGTCCCCTATCTTCATGGCCAAGCCCTAAACTCGGGTTCAACCGACGCAAACATGGAAACGGCCAAGACCCCAGATTCTCCGCCAGTCGTGGACGAGAAGCCCAAGGGCGCTATACGCATTCTTCTCTCGAAAGCTCGAGCCCAAATTCCCGAGGGCGAAATTGGCCCACCCCCTGACGGCGGATTTCGAGCATGGTGCCAGATCGTGGGTGGCCACTTCACGGTCTGCAATACATGGGGCTACATCACCGTGTTCGGGATGTTCCAAACATATTACGAAGAGTTCCTGAACGAGACCGCATCGAACATCTCCTGGATCGGAAGCATCCAAGTATTCCTACTCTTCTTCATCGGCACGTTTTCAGGACGAGCGGTCGACGCCGGCTTCTTTAAGTTGACTTGGGGCGCTGGCGCCATTCTCAACATCTTAGGCATCTTCATGGCTTCCATCTCGAAAACATACTGGCAGCTCCTTCTGAGCCAGGGTGTCTGCATGGGTCTAGGCTTCGGCCTAATGTTCTCCCCCTCACTCTCCCTGTTGCCGACGTATTTCACAACGCGCCGCTCTCTCGGCGTCGGACTTGCAGCAGCTGGCTCTGCAACGGGCGGCTTGATCTTCCCTGCTGTCGTCCAGAGACTCCTTCCCACCATCGGATACGCGTGGACAATGCGCGTGCTCGGCTTCTTAACCCTAAGCATGCTGATCCCATCATTCTTCCTCTTCCGACAGCGCGTGCCTCCCCGCCGAAGCGGGCCCATCATCGAATGGGCCGCCTTCGGCGAGAAAGCATACGTGTTTTTCAGCGTCGGCATGTACCTCAACTACTGGGGCCTATACATAGCCTTCTTCTATGTCGCCAGTTTCGGGCGTCAGGTAATAGGCCTCAACGAGAAGGAAGCTATAGATCTCCTCCTTATCCTAAACGGGGTTGGTATCTTGGCACGCACGATACCCAACTTCATCGCAGACCGCCGCACAGGACCCTTGAATCTCCTCATCCTCTCAACGCTGATGTCAAGCGTCATGCTCTTCTGCTGGATCGCCGTGTCGGATTCCAGTGGACTGTATGTGTTCGTGGTATTCTACGGCATTTTCTCGGCGGGTACGCAGTCCCTGTTCCCAGCAACCCTCGCTTCTATCACGGATGACATGAAGAAGATCGGTGTTAAGTTGGGGATGGTCATGACGGTTCTGAGTTTTGCGGTTCTGACGGGGAATCCGATTGCGGGCGCTTTGCTGGCTAAGGATCATGGGGGTTTCTTTTATGCGCAGCTCTTTGCGGCGGCGACTATGATGGTTGGGACGATGTGGATTACGGTTGCGAGGTTTTGTAGGACGGGACTTGTGCTCAGAGCGAAAATTTGATCTGATAGGGCATTGTTGGAGCGTGTACATATTGTTGTTTTGAACTATATACAGTTGAGTTTTAGATGTGCAATTGCCTGCGATTGGAGGAATGCGTAGCCGGCTGTTATCGGGATTGGGCATAAGTACTTTGCCGAAAACTACTCAAGAGGGCTCTCTCATCTTTCAAAATCCCTGGGTAGGTGGCATTTTAAGGGCTGCAAAGGCCCGTCTAGGCACTGGGAAGATCGTCGATCGTTCTAGTTCACGGGAACAGATCCCGCGTCTCGATCGGGCAATAGCGGGGAGAAAACCTGTGTGAACGTCCGGGGAGGATATCTTCGTGCAGGATCGCGGCCAGGTCCCAGGCCCATACAGTCCCATTGACCTGTAAGGGAGAAAATATTGACCGGCCGAGCTAGACCGAGCGGACGACCTTCGGGCCGGGCGCCGTCTGTTGCCCTAAACAGAACTGCCGGACGGCGAAGGAAGAACATCAGCCTAAGTAGGCCAAATCGGGTTCGTGCTCATTAAGAAACGAATCAAGAAGGCGGAATATTCTCCGAGATCGAGCCAGGGTAAGGCCACCGGCAGGTCTGCCAGTCGTCGATGACAACCCCCACGTCTAGCGGATGAACCATGTCTCGGGGCGCGATTCGGAAGATTGTCGCGAAGCACAACTTTATTTTGACCCAATCATAAGTCCCGGGGAAGCATCGTGAGCCGATCTACCTCAAAGTCCTTGACGTCAATGTGGTCCCCCCGACTTACCCAATGCGGCGATCTTGCAAATACGGTTGTACCAACCACAGCCTGTGATAACGAGATTTCGTAGGGAACTACCGCCTGTGGACGGAACTCCACTGCGAGGTGAGAGGCGTTCTACTGCAAGGGTTTGACGTATTGGACGGGCCTGGAGAATATCTCCTTAAATAAACACGGTGCGGCCCATTCGCCTCTTTCGCTTGAATCTCTTCATCTTGGCGCTCTATATACTTCATTCACTTCCCCCAACTGTACAGCGACCAATTTAAATCTCTTAACCTCTGCTGGTTTCACAAACATTGTTTCTGCCCTTGGGAAGCACTATTCCCTCTCATTCTCGCAAATGGATTACTACCATGTGCCTTTGTCTTGAATTCCGTGTCCCTTGATCTCATCCGAGGTCTGGCTACCGGTGACTATGACCTCGGCACATACCTTGCCTGCCACCACGACCTTTACATGTCTGGCAGCTTTTGTGGTTGCGTTCCGGCTATGGACGCGCTTTCGGCTCGTGAAATCCCCCGGGTGGGATGATATGCTCATCCTGGTTGCAATGGTAGGACGACACACACATATCCTGAAGACCGGAACTGACATTGGAATATCATTTCAGATCTTTAGTCTTGTATTCTATGCCTTCATCATGATTGGTATGTTGCGTCCTTGAATTCGCTTAGAATGGTTATAAATACGATGCTAACCATGTTATCCAGAGAGACACTTCGGAATGGGTCGTCCTATGGATGATCTCTCGGATGGGCAGAAAGTAGATATGATGCATGTAAGACTATCACCACCCTATCCAATCTTACGAGAATATAGCATATTGACTTTCAATCAGTTCCTCTGGCTCTCCATCCCCTTCTACAACGCCGCCCTTATTTTCTGCAAACTGTCCGCCCTGGTCTTCTTCACCCGCATCTTCCGAAACCGCACGTTCCTCCTGCTCGTCAAAATATTCGCCGGATGCCTTATCGCAGCAGGTCTGTGGATGGTCACCAGCGCATTTGTTTTCTGCATCCCCGTCCATGACTTTTGGAGTCTGTCTCGCAAAGTCCGCAGAGAGCACTGTCTTAGTGAGGACATTGTCTGGTTCACCAATGCAGGTATCCAGATTTTGACGGATCTGGTCATCTTGGTCTTGCCCATGCCGCTTATCTCGAAGCTGCAGTTGCCAACACGGCAGAAGGCGGGTATCATGCTTGTGTTTGGTCTTGGAGTTTTGTAAGTCTCACTGTTTCTGGGGTTCGCTCTTTTTAGTGAGTAAGTGCTGATATTTACTTGACAGTGTCGTTGCGACCAGCTCTGTTCGGTTATATGAACTGGAACAAATGACCCATCACAATGATTATACCAGTAAGTACCTACAATCGACAGAGAACAACCAACACAAGAATCCTTACTAACCACCAAGGAATAGAGAAAAACGCCTACGCGGCCATCTGGTCATCTCTTGAAGCCAACATCTCCATAATCTGCGCCTGTCTCCCACCACTATACCCACTACTCTCGCGGAGCTTCTCCTTCTGCTTCCGCCCGCAACCACTACACTCCTCTCCAGGCTCCAAACCCACCCACACCTCAAACGTTAAACACTCAATGCCGGGATCCCGCAGATCATCGATTTACGAACGCGGCTTCGGGGTCGGAATCGGTCTCGACGGCGGCGTTTTCTTCAACGAGCATTTCCAGCCCGCGCCAGGCGGATATTCCGCCAGCATTAGTAAAGTGAGGACTGACAACGAAGACCCCACGACATGCGATGGCGAGACCGGGATCCGTGTCGTGCGCGAATTGAGACTTGAGTCTGATACGGCTCCTGATCCTTTTGCTGCTACCATGGGCGCTGGTGGTAGTAGTAACAGTCCTAGACCGAGCCCTTTTTTGGGGGCTAATGAGAAACAGGATCGGGATCTGGAGATGGGGGTCTCTACTGAGGGAGAGCCGAAGAGTTGGAATTCTACCATTGAGTGGGATTTGGGAGACTTCGAGTTTCCTGATTATAAGGAGCGGATGAATGCTCCGATTTGAACATGGTGTATGTGTACATATTAGTGGTGCATCATCGAGAACATAGTATATATATAGCATTAACAACGGCTTGAAATAGATCCTGTATTGCAGTTTAAGGTGCCCTTCATCATTTCTCGAATGGAGCAGTTCATAAGGAGTCAAGACTAGTCTAATTGAAGGGAAAGTCAATACTTACAAAAACAGCTTGATAGTCCCTGCAAAACAGAGTGAGGCACAGTCTGGTCAACTCCGAAGACTGTGTCCAAAAGTGAACGTACTATCTACTTCCCACAACCCAAGCCAAATAAACCAAATAACGAAGCACATTCTGGTCAAACGCCGAAACCAATGTCAAAGAGCGCGTGTCCGAACTATCTACTTCGCATAACCCAAGTAAAATACTCAATAACCAGAAGAACGACAAATTTGGTAACAATAAAGCCAACAGCATACAGAACACATAAAAACACTCATCAATCAACTCTGAGGAACAGCAGAACGCCAGTTGGGAATCATCATCATGTGCCAGTACCGACTGCTGTAGTTTGCATTCTTTTGCCGCAACCGCTCGCGTCGGTCTCGCCGCTTGGTAGCCGAATTCGGCTGTTCCATTTGATCCTTGTCTTCAACTGGAGCCATGGCAGGCTTTGGCTTGTCTTTGTCACGGCGACGGCGGCGACCGCGCCGGCGTACACGAGTAGAGCGATGTACACCTGTTCCATCTGCTCCAGCCACTGAGGTACCGGATTCTTTCAGGTTGGAATGAACAGACAGTTGACATGTTCCGCTCTTGGTAGCATGACACAAGCTGGCGTTGCGAGAAATCTTCTTGGCTCCAATCACTTCTTTGAGTCGCTCGACGGCTGCTGTGAGCGACCTCGTGGACGCGATGCTTTCGTTCGGGGACTTGAGTGATCCATTATGTGTTGTGACAGATCGGCTACCATTTGGGCCAGGTGTGGGAACCCTGTTGGCGATCGCTGAAGATGCCATGGTGGAGATAGGTAGGCTGGGAACTGCTGCTGTCGTGCTGCCCGGATCAAGACCAGGCAGTTGAGGAACCACACCCAACTGCACTACCTCGTGTGACAAATTGGATGAGACGACACTTCCCGCCTCCGCATACACGGCCGGGGCTGAAATAATCCCAGAAGCAAGGCCACCAGAGGCGAGGTCTGCGGACTGAATTCCACTGACCTGCCCACTGGACTGAGCGGCATCAGGATGGAAGGCGCCGGGTTGGAAATCACCGGGTGGAAAACCACCACCCTGGAGAGACCACCGAGGATCTTGTAAGGGAACAAAACACATGCCAATCATGGGCTTTTGGAGCGTAGCTTGAAAAGGCGGCTGTCCAAGCACAGGCAGCGCTCCGGCATTCTTCAGGACTTCCATCGGAGGGTACCCTGGCGAGCCCCAGAAGGCGGCAGGACAAGATTTGTTACTATCCACAGCAGAAGGAGGCGACTGGGCCGAGGGCGGCGACTGGACATCTGAGACGCGTTCCGAGAAACTCTGGTGCATGGAGTCGACGCTGCTGGAACAGTGGGAACAGACCACCTCGTATTCACCCTCTCGCGGGATGAAAGTCAAAGACGCCGGCTGTAGACCCATGCACATGTCCGGACTCAGGCCGACCTGAAGCCAGGAGGGCAGCTCGTCCATCGGTATGAGAGGCGCCATCACACCTCCCGGACGGAGGAGACAGAAGCGAGGGCGAGGATAGTAGCGGAGCGGGGCAGTATAGTACGTCTGCATTGTGTCGAGTGAAAGTCGAGAAAAATAAAGATCAGATACGGAGCAAACGGGTGGGAATATGAGCGGAATGAGTGTGAGCTTTCAAAAACGAAGGAACACCACCTGGGGTTGAGATGAAAGCAGATGGTGGGGAGAAAGGAGAGGAAGAAGAGAAAGTAAGCAAAGTGATCTGTTCTAGGTATGTACATTCAGGGTTGCAACTTCCCTGTTCTCATGGGAGTGCAAAAGGGGAAGAGCAACCTAGCCCTAACTGGCCTGAGGCAGATACGTGCCATTGTGGCAGTTGAATCCCAGGTCCGGGTTAAGCTCGGCCGTGGCGTTCATACAAATCACCGTGGGCTCAGCCATATTCTGAGGAATAACCTGGATGTTGTCGACGGCAAAGTTTCGGCACGATGTCTCAGTGTTGCATTCGATGATGACGGCCTCAGTGTGTTTCAAGTTGGGCAGTCCCTCATCATACCAACAAGGATCCGACACGCACGAGCCATCACCTGGTCGCCAGGTGTTGACTGTGCCCGTAAAGCCCGACCAGGTAAAGTCCTCCATCATGACAGATGAGTTGTTCGGCCGTCCCGATGTAGAGCCGCCACCGAGCTGGGTCTGCGACGAGCCCTGGTTGGTGTATGTCTGGGTCACGAAGATGGGGAAGGTGACATTGTATACGCGGATATTCTTCCAGGTGATGTTCTTCGCCAAACCCTGTCCACCTATCCAGGACTTGAAGCGTGCGGCATAGACGGCGTTGATCACAGTGTTATCTTCAAATCGGATATTCGTGACATTTGCAGGCTCGGTTTGGTCTTCGCCCAGCGAGCCAATGCTCATGCCGTGGCTTTGATATCCGATAGTGTTCCTCTCAAAGACCACGTTGTGAGAACCCGACTGCACGGCGATGGCATCGTCGCCGTTGTAGATGACGCTGTCCGAGATCCGGACATTGGTCGCGGTAACATCGAATCCATCTGTGTTGAAAGGAAAGGACCCCGTCGACTCGGCATCGATAAATGCATGGCTCACGGTGATATCATCTCCCAATAGCTGCACGTTCCATGCAATCGGCTTGCGGGACTTGAAGTACTTGAGCGACCCATGAGTAGTCTCGAAGCTCATCAGATGCGGACGGGCAGCTGTTCCGGTGCCATTAATCGGGTTGGCATCCCACCATGCCTGTCCGTAAGAGTTGATCCAACCGCCGTTGACATTTGCAGAGCCAATGTAGTCGATGCGTGGGCCGGCGAATTCAAACCAGTACAGACCATCAGAGTACAAGGGGCCAGAAGTGTCATTCACAATGCGCTGGATGGCAGTGATGCTCTGTGGAAGGTGCAGATTGCCGTATACCTGAATCTCGACATTGCTCAGGTTGACTGCGCGGACCGGCTGGAAGATGTTATAGTCCACACCTTCCTTGAAGACAATGACCGAGTCAGACGCGCATCGAGCAAATGTCCGTGCCACGGCAGGAGAATCGTCTGCCGAGCCATTGGAAGACGGTATGACGCAACGACGAGATCGGTCTGGGGAGCGGATCGGGTTCGGAGCTCCCAGAGCCAGCGAAGAGAAAAGCGCCAAAGCAGCTGTTTTCGAGATCAGCATTTTGAATTCGCAGCAGACTGGTCTCTCCCCGGTACTTACTCCTGTTCTTTATATTTGCGGCAGAGCAGAGTCCAGCAGTGCGCGCTTGTCCCCGGTAGAGCAATTGGCCTCGCCGATCAAGGAGAAACCTCCCCCACAGCGCGGAGACTCGCCCCTTGTGTGGATGGACTTATATTTCGGCGGATGTGCCAACCGGTGTCATTGGTGGAAATACCCCCAGCGATCGTCGATGCTTAGAATAACCCCAGGTCTGGGCCGGGGATGTATACACTGGAATATACCTCAATCAACTGCCGTAGTACCTCAATGCCTAGATTTGCCAAGTATAGACCAGGGGCAATCGGAAGAATGGCGGAACCGGCCGACGCTGCGATGGGGGCCGTCTTATCATCTACGGGGCTGTTGTCACTCCACCTCCCCAGCTTCAACAACAAACAAGCAATATGACAACCGTCACAGACCCAAACAACGCTGACCGTGATACTCCTAACATTCTCGCATCCAGCGCAACGCTTCAGATTGGCACCTCGATCTTCATTGCGGCGCCCTCATCCAAAGTCTGGACGGCCCTAACCGACACCTCAACCTGGCCATCATGGAACTCGTTCGTCCCGCGCGTTACGATCCGCTCGCAGCCCGACACTCCCTCCGACAATGAGCACAATGATACCTCCACACTCTCACCGGTCCTCCAACTCGGAACCAGGCTAACCCTCCATGTCTGCATGGATCCGACCTCCTCCCAACCCCAAGCAGTAACAGACGCCCACCACGTCATCACGGAGTACGTCCCTCCGGACGCGGCCAAGGGAACTACGGGCCATTTTTGCTGGGCGTCGGACTTTGACGTACCGGGCACGATGGGTCCGTCATTGTTGAAGGCGGAGCGAGTGCATGAGATTAAGGACGTAGAGATCACAGAGGGAGAGAATGTGCTGCGCGGGACGGAGGTTAGGAACTGGACGTGCCAGGTTGGGTGGCTTGTTTATGTGGTCAAGTGGATGTATGGCGAGCAGCTACGTCGGAATTTCGAACTTTGGGTTCAGGATCTGAAGAATTATGTGGAGGGGTTGGATTCGGAGACTTAGCAGGCCGATAATATGGTGATGCTACACAGATGCCTGGATGATCTAGTAATTATTGCGTTGTATTTATTATATCACATATGCTCTCCACTAACACCTTCTAAACAGGGTATCTCGACAAAAATAGAAATGGAACGGCAGGAATGGTATGTATCCGAGAGAAATCCGGGATATATGCAGGGGAAAATGCAAGAAACAGGTGATATATGGGACGAAAAAAGAATGCAAAGAGAACGGCATCAAGTCGAAGCGAGAACCAACCACTCCGGCGGCGCAATGCGCTGCGTCGGATCTTTGCACACGGCAGGCTGGATGATACGCTCGACAACTCCCTTCCGCGGAACACGGCAACCGTTCGTGCCCGAGCGCGCAAACTCGATAATCTGCTGACCCTCGCGCGCCATCGCGAGACGCTGCAGGTTACTCGACCCGGGGTATAGGAGCAGATCGCCCGTTGCAGCGGCCAGCAGCGTGGCGGCCAGAGAGAAAACATCCGAGGCCGGCGTCGGGGCAACGTCCCCAGAAGTCAGGGACGCGAGAGATAGCAGTTCCGGGGCAGTGAACGGCGGCGTGAATGCAGACATTGCTGTGCGAGAGGTTGTATCGTTCGGTGAGGGCGCAGCGTCCGTAGGGAGATCCAACGCGGACGAAAAGTCCGCGAACAACGGGTCATATGGGAAGATATCTTCATCTTCAAAGTCAATGTCCGAGGCGCTAGGGCGCAGGAGGATATTGTGCGGCTTAACATCGCCGTGCACAATGCCCGCCGTGTCATGGAGCCATTCCAATCCACTAATCAATTTGCGGGCTAGATCTTGCCACGCGCCGGGTCCTTGGATGGGATTGAACATCGTCGCGGTGGTTTGCTTCTTCCGCGCCAGATCGGCCGTGTCTTCAATGTAGGTCGACAGCGCGAGCGGAACGGCTGACATGACAAGCGCCTCGGATTCGGCGAGATAGCCGTGGAAGGGGACGACGTGGCGCTCGAAGCCCGTGGTGAGGTTGAGGCGCGTCAGAGTTAGGGCTTCGGCTTGAAGCACGGGGTGGGCGTCGCGTCGATGCGGTGCTTTCACGGCCAGTACCCGCCCCACAGCTGTGGGTGAGCTGGGCGGAGTGCAGGGTGCAAGACTCGAGGTGGCGCAGGGCTTTGATTGCGCTTTGTACACGATGCTCCAAGCTCCGCGGCCGAACTCAATGGGACGGTCTTGGACATCGCGGCTGATTTCCACTTCGTCCGGGAAACGCAGCGGAGACCAGACTGTCGGTCTGGCTGGATGTGCTACCTTTGCTTCAGCTGGAGCCTCGATAGGACTGGCGATTGATTGTTCTGCTGTGCTGCGGTCTTTGACAGTCGGAGTCACCGGAGGCGTGAGACTCGGCGGTGTTGGATCCGGCAATGGAAGTGCTTTACCATCCTGACTGGTTTGGACCGCTAGCTGCACTGGCGAGTGTGCCGGCGTCATGTTGCTTGCGCAGCGAGCGGTTTGTTTCCGAATTCGTGGTGATGGAGATGGTAGTGACTCGATCTATGAGAGGAACTGATCTGCACTGGGGAAAAAAAAGCACCGCAAGAGACGAGGACCAGGGGCCGACGCCAGTGAGATATCACTGATATCAGCAACGCCACCGGCCGCAAGTGCAATACTGCGCGATTCCAGCAATCCTCATAATCCCACGGTTTCGGCAATGGGTGGTGACGCGGTGGCGACGAATAGTAACCAAAGAACAAAACAAGGCCAATTAGCCCCGGCCGGGTGAAATGACTCAGAAGTGTCACCGTGAATGAACTCAAGGGGAAAAAGAAAGAAAGCAGAGCCGAGGGGAACGGCTGGCCGTAACAGGGTGCCGCCGGGGGAATGGCAAATGAGGGCTAATTAAAGATGAGTAGCGAAAATGAAAAAGAAAAAAGCGGGCTAACGGGATCAGCCGGGTCTCGACCGTAGCAAACAGGAGAATAAATGATCATTTGGTACACTACTAACTAGAGCCCTGACAGAAAACCGGCGGGAGGGACCACCGCAAGCCCCAATGCGACGGTGGCATGGTGGGTTTGCAACCGGAAAATGGGCGATCACATTTTTCTTGCCCTGGCGTTCGCGCCGATCGCTTTGGGGTCCGTGTTTAGATTTGGGATTTAAATTTCCCTTGCCGGCGAACTGATTTTAAAATAATTCATCGGTGTGGAGGCTGAGCCGCAATTAGGCCGCGAATTATGTAGGGAACGACTAGTAACGGCTGCCAGTCGGATTGACGATTATTCGTCGGTCTATGTAGCTCGGGGTATATTAACCGTCCAATGCTTCAGCCTCGTGCTCGTCCCTGAGTTTTGAAGCGGGCAGCTATAGGCGCCGCTGACGCAACTTAAAAATGCCTTCGATAGTTAGTGGATCCCTCGTGGGTATGCTTTCTGTTGCACATCATTGGGGTAGTATACAGTTCCATCTAATCATAATATACAAAGTATACAAATGTCTGGTTAGTGCAATTTATGAGCCGGTACAAAATCCCCTCCAGCGCGGAACGCCGTCAACGTCCCGCCCAACATCCGGCTCAGTTGCACCGTCGATACATTCGTCGCCGTTCGCTTGTACTCTACTATGATGTCCCAGAGGACGCGAACTGGGAGAGACCGCAGCCGGCAAGTGCTCAGGTCATAATCCAAATTCTCTTGGTAGAGGGTATTCGGGTCTGCTGAATTGGGATCTTCCAAAGCAATAGGGCCTGCTCCGGGCTTGAGCCGCTTGGTAGCGTACTCAGCAAGGCTCGGAATAGCCTTGACAATGTCATTGACGGGCCGATTGATGAATATTAACGGCAAGAAGTCGGACAACGGCATGGCGCCGCGGTTGTTGGCGGCGAGTGTAAATGATTCATAGATCCGGAGCAGGTCATGCTGTTCCTCAGGTGGGAAGGAGTGGAGGTGTTGGATGATGGGTGGGTTCGGGTCGGCTTCAAAGTAAACGAGACATCGGGACTTCTCACGAGGATACTCCTCTTCTGGATCGATACGTAGAGGCTCAAATGGCCGCCGATCCCAGAGCAGGATGGAATCATCGAAATTGTTGGATTGCTCTGCCGCACGGTCGTCATCGATGCGCTGGAGGGCGGGATTCCGAAACTTAACCAGAGCCCGATCCGTCTTCTCACTCAAGGCAGACTGGAGAGTTGCGATTTGGTCGTCAAGCACCTTCAACTGCTCCTGACTCTGGTTAGGATTTGCCGCGGCGCGCGACAACGTACGACTCAATTCGTCGAGCTCCAAGGCCATTTTCGCAATGACCTCGCGCGCATGTGCCTGTGAATTTTCATGTTTTAACCGACTGATAGCCGTGCTCGCAATTCGCTTGTGTTTTTGTTTGTCGGGCGTATCCTTCTTCTCCGCCTGACGGCCTCTTGCAATGTCCTTCATGATCTGTTTGTGGGAATCGACGAATAATCGGGGAATATGAGGCAGAGGATTTTTGCCAGCCTCGGGGCTCTCGGGCGCCATTGGAATGGCAACAGGTTCTCGACCGGCGGGAGTAGTTATCCCCTGTGCTGCGGTCCGCTCAGCCACCCGTTTCGCGCCTCGAGTGAGCACGTCCCACCCCTTGATGTTACACAACAACTCAGTATCGGAGTCATAAGGGCTTGCGACCTCAAACGTGTGTAAAGCAACAGTATCTGTCAAAATAGACGCGCGCTTGCGATGGTGAACGGCCCGTGGTAGGACTGCCTGCATTTCTGAAACCGGCAGGGAGGCCAACACGCGCACGCTGCCGTACCTATGCAGTCCAGTTTGTTGCATACAGCTCTCCATCAGGTGGGACCACCAACGAGACGGGGTATAATGGTCCCTTTTGGAAACTGGAAGCGTCGGGCTGGCCAGAACGAGCAGGGCATCGTTCTTTGGTAATGAATCGGTATTATTCCTGCTCGGTGGCCCTTGCTCCGGCAGGTATTTCGTCATGATATCATCCCAATTGTTCTGTTTATAAATATTCATAGACAGAAGTTCGTAGCATGGCTTGCTGTTGGCAAGAGGCCGCAGCATGGGTCCGAAATATTGGAGAGTTGGCTCGATCAGGACATGTCGGCGAGGCCGAAGGAGGTCGTTGACTTTGGATGACCACAACCCGCAGCCGGGCCATAGGTCCAAAATGTCGAGCGGAGCGTCCCTGCGGAGAAAGGGAGACAAGCGATGGAGGATATCATCTGCCGATGCACATTCAGCGTTCCGGTTGCGAATCAAGATACAAGTAAAGACTTACCGCACAGCCCGTCACTCACCAGCTGCGCCCTCGGTACGATGCGTCCCTTCTTCGACCAGACATGATCGTATAGGGTCTGGGTTATTGGGAAGCGTGCGATGGGCCTCAGATTCGAGACTGGGGGGGTCATTGCCGTGCGGCCATTGAGCTTAACTTAGCTTGGGAGTTGTCCACAGCAAGAGTTGGAGAGGAACTTTTTATTTGATTAGTTATCGCGAACAACAACAGCATCCGCCAGGCACCCACTTGACTTGATCTTCCCTCCACTCTCTGACTGGCCCAACCCTCTCCTGGCCGCCTCGATGCGGCTCATTCCTCTACGTCTGCTGCTGGGCTTCGCACCGCGGTGATCGCATTTTCTTGTTGGCCATGACGCACCCATCCGGCCGTGGCGCTGCCCCGCCTCAGAGCGTCGAGTCCATCACCAAAATTGCCCAGGACTACGAGTACAACTCATCTATTCCGCTGCGGTACTGGCTGAGGACGGCGACCACGCTCGTTCGAGAGGTCAGTATTTCCGCTCCATCTCTCATGCGTTGCCCATCCGCTGACTCGTCCGAAACATCTAGGCCGACATCTACGAGCGCGAGGGACGCGACGAACAAGTCTATCTGCTGCTTTTTCGACACGCCCAGCTGGTCCTGGTCAACCTCTCCAGCCACCCTGATGCCAAAGATGACAAGACACGCAAAGCCCTTGTGGAGGCCGAGAAGGAGGTACAAAAAAACCTTGCCAAGCTAGAGGTCCTCAAGCCCCGGATCAACAAGCGATACGAACGCTACTCTCAGTTAAACAAGGATCGTCAGGCTCGAAAACAGTCTGCAGCACAACAACCCATTGCGGTACAGCGAGATAGGGTGCCCGATCCCGCGCTGGCTGGCGTGGTCGAGCCTCTGGAAGCTGGAAAAAACAGAGACCTAGCTGTTCGCCTGGCGCAGTCCGAGATCCACCGCCGAGCCACAATTCGACGCTCAAAGGAGCCACCGGGCGATGTAGGGGACAACAAACGTGTCGCAGGGGTCTGGGGTGATTGGGAAGAGGACTTGAAAACGGACAGTCCGTCATCGGATCGCGAGTTGAGCCGGCGGATCCAGCACCTGAGGAACAATATCGATCACACGTCAACTGATCAACCCCCCCATGTCCAAGATTCGTCTGCTGCCCGCGCGGCCTCGTCCCCGGCGGCGTACAAGTATCCCACGGTGCCACGGCAGAAACCGCTCGAGCCGATTTCGGGAGGCCGCATTGCCATCTATGACAAGAATGCAGAGCGCCAGCCGCCACCAATTCTGCCTCCCAAAGAGCAGATCGTTGAACCCAGCCGAGCTTCCATTGTGGACGGGTCACTGGAACCAAGCCCGCCCCTGCCTCCGTCCAAGGTTTCACCAGTTCCGCTTGTCCCCCAGAAAGTACAACCTCCTGACGCCACTACCTCAGCACGACCCGATCTCGATCCTTCCAGCTATACTTTCAAACCCTCCGCGTATCTTGAGAACGGCACTCCTCTCCGTTCTGTCTTTTTGCCGGCCAACCTTCGCTCCCGCTTCTTGTCTGTGGCCTCTTCAAACACCCGCCGCAATCTAGAGACATGTGCCATTCTCTGTGGAACATTGGTCTCCAACGCTTTGTTTATCTCAAGGCTCCTGATCCCGGAGCAAACCTCCACCCCTGACACCTGTGAAACGGTAAACGAATCCGCCATCTTTGATTACTGCGACTCGGAGGACCTGATGGTGCTCGGCTGGATCCACACACACCCGTCACAGACATGCTTCATGAGCTCGCGTGATCTCCATACCCACTGCGGCTACCAGGTGATGCTACCGGAGAGTATCGCCATCGTATGTGCGCCGAGTAAGGACCCGAGCTGGGGCGTGTTCCGGCTCACTGATCCACCGGGCCTGAAGACAGTGCTGAACTGCACCCAAACTGGTCTTTTCCACCCGCATGCCCAGGAGAACATCTATACCGGTGCGCTGAGACCCGGCCATGTTTTCGAAGCGAACGGACTTGAATTCGAGACTGTGGACCTGCGTCCTGCCTCACAACGTTGATTACTCTAATGTTCTACGATATCAATTCGGGTATCCAAGGACCTCGTGTAATTCCAATGCAGTCTGCTTGGATTGACCATTTATCAAATTCCCCGGAATCTCTCTGATCTCTTACTCCGGCTGCGCACGCGAACGGGACCGTTTAGCGGAGTGTGACCGCCGCAAAGCCCCAGACCCTGAACTAGCCCGTGCCTTTCGCGAAGGTGTAGGTGAGCGTCGCCCCTTTCGGCCGCCAGGTATTGTCGTCGTTCTCTGTGTGGCCCGCCGATCGGCTCTTCGCCACTGCGAACCGCCCTTGCTCTGGGCGTCTTCGTCGAAGTCCTGGTTGGCGAGGTTGCCTGGATTGGAGCGAGTGTTCCGGGAGGACGTGGTTGATTGCCGTAGATACTCTGTTTGTTGGGTTTGTGGTGGTATGTTGTTGCGATTCTGGAGGCGTATGTATTGGGCTTCATTTATACCATCTTGTATGTTGCCACGGGCCTCATGATTGCGTTGTTAGATGGCAAATCAGAAATCGGACAAGTCTTCCGTGCAAAATACACATGATTTAGATCTAAGTGAATTTAAATATCAACCCTTTGGTCCGAAGCCCTGGAGAACCACGCCATTGCACTTGTCTAGTGGTGGACTTGGTGCGCGCATGCGGGTTTATAGTATAGATTCGATGTCAAGATATCAAGTCAAGATACCAAGTCAAGATAACATTGTGAGCCAGGAAAGTATCATGCTGGCCACTCCTTGTGCAACAACAACAACACTACCATTGCCTCAATAATAATAATCCTGGCTTGTATGGGTTTGTTGTGAAGAAAGTGCGTCGTAGGTTAGGGTTGCACCCGGCGATGCTGACTCCCCAGATGATAAGCGTATCGGCGAACCAGCTAACTTCCGCTGGCCTCTTCTTCTACACTCTGTATTCCTCCGTTTACTACTTGAACTCTTCAATTGACCTTTTCCTGTCCGCATGTCGTCTTCATCACAGGGAGATATAACCTCCTCCGACACCCCTCCCATCTCCACCCCACGCTCCAGATCCCGCACGCCCCAAAGACCAAACAATAAGTCCTCCACCTCCTACAACTCCGCCGCATCCTACTTCTCGTATCCCGTCTCGCACGTCGTCTCAGGTCTCTACCGCCGTCTGACAGACCCAACCATAGCCGCCATGCCCTCCTCCTCACCGTGGTCGACGGCCTCCTCGTCCTCGGAAGTCTTCACTCCACGCCGAACAGCCTCACCCTTCCAGCCCCCGCCACTCACACCACTCACCCTCACCTTGCCCACAGGCTCCGACCTGCTCCAGCAACAGCTGCTCACCCGCGCCCTCGCTGAGGAAATCCGCCTGCTCGTCCCCGCGCGCCTCCAGCTCGTCGACACCTGGCGCCTCGCGTACAGCCTCGACCGCGACGGCGCATCCCTGGCAACTCTGTACGAGAACTGCGAGCGATTCTCGCACCGCAGCCCGCGGGCGGGCTACGTGCTCGTCGTCCGCGACGCTTCCCCCGCCGGCGCAGTCTTCGGCGCCTACATGACCGACGCGCCGCACCCGGACTCGCAGTTCTTCGGCACGGGCGAGTGCTTCCTCTGGCGGGCGAGCGTGCTCCCGCCGCCCTCGACCATGCCTCTATCTTTCACGGGCGACGGGCCCCAGTCGGAGGAGGATTTCGAGCGCTTTGGTCTTCCGCCTCCGCCCTCGGCGGATACTACCAACGCCGGAAGATGGAGCACCTTGCGCAACGACCCCAAATCGAAGTCTCCCGCCCGCTCGGACTCGCCTGCTCACAACCTCAATATGAATATCAAGACCAACCTTGCGGCGGCGAGTGGTGGTGCTCTCGCCCCGCCGTCTCCGTCGTCTATCACCGCTCCCTCACGCAGCAGCGGCGCCAGCACCCCAGAACGGATCCGCTTCAAGGCCTTCCCATACAGTGGCGTGAACGACTACATGATGTTTTGCGAGACCGGGTTTTTGAGTCTGGGTGGAGGGTAAGTAACCAATTTTAACCCATGATTATTCGTTTTATTTGCTCACTGGGTTTAATTATCAGGGATGGTCGCTACGGGCTATGGGTGGACTCCAGCCTGGAAAAGGGCGTCAGCTCCCATTCCCAAACTTTCGGCAACGAGCCGCTCTCCGATGAAGGCGACAAGTTCGATATCCTCGGCGTCGAAGTGTGGTATGTTGGCTCGTGAATGCATTGCGTATATACCGCTGGCGCAGATGTATACATATGTGAGGAGAGAGAAGGTGAACAGCGCATATAAGGGGGATGACGCGAAAGGAAAGGAAAAGAAAAAGAACACACGTGACAAGGAAAGAAAAAGGCGAGGAAGACCAAAATAATTGGATGTGTCTATGCATCGGGCTTATATGGTGAACCTGAATCTTCATCTACGGAGGGGAGGAAAAGGGAAAGAAAACTCGGGTTGGCTGCATTTCCTTCGAATACCCGGGCAGTGGTGCGATGCTGGATCTTCTCTATCGCTGTCCTGCCTTTTGTCTGCGTTCGATTTTGGTTGGTTTAGCGTTCGTTCCTCATGGAGGCGATGGTGATATATATCAGGAGAATAGGGATGCCCAGTGGATGAATATGACAACCACTTACTTAGAATAGGAAGTCAATAATAACAATACCTATAATCAAATGTTGTTGATGTTTGAGGTGGCACTCCCGCATAGCGACTATATCTAAAGGCAAGCTACGTCAGATACATAGATGAATGGATGATTGATTGATTAGTTGATCGACCTTGATCTGCGCTGCACACTAGCTAAGCTATCTAAGCGACTATCTCATCGTCGCCTGCATTAATTCCTCGCCTAAAGCGCGCAACGAATTAACGGGGAAAAGATGTAACAGAAAAACCAGGGGGATCCGAAATAGTTACAGAAAGGAATTAAAAAGAAAACATCAGGGGGTATGGGAATAATGGTACAAAATCCAAAGAGAAATAAAGAAATAGTTCAACGACGGAGAAGATTAATACGGGGAGTTGACAATGTCATTCCTGCCGAGACGGCTGCCCCATCGACCGCCGGTGCTGCGCCGACTGGGCGTCACAGGTCCCGCGATGCTCTCGCGCGTGGGTTTCTGGAAGCTGCGCTTGGCGACCATGTTGACCTCGTTGGGAAGAGCAACAATGACGTTCTTGTCTGAGCCGAAGCGGAAGTTGTCGGCCATGACGTTCTCCTCGTAGCGTTTGATAGTGTAGGGATCCTTGCGGCCCGCCAAGACCTTCTTCATACTCCAGGTGATGATGAAGGGGCCCGTGGCGGTGATGATGGAGGTTTCTTCGCTCTCGACACCGGTGTTGAAGCGGGCAGGGGTAAAGCTGAGGGGCTGCTTAGTCTCATGCTGGAACTGTGCGACGTGTGCGGGCTGCAAGCCCAGGCGACGGGGTTGGGGCTTTGCGTCTTTGGCAAATGACTTCTCGAATCCGAGCTTGCCTTCATTTTTCCCGTCCTTTTGCAGCGAGTCAATGAGGAGGAGATAGGTGCGGCATGTGGCCAGCACCCAGCGTCCATCAGCGGAGACATCAAGGCCAATAATCGGCTCACCCAGGGCAGGAATGTGTGTCTTTGCGTTGATGCCTAGTCGATCGAACATGCGGATGTCACCCTTGTTCGACGCGACGGCAAGGTAGCCCTTCTCGGTGGTGGCCAGGGCCGAGAAGTCGTTCTTGCTGACGTATTGCTTAAGGTCGGCATCGACGAGCTTGTTACCAGACACACGAGGGTCGACCCGATAGAGGGCATTCTTGGATGCACCCACAAAAGGCTGAGCAGATGTCATTTGGGAGAATTTCTGTGAAGATAGTTAGTCAATATATCTTTTTGAAAATGGAAAGACAACCCACGTTTTCTGGCGCGAAAGTCTCCACGGGAATATCATCATGGACCTTCCACTCGTCCACAATCTTGCCGTATTCGAGATCCATCCGGTACAGCGAATTCGGATCGTCCTCGTTCTGTAGAACCATATTGCTATCCTCCGCATGCAGCATGACCTTCTTGGGGCTAAAGAGTTTGCCTTTGGGAGTTTGGACCTTTGAGATGTTCGTAGAGAACTCGAGGTTGTTGTTGGGTGTATGCTTGAAGACGCCGATCTTCGATCCTCGAACGACAAAGGACCGGTCGTGCTTGTAGCCCACTGCCAGCTGAGAGTTGACATTCCCATCTGCATCACGGGTGATGACATCTTCCTCTTCTTCATCGGAGTCGTAGTGCTCGCTGCGCTGACCGTCATCCTGATCGGTTTCGTCTTCCTCCTCGGCCTCCTCTTCCTCATCTTCTGGCTGGTCATCCGCATCTTCCATCGTGAGGTCCTGGAAGGCATCCAACACGTATTCTTGATCCTTCTCCTTGACCTTGTTCCACTTCATCTCATTGAGTTGCTCCCAGAGCGCCTGCATCAGGCCCTCCTGGAACCGTTCCTCAGAGTTCTGGTCCCTGAATCGTAGCAGCCACGAATAGGCTGAGCCATCTTCTCCATAGTGGTTGAAGATGAACGAGAGGTATTCAAAATTAAAGACGGGGTTGATGTCTGCGACGACTGCTTGACCTAACCACTCCTTGTCCTTGCCGCTGATCTGCATCCAGTACTGCCAGGTACCAATCTCGGACACAGTTGCCGTGATTTCGGGATCCTGCATCACAAAAGTTCCTGTTGAGAAATCATAGAGATGTAGCTCAGCTTTCTCCTTGCTGAGAATTTCCTTGACTTCAGGCTGAGATGCAGCGGCCGGAGCAGCCGTTGGCTCCTCATCGGCCGCGGGTGTCTTGATCTGGCCCTTGGACTGAGCATACTTCACATCGCGTGCCATTGCCGCCGCCGAATCGGCAGATGTTAAAGGATGCGCGTGAGACTTTGTGGTCGGGGACGAAACCGGGCTCGCAGACGGGATCGGCTGCTCCTCACCGAATTGAAACTCCTGTAGCTCCTCTTCCGTGGCCTTCTGGGCGCTGCGGCGGAATTTGCGCTCGTACTGGCACTGGAGTGCGGCCAGCTCAAAAGTAGCGACTTTGTCTGAAGGGACCGAAGCGTCGCAAATAAACTCGAAGAGGTCACCCACGTCACCGCTCAAATCATCCCACGCCAGAACCTTCACCGAGCCGTCACGAACCTCCGAGCGAAAATGCAAGGTTTGGTCGAGCAAGAAAATCTTCTCGTCCTTGTCTAAGCTATCGGCACCGCCCTCCTCGTCCTCGTCATCGGCGAGTTCCTCCTCACCTTCCTCATAGGCTCGCTGGATAACCAGCTGGTATTGGAACTCCTGACCGGTGCGACGGATTGTAGCCGCGGCGTCCTTGAAGATGAGCTCGGAGTAACCCTTGGGCGACAACGGTCGGACAAGGTAGAGCTGCCCTTGCGGGATTTCGATGATCGACTCTTTGGAAGTATCACCAAATATGAATTTGCTCACTGGGAGAGAGGGAGCATGTTAGTTCCTGGCTAGTGACAACACAGGTAGGGGTTGGTATGGAGGGGCTTGGGTTTGGCGGGGCAATCAACAGCGCGTTACTTACCATTGCGGAGCATAAACATGGTGGCGAGGGGTAGTTGCTGCTGGGCAACAGAGGTGTGGGAGCAGAGAGGTATAGGGAAACGGAAAAAGGAGAGACGACGAAGATATGACGGAGGGCTAGAAGCAAAGGAAAGACCTTCTTCTGCCTGTGTCAACGGTGAAGGAAAAGAAAAAAGAGAAACACGCAAGAAAAAGGAAATCACTGCCGTCATTGATCATGCTTATGTAATGCATCGCCATCGTCAAAACATCACGTGATGACAAATCTATAGATCGCCTGTTTGTTCTGCTTCTTCTGCTTCCACCCCATCACTGTCACTTCCTGCATCGTCAGCCTCCTGCTGCTTATCTTCATCCACATCATCCCCACTCTCCTTCTTCTGCCTCAGCTTTCCCTGTTTCCGTGCTGGCAAGACGTGCATGAATGCCTCCCCCCAGTCCCTGACCTCAAGCCACCGAAGCATGATCTCCACCACATGATTCGTGGCCAGGACCGAGCGACTCGTCATCTGGATATACTCCCCAATGGGCAGCTTGGCCGTTTTGATCCCCTTCTCCGTGGCCGCCTTGTAGCAGATACCCTTGTGCCGGTTTTTATCCACCAGCCCGCCGATAATATAGGTACTGTAGGGCTTCAGCTCCGTCAAGGTATCCGGGCTGTCGCTGCTGAGATAGATAATCTCTCCATCCTCGGGTCTCGCATCTTGTTTGTCGGCAAACGGTCCAACGAGTTGTCCCCCATGTGGCGGGAGCATCCGTTCCTTGGCTGCCTCGGCGGCATGGACAAAGTCCTCGGGTAGACGCTGGATCTCCTTCCAGTTCTTGTGTCCCGGGAGTACGGTTTCAAAGCGCTCCTTGAGGAGTTTGTTGTACGAGCTGAAGGCCAAGTGTGCCCGGAATGGTGCGGCCGCGTTGTCGGAGTATGAGCGAGTCAACTGAGACGCCAGCGAGATGCGCTCTTTGTCTCTCATCAGCTCATCGTAGCCACAGTCCATTACAAAGGTGATCGGAAGCAGTGTGGAGCGCCGATGCTTCGATTTTGTGCGCTCCCAGCTCTTCCGCAGCTCGGCCACCGCTTCCTCGTCGCCTTTCTGTCGTGCTTCCTCAATCATTTGGCGGCGCCGCTCGCGTTTATTGACCTGCTGTTGTTTTCGTTTGTCCTTGCGCTCTTCACGCTGACTATCCCATTTCTCTCTTCTGCGGAGCTTCTTCAACTGGTTTTTGGACATTGGCGGGGGTTCGGTGGTGGTATCCTTCGCATCGTCGGCCTCGTCGGTTGGGGCCACCGCTCCGGTCATGGCGGGGCCCAATTGCTCTTCGGTCGTCTGGTCATCATGGCCCAGCTTGGGCAATTTCTTCGGGCGCTCTTCATCCTCCATTGCGTAGTGTGCAGACGACAGTTCTGTGTAGATCCGATCAAAAAAAGACCGCCGGCTCCCGTCAGCCAATTAACGACCACCTGATTCATGGCACGTGACCCGGCTGCCACCCTTCGATCGCCAACTTCAACTTCCTGTGCTTCTTCTCATTCTCCCCAGACCAACCCCTCCGCCATAATGCCCCAGGATATGCCCCCAGTGGGGGGCTATGCCTCTGTCCAGTACAAGGTACGCCCATTGACCTGGTTCCGCCATCCAATTTGCTCTCGGGAAATCCCACCAGACAGACAGGCAAGACTAACCATCTCGCCAACAACAGCGGAACGTCCCAGCCCGCGGCTTCAAGCCGGTCTACTACCTCGTCGGCATGCACATGATCATGGCCTACGGCTTCTACAAGTACTTCCACGGCGTCCGCGAGCAACGGTACGTGTCGCGCCGGCTTCCCACCATCCTCCTAATTCAAACCCCGACTACCTTTCAACCCGCTCTCTCAATCAATCCCCTGCCATAACGGAAGACGAGAACACCCAACGAAGAAATTACTAACATACAATAATAGTGAACTCGCCCGCGAGAAGATCTGGTCCCGCCTGTACCTGACCCCCCTCCTGCAAGCCGAGGAGGACCGCGACCAGGTCCGCCGCCATCTGGCCGACAAGGCCCGCGAGAAGGAGCTCCTGGGCACCGAGCAGAAGATCTACAACTCTGACCGCTTCATCCGCCCGACTTACGTCTATACCCCGTCCAAGGTTACCCAATAGACTTCTCGCTGCCTCGAGTTGATGACTCGGTCGTATTCTTTTGTTTGTTCTTGTACGATCCGGTGTGCAAGGGGATGATTGTTAAATCGCTTCGTGGTATGTGAACTGGACCGTACCGCGTTGGACTTGAAGTCTCGAAGGTGATGGGGTATGAAGAGGATGCGGCGGTGGATGGATGTGGTGGAATGATTCGGAAGAAAACTGTAGATATTACTACTACTGATCTAGTTCAGTCTCGCAACATGATTTTCTTTGCCTCGTTTAGACATCTCAAGGAAAGTAAAAAGGGTATCTGTCTAGAATAGTGCTTGAGCACGTTAGGATTGCCTTTTTTGTTTTCTCATCTATAGAACTATGCTCAGAGCGCCTCCACGCTCCAACCGCACAAGGGGTAATCCATAAAGTTTCAGACGTGGAATAAAAGAAACAAAGGGAAACGAAAAGAAAAGTGAACAAAGAGGACGAAAACAATGGTGCGTTCTTTTAGAATGCTTCGAGTTCGTCAGGAACTGGGGGTCACCGTATGTATGTACAAAACATCGGGACCAACGCATTCAGAAGTGATGGATGAGAGGATCACCCGAACAAGTCAGCAACACCGCCGAGATCGGGACCATCGTTGATATCAACTCGGTGATTCTGCTGCTGCGTCTCCATCTCGTTGGACATGTACCTCTCCTGCAGGGCTGTGCGAGCCTTGCGGCGTTCCTCGCGCGAGCCGAGAATCTTACCCTGCTCAGCGATGCTGATACCGCGCAGAGGCTCGAGAAGTTCGAGGATGATGGCACGCTGCTGCCGCGGAGAAGTGCATCTGTGAAGAGAGGACTCGGTCTGCGCGATCTTTTGCTCGTCCAGTCCAGGCAAGCTGAGGAAGACGGATCGGGGAGTTGAGCTGCAGGGCCCGTAGAGAACCCAGATCGAGGCGATCAGCTGGGCGAGATCCTTCTGCATGTCCACAAAGTATGATTCGTGCACGGATGTGATGCATGCCTTGAGAACGTCGGTGCAGATGAATTCGCGAATCGTCACGGTAGTAGGGCTGTTGTTAGGGGGTGCAAAGTCCTGCAGAATCGATCGGATCACGCGAGTGATAATGCTGCAGCATCTGGTATCGCGCATGCTCAAAGCGTGCGTGCAGAAAAGCATGAGGGGCTCGAAAATCTCCGGGGAGGAAAGCACGAAGTGTCGGATCGAATCAGACAATTCTGGCGTCGTCTGAGGTGCGCTGGGATCTGCCTCAGCTCTATCTGGGTCTGGTCGGTCGTGTGGCATCAGTATGTGGTCCTTGATTATTCGAATCGGCGAAATATACAGGGGGAATTTCATACCGCCTCTCTGCGGATCGAATAAGCTGGCAACCATGATCACAGCAGAATATGTCAACTGGCGCAGGACACTTTCAGATTTCATCTCGTCCGTGAGGTCATTGCCATCTGAAACGCCGGTCCTCCGCTGCTCAATCACCTCCCATTCCGCGGTAACTTTAAGGTCGATATTGGCGAACAGGGCAGCAAGCATGGGTGGCAGGAATTGGCTGCGGAATCGTACAGGACAATCATCAATCAGACAGCGAGAGATGTTAAGGAGTACAGAGAACTGATGAGAAGAGAGATGGGATGAGTCGTTGAATAGAGCTTCAGATAGGGGGCCAGGGAGTTCGGCGAAACCGTAGAAGTGTTCGCGCATTCTACTCATGCTAAACAGCATCGAATAGCAGGCTTCGCGGACCGCTCGGATTTTACCTCGAACAGAGGAGGCAAATCCCTCGAGCGTTGCCTTGGAGGCGGTGATCCGGGCATAGAACTCGTCACGGCTGCCGCTGGAAATGCCAGCCTGCCAGAAACGGTCGGTCAGGATTCGTTCGACAACCGCACGCATGTCATCGGACACATTCCAGTTGGCGGGGTTATGGAAAGCATGGGCATGGCTAGCCAGCTGGTTAGTTTCATGGTTTGACACAAGAGGGTAGGACTTACCTGACTAGTTGAAGAAGCGTTGTGAGAATCTGAGGGATGAGATCATGCCACATTTCGCAAGCAACTGCGTATGCTGGGGCTGTCTTCTTCAACTTGTCCGTAGACACGGCCAGCATGGTCTTGGTGCCGCGCAAAGGAAGCATCTACGGTTTTTCCATCAGCCTGAGACCGTAAGACGTAGTGAATATCACCTACCTGGAATTTCCGGGTCATTTCTTCCTGCACCAGCTTGCCTTCATTGTCGAGAGAAACCGACGACCAATCCAGAAATTTATGTGCTTGCTTGCCCTGCATGTATGGACCGACGTTCTCCAATCCAAGCATGTGGCAGAAGCCGTCGAAAGAAGAGCTCATGCGCTTGAATTCCTCGTCTTGCCAGGCCTGTCGAATGGGTTCAAGGAAGGATGATAGGCGAGACTGCCGCAAAAACGGGTCGACATTGTTCGCTCGTTGCCTGTACCAAGTCAGTACGAGCCCTTAACACACCGTATAGACGATCATGATACATGATGATGAGAAGAATCGAGGTCAGCTCCATTTGCAGCTTGTCATCCACTCGATTGGTCAAGGTGATCTCTTTGATCTTTGGTTCAAGCACTTCATAGAAGGCCTATTTACCCGGTCATGTCAGTACCTCCTACAAAAATATTGAAGCACGATTGATGTCAACTTACGGAGAAATCATCCGCATATCGCATGGCGAGGCGGCGCAGTTCGTGACTGGCCAGTCCGTGGAGCTCCTTAACGGCCTCAGAGTAGGCAGGGTGATCAGGCTGATCTGGGAGACGGGTCATAAGAATATGCTCGAGAACTTTGAGTGCAAACCCCGAATGATTGTCCAGAGCTTTGGATGAAATGTCAACAACAAGCTTGATGACCTTTTGTTTCATGACCGGGTCATCATAAGTTCTCTGCATCAGGCTCGTGGCCCAATTCTCCACCGCCTGTTCCAACTCGATTCGTTCTTGCTCCTATACCAATCATTAGCAATGGAAAACATTGGATGGGCCAATATGAATACATCTCGTTGGGGCGCTTTGCCGTGGGCGGTAATCCACTTGTTGTAACCCTTGATGACCGCCTCCACGACTGCGAATTGGGCATCTGCACGCATGAGAGGAATGGTGGATTTGCTGAATTTTTCCATGCTAAACGGCTCCGCACCGCTGTACAGATTGTTCAAATTCTCATCCACTCTTCCCAGAATTTCGCTTACTGCCTCTTGAGGGCGTTTTTGGGTGATGGCTTCGATCACTGACGAACAGTATCGGCGGTAGTTGCCGACGAATGCATGCCGTTCCGGTATGGTATCGATATCTTCAATGAGGAATTGGACCGTGGGATCATCTGACTCCATGGGAAGTGACTCCCAGCGTATCAATCGGGAAGTGCAAATGTTAAGTAACTGGGGAGTAAGATCCACAACGAAGTCCAAGCCGCTAATCTTCTCAACCCCAAGTAACTTTGTCCACGCATGCAGGACGGGGATCGAGACCGTCAGGCTCTGATGGTGCATGATACTGGTCATGAAGTGGACAAAAGGTGGAAGGTTCAATCGATGCATGTTGTCCCGTAGGAACTTGTCATCCTCCAGACAGCCAGCAAGGTACGACATCATTTCTGAGAGCTTTTTGGAAATCAAATACTTGGGTTCATCGACATCGTCCGGGCCCACGACTGACCATTCGTACAGTTTTTGGAGAATGGTCAGGTACTCCGTATCGTAAACAAGACAGACGAGTGATTGTGAATCCTCGTTGCCCATGTTGTTCCTTCCGTATAGTGCGTGCAATGCCTCAATAGCTCGTAGTAGCACTTGCTCATCCTGACAGGTCAATGCCCTGAAGATGCTGGGAACAACCGGCGCCGACGTAATTGCTTTATAGACAGACCACGAGAGTGCAGACCGAAGGGTCGCCAGAGCTTTGATAGCCGCATCCCGAGCTTGCGGTGAACTCGAAACATTCTGGACGCAGTTCTCAAGGAATTCGCAGATGCGCATAATCCAACCTTCCTCCCCACAACGCAGCAAGGCATTAGTATTGCTATCCAGATGGATTTGTTCGACGATGCCGGCAGGCGTAAAAATCTCCACAAGGGCCCGGTTCAGTTCGGTTCCGCGCAGCGACGACACGATGTCCTCGCGAAAGAAGATGTCCTCGGACAAAGTCTCCAGAACGGAGAGCACAAGCTCCTTGTGAACGAGCGACGCGCCCCAGAACTGAACCAATGCAGCATCCATATCCATCCAATCCAGGCCCCAGCTTTTCTTCGCCGTCTCGGCCCAAAGCTGAGGAATTTTGTTGCGAAGATAAGTCGGGTCCTCGGGTCGAATGTTTTCAGCGAGCTGCAAGACCATGCTCCGAACATTCGCGCATTCTTCCGTGTCGGTGAATGACAAGTGGCGTAGGACGTGGTCCAAGAGAGTCAGGCCGAAGTAGCGCACCACAGGCGCGTGGTCAGCGCGGGAGGCCAGCAGGAAGCCATTCCGTGCCGCCGCACTACTGTCCTTTAGGGACTCCACGAACGTCAGGGCTTCCTTGCGCAATTCATTTGTGGACGAGGGGCTGTGAATCAGCTCCAGCGCCCGAATGATGTCGGCCATGCCGCCCTCTGACAGCTCCTCCGCAGCCATTTTGTCGAGTCCAGGGCCTAGTATTCAGCTGTTTGCTCGTTCGTCTCGTATCAGAAGTATTGAAAGCTTTTCTTCATGATCGGAGGGTCGCGGTCGAGGTCGTCCCGGCTGGGGCAGGGAATGGCCGTTGAAACCGTCCGGCGCGTCTGTCGTTTAGCAGGCGGACACGGCAGCAACGGCCATTGGAAGGCGAGGGAGCGACGCGGGTAGTGTAAACGAAGGAGGGAAGGAAGAGTTGGGAGTGGGGGAGAGCAAGTTTTGTTGTGGGTGGTGAGCAGGGACAAGAAGGGAAACAGAGAGAGGGTGAGATGCCGAAGAAGTTGAGTTCGCTGAGTTGGACCGGGCTGAGAATTTTCCAGAGGGGCAGCTGCCCTCACGCGCTCACACCGCTCACTCTCGATGACCTCGGCGACTCAGATACTATTCTAGGATAGACTACGGGTCGATCTCTTCGATGGCTTTCCTGTCTCTGGCCCTGCCCTCTCCCCGGTGCCATCGTCGCCTGCCCCTCATCGTCACCGATTGTTTTATCTTATCTTGCGATCCATGGATCTTGGCTCAACATAAAAAGCAACCAGATGGAATTCATTCCCCAAGTAAACACGGCGAAAGCTACAACCCAGATGCAATTGAAAAAAATCATAACAGCAAAAGTGGCATCACATCATCACGCATTGGCCCCGCTGGCATTGCTCGAGATAACCGATATCCTCTTCGGATGGGTGTCCGAGCTCGCCCGGTTTGCGCCTGACCCCCTCGACCTTGAGAGATTGATCCCCTTCGGCATGCCACCATCGTAGGCGCTGGATCTTGACAGTCCGGATTTCCTGGGTGTCAATCTCCCACTTGCCCCCACTGACTTCGACGACCGTGTTGGGTTCCGGGAAGTGGAAGTCCGGGAGAAAGATCTCGGTGGGAGCATCTGGTGCCGTCGGCACCTTGGCGTTCAATGACATTGTGAACGTGCATTTCTTGAGATCGAAGACGTGGTTGACCATCCGCCCGCTGACGTAGATAGGACTGGGGCGCAGGAATGCCTCTGCCGCACGGTAACCCTGCTTCTCTCGAAGCGGTGATTGGGAGTGTGCTCTGATGGATGGGGAGACCAATGCCCCTTTGAGGTTACGGGGTCCGACCTCATGCTCTTCCCCACTACTCTGGCTTTCGGAATAGGACGCAGAGTGAGGATTCATGGAGCGGATGTTGGTCGCACCGGGCAATTCCAGGTCCTCAGGAGAGTAAATTGACAGATCCTCTCCGTTCCATTGGTCACCCCATTCATGGTTATTCTAAACAGTGTCAGAGAAAGTCCTATCTGACCATCAGGAGGGGCCAAACTTACCTGTGTCACATAAACCCACAGAGTAAACCCATTGGCGGTGCTACCCTCAAGAGCAAAGTGGTTCGCATCCATAGCGCTGATCTGGCCGCTATAATCCCCGGTTTGATATGCCTTTTTATCGTCCATATCGTACGGGATGCCGTTTTCAGTGAACAACAGTGGGTGGTTCCCCATGTAATTCAAACTCTCATCGCGAAGGAATTTGAGCTGGTCTCGCAAGCAGTTCCGGATCGCGGTCTCGCCAATCTTGACTCCGAAGGCCGGGGTGAGATATTTGCCTCGAAGGACACCGATAACGTCCACATTATATAGTCGATTCCTGCAGCCATTAGCACTGTAACCATCGTGAGAACCGGCAGCGCCTACCAATGCTTCGTCATAAGAGTTAGGCCGTCGTAAAAATGCACTGCATGGACCATGTTTGGATCATCATCGGGCGTTCCCTTTATATCAGGAGGGACTTCCATGACAGGTGGTTGGCACAACATAATAGCCTCGGGCCATACGCTGCGAATAGCGTCTTTATATGCACGATAGTGGTCCAGGAAATAGCTGTTGGTAAATTTCTCATAGTCAAGCTTCTCCCCAGTCTGGGGGACTTTTGAGAAGTAGTCCTTTTGGAGTAGCGTGTCTGTGGACGGGTCCCAGACTCCATGTTGTGCCCACACACACTCACCCAGCTTCCAACCGGGATCTCGTTGCCAACCATACTTGCTATCATCATGTTCGGCTGGTAACCATGCCGACTCTCCCTCTGGGTCCACGAGTTCTCTACCGGTCTGGTAGGGGCCAAAGCTGCCAAAGCCCCACGTCGTCTGTTCGCACGCACGGCCGGCCCCAGTCAGCATAGCTTGAAATGCCGTGGGGGATGTGCCCAGCTGGAGTTGCTGCTCGGGCGGAATCACTGAGATATCTTGAAACCCCACCAGGCCACGATGAGGTTCGTTCATGCTCTCCCAGCCGATAATCACTTGGGACTCTAGGTCACCTGCCTCGTGAATCTTTTGCGCAAAGTGTTTGCATGCAGCGATAAAGTGGCTCTGCAGATAATCTTGAATGTTCATTCCATTGATGATCGCCTTGGGAGCAAAGTCGCGACCAGCCCAAAACAGAGTAAACATGGTCTGACAGACCAGGCGGGTGTAATTAGTGCTCCAAATCATCTTCGGAAATTCCGCAGGGTTGTCACAGGTGTTCTGGACGAGGGCAGCTTCGGTCTTCTTAAATGTCCTGGGGTTCAGTCCTGCTGCATATAACGTCCACATGGGAGCCCCAGAACCTCCCGAAAATCTCGACCACTAGTACTGATCAGCGCAACTCTCTGTTTGATTCGGCTACCTAAACTGACCACGTCCTGATGAGGATCCATGAAGATGTAGAACTCATATTGTTTCGCAATCCTGAGAACCTCGATTGTAAATGCAATCCACTTATCGTCATATGTGCCGGGGCCAGCATGCTCGATAGCTTCCCACGTGAAGATGTAGCGGATTGTGTTATAGCCCAGCTTCCGAAGTCTCCTAAAATGCAGGTGGGAATCCTCCAGGGAGAACGGTCGTCCAACAAACGAGATATCGTCTGCGTCGAAAAACTTGTCGGAAACGTAGGTTGGAATGTCTGGGGTCTTGGGGTTTTTGGCATCGCCCGCGACGTTGATCCCCCGCAGGATGATCTCTCGGTTCTTGGGGTCACGGAAGGACCACCCATCGATTCGAAGGGACAAGGAACTCATTGTTGAGCGGTGGAAGCCAGGAGAGGGAGGTGGTAAACGTGATCAAGGGAGACGACGGAGACAAACGGATCAAGGGGAGCAGCAGACTGGCAGGTCAGATGATGCCTTTAAGCATTTGTGGCGCATCGAGATCGGCCAGAGCTACATGAGACCACTCGCACTAGACCCCTTGGGACCGCTTATTCCAGATTGAAGACCGAGGAAGTGCTGACGGGAAGTCGTCGAGAGGAACGCGGAGAGAACGATAAGCAGGTGACGTATCGCCCGTTGCTCTACCGCCTTATCAACTGCCGTACACCACACCATTATTTCTCCCCCGCGCCAGTCATTCGGTTGGGACGACAGACCATGGCGAGCAAGGCCGCGCTCAAGGCAGTGCGTACTGCACTCGATGCCAAAGACTTCGAGTCTGCTGCCGACAAAGCAAAGGCGCTGGTCAAGCAGGAGCCCACCAATTACCACGCGTATGCTGCGTCCCCGTTCTCTGGTCGCGAACCACACTGACCTCTCTGCCCCTCTAGAAATGTCTTTCTCGGCCTGGCATACGACAAACTTAATAGAAACGATGATTCGGAGCGAGCATACCTTACAGCGACTAGGATTAAGCCCGGCGATCGGACAGCGTGGCAGGGGTTGATCAGCCTGTGCGAGAAGCAGGGCAGTCACAAACTAGATGCCTACCGCGAAGTGGTTCTGAGACTTGGGCAGATCTTCGCCGAGAAGTACGCCTTTGCCCTTCTGCCATTGGTTCTATGGACTGACCCCGTGTAGCGACGAAAAGGAGCGCTGCCAGGATGTGGTGGACAAGTACACAAAGCTGGCCCGAAAGAACGGCACCAAGGCCCAGTACAAGCGGGCCCTCGAACTTCACCTCCCGACCTGTCCTCTCTACGATTTCCTCGAAGGACGTCTCCCACATCCTTCCCAGACCTATCTCCGCCTGATCGAGATCACAGAAGCAGAAGAGAAAGAGTTCATCAACCGTGAGATTGGAGAGCGCAGAACCCGTCTCGGTGCGCGAATCGACCAGGTTACCCTCGAAGTGAAAAGAGAAGCCTATGCAAACAGTGGATTGGACCAAATGTATCGCGGAATTATTGACTGGACCAACGACGACGAGGTCCGACGCCAATATGAGGAAAAGCTTCTCGAGCGTGCATGCGAAGTTCTGGATGTGTTGCCTCCCGGAGAAAAGGGTTCTACGAGAGACGGAATTCTACGGGCTGCGCGCGATATGGTCATTATCAAGCATCCTTTCGAACTTGCGTGGAAAATTGTTCTCGAGTGGCAGGATGTCGAGAACTTCGCCCAGTGGGACGCGGGTCTTCTGCGCGAATTCATCGAATTTTTTCCAGATACCGGACTCGCCAAAGTGCTCAAAGGGTTTCTGTCCAGTGAGATATCTCCCTTTCCCAAGGAAGAGACAAAAGAGAAAGAAAACGGAGATGCCGAAGCATCCGCCAAGGACTCCGAGAGCGATGAAAATAATGATGTGGCTGCAGACCGTCTGATCATGATGGTTGAGGGACTCGATTCTGCTCGCTCTTCGGTCATCGCCCACCGCATTATGGCCGAGCTTTATCTGGTTATGGAGGAGTATGAGAGCGTGGTTGATGCGTCTCGCAAGGGTCTGCTGAATACTCAGACGCTGGTGAAATACACTGGTCTGAACGCCTTAAACACCACAGATGCTTTGAATATCACATTGGCCAACTCTTTGATCCACTATCAGTCTCCACGGCACCATCCGGAGGCTAAGCAAATCTTCGAGAGTATTCTTGAGAGAAAGCCGACATCCACGAGCTGCCTCCTTGGCATTGGTCTGATTTTGGCAGTGGACGAAGATTATGCCGAGGCCGTCAATTTCCTGGAGCGAGCCTTGGAGCGCGACCCTGCCAATCTCAAAATCCGTGGTGAGCTTTTCTGGAGCAGGGCGCTGAATGGTGAACTGCAAGCGGGCCTGGATGGCCTTCAAGATGTACTAGAAAGCCTGAAGGAGGAGCAGCCCGACAACAGGGATTTCAAATCCGAGCTTCTCTACCGCATTGGATACTGTCAGTGGGAGTTGGACCCATCGCCATCCGCGCGGAAAGATCGCAATGGTGCGTATGCAAGCTTTTTGGCATCCATCCAGGCGAACTTAAACTACGCGCCGGCCTATTCGAGCCTTGGGATTTACTACGCGGACTACAAGAAAGACAAAACTCGAGCGCGGCGATGCTTCCACAAGGCATTTGAATTGTCTACATCCGAGATCGAAGCTGCGGAGCGTTTGGCCAAGGCATTCGCCGACCAGAAAGAATGGGATCTTGTCGAAGCCATTGCGCAGCGGGTTGTCGACTCCGGCAAGGCTAAGCCAGCGCCTGGATCGAAGCGCAGGGGTTACAGCTGGCCGTATGCTGCGCTCGGAACGGTCCAAATTAACAAGCAACAATACACCAAGAGCATCGTTGCGTTCCAGGCAGCTCTTAGAATCACGCCCAATGATTACCACTCCTGGGTCGGTCTAGCCGAGAGCTATCATCACTCTGGTCGATACATAGCAGCCACCCGGGCCTTTGAGCATGCCAAAAAGTTGGAGGGAAATCTTTCCAGCAAGGACAAGGAGCACATCTGGTTTGCGCGGTACATGTTGGCAAACGTCAGAAGAGAGCTTGGGCAATACGATGACTCTATTGCCAGCTACGAGGAAGTCTTGCGCTTGCGACCCGACGAGACTGGTGTGACGATTGCGCTGCTACAGACACTGATCGAGAGCTCTTGGAAAAGCTTGAGTTCAGGCTTGTTCAACGATGCAGCAGAACTTGCCCGCCAGGCTATCGGGGTTGCGGGCTCTCTAGCGCAAATTCGACCTAACATCTTTAATCTCTGGAAGGCTGTCGGCGACGCTTGCGCCAATTTCTCATACATTAAGATCAAGATGGAAAAGCTACCCATTTCGGATTGCAGGGCATTGCTTACGACTGAACTCGATCCTGCCGCGCTGGATATCATGGCTGATATTGACGGTGTGGGGAAGAGTTGGCTCGAAGTCACTGAAGACGACGACTTCGATGCATCTTCCTTCTGCATCCACGCATCCATTCTGGCATACAAGCGCGCCATTCACATTTCCGTGCACGACACTCACGCCCAGGCCGTTGCCTGGTACAATCTTGGATGGGCTGAATACAGAGCATACTCAAGTGCGCAAGGTAACGCCAGCAAAGTCAAGAAAGCACGCAAGTTCCTCAAGGCAGCTATGCGGTGCTTCAAGCGGGCAATTGAGCTGGAAGCCGGGAACTCAGAGTTCTGGAACTCGTTGGGCGTGGTTACAACTAGCATGAGTCCCAAGGTGGCCCAGCATGCCTTTGTGAGAAGCCTGCATCTGAACGACCGGAACGCACAAGGCTGGACGAACCTCGGCGCACTTTATCTGCTGCATAATGATATTCAGCTTGCAAATGAAGCATTCACGCGCGCGCAGTCGACTGATCCGGATTACTCGCAAGCGTGGATCGGCCAGGGCCTACTCGCTTTGCTGTTTGGTGACGCTAAGGAGGCACGGGGTCTTTTCGAGCATGCGTTTGATATTGCCAACTCCTCACCTGTGCTTCCGAAGCGACAGTACGCATTGACCCTTTTCGACCATTTGCTCTCCGACGCCTCCGAGTCCAATGAGGTGTCACATCTCATCCAACCCTTCTTCGCTCTTCACCAACTTTGTGCGCAGGAACCATCAGATCTGCCATTCGTTCATCTCTCTGCGTTACTGGCAGAGCGAATGGGCGAGGTGACCGACGCCGAGTCCAGCCTGCGGGTTGTTTGCTCTGGAGTGGAGGCCGAGTTCGAGGAATCTGAATCCCCAGCTTCTCTGTCGCGATTCGCCCAAGCCAATGCAGACATGGCTCGTATTCTTCTCGCTCGCCATGAATACGGGGAGGCCGCTGAGAAGGCTGAACTGGCTCTCACTCTCTCTGGGGAAGAAGACGCAGAGAAATTCGACCCTGAAGCATGCAGCAAGCTGCGTCTTTCGGCGCATCTGACCGCCGGTCTGTCGTACTACTACACCAAGTCAATGGACCGTGCCATAGACATGTTCCGTGACGCTCTGCATGAAGCAGATAGCGCTCCAGATGTGGTCTGTCTGCTCGCACAAGTGCTCTGGGCAAAGGGCGGGGAGGAGGAACGAGCAGTTGCTCGTCAGCAGCTGTTCGACTGCGTGGAGAACCACCCGGACCACATTGGAGCAGTCAGTCTGCTTGGAGCGATTGCACTTCTCGACTCGGACAGGGATGCTATCGAAGCTGTCGAGTCAGACCTCCACAGCATGATCACTCGTGATGACATCGAACTCCACGACCGCGCAAAACTTATCAAGCTCCTGACCGCCATTTCGGCCCAGGGCTACACAGGAGACGCGGCGCTCCCAGACGATACCAGACGGATCGGCGAGGCTACCGCAGCCGTGATGCTGTCACCGGGTCAACCCCAGGGCTGGATGGAGTTGGCGACTGCCTCGCAAAGTCTGTATCCTGCGGAGATGGCTATTCAGCGCGCCTTGCGCAGCGTGCCTCCTCACAGCAACCTCGAAGCTGCAGATCTCAGTCAGGCCTATGCGCAAACAGGGAAGGCGGGCGATGCTCTTCGGGCAGTTATGGTTGCACCGTGGAAGCAAGATGGATGGGAGGAATTGAGCCATGCGGTCTCTGGTGTGGCTGCATAGTCCGTTAGCAAGGCGATGAGGTTCTTGCTATTAGACGTAGGAAACATAGACAATTGCGTACCTCAAACAAAGCACCAAGTCAGCGTCTTCTGGCGCCAGTATTCCCATTTGTCCCATTCGGCTGCGCCTGGTTCTCTTCTCCAATCTCTGCAACTCTCTGTAGCAATCTCGCCTTCCGATCCTCCCTCCACGACCGATCGAGAGCCTCAATCTTGCCTCCAAGCATAATCGTGGTCCCAGGAGCTAGTAGCACCATACCCCGAGCCACAGTAGCATTGCGAAGCATAAGTTTCGCCCCAATGGGAAGCTTCTCAATAGAGACACCCTCAATGCGCTGCATCTCAATCCCGACGGCGTTTGTACCAGCGGCATCCTGCACAATCAGCCGATGTGGACCAAACCCCGAGCTCCCTGATGCGTTGGCATTGCCGCCCGTAGCATTATTGCTCGTGGGAGTATTTCCTGTTCCTGTCAACTCGGTATCCTCAAGCGCGGCTATCGTCCGCACGACCTCGCGGCCGCGGATAGCCTCGCCGCGCTCGACGCGCTCGATTGCTTCGATCTGGCTCCACAAGCTTGTGCCGATGTCTTCGATGTCGAGCACTTGCACGGGGATGGAGCCTTGGAGGCGCCGTTCCTGCACGTTCGGGTCGGAAATATCCACTGGGAGGAGGGATGCTGGTGTTTTGCTGAGGGAGTCGCGAAAGTCTGAGGCTAGGACGCGGAAGAGCGCTGTTTGGGTCAGAGCTGAGATGGGGATGTTGCGATTGCCTGGGCCGGATGAGGCGAGAAAGGAATCCAGCCAGTCTGGTGAGACGGCCAGGGACTTGTTGCTTTGGATATGAGCTGCGATCTGGTCTCTATGGGCCATGGCGACCGAGTAGGGGTTTGGAGTGTTGTTGGTGGTTGAAGCTGTGGATGTAGTTAGTTTGGTCACGGACCACCGTTTACTCTGTCCTCTCTCTTATCACGTCCGCTCTTTCCTCCTGGACACACCCACGCACCATGTCGACGATCTCCTCACCCCGTCACTCCGTCGCTTCTTCGCCCGCTCCGTCAGCTCGCCCATCTCTTGATGCCCTAAACACCAACCTCAACAATCTGAGCGCCCCGTCCACCCCAACGGGACGTGCGGTTTCACCCTCCTCCCAACACCCGCGACGCAACCGCTCCGCTCTGCGCGACTACTACAACCTCAAACCACCAGCTGCCGAGCCGGCCCCTCGGTCGCGGAGTGTGCCGCGTAGTACAGATGCAGGCGACATCTCCAACCCCACGTCGCTGGCCTCGGGAACAGAGCTCGACAACGCGGACTTCGATCCCCAGCGCTATGTTGACCACCTGCTCTCCACGTCCTCGCTGTCGACTATTCTGAAAGCTGAAAATACCTTAGTGGGAGACATTCGTACTCTGGATGGAGAGCGCAAGGCCCTCGTGTACGACAATTACTCGAAGCTGATCCGCGCCGTCGAGACGATTGGCAAGATGCGGAAGAGCATGGATGATCGCGGTGCGCCGCTGACTATGACCAAGACTCTGGGTCCGGCGATTGCGTTTGTGGCGGAGACGGCGAGTGGGCTGATTAAGGAGGGCGAGGAGCAACGGCGGCAGATGAAGGCCGCTAAGGGGGAAGAACAGGCGGGGAATCAGAGACTGGAGAAGGAGACTGTCATGTGGGTTCTTGGGGCACCGGCGAGACTGGAGAAGTTACTGGTTGAGGATAAACGGGAGGAGGCCGCGGAGGACTGGAAGGAGGTTCGAGCGCTTCTTGATGCCTGGGGCGACGTGAAGGGAGTTGCTGAGGTGCGGGAGGCCTGCGAGGGTGTCATCAGTTGGACGGGCCAGGGCCATGATGACTGAGGTATTCCTTCGATCTTGCGCCCTATTGTGGGCACCTTCAACAGCCTCGCGGCGCCCCATTCGTGCTGCAATTGCTGCACACGCGGACTCCATCTCATGGTCTTCGAGAGTGAGTACTGTTCCTCTCTTTCCCGAAAACCTCGGCCGACGCGAATGCCTCGCAGAATCCGAACTCGGGGATATCAGAACGTCAATTCCATGCGGATTGAGACCACGCAGCAACACGCTCAGCGTAGTTGCTCCAGACGGATACCGTCTGACTTGAGACATACGAATGAAGCGCACATAGACATCTATTGCAAAGAATCGCTTTTCTTCACGCCTCTGCAAATGCAATTCTCTCTCAAACCTTCCCTGAAAGCACATCCCGACTGGAAAACAAACTCGCCTTCAGCCCAAAGTCATTCTTCGACTTGATATCCAGCATTGTGTACGCATCGCACTTGTAGTAGATCGGTCTTTGATCCGCATTAACCAACCCCACATCCACCAATCCATTCAGCACGCGCTTCACATCCTCCTTATCCTCGTAATTCGCCGTATACACACAAATCAAGCGCGCCTGTCCTCCATCACCGCTTCCATCATCCGGCGCAACCTTGGCGATATCGCCTAGTCGACCGTCCTCCAAGGCCTGGGCGACAGTACCCCAAACGGAATCCACCCGGTCCACGGTAGGGAAAAGCATCCACTTCCCGCACAACACCCTTGTCTCCCGCGCCACGGAGGCGATATCCGCTTCCAGCCCTCGTCGGAGAACATTCAGTTTCCGCGTGAGTGGTGCGGTCGTCTTTGCGCCGGAGGCATCGTGCGCGGCCCGCAGCGAGGCGCTTTCGTCTTCGAATGCCCGTAACAGCTCCGTGCCCCGCCGGACGAGCTCGGATGTATCGCCATCCTCTGTCTTGCCTGCTGGTGGATGACCGTATGCCCAGATCCACGGGCCCGTTTCACTGACTTGGGTTGTTGACGGCGGGAGCCGGGAGAGGAAGTGTGGGATGGATTCGTTTTCTCCACGGCGATTGGGTGGTAGGTATTCTGAGGGTTTGGTGGAAGTGAGAGGCTCTGGTTTGGTTGTTGACGGGTTCTTCGCGGCGTATTGCTCGTATTGACGCGTGGAGAGTTGGTAAGGGTGTATGTCTGACCAGTAGGGTTCTGGATCGTAGGTAGCGACTAGCTCTTCCAGGCGGGCTTGTTCATCGACGTCGCCTGGGTCTGTCAGTGGACGTGGATCGTGTTTGAGTCTTAGTGCTCACCGTAGAAACTGGACTCGTCGGAGAAGATGGCATCCGGGCTTGTGGTGGTGGGTGATGACATGGTTGATTGATGGAGGTTGAAAGATCAAGAAAAGGCAAGTGGATCGATCGATCTTATCAGTGTGGGGAAGTGCAGATCATACATTTTGGAGTTCTACGATTGCGTACCCATTTGATGGAATGATTGTACATGGCCCTAAATAAGTGGAAAATGAGAGAGTATGAATAGTAAGAGAGTTCAAGATCCAAGTGTAAACAACAATGACATCAGATTATATTTAGTCATCCGCCTGCCACCGCGTGAGGTTCAAGATTGATATTCAGACGGCATGACGTCTCCAGCCGCCCTAAAAGGAAATACGAGATGCACCTGCGTAACATGATTGGCGAACCGCCCAATTCAAGGGAAATGTCCCTTATGCTCATGATTTATCGGCGCACCTCAAAACCCGTAACGAAATTGCAGTGGCGAAATCTTCGTTATCTCATTAAACACTCCGGACCGTTCAGGCGTCCGAGGCCATGGAGCATTGGGACCACGCACCACTCAGGAATGCACGATTACAGCTACGTACGTCTATACATATTAGATTCCTAGCGCGTATCGAATCTTCTGTCGCTGACCATCTTCCAGAGTCCTTCAAGTGCAGGAGTGGCCCTTGTCGTCATTTGCACTGTGCTCACCGCGATAGCAACAACATTCGTCGTCGCAAGGTTAATTGCTCGGTTCGTCATCTCGAAAACATCGGGGATAGATGATTGGTGTATTGTGGCTGCCGTGATCTTTGCTATTGGAACACACGTTACTATTAGCATTGGTGAGTTCGCACATTGCAATATTTCCCTTACCGCCGCTAACTTGTCCAGGTGTGGGAAATGGAACCGGCACAAGAGCAAAAGTCAAAGGGCCAGATACTATATTCCTTGGGCATGTACGTTTTAGGCCCTTTAACTCTTTGAACGGGACCTTTCACTAAATCCAACTGCAGATTCGATTGGCAACTCAAGTCCTCTACGCCGCGGCCAGCGGAACTCTTAAACTCAGCATCTTATTTCTCTACCTCCGCTTATTCCGAAATCTTCGCAAACTGATCATCATCACCATTGTTATTGTCAGTTGCATGACCATTGCATTCATTTTCACTGCGATATTCCAGTGTGATCCAGTGGGGTCATTCTGGACCATGACGGACGATGCGAAAGCCTCTTGCATCCCTGAATTGATCTTTTGGTGTGATGTTGCGGTGATATTTCTTCTGACGAACCTGTGGATTGGATTATTGCCTATAAAAACCATCCTTAGTTTGTTTTTTCGCTCCTAACAGTGTTGTTTTTCGTGCTAACTTGTTTTCTCTCTAGCATTACACGTCACCTGGACGAAGAGAGTCAAGGTTTTAGGGCTTCTTTGCTCGGCAGCCTTTATGTAGGTTTCTATCTATCTTCTTTCACCTTAGAGAGATCTTGCTGATGAAATCACGATATAGTACATGTGTTGCAGCTGCGGTGCGGCTAGCCTTTGTCATTCATCTCTACAAGGGTAATGATCCTTCCTGGGACTCGGTCCCAATATACTACTGTTCCGAGGTGGAGCTTACGACCGCATTGATCGCGGCCAGTATTCCAGCTATCAGATTAGCGTGGCCAAAAGCCAGGGAGTACTTCAGTTTTTGGAGGGGTAAGGTCAAGCTTTCGGGAGAGTCAGAGCAGAGCACAGTTAGTGTCTAAGAATAAACGACATAAGACACTATCACGCTTTAGAGAGTCTGGTTCAAATTGTGACCCTAATAGGAACACTCTCGTTGCTCATAAAATACTCCAAGATCAGGACAAAAACCACTCACGCACACCAAATTCAATTGCCTCCTACAATCCCAGGCCATTCCTGCTCCACAAACTTGGTCACGTCCGCTTTCAAAGCTTGAGGCTGTTCCAACGCCGCAAAGTGTCCACCCTAGCCGTACTTGTTAGCATGCGTGGTCATTTCTCGGAATCAACATTTACCTTCTGGTGCTGTTCCCAGTACTTCAAGTTGCCTGTTGTTTCCACCCACGAGCGAGGAGCGGCGCGAGCTCCATGGGAAAGGAAGAGAATCCAAATGGCTTCTTGATATACCAACGGGGATCATTGCTCGCCGGGATAGGCGGCGGGGGGTAATTCTAGAGGTAATTTATTAGTTAAATAGATATCTCTCCGGAGAAAAACGTACCAGCCGATAGGCGTAGATTGCTCGAGGGAATGTCTCAGTCAGCCAGTATAGTGTGACTGATTCCAAGATATCCTTGGGAGACAGAGGGTCGTCGACCCATTCAAGGAATTTCTCGCCGATCCTGAAGATCTCAGCACTGTTCCTCCGTGGTTCGTCTCCAGTGTTATTCGCACTTACCATGCCAGAAGAGCTACCGGACTGGTGGATAGGACATGGCCAATGGTGCTCGGGCGCGTACCATGCTCCATGGCGTATCCAGCGCCCGTGGACATAAAATCGGTCATTCGCTGGATACCTCGCTTCTCAAGCGCATTGAGGTTGGCATCAGACATGCCGTCTGGTCGTCTCATGAAACAAACATTGACTTCCAGCCTGTGTTGGTATTCATTCCTCACTTGGACGGGAAGTAGCTACTCACGATGCACCGCTGACATGTTGTCAGATCAAGGTTCATTGTTCTTTTTCTCAGTGGGACTTCATACCTTTACAGCTGTCATGATCTACAGCCAAGTTCCTAGCAATGCGACTGCCAATGTCGCCACCTTGAGCAACGTACCCGCTCTCAAAGCCGACGTCTTTCATCAGCTGGTCCATGATCCGGGCAACATCGGTAATCTCAAAGTTTCGGTCTAGTGGAGGTCCAGACGAGAAAGTGTAGCCCGGCAATGAGGGCACGATCAAGTGGTATGGCAGGGTAGTGGGAGTATACTCATCCCGAAACATTTGGAGGATAGGGAGAAACTCCAGAAAGCTTCCTATATATTAAATAGACAGGTCAACTCATCGCATCAGGGACGCAGTTAACAAGCCAGCCTACCGGGCCATCCATGAAGAAACAAGATTGGAACTGCATTCTTCTTTTCGGAGAAAAGAGCCACGAAATGGATCTTGATGCCTTCTATGTCGGTGGTGAACTGCGGGAAGCTATTGATGCGGTCTTCCGAGGTCTTCCTGGGAGGATTCGTTAGTTGATTGTGTAACTACCATGTTTGAGAGATGTGGTAGTACCACTGATAGGATGTCAGCCACTGCTCGCGCATTGTGACCAGCCAGTCGGTCGTGATGCCATAGCGTCTATCTGACTGGGAGTTCTCGTACGTGTGTGGTGCGAGCTTGGAGACCTCGATCAGTTGCTTGAGCTCGGAGAGCTTGGCCTTGGGGATGTCGGCTTTGAAGGGGGTCGGCGAGACCCTCGCGGTGGAGGGCAGGGTGCTGAACGGGAGAGACATGTTTAGTGTCGTGTAGTGTAGTGTAGGATGGTGAAGTTAGTTGTCTTCGGACAGTCCAAGCAGCCTTGTCATGTGCCGTGCGGGGTCTACTGTCAGACAATATGATGAATTACAAATCAAAGATTTCAAGTACATATGACAAATGTGATTGTTTCGCTTCATACTTGGAAAGACCATCTGTGGTTCAGCGCATGCTATGGCATTCTCACCGCCCGCACCCTTGAGGTCGATAACATTCCCCGATATGTATCTGTTCAACAACTTCGACCTGGGCAGAGATACAAGGGTGTCGATGCATCACACTCTACACCACCACATGAATTGACGAGACACACGTTGCAATGCCCGCGCAACACCCTCAATCAGCAATAACAGTCTTTCTAGACCAACCACCAAGCTGCCTGCAATTTTGTCCCGCGTGCCCCGACTATTTTGTCATCGGCACCTACCTCTTGACCGAAACCAAAGATGAGAATGGAGACATCCAGCAGACCAAGACCGGTAGCCTACAATTATGGCACCTAGATCCCGTCCAGAAGACATTGTCAGAAAACCCAAAAAATATATCTCAGATCAAATGCTAACGACCCCCCAGATCCCAAATCCAAAGGCTCGCTCTGCCCTATGCGGTCTTTGACCTGCACTTCCACCCAACAGACCCGAATACACTCGCCATCGCCAGCAGTGTGGGGTCCGTAGCTCTCTTCCAAGTGTCGACCGAGTTGTCACACCCAATTCTCAACCACAAATGGACCAAACAGATCCACGAAGACCCGGCTATCCCAGCATTGTTTCTAGCCTGGGTGCCACAGAGCTGGTTCCGGCAAGATGCAGCCGATGGCTTTGCCGTCACCTTCTCCGATAGTCGAACAGCCGTCTTCGGGACGGAACGAAGTCTGCTCGATGAAGACAGCATCGGCGAATGGGGCAATTTCGCCGCAAGGCAGATGATCGAGGTTTGGTTTGTCGCGCTTGCTACATACCGAGAACCACTTACTCCAGACTCCAAATCGGAGGAGGGTCATGATATCCCGTTTATGTTTACGGGCGATGACTTCGGATCACTGCATACCCGTCGATTCAGCAAGGAATCATCAGACTCCGAATCAGAAATCGAGCCCCTCGCTTCTCTCCTGATTGCCCATGACGACCGATCTCGTCATCACACCGCCGGCGTCACGGCTATTCTCCCTTTACCTATTCCGTTAACAGACGACGCACCTTTTCTTTTGACTGGAAGCTACGATGAGAGTTTGCGGGTGTACCATGCCACGCGCAGAGGAGAGGTTCTGGCCGAGCTAGGCCTCGGTGGTGGTGTTTGGCGGTTACAGGTGTTAAAGACCACTCGAGTCGTTGATGGATGGTACTTTTTGGTGCTGGCGAGTTGTATGCATGCTGGCACGAGAGTCGTGCGGGTTTCTTACGAGGGATGTGAATGGGGAATAGAAGTCCTGGCTGAGTTCACGGAGCATGAGAGCATGAACTATGCCAGCGATATGTGGAAGGGACCGTCCGAGTCGGCGGAACTACTTTGCGTATCGAGTAGTTTCTACGATCAACGAGTCTGTGTTTGGACCGTGGATGTGCAATAGGAACGAGGTCGACAGAGGCCAACCACACTACATATGATGACCACGATCCTACGTTCAAGAAAGATCCATAAGCATGATTGTTTGTCATGAACACGCTAGACGAAGCACAATGCAAAAATAGCGACAGGTATACAAGTACATCCGCAACCAGACCCCAAAAAAACACAGAGAGAATGACTTAGACAATCGTCTCCAGTTCCCGGGCGTAGCCTAGCGTATTCTCAATGACCGTGCCGCTGGCCACCAGGATATCCTTCTCGGACCGGGTAGCCGCCTCAGGCTCAACGGGGAAATATATCCGGCCATCACGAAGAATCCAGCCGCGTTGCTGGGCAAACTCGATGACAGCACCCTCCGACTCGAGGAAGAGGAGATTCTTGGCGTTGGAGATGGGCAGGGATGCGTATGCTTTTTCGGAGCAGTCGGCGATTTCGCTGCGGATGGTGCCGATGAGGACCTGTAACAAGAAGGAAAATATTAGTCCCTGATACCAATCGTAAGTAAAAGAGACGCTCGCTTACATTCGAAAACAACCCAAAGTCTTCGGACGGAACCCGCTCCGACTTTGTCTCCCGCCAAACCTTATCATAGCTCCCCTCCATCAAGTTTCGCTCCAGGTCAACCGGATACTTGATGTAGGCATCATCCTCGATACGACCACCCTTCAAAATAGCCTCCTCGACCAATCCCTCCAGCACGGTATGGAAGTTTGCGCTGTCACCCATGCTCAACAGGAGGAGCAGGTACAGCCCTGTGATCTTGCTGCGCTGGCTGGTGCTGAAATCCATCTTGGATGCATTCGAACCGGGCGTGCCGGCATCCCGCTCAAGGTCGTAGAACGGCTGCAGCTGCTGGTAGTACCGTGTGAAGGCCTGCGCGTCGGTCTGTCGGATGGCGGCGAGAGCGCCCAGCTCGAGGACCTGCCGCGCCAAAGCCACGAGTTGTGGAGATGTGGATGAGGTCGGGACCAGGGCGTTCTGGAGGAGGAGGGCGCGCTTGGCTTGGCTGAGGAGGTTGTTGGCGGCGTCGAGTTGCTTCTGCTCCAGAGCCTTGTGGAGCTCCGAAACAAGGGTTTTGAGGTCGGCGGCCATGATGTGCGGGATAGAATGAAGATGTAGAGAGATATGGGCGTGGATAAGCTCGTGGACTGGTTGCAATGGCGATAGAGCTGGCCGGGAAGAGAGGATGGATAGTTGCTGTCCAGCACGGTGACGGAGCTGCGGCGGTCAGCTTGCGGGTCACGTGGTATACCGGCCTGATTGGTCAGGTTCCATATTTCTCTCTTCTACTCTGTAATGTACACAACACACTTTCGAATCCAATAATTCCTATGGACTAACATTAACAGCTCTAAACATGGTCAAACAGAGCTAGCTGGACCATAGTTTCAAAAAGCGGCGTTCCCAACCCCGTTGCTGGATCCCATCCCTCTGTGGCATTCCAGCCGGCATCCGGCACATACGGGGTGCTGAGTCCAGCGTCGGTCGTTCCATGGCAGCCCCGGGAGCCGCCCTCTACAATGTCTGTGAATCCATCTTGGCCCACAGAATACAACCACGGGTTGAGAAATCCCATTCGGGGGAGACCCTGCGCCAGACGGGCTGCGTTCAGCTGGGAGATGATGCCAGCAAATACAGGCGCCGCGGCACTAATTGGTGTCAGATGAAGCCGTCATCTACAACTCGGAGCAACTAACCTTGTGCCACTGATCTTCAAGTACGTGTCGTGGTCGCGGATCGCGAAATTGCTGGCTTGGGTTGCTACGTCGGGAATGGCTCTTCCGGTCCGGTTGTACAGTCCATCCCATTCGTCACCCAGACGACTCAGGTAGCCATTCACTGCCTCGTTCTGATACGAAGGACGGGAAAACAACTCTGAAAACCCGCCTCCAGAGAAGTCGATCGCCTTTTCAGGAGCGGTACCATATGTCCCACCGACGGCCGTGACAAACGGACAAGAGGCTGGAAAGCCCGGGAGGAATTTGGTCTGATTTGTTCCGTCATTGCTCAGGCAGGACCCTCCAACTCCAGAGTCTCCACTGCTGAAAATTACCGAGACCCCACGAGCACCTAGTTGAGCAAACAGGTTGCAGACAGATGTCGCGTAGGAGGCTGGAATGCTCTGCTCGGATTCTCCGTATGATGTGGATAGCACTGCGGGCAACTCATCATCTGGGAGATTTACCAGATACTGTAGCTGGTCCAGATACGGCTCATTCTGCGAGTCACTCGCATTGGGCTGATCTGCTTCTGCTTCCAAGGGCCCACGTCCTCCGGTGGTGTAATAGGTGGCCAAGGCTTGGTACGCCACAGAGATGGCGTACTGGATATCCAAGCTTGCCTCTGTACTTCCGCTCCACGAATCCTGATTATTCAAGCCGCCATTTATGGACACGACGGTGAAGTTGGCGTCTGTGTGATTTGGCGCGAACCGACCTATAAAGGTGTTGAAGTCGGAATATCGGCCATACTGCTCCAGGAACCCAGATATTCCCAATCGATTTCGTGGATCGGGCTTTGCCTCTGTGTCGTACAGCCCATACATATCTCGAAGACAATCTGGTGTCATGAGCCTGTCGCAGCCGCCTGCCAAATCCTCGGGCGTTGCCACAATCGGCTGGGCTAAAGGCAGGGCTCTCTGCGGCCCGAGATTTCCAAACCGAGTGGTTGGCTGAATCATCTCAATATAGGGGTGTAGCTCTTCAGGCACGGAATAGCCCAAGGTCCTGATGGCCGAGGTCTGACTGGCGTCGTTGTGGTAGTGAAAAAAGCGCGTCTTCAGCATTTTCTCGGCTTGCGGGACGAATGCTTGGAATTTTATCCAGTTCCGATTGGTCTCAATTGTTTCTATAGGGACATGCTCGGATTCTAGCCACGACAGAATCTGCGACAAGATATCGGGCGAGGGACTCAGGAAGTCATCCACTTCGCTGCGTTTCATGTGTTGTCCATACTTTGGATGGCCTGGTGTGGAGAGCTCAACGACCTTTTTCTCAAATTCGGCGGCTTTGGTCTGCGCAATCGCCAGATGGAACATCATGCGCTTGGAGGCTGGCGGCGTACCTCGTTTTGACCAGCCATGAGGTACGCTTTCCAACTGCTCCACTGAGCGATAGCTGGGTCCAACGGCCAAGCCTAGCTGGAAGCAGCATATAACTACAAGTAGAAGGCGTGGAGCCATCAAGGCTTTGCAGCGAGTGTTGTCTCGCACGGAATTCCAGAATTAAGTTGTTCCCAGTGCCTGTCTCGCTGTTATAGAAGTGCGCGACACATCCGAATGCGCCGTACCGGAAGTTCACGAACACGTGCTAGTATCTGTAACGGTTAATTGCTCAAACTACATGATCATCCCGAGTGTCTATATACAGCAGATTGCAGGAACTCGGTCCCAACTAACACGCTGCGCCAAATTCAAGAGACGGCACCACCCCGAGTATATACAGTCAAGCCATCCACTCAGCGATGAGGAATGACGCCGTCGGGTGCAATAAAATTGACCGGACTGTGGCACTTTACTCTTTCTATACTTCAATAGAGCGGAATATTTACTCTGCGGGGTAAGTCAGGGGGTGATTCCATGGATCACAGCTGGCGGCGACTACGAGGTTAACCAGCATGGTCGTGCTCAGGAGGAAAGTCCGGCAAATGGGCCACTCTTAACGCCCATGAACCGTTAGACAGAGCTAGCTCTTCTCATGCTAACTGAAACAAGGCAAACTAGGCCAGCCCAGGTCGAAGGGGCGTGATATCACACGGCCCAGGGTCCGTATTTCTTTGTTTCCTTGCCCCACCCCTAGCGCCATGGCTGACACTAAGATTTGGTCCGACCACCGAGCTCCAGAGGTCCAATGGTAATTTTGCACTGAATTCTACAAAGGGCAGTCCAAATTGCGCCACTCCAGCACCGGAAGGGATAGCTTGTAGACCCTAACCTTCCCTATTGACTGCCATCTCGGGTAGCTTTGGCAGTCCAGCCTTATACCGAAAATATTCCCGAGACTCGAGAATGCAGCTCATAGGTCTACACGCGTACCCGGCTAGATAGGTCCTTGATTTGAACAGAGCAGATTAAGTAATGGTGGTGTAACCCGGGAATAGATAGTTGGTGCCTTGTGGCCTGAGAATCGTACCGGAACATCTCCGCGCCGACCCAGCGGGATGCGGGATGATCGACGTCACTGTGAGACGGTTGTTGCTATCTGCCGCTCAACAATATCCTGATCGCTCACTCTTGTACATCTCCGTGGACGTGATCAGCGCCTTATCAATAATTTAATATCTACGCATACGAGCTACGGGAGCTAGCTAGCTCCCCAGGCGAAACATCGGTTAGCACTCGGGAGTTCAGCCATCTGTGCCTCCTCATCCTTGTCTGCCGTGGCATTCTGAACTGCCTTATTCTCTTTCACAAACCCTTTCCTTCCGCCCTTTCTTGCAGCTTCACGGCACCGCTCGGCCGCATGATCCGGTTGAGCTCGAAACGACTCCATCCCAGAATTCCGCCCTGTTCGCGATATATGCAGTGACAGCTTCCGGCCACACCGGTCATCAATCTGCGATCTGCATCTACCCTCCCGACCTTCCCCACCCATCATGGCCGAGGCGGACCTCCAGCAAGCCCGTCGGTTATCGGCAGATAACCAGACCATCTCGAAATCTGACATCCCGCTGAAAGAGCGGTTCTTCCGCTACTTCCAGCATGAAATCACTTGTATGTATTCTTCAAAATCAATTCACTCTAATCTTGTTGGGTGTACAATTGCTGACAGCCCCTACAATAGCCCTGCAAGAGCAAATGGATCGTCTTGCCGATACCTCTTTAGTCGGCGGCGAACGTGTGGATGCGACGGACCATTGCCTCGCTGGAATTGTGCGGTTGTCGAATGAAGTCAAAGATGCCGCGAGTTACATCCCCACCTACGATCAACGGGTCTATGCGGAGGTAAGCGAGTGTCGTGGATGTTTGTTGGTCAAGTGTGCTGACTGACCTTCCTGCAGGCAATCAAAGCGCTGCAGGACAAGTTGAGTGAGACCCGAGCAGCATTTGAGCCTCGCACCAAGTTCAGTTTCAAGACCAAGAAGAATGCGTCCGCCATCTCTATCGCCGATGCTGCCAATTTGGCCGCCGAAAGCCGACGCATTATTTCTGGGTATCGTTCACCTGGGGCTTCGTCAGCGGATTCTTCCACGTTCCAGACACCAAATCCATCCACCCCACTGAATGAGCCGGACAGGCAGCATCAGGAAAGGCCCGAGCTTGCTCCCACTTCTCTGCCCCCAAGTTCTCTCGTCGCTGGCGGACAGAAACCTCAGCATGAGAAGAAAGAGGGCCCTTCGTTCGCCGCGACCTCTGTGTCGTCGGTGTCGGTAAACGATCACTACGGCCTCCACATCATGCTCCCAGCTTCGGGATCAACATCTACCGTTCCAGCGTCCATGACCTCTCTGCGCCACTGCGTGGTGGACATGTCCATTCCCACTGCCGACGGAAAGCCATACGCGAGTCTGACCATTAAGGGGATCGACGAGAGTCTCCTCATCTGCGGCCAGGTCAACGGTCCCGCGCATATCACCGGCGTCGAGCATAGTGTGTTGGTGGTTTCGTGCCGCCAGTTCCGCATGCACAACTGCCACGATGTGGATGTCTACCTCAGCTGCTCGAGCAATCCCATTATCGAGGATTGTGGCAACATTCGATTTGGTCGGATACCCAGAGCCTATGTAAGCCGTGCCAAGATTCTCCGGAGGTGACTTTTACTAATCCACTGCTCTAGGCCCTGGACCATGATCGTCCCGACCACGAAGACCGCTGGAGTCAGGTTGAGGACTTCAAGTGGATCAAGCCGGAGCCCAGCCCCAACTGGAGCCTTCTGGATCCCAATGACGCCGTTCCAGAGGAGGTGTGGGCGGAGATTGTACCTGGCGGGCCCGGGTGGTCTCTCGATGATATTTTGCATGCTATCAAGCTTGTGAAAGGGTAGTTCACCGGCTCTGGTTTGGGATTCGGAGGTAACGCTGCCTTTAAGTCCGCTCTTCTGTTATTTTTCTCAATTTCCTTCTCTCTGCGAGACTGCCGTTAATCGTTCCGCGTTGTCTCAATCATCTATCTGCTTTTCTTCGCGACTGCAACTCAAATTGTTTGCACGATTCAGGCTGGCCTTCCTAAATCGCACTAACGTCTGCTATGTACCAGTACTTCAATGACAGAAATCAAAAAGCTACATTATCTACCATGTTTTCTTTTCGCAATATCTCATTTCCTGCACTCTCTCTAGACTGCACAGCCGTACACTGTACGCGCACTAATTGGTGAACACCTGCCAATTAGCTATAACCTCCATATTCCGCCCTTCAGCCGACGCATGGCCTAAGTACTTAATAGGAGTCTCGTTCTCAATACTATAGCCTCAGTCACACTGCTGCTACATAACCCCCTGTTCTACTTCTTACAGAAGTGATCAAACCTCGAATCGAGTGCATTAGGCAATATTTTGACTTCTCTAATGGGATGCAGTGGCCCCTATATTCGTCGGTATGTCTTGCCCTTGTAAGTCTTCGTGACGAGCAACAATACACCGAGTCGGTATTGCGGTTTCTCCATAGCGATGCCTAGGATCTTGTGCGTCTTAACCGTAGAGGCTATTTATCTAGTGTATATGATTCTAAATAGCAGACAATTAGGCATATCTGCGAAAGTAAGATTATGAATACGAGAGTTGGAACGTACCTTCCTATCATACACCGTCGTAGTCAACCTCATACCACACTGAGTAGTATAAGCTATAATTTAGGCCAATAACACACACACCTTTGTATGTATCAAACTTATAATTTAGTCTCGATTGTTTCTTATTCAAGACCGTTATCTAATGCTCAATTCCAACATGCTCCCAAGGCTCCTTGGTACCAAGTTTCCCATCCTCAGGAATAGAGAAGCACCGTCAAAACCACCCGGTCGCTTCCTACTGACCCAGTTCACGACTGTGGGTGCAATTTCCAAATGCGAAGTGACAAAACCAATAGGTTGAATCATCTCAGACGCTGGGACAAGTAGTACGCTTCAGGGTTGCGGAATCGATGATTTCGTTGTTCATAGTTCTCAGGTCGGAACAGGATACTCACCGTCGACAATTCGACGGCGCTGATCGGGATTAACTGCTAACCCTAGGCCATGTATATGCTCATCTATTAACGTTGGGATCGATAGATCTCCCTTGGCTACTGCCGACGAATTTGACAAGACGGCTGAGGATGGCGAACTCGAGCTTCAGCTTGATAGAGTAGCAAACACCCTTCAAAATGGTCTCAAGAAGGAACAAGTTCGCGTACTCCATGCTAATGAGCCCTACATCCATGATAATGATGACCAAGTTGATAACAACCAATTGATGCATCAGTTTGCGTGTGATCGGCTGCAGTGATATGCGAAGGATTTTGATGGTCTCGACGATATAAATCGACGATAAAATCAGTTCCTGAAGACTATCGCTCCGTTACGAGAAACAAAAAGCTCGTTAGTAGAGCGTGGCAATTTAATAAAGCGTATCAGACAAACTGCTTACAAGAAACCTGTCATCTGGAGCTTTTCCCAAATGCTATAAACTCTCACAAAGCCAGCAGTGTCGATGCTTCCGTTGGATCCAAACGTCAGGACTGTGGTAGAGGGATGAAATGTGAGAGCAACAACAATGATCATCCATTTGGTGTACGTGAGAATTTTCGAGCCATATTCACCGCTGACGATCAAATGGAGGCGGGACCATAGGACGAGACTTGACCCCGTGATCATGCCGTACCAGCCTATTGTTAGAAGAACAAGAGAAGCCCACCGTGCATTGCCGGGCAAAATGTCGAACAGCTTGAATAGAAAACCGAGTGCATAAGGGACGAGGCTCAAGCTAGATATGAGTAACGTCCAGAAGTATAGACCATGGTAATGAGTGAAGGTGAGGAAGATCAATATCACAAGCTCCACGGCATTGTACATAGAGAGGCCGGCGCAGAAAACGATTAGGGCCTGGATAGCGAAGCTTCTGCCACCATAAGCTCCGATCACACCAGGGACTGCAGCCTCGATCATGTTCGGGTGTTGTTTCCTTCCATGTGAGGAACAACAGAGGTTGTAGAAGGACACAAGGCCATAGGCGTCGTAGTTGTACTACGGGAAATTATTTGGCTACGATCCCTTCGACGATACAATTTTCAATTTGCCTTCCAAGCTAGAATAACCTTGGACCAATGTGCGAGGACAAGGTTTGGGCTTTCCAGTGGCAAATGGAACCTCGCTAATAGCATCTCCAGGCGCCTTTCCGAAACGATCATCGGATTTTGAAAAGGAAAAGCACGAGGTACTATAGATTTACAAGGGCTCTATAGGGCAGCAGAATACACTGTATCCATTATGTCCGAGATGTCGTCTCCACACGTGCTTGATGGCGGGACCGGGTTCAAGTCTCGGAATTCGCCACAGACTTTCAACCCCGTCTCGCCGAACCTCGTCAACGAGCCTTACCACCTCTAGGACAATCAGCTACTCCAAAATATTTGTACGTGGCGGCACCGGGTAGAGAGTGTCTAAACGGGCTTATTATGTGGCCGTATCTCTCGTAACAGTTAACTGCGTACCCCTCAATTACGACACTACGGGTTCCGGATCGATATTTCAAGACCTCCCGTCTATGTTCTCGGCTGTGCTATTCAAAGAGACGCTAACACGGTAATGCTAAAAAGGTCTAGTAGCGCCTGCCGCATGCGTACTGGGAAGGCCATCTTAGCACTAACACTAATCAATATAATTTCGGCCTGCTCCTCATCGAGGAAAACGTATGCACCACGTTGGACCCCGTCTCGTGAAGAGTATTGTGGGTACTACTCCAAATTTTGCTAGGATAGCGAGACGATCGTGGGGTTGGACATTGCCTGTAATGCTACGAAAACGCAACTATAAACAATTGTCAATGCGGTCCCAATTGCATCAGGCTTCGGGAAGCTGGTAGATTTCTCTGCCTACATTCAACAACTATCAAATGCCTATTTACTTTCTCCCACCTTAACAATCTTCCCAGTCTCAACTTGATACACATACCCTGTAATCGGAACATCCAGGACCAAACTATCCTCTTTCAGGAGTTTGATATCATCCAAAACACTCTGCTCCAAATTCTTGAAAGGCAGAAAGGCAATATGGTCCACATTCTGATTCAGATCTGAACGGATCTTGTCACGAATAACCTCGTCCGTGAAAGTGAGCATCCCACAACCGGTCTAAACATGAGTATTCAGCGCTTGTTAATAATATCATCTTAGTGAACGACTACATACGTGGTGCACAATAATAATCTCCCGAGTGCCGAGCAACTGCTGCGAGATAATGATACTTCGCAGTGCATCGGTTACGCGGCCTCCGGCATTGCGAATCACATGGGCGTCGCCTTCTTCGAGACCTAGAGCGCGAGCAGTGTCTTTACTGTGATGTGAGATGGTTTCAAGTACTTGGAGGCAGAAATTTGTTCAGGTAGGGGATCCTACCTAGTCGAGCATCCATGCATGCCACGATGGCCACCTTCCTGTAGTTTTGGTCAGATGGTAGAATTCACTTTACGCTCTCAAATGGCGGAACTAGGATATATCAAAGATGTGACGAATTACCTCTGTGGGGGAAGCTGTAAATCCCCCTTAGTGAAGGACGCGGCATAGTGCGCATTCGCTAATTCGACTTCTTTGGCCACAGACATGATGATGGGTTCGCAGGATCAAGTCAAAAGGAAATGACAAGGTGATCTTAGAAGATGGACACACGTATTTAAGGCGATGGTTTCCCCGCATTTGAATGTCTTTGCCGTCCAGCATGAGGAGATATTCTGTTAGTCTGAGCTAGGATGGCGTGATACACCTTTAACATGGGTGGCAAGCCAATTAAGCCATCATACCAGCTCGGGTGTTCTTCCTCTTCTGTTAATATCCAATAATAGTTCCCTACTTTACGCGCTAGATGCACTATGATGATATGCTTTTGAGAGCTCGCTTTACGTGTGCTGGTCTGATTTGAGTTGCGCCATGATAGGCTTTTTACGTCTTCCAGTTTTTTTTTTGTCCGTTACATTTCCGATAATAAAAGCACATTTGAGACCGCAAACATTGTCAGCCAAGAGGCTGAATAGGCTCAAGCCATCTTAGGACCCGAAAAAAAAGTCATATTGATGAAAAAGCATTGGAGGGATGTCAATAATTAAGGGTTGGTACTGTTCCAAGTGGTTTTCAACGAAGGATACTTTTGAGCTTCCAGGCCAAGGTCCTGGTAGATAGTTTGGTCTCCTGAGAAAAAAATGTTAGCTTGACGGTAAACTCGGTAGCAGCTCTATGTCCAGTCTTACCCTGCAGAGACTCGACGCGATTTTCATTTTCCTGCTCCAGTTTTTCTATTTCCTGCCCAGGCTCCTGTTCATGCTCTTCCTTGTGCCCTTCTGAGGTCGCAGCCTTCCCAAGTTCATTCTGGGCCTCGCCAATCATGAGTAATTGGGCATTAGGATAGTCAAGGAACTCAGGCTCGAGGGGGATCCATCGCAGGTCACCGAATTTTTCGCGAACCCTAGAAAAAATTAGCAATGCTGCTCCATGTTTTCCATTTTTGTGGGCTTATACGCACGGTTCAGGGTACTCCGGTTCTTTTGGCAACTGCGCAAAAGATGGGCCGGGGAACTTCGGATTCTTGGACTGGACGATCCAGCTACCCTTGTTGCGTAAGCCGAAGTTCTCTTGGATATCGCCCAACTCAGCAGGTATAGTCAAGATATAAGCCAGATGGGATGCTCTGCGCGTAGATGTGATCGCATAGACACCCTCTGCATAGGGCCTGGCTTCCTCCACGGTTCGTTCACCCCGGGTGGAAGTCTGATACTTCTCTCCCGCGATAAAGTTCTCATGCAATTGCTGCATGGTCTGTCCGGCCTTCTCCACAAAGGCCATGTCTCTCTCCTTGGCTGAAGTGGGGAACTTCTTCTTCGGGAGAAGCATCAAGCGGCATCTGGCATCCCGGTCGACCGGTCCCTGGCTGGGATCAAGCTCTGCACCCTTAGGAGTGGGTCGAAGGACAAAGAAGCTTCGGGCAACATCGCCTACGCTGTGCGGATCTTCCACATTCACTCGAGGACGGAAGAAGAAGTAGATGATGCCCTTCTCGAGGATGTTGGATGACACGACATTCTCTCTTTCCTCGGATGTTCGAACCCCAGCCTCAATGGTTTGAGAACCATTGGCCCGTCCATCCGGCAAGTTCTTCTCTTCCGATGTTGGCTTGGCTTCCGGTGCTGGTTTAGCTTCCTCCTTGACACCTTCCGTAGCGGGCTCTCCAGCTGTGGCTGGCTCTGGAGCTTTGGTTTCGTTGGCCTCTTTCTTCTCTCGCTTTGGTGCCGGAGTCTTCTGCACTGGTCCCTTTCGCTTAGATCCAGTCTCCTTTACCTCGCTGGTGCTCGATATAGCCTCTTTCGCCTTTTGGGCTGCTTGACGGGAGGATGTTCGAGTAGACATGGCGATCAACACTCCTGCGAGCAATTGGCAACGTTCGAGTGAGAATCATAGAAGATACAGAAGATGGCAAGCTCCCAGAACCCTGATTTTGGGAATCGTTTTGAGGCCGGTGATGAGATCTAAATGACGTAATCCGATACCATTGCCCGTTTTGGTATGTCACGTGCTGCTCTCGCGGATCAAATCAGTCAATGTCCATCTCGTCGCCCAGCGGAGTATCATTCATCGTCTCCGTGCTGCTCATATCGGTCGATCGCATGTCAGAGCTCGAGCTGGTGCTCGATTGGGCTTCTCTAGCTTCTCGGAAATCGTGCAGCGACACGGGATTATCTTCCTTGGGGTGTTTGCTGCGTCGTCGTCTCTTGGGGCAGAGTCCTGTAGCTCGGGTCTCATGTGATTTGTTTCGCGATCTGAACGGGTGGCTGTTCAGAGGGTGGAGGGGGCCTGTGCCGGTTGGCTTTCTCTTCTTGCCTCTCTTGGGACTACTTGGATGGGCCCATGCGTGGGAAGAGTCGGTGGCCACGTCGGTGGTCGAGTCCAGATTATTCATGGAATCGGCCAGTTCACGCTGCCAGCGTTCAAAATTGTCCGGAAGACAAGGTAGTTTTTTCTGGGCGACCGGAGCTGGGTCACCGTCCGGCTCATCGTCCGGCTCATCGTCCGGCTCATCGCCGGGCTCTTCGATGGCGTATGGTTTGACTGTGACATTGTTTGCGGGATGAAGCGGTGTTGACGGTCCTGATTCATTCAAGCTATGGCCACTGCCGTCCGCAGAGGTGTTGCTCCTTAGATCCTCCGGGGCAATGTCGGAGTCCGTTTCGTGCAGAATTGAGTCATGCATCGGGCTTGAATGGCTCAGAGGAGAGAATTCCGGCATGGTGATGGAACATGGATGAATACTAGCTTGAGTGGCATACTGAATTGCGTATCTCTGTGGGAGGTGAGAGAGAGCTGAAGCAAAGGAGAAGGAAGTAACTAGAAACTCGGCCGTCTACCGTAGGGGAACATCATCCGTTCCAGATGCTTCCCACCGCGAACCGACCCCCACGAAGTCCAGTCGACAACGCCAAAAGATGACCCATGCTGAATGTCGCCAAGTCGATGATTAAATCGAGCACTCATGACCCGATCGTAATTCTCGAGCCCATCCTCCTGTCTGCCTAGGCCATCCCTATAGTCTTCCCTCACCGCCTTCCCCCTGATTGGCCCCGACCTTTCGCTTCCACCAAGAGTCCACGTTTAGTTTACCCTCGCTCTTGTTGTCTGTTCACCTCAAAGCCCATCTTCATCCACTCCCCCCACCCCCTCTTCCCCTGGTTTCTCGGTGGATGCGGTGGTTGCTGTGATCTCTTCACTGCCTAACGGAGCTTGCTACTTTTATGGTGCGGCTCCGGCCACTTGTCCAAGATGCAGTCCTCTCCAAACATGCTCACAAAGGTACGCCCCTCGATTGGCCCCGATCTTACCACTCTGTCTCGAGGGCGCCAACTCCGTCGTCGTGGTCAATTGCAGCTGCTAATTCTTCTGCCATTTTCAGTTTGAGTCGAAATCTTCGCGAGCCAAGGGAATCGCATTCCACCCCAAACGGTCAGTTGGTCCCGCGGGGTGACCCTAAACACGCCCGAGCATCAACGCTGACCCTCCACCAGGCCATGGATTCTCGTCTCCCTTCACTCCTCGACCATCCAGCTGTGGGACTACCGCATGGGAACGCTCATTGACCGATTCGAAGAGCACGATGGACCCGTTCGAGGAATCGATTTCCACCCGACCCAGCCCCTGTTTGTTTCGGGAGGCGACGACTACAAGATCAAAGTCTGGAGCACCCAGACTCGGCGGTGTTTGTTTACCCTGAACGGTCACTTGGACTACGTGCGCACCGTTTTCTTCCACCATGAACTTCCCTGGATCGTGTCTGCGTCCGATGACCAGACCATCCGAATCTGGAATTGGCAGAACCGATCATTGAGTGAGTAGTATCCATGCCATCTGAGTTGGTAACATCGCTGACGGTTGCGTTTTGTTTAGTCTGTACGATGACCGGCCACAACCATTATGTGATGTGCGCGCAGTTCCATCCCACCGAAGACCTCATCGCCTCCGCCTCCTTGGACCAGTCGGTCCGTATCTGGGATATCTCCGGACTGCGGAAGAAGCACTCAGCCCCAACGACCATGAGCTTCGAAGATCAGATGGCCCGCTCCAATCCCAACCAGGCCGATATGTTTGGCAATACCGATGCGATTGTGAAATTTGTGTTGGAGGGCCACGACCGTGGGGTGAATTGGGTATCCTTCCACCCGACGTTGCCCTTGATCGTGTCGGCGGGCGACGACCGGCTTATCAAGCTGTGGAGGATGAGTGAAACCAAGGCATGGGAAGTCGACACCTGCCGCGGCCATTTCCAGAACGCCTCTGCCTGTCTCTTCCACCCGCACCAGGATCTCATCCTTTCCGTTGGCGAGGACAAGACCATTCGAGTGTGGGACCTTAACAAGCGGACTTCTGTGCAATCCTTCAAGCGTGATACGGATCGGTTCTGGGTTATCGCTGCGCACCCCGAGATCAACCTGTTCGCTGCGGGCCACGATACTGGTGTTATGGTGTTCAAGCTGGAGCGGGAGCGCCCTGCGTCTGCCATCCATATGAACCAACTCTTCTACATCACAAAGGAGAAGCACGTCAAGTCGTACGACTTCGGCAAGAATGTTGAATCGCCCCCGATGCTCTCATTGCGCAAGCTCGGCTCTCCTTGGGTCCCTCCGCGCACAGTCTCTTACAACCCGGCAGAGCGGGCCATTCTGGTCACTTCGCCGGCTGACAATGGCACTTACGAGTTGATTCACCTGCCCAGAGATCCTACCGGAGCCGTCGAGCCCACGGATGCTCTGCGTGGTCAGGCTTCAGCTGCTGTCTTCGTCGCCCGTAACCGTTTTGCCGTCTTCAATCCCTCCAACCAGCAGGTTGACATCAAGGACCTCAGCAACTCTACGACCAAGACGATCAAGGCTCCGGCTGGCACGACCGACATCTACTTTGGTGGCACTGGCTGTCTCCTCTTTATCACCCCCACGTCGGTTGTTCTCTTCGACATTCAGCAGAAGAAGGCGTTGGCAGAGGTTGCTGTCAGCGGTGTGAAGTACGTGGTTTGGTCGAACGACGGTCTCTACTGTGCTTTGCTCAGCAAGCACAATGTGACTATCGTGACCAAGACCCTCGAGCAGGTTAGCACTCTGCACGAGACCATTCGGATCAAGAGTGCCACCTGGGATGACGCCGGTGTGCTTCTCTACTCGACCCTGAACCATGTCAAGTACTCGCTCCTCAACGGTGACAACGGCATTATCCGCACTCTCGACCAGACGGTGTACCTGGTGCGCGTTAAAGGACGGAACGTCTACTGCCTCGACCGCAGTGCTCAGCCACGCATCCTCGAAATTGATCCTACCGAATATCGGTTCAAGCTGGCCCTGGTCAAGCGAAACTACGACGAAATGTTGCAGATCATCAAGAACTCGAGTTTGGTTGGCCAGAGCATCATCTCGTACTTGCAAAAGAAGGGCTACCCGGAGATTGCCCTGCAATTCGTCCAAGATCCCCAGACCCGGTTTGACCTTGCTCTCGAATGCGGAAACCTTGAGGTCGCTACTGAGATGGCGCGCGAGCTTGATCGCCCTAACTACTGGAATAAACTCGGGGTTGAGGCCCTGGCCCACGGTAACCACCAGACAGTCGAAATGACCTATCAGAAGCAACGGAACTTCGATAAGCTTTCTTTCCTCTATCTGTCCACGGGTGACCAGGAGAAGCTTGCTCGGATGGCTAAGATCGCTGAGCACCGGGGTGACTTCACCTCGCGTTTCCAAAACGCTATCTATCGTGGTGATGTCGAGGACCGGATCCAGATGTTTAAGGAGGTGGATTTGTGTATGTTGCCGATTCTGCCTTGGTTGCTTTTTATGAAACATGCTAATTGTTTGTTACAGATCCTCTTGCTTATCTGACCGCCAAGTCGCATGGCATGACCGAGGAGGCCGAGTCCATCCTCGAGGCCTGTGGTCTCACAGAAGACCAAATCAACTTGCCCCAAGTCGAGGAGGCCTTGAAGGTTGCGCACCCTATTGTGCCGACTTTCAAGAACAACTGGCCGGTTAAGACTGCTGGCCACTCTTCCTTCGAGAAAGCACTGCTCGGAGAAGTTGGAGCCGGTGACGAGGAGGCCGGCGCTGATGGTTTCGATATTGAGGAAGAGGAGCAGGAAGCTGTTCTTGCTCGTGATACTCTGGAAGATGAAGAGGAGGATGCTTCCGGATGGGACATGGGTGATGATGTCAATGTCGAAGAGGACGTTGATTTTGTCAACGTTGAGAGCACCGATGCTGGAGCAGGCGGCTCTGAGGCCGATCTGTGGGCTCGTAACTCTCCGCTGGCAGCCGACCATGTTGCTGCTGGCTCCTTTGACACTGCTATGCAGCTCCTGAACCGCCAGGTAGGCGCTGTCAACTTTGCTCCTCTCAAGCAACGTTTCCTGGAGGTCTACAAGGCGTCGAAGACCTACCTCCCCGCCAGTGCTGGCCTGCCATCGCTGGTCAACTATGTGCGGAGAACGGTTGACGAGACGGAAAGTCGCAAGGTGCTGCCCATTATCCCGCGTGATCTGGAGTACGTTGCCACGGTTGCCCTCCAAGAAGGTTATGCGACCATGCGCGCCAACAAGCTGGAGGATGGAGTTGGCATCTTCAAGGATATCCTGCACACTCTTCTCGTCAACACGGTGTCCTCTGAAGAGGGAGTGGAGCAGGCGAAGAAGATCATCGCCAGTGCTCGGGAATACATCCTTGCGATGTCGATTGAGCTGGAGCATCGTGCGCTCGGCACCGATGACGAGGCTGATCTCAAGCGGAAACTTGAGCTGTCTGCATACTTCACCATCCCCAAGCTCGAGGTCGCTCACCGGCAGTTGGCGCTGATGGCGGCCATGAAATTCGCCTTCACCAACAAAAACTACGCATCTGCCTTGAGCTTCGCCAACCGCATGCTAGCCAACGGCGGCTCCGCCAAACTTCTAGACCAGGTAAGACTTTTTGGTCATGTTCTAAACCATCTATGCTAATTCTCGCAACCAGGCCCGGAAGATCAAGACTCAGTGTGAGCGCAACCCGCAAGACAAGATTGAAATCGATTTCGACCCCTTTGCCGAGTTCGACATCTGCGCCGCCTCGCACACCCCGATCTACAGTGGCTCTCCCAGCGTCTCGGACCCCTTCACCGGTGCCAAGTACCACCCGCAGTATAAGGGTACCGTGTGCCGGATATCCCAGGTGACGGAGATCGGCGCCCCGGCCAGCGGCCTCCGTCTCTACGTGCCGAATCAGTTCTAGAACTTACAGCATGATGAAGTCTGACGGTTTCCTTTCCCCTCTTCTCTTCTTTTTCTCTTGACATGAAGTTATAAAAAATGGGTTTTTGGTCCATTGTCTGTGTGATTGGGGAGAAGTTGTGTTCGGCGGCGCTTTGGAGGGACTGGGAGCGAGAGAAAATTTACTCCTGCACAACCCATTGTCTAGATGTCTTGTTTCCTGTTTGTACGCGAGATCAATAATTCTTTAGCGATCCTAGTTTGTATGCCAACTTGTGTTTTCTCTTCTAGTCCTAGTTACATCGATGGAAATAGATTGGACAGGCTATGGTGAAAGTATAGTATATCGTACATGGAAAGCAGAGATGTCTAGGTATCAACATATGAGTAGAGAGAGGTGAATAAAAAGAAACCCCCAAACAAGTCCAACTCCAACTCCATCATAGAACTCCATCATCATCCGGCACCATAACGAGAATCATACATCCCTCAATCGCACCGTCCATCCTTCCACCCAGTCCTCCACCTCTCCTCCCAAAACCGACAATCAAACTCCTTCTTCCCCAACTTCCGATTAACCTCATTATGCGCGTCGCACATCCACCACCCAAACTCCGCCCGACCGCCCAGCCGCGGCTCATTGCGTCCACTCGGATGCGCCATCCACGCCTGGAAATCATCCGCGCACACCCAGCAGGGATACAGACGCGAAAACAGCTTCAAGAAGCCTTGCATGTCCCGTTGCTGTTGCGTGTCTGCTTTTTCTGGGTATGTGGCCGCCATCGAGTGCAGGAGGGTCCAGGTTGAGCGGCCGAGCTCTTCGACATCCGGTGGGCAGTCTGCTGGTGGCGTTGTGCTTGTTGACGGGGTTGTTCCGTAGGCGGCCGCCGCCGCAGCGGCGAAGGCGGCCTCGGATGCGGATGTGGCTGAGGATGAGGTGCTGGAGGTTGAGGTTGAGGAGTCGGATTTGGCTTGCTTTGTTAGAGCTCGCCATGAGGCGACGGAGGTGCAAGTGCGGCAGCTGTGATAGGGTTAGTGGTCTTGTTATTGACAACATAGTATGCTTGCGAGTATAGGTGCGTACGGCTTTCCATCCTTGTCTAGAACCACTCCCTTGGGTAATAATGGCTTCTTCGAGTCCTTGTCTTGTGCCGCCTTGGAGGATGCGCTGGGAGTTTGCTGGTTAAACAGATGGGCCTGTGCTCTGGCCTGCGAGTCCATCTGCTCGGGAGGAACCTCCGCCATGCCGTCCGGGAGTTTTGTCGTAGGTCCGATGGACTGGGGAGTGACAGAGACGGGAATAATAATGTTGGTGGCAGATGGATTTGTCAAGTACAAGGAACCAATCACCGCCGGCCCGAAAGTACCGTAGGAAATGCAATTCACGACAACCACAATCACGAGTGGAATTGACTTGATTAGTAAAAAGGTGGTAGTAGTTAACTTTAGCTAGTTAACTAACTAGGTTTTTAACTAGTCACCGCTTCTAGTTGCCACTGCTTCCAGATCACAGGGTGAGCCGCCACTATGCGACCCTAAGATGCGCCTCTGCTGTGTGCACACCGAACAAACTGAAAGCTCACTTCAGGTCGATTAGGTGTCCTCACCGTCTCCACCAGTTCGAGATCCAGGACGGATCCCCCCAACTGACCGCTGAATGGCTAAGTCAACTCGGAGAGTTTGACTTTGCACATGGACAGGGCATCCAGTGGCGGACATCATGGGGGGGACGTGTCAATAAATATAAGAAATTTCTCGTCTATGAGCAGAATTGGGCACATTGGAATTTTCCATCGGCTATTCTGACTTAGAAAGTCTTATGTACTATGACAGACCCTGTCTCCTGCAGTGATGCTAGCTATATAAATAAAGGATAGCATCTCTCCGCGGTCCATAAGATCCGAATTGGACTTTCTGACTCTTAAAACAAGGGCAAATTGAAGTACCATCACGCCTTCTGCCGTTCTATCAACCAAGATGTCGAAGCTATTGATCCTTACCATATTTCTGCTCGGTAAGCTGAGCTACCGCTAACACCTAAATGCTATTATACTAATTTCATCAAATTTAGGTATCATTGGTACCAGCACTGCCTCCAAGGGCAAGGGTCCTTGCAACGAGGACCTCTGATTCTTAGAGTGCGATATATGGTGCGCGTCTCACGGACTTGGCTTACTGGACTGTATCACCCCTGCACTTTTCAAGACTGGGCCCTGTTATGAATGCGGTCCTTGCAAGCAAAACTCCTCTGAGAAGCTTTGTGATCATTGCTGCGTGGATACGTCTAAGGACCGAAACAACTGTGGCGCATGTGGGAATCAGGTAAGCCAGACTGACGCTTATTCTCCATCAAGACTACTAATTTCGTATCTCCAAACAATCAGTGTCCTAGTCTCAGTTCCTGCTGCCAAGGAGCGTGCTTCAATAACTCCGGCATGCAGTGGGCCTACTTCGTTAACCCTGACCAACAAGATAATGTGCCGGGCACGAATTATTCCAGCTTCGACCCGACCCTTTTGAAAACCCGCACCCCAAGTTATATAAACACGACAACCTACATGTCTCTATCCGGGGGCCCATCGGTGCCTGTTCATATTTACGGTTCTCCTGGGACATTCACAGTTACCTACATTGCCCTTAACCAGCGCGGTTATATCTACGCTGTCGAAGGCGGCAACTATACCTTCACCTCCCACCATTCCGATGACCTTTTACTCTATTGGATAGGTCCAAAAGCATATTCCGGGTGGACCAGGTCGAATGCGGATCTAGAGGACGCAGCTTTCAGCCCAACGTCAGGACAGCTCATATCATTCACCAAGGAACTGCAACGCGGACAGTATTATGCGCTCCGCATTATATATGCTAATGCCCAGACAGGGGCTACTGAAGCTATCAGTGTGACAGCGCCGGATGGGACGGTCATTTTAGGCCCGAACAGTGTTCCCAATCCGTACATCATTCAGTATTCGTGCAATGAGGCGGAAGCCCCTGCCTACCCGCCCTTTGGACAGGAGACGTGATCATTAGCTGGAGAAATTGGCCGTTTCTTTGCTGCAGTTTCTGAGTTGTGATGAGGGCAGTATGTACTTCGGTCCAGAGTTAACCAATTGCCAAGCATAGACTATGTACTGACACCCTTGCTACTTTGTCCTCTCAGCTCAATGCCTGGGTGCTTCTTCCCAAGTGGAGTCAGAAGATAAAACAAAATATACGCGTAGACAGCGATCTTGAGACAATCTGAATAAGGCTCGAATATTGATAATCGGATGGTACATTTTATGATTCCTTGCTACGCTGTTCATCTTCCATCCAAATGCCAACCAAACTATGAACCCAATCACGTGACACCACCCGCGCCTGACGGACGGGACTGACTGAGATACCTACGGACTCGGTTGGGATCGTTCTTTTGTTGATTGATGGCTGCAGCCTGTTGAAGAAACATCCAGATCCTACTACTGGAAAGAACGGAAAGCTCATTTGCGCGCATCCCATACTGTCCCCGGCGGGCCATAAACGGACGCGTCACCTACGATCCCGTCGCGTCGTGAACTCGGAGTCCAAGTGACACCCCCAGTCCTCAATACATATACCGCCACCATGCCACCCAAATATAGCATCCATTCATCCTCCGATTCCGAAGAGCAACCGTCCGTCCCGTCGGACGATGCGCTGGAGAAGGCATTGCGCGAAGCCGTGGCCACGGTCTTCAAGGCCGGGAACCTGGAGGAATTGACCGTGAAACGAGTGCGACTCGCGGTGGAAAAGAAACTCGGTCTGGAAGAAGGCTTTTTCAAGAGCACGAACGAGTGGAAGGCGCGAAGTGATCACATCATTAAGGACGAGGTGGTGCGTTTCATTACTGTCTACTGGTTACAGTTTGACTGTGCGCGTTGGGAACAGGTACTAACTCGTCGTGTTCTGTTTCCCTAGAACGTACAAGATAATCCGGCCAAGTCGCAAGAAGCTGCGCCGATTGTCAAATCCCCGTCGCCGCCGCTAAAGCCGGAGACGAAGGCCCCGAAACGAACCAAATCCGCCAGCGCACCCAAGCCGAGAAAGCGCCAAAAGACTGAGACGCCCGTGTCTGATGAAGAGGAGGCTGCTCTGCCCAGTGAGGAAGATGACTTTGAGGAGAGCGAGGAAGAAGTCAAGAAGCCCAAAAAGAGGGCTCCCGTGAAAAAGGCTTCCAAAAAACAAACCACGGCCACTGAGGAAAGTGACTTTGAGGAGAGCGAGGAAGAAGTCAAAAAGCCCAAGAGGAAATCTTCCGTGAAAAACACTCCCAAGAAACAAGCCCCCAAGAAGGATGTGCCGGAAGATTCAGACGTTGAGGTATATCCCGATACTGCAAAGCCAGCCGCAGACGAGGGCGCCAAGGATGACTCTGAAAGCGAGATGTCTGTGGTCCTAGACGAAGAGCCCAAGCCTCCGCGGAAACGAAAGAAGAGCACCGAGGCCACAGCAAAAAGTTCGAAAAAGGAAGGGAAAAAGGCTGCACCCAAAGCAAAGGACGAAGATCTCGATCCCGATCAGGCCGAGATCAAGCGACTACAGGGGTGGCTCGTCAAGTGCGGGATTCGCAAGATGTGGTGGAGAGAACTAGCCCCGTACGAGACTCCCAAGGCAAAAATCAGGCATCTCAAGGACATGCTGGAGGACGCTGGCATGAAGGGCCGGTATTCCTTGGAAAAGGCGAGTCAGATCCGGGAGGAGCGGGAACTGAAGGCGGATTTGGAGGAGGTCCAGCAGGGCGCGAAACAATGGGGGATGGGTTCGGGCGAGGAAAGCGATGCAAAGCCTCGACGCAGGCAGGCTCCTCGTAGCCATCAGGCGCTTGCGTTTCTGGATGACGAGAGCGAAGAATCGGATTGACGGTCCAGCAGCTGGCCTGCCTGGTATGGTTGCTTGTGTATCATCATCATGAAGAATCAAGTATGTGTTTCATCCATCATCGGCTGGCCTTGGGTCCGCTCATGCGTTGAGCGGCCAGGCTGAAGACAGCGATTGAGGAAATAAACAGAACGAGGTTGTAGAACTGCTCCGGCCGTCAGCAATCCATTGCGCTTGAGCCTGACGTAGGAAGTCACGTACTGCTGTCCGCGAGTACTCGTTCTCTTCGGCCTCGGTCCTGGCCTCGACGAAGAGGCGACGGAGGTTGGGGAGATTGGCCTGTAAAGTGTCAATAAAGGAGGGTCTATTGTGTGGACAAGAGCTACTCACCATAATGGTGGGTGGTGAGAGTGGAGTGAGTGGAAGGGAAAAGGAGATAGATGGTAGACAAGGCGGCGGAGAGTCGTTGTGGACAACATTTGGCAAAACACTAGTTACTACACACCCTTTCTTCTTTCTTCCCCATCCATCCCCACTACACTAACTTACCCTCCCACTCTCGGTCGTGGCCACCCATCCCTGTCCATAGAGACAGATCGATACACAGATAGGCAGGCATGGTCTAATTCCTGTCTCCGTCACTCCCATCTCTTTCTCTTCGAACCCAAGTCGCGCGACCGTGAAACCAACCACCTTCGCCCCGCAGCCCCCGTCCAACGTCCTTCGACCACTCCCAACTCCCCTCCCTCGATCTTTTGGCGGAGGCGCGACTCGGTCGTTGCTGAAGCTTCCCAATCCCCAACATGGCGATGAACAAGATCCGAGGCGCCTTTGCGGTGCCCCGGAAAGGCGAGACCTATGAGTTGCGAGCTGGCCTGGTGTATGTTCCCTTCCGCAAAAGTCTCGCTTTGTGACAGTGCTGACCACCATCGCAGTTCCCAATATGCTTACGAACGGTATGAATTGACGGAAATGGAGAAAATGGGACGACAATGTTGCTGACCCGTAACAGGAAGGAGTCCATCCAGAAAACGATCATGGCCATGACATTGGGCAAGGACGTGTCCGCGCTGTTCCCGGATGTCCTCAAAAACATTGCAACGGGTGATCTGGAGCAGAAGAAATTGGTCTACCTTTACCTCATGTACGTATGCGGACATGCTGGACTCCTGCACGTGCGCTGACAGGATACCCCCAGGAATTACGCCAAAAGCCATCCCGATCTGTGCATTCTCGCCGTCAATACCTTTGTGCAAGATTCCGAAGACCCTAATCCGCTTATCCGTGCGCTGGCAATTCGGACGATGGGGTGTATCCGGGTTGAGAAGATGGTGGATTACATGGAGGAGCCGCTTAGGAAAACCCTACGAGACGAGTCGCCGTATGTCCGCAAGACAGCGGCAATCTGTGTCGCGAAGCTCTTCGACTTGAACCCGGGAATGTGCTTGGAGAATGGCTTCTTGGAGATGCTGCAGGAGATGATCGGTGACCCGAACCCGATGGTGGTGGCCAACTCGGTGACCGCATTATCGGAGATTTTCCACACAGCCCCCGAGACGCAAGCCCTGCAGGTGACATCCAATACATTACGGAAGATGCTCATGGCATTGAATGAATGCACGGAGTGGGGACGGGTCACGATTCTGTCGACCTTGGCGGAGTACCGGACGGGCGACGTGAAGGAGTCAGAGCACATTTGCGAGCGTGTTGCGCCTCAGTTTCAGCATGTCAACTCCAGCGTGGTTCTTGCAGCCGTGAAAACAGTGTTTTTGCACATGAAGAATATCAGCCCGGAGCTAAACAAGAACTACTTCAAGAAGATGGCTCCACCGTTGGGTATGTCTTCTGAAAAGACTGCGATGATTATCTACTGACAAGCGGCAGTGACTCTGGTATCCTCGGCACCTGAAGTGCAATATGTGGCTTTGAGAAACATCGACCTGCTGCTGCAAAAGCAGCCAGATATCCTCAACAAGGAACTCCGCGTCTTCTTCTGCAAGTACAACGACCCGCCATATGTCAAGTTCCAGAAACTTGAGATTATGGTGCGGATAGCAAACGACCGCAACGTGGATCAGCTGCTGGCGGAATTGAAGGAGTACGCCCTAGAGGTGGATATGGACTTTGTGCGGCGTGCCGTAAAAGCCATTGGCCAAGTCGCTATCAAGATTGAGAGTGCCAGCGAGAAGTGCGTCAACACACTATTGGATCTGATCAACACCAAGGTGAACTACGTCGTCCAGGAGGCTATTGTTGTCATCAAAGACATTTTCCGGAAGTACCCTGGCTACGAGGGAATCATTCCCACGTTGTGCCAGTGCATCGACGAGTTGGATGAGCCAAACGCCAGAGCGGCACTTATTTGGATCGTTGGCGAGTATGCCGAGAAGATCAGCAACGCGGGTGATATCTTGGGCGGGTTCGTGGACGGCTTCAACGAGGAATTCTCTCAGACCCAGTTGCAGATTCTTACTGCCGTGGTAAAACTGTTCCTCAAGCGGCCTGAGAAGGCCCAGGGCCTGGTCCAACGGGTACTTCAGGCGGCCACTGCGGAGAACGACAACCCGGATGTTCGAGACCGGGCGTATATTTACTGGCGCCTGCTCTCCAACACGAGCGACTCGAATGCCACCAGGAACATTGTGCTCTCGGACAAGCCTCCTATCCTCACTACTATCAACTCACTCCCGCCGGCGCTTCTCGACCAACTTCTCACCGAACTCTCCACCCTCTCCTCCGTCTACCACAAGCCTCCAGAGCAATTTGTCGGCCAAGGCCGCTTCGGAGCTGACGCTGTCCAGCGAGCAGCCATTGAGTATGTTTCATCTTTGCTTTACTGGGCCAAACCTTTGCTAACATTCTCTTCTTAGGGAACAAATCCAGAACGCGCGCGAGAATCCATTGGCTGCGGCCGCAGCCGCCGCCGCCGTCAGTGGCACTGCGCCCCCTGTGCAGGCGCAAAGCAATATCGAGAACCTGCTGGACATCGATTTCGACGGCGGTGCCCCTGCATCCGCACAGAAGGAACCCACGAGCGGCATGTCTGGTCTGGAAGGTCTCGCCGGCACGCCTGTGCGGGTACAGTCCCCTGCGGTCGGAAGCCCTCCACCGCAAGCAAGCAACAATCTGGACGACCTGCTAGGCGTTTTCGGAGACTCCGGAGCCGCCCAGCCTTCCTCTAGCGGCGTCAATGGTGGCAATGCCAATGATCTCATGAATGGGTTTGCCGACCTCAACATGTCGGGAAATGAGGCTCCTCAGCAGAGCAATAACCCACCCAAGAAGTCGAATGAGGACATCCTGGGGCTCTTCTAGTTTTAAAATTGGTTGCTGCTGATGCTGCAGGTTGGAGGGTGTGTTGACTTATATCCCGGTGTTTTCGCAAGCGAGGGAGAGAGGCCCTGAACAGAACGAGATAGAATGGTTTCTTTTTTTGTTTTTCGTCTTCTGCTTGATCCCTGCTGCATCTTGCGATCGGACCCCCAAAAGGTTGGCATGTACATTTTTTTAGTTACCGGGAATATCGATCGGCTCTAGTAGTGGCTTTTGCGTTGCATGTAGTTGTTCTAGCGGCCTTCTCGAACGATCAGCCACAGTATGGACCTGCAGGTACACCACCCGCTCGACACAGCTCTCGCAATCCACCAACAGTCGGCAATCCCAGACGTCGAACCCGAAATCTGGCAAGGAACCCGGCACCGGCCCCACCACGACCCATCAAGGACTTAACCGAATCTCCGAGAAGCTTTGTGCCGAATGGATCTGCTTACCAATTCTTCAAAAGTTTTCTACGCAGGGGCGGGTGGTGTGGGACCCTGGACGATATATAATGGCGCCAGTGCCTCCGGGGATTGAAAATTGAAGACGGTTGAATATCTCTAATTAGTACATACATTCACATCGCATCCACCATGGCAGAGACAAACTACAAGTTCGAGGGATGGATGGGTCTCGATCCCAGTTCCGCCGACGGCAACATGGTCTGGCAGGAGTTCCAGCCTAAGGAGTGGGAGGGTGAGTTCTTTGTTTTGTTGTTTGTTTGAGAACCATTATTGTATCCAGCCACTGACCCATCCGGACAGAAACCGATGTCGATATCAAGGTCTCGCACTGTGGTATCTGTGGCTCCGACCTGCACACCCTCCGCAGCGGCTGGGTAAGTCTCTAGTTTTCTCTACAACGATACTCATCACAGACTAACCCTATTCACAGAGACCCACCCTATACCCCTGCTGCGTCGGCCACGAAATCGTCGGCACAGTAGTGCGCGTCGGCTCCAAAGCCGTGGGTGGCATCAAGATCGGCGATCGGGTCGGCGTCGGCGCGCAGAGCGACTCGTGCGTGAACCGTCTAGGTGACTGCGAAGAGTGCGCCTCAGGACTGGAGCAATATTGCTCCAAGAAGTTCGTCGGCACGTACAACAGCACACATTACAACGGCGACAAGTCGTATGGCGGGTATGCGCTGTACAACCGTGTCCCGTCGCACTTTGCCATCAAGATCCCGGACGCGATTTCCTCTGCGGATGCGGCGCCGATGCTCTGCGGTGGTGTGACCCTTTTCAGCCCGCTCAAGCATAACGGCTGCGGGCCCGGTAAGCGCGTGGGCATCATTGGCGTTGGCGGACTGGGACACTTTGGTGTTCTGTTCGCTAAGGCGATGGGTGCTGATAAGGTGGTTGCTATCTCGCGCAAGGAGAGCAAGCGCGAAGATTCGATGAAGATGGGCGCAGACCTGTACATTGCTACTGACGACGAGCCGGACTGGGCGAGCAAGCACTCGCGTTCGTTGGATCTGATCGTCTGCACCGTTTCGTCTACGAAGGTAAGATACATATTTTCGAGTCACCTATTTTGGTTGGAAGCAAAACTGACTCCAAAAAAGATGCCCATGACTGACTACTTGGGTCTGCTGCGCACCAACGGTAGTTTGGTGCAGGTCGGTCTGCCCGAGGACGGCACTCTGTATGCCCCCGTGCGCAACCTGATGCGCCGCCTCAAGGTCGAAAGCTCTCTGGTTGGTAGCCCGAACGAGATCCGCGAGATGTTCCAGCTGGTCGCTGAGACGGGTATCCGGCCCTGGGTGGAGGAGATCCCGATGAAGGATGCCAATAAAGGCGTTGTGGACATGTGGGCAGGCAACGCGCGCTACCGCTATGTGTTGGTCAATGAGGAATAGATACTGTACAGTAGAAGTTTTATAGATTATAGATGATGAAATGTGATGATTTAAGTATTAATGGTGTCTACATAAGGCTGTAGAAATCTTTAACATTTGCCGAAGCCTAGGTATTCTTTATGGTCCGTCATCAGAAAAGAATTTGAAAATTGTTAAAGCCTTTTTGTTTTGGCCATTACCCTCTCCGTGAAATGCCTACCAAGAATAAGGCCATCCGTCAATGCTTTCAATGTTTTCCATAATGTACGCCATTAAGTATGCCTAGCGTTAGTTAGCGTTCAGCTCTCTAGCAGATTATGTAGGAAGAAAACGAAAGGAGAATCTTACCTCGGTAGGGACATCCACCAAGCCAACCACGCTTCCCGCATCATCGGCACTCATAATAGGCAGATTAATAAAGATATTGCCCGGGGGAGGATTGGTCGACTGCATAGCCGTCCACGCATCTTGAGGGTCGACCTGCGGAAGATATCCATCAAAGTTGGCTGCCATCCATTCCGCTGACTCGAGTATGGTCGTTAGGTCCAACGAGTACTGGTCGAGCTTATCGAGTCCCGGAACTGGTTCCCAGCTACCCCAATATTGGGGCTCGGTAGACTGGTATTTGATGAAGAAGTAGGCCTTGCCGTTACTATCACACACGCGAGCGCCTGAAAGCTTATCTAGCTCGATATCGCAGGGCGCGGTACCCTGTACCGGTTCAGTTCGCGTAGCGATGAAGACCTGCTCGCTGACCCAGCATATTCCAGCAGCAGTAGACCACATGTAAGTCATCACACTGGTTCCGAGTAAATCAAAGATGCTGTTTGAGATTGGTTGCGCAAAGGCGCCATTCTTCATCACGCTTGGAGCGCTCGTTAACAAATCAGCCCAGCCGTAGTCCTGGGCATTGGTTGGAGCCGTATTCAGGGCATTTTCTGCCACCTGCTGAGTGCTAAGTTTCATCACCTGGGTTGCGTTGCCCACAACCTCACTAATGGTGGCATAACTGTTGATTTCATTTTGCAGACTGTAGTGGGAAACAGGTTAAATTGAATGGATAGCCAAAAATGGGGCGAAAGACTCACATGGACGCAGCATTGTCTTGAGCCAGCGTAGTCAAACCACTCAGAGTACCAGATATTCCGGAAATTGTGGCCCCGGCAGCCCCGGCAGCTTCACCTAAGGGTCCTAGAAATGCCCCAAGTGCTCCTAGGACCCCCAAAACCATAGATCCAGCGCCAGAACCCTATTCAAATCGATTAATTGAAGTCCACTCTTGTAGTCAGACTCAGAACCTACACCTGAGATATCGTGAGTGGTAAAGTCCAGAACGATTTGCATTGCGTTTGATTGGAACTGATTCAGATCGTCATCAAGTAGACTTTGAATACCTTCATTCCAATCAAATAGGTTCCGCGAAGCATAGAGGGCAAAGTCAATAATTGGTACGTTTTGCTTGTCGCCACCCGTGCACTGGGCAATGTCGTCAATCGAGAGTGAACAGTCACCAGACGCTACTTCACAGGCAAAGTTTCCAATATTTCCAGCCATCGCGGCTAGGTACTGCATGAAATCTGCATCTTGTGGAACTGCGGCTCCGCTGTAATAGTTCTGTGGATAGAGATCTGACCTATGGTCCGGGTTTATGTTAATCAAGCTGGAAGGAAAACTTGATGCTTAGCATACTAACCAAGTCTCCATCCAGTAATCCATATCATATGTTTGCCAGGCTGAATAGTTCATGTTCCCTTGAGCACATAGTGCGGTTTTGTCGGTAGCCTGCCAGGGTGCGAGACTAAGTGTGGTAGTGCTCGTGCTCGTAGTAGTGGTTGTAGGTGTGGTCATTGACGCCACGCTGCTTATGGCTGGTCTAGATGTACCACCAAGTTCACGACCATAGATTTGGCCTGGTAAAGCAGAAGCCCGAACGGCTAAGAGAGAATGTCAGGCACTATAGATCTTCCACAGAGATCGGGACATGACAAACCCATTAGACTCAACCACAAGACAGAATGCATGATTGAAATGCAAGTGGCTAAGCTGATCACAGAAAATGGCTAGGTTTGAAATGGAAGCAGTAAACAGTTTGACTCAAGAGGGCTTGATGTGCTCTACCTCGAGGATTTTGTGGCCTTTTATATTTAAATCCACTAGCTACAAGGATACTGCTTCGCCATGTTTGAAGGATTCTATATTTGACAACATTTTCATCCCAGGGTGTTGAGGCGAGCATTGACTCTAGCTGAGTATAAGGCTGAGCAGCCAAGAGTGCCTTGACCGGAACGTTAGTTAGCTGCTCGTGGCTTAGAAACTAGAAACCGCGCCAAGCAGGGTCCGGATTACTCTAGTCACACGAGCCCATTCCAAATTAAAATTAGCGGGACTCCTCAAGCGACGATAAAGCCAATGGCTGACCATATAATTTTGGGCCGAGCCTTGTAATTATCTCCGCTTCCGTCACCAATCCCTCGAACAACCCTGTGCCAATGATTCTAGTTTGCGCTGCCGCAAGTCTACTAACCGGTGTGACGTACTGCACATAGCGTCTAGGGATCCACGGCTAGATACTGAAGTGTCCTGAAATTAATTTTCCATTGACATCTTTCTAGGGTTAATACTTCGTTTTCTTGAGCGTTGCGTTCATGGAGAGCCTTGATTGGCGACAGCTTTTGCTGATACAATATAGATTCGTTATTGCGATAACTCGGTGTTGGTATTATTCCTCGATGGACCTGCCCGAGTCTTTAGGGGCTATCGTATCAGCCTCTATTAATAACCGAATATCGGCCAAGGGATGCCTAATGCTCTAAGAGGTAAGAACTCCTGAGAAAGGACAAATTCCAATGCCAAGGCGTGAATACGAGGAAATGCTTTGACGACCAATCAGGCGTCCCACAATAATTGGCGGCTCAGCTAGCTAGAACTAATTTGGAAGAGGTAGACAGCTTTATTATTGGCTAACGCGGTGCGAAACTAATTTAAGCTGCAGGTACGCGCGGGGGAGTTCTGGGGGCGGAGTCTCGAAATAGTATGAAGTGGCGGAGTTTGCCAAGATACTTTGCATTTGCAAACAGTGTTCTACAGAATGGCCATTGACTTGGTCTAGACTACCCCTAGAGAAAGCTAAGTTATTTTGTTTTCTACATATACTAGGCTCGTGCTGCTCCAGACAGATAAGGTAATGATATATCATCTCCCTGGAAGAGATAGCTATGCACATGCTCGGCGGTAGCATCATTTATTCCAATTTATGCGCTTCTTGTGAGACAACGCGCATCGGGCTTGAAGAGCTCTATATTATTTCATCTGGCAAATTGGAATCATGATAATTGGAAGATCAGTGATTCGTAGTGGCCATATATCTGGACACTTGTGTTATATATACCCGCGTTCTCAGCAATGACATATGAACTAACCATAGGCAAAATCCGTCCACCTTGGTTACCTCAATCTCCCCACTGAACCAAGCGAAGACCATTTTTGCTCTTGCAGGTTCAAGGACTTATTGGTGAGATTCTGAAACTCAGCAGCGAGAGAGCAATTAATGAACGCCGTGGGCACGTTGTGTGGCTAAGCACGTTTGGTCAAACGAGATGACATCTTATTTGACACGCATAGCCTTGTACATTTAGCGACACAAATATGGGCTAGGGAGCAAAGATCTGCCTAAGAGACGGTAGAGCTTTCAATCATTCAGATAGCAGCGATTTTCCGATATTTCTGTCAAATGATTATACGAATCACGAGTTGTGGCACGCTTTCCACCCGCATAGCCTTCAGATTCTAAGCTATAGAGAAGAGCTCGAAGCTCTACTCTAAGATTGGACGGTATCTTTAGAGCGGATGGCTGGGCTAAGAAGGCTGTAGATTGTTTTGAGCAGGGTTGCCGATGGGACGAATGTCATCTAAGGAAAATCACCCCTCTCGACTAGCATCCAATCATGCGCTCGCTATGGCATATGAAGCCGACAGCCAGGTTGGCAAGGCAGTCGAGCTGCTTGAGCATTTTGTCAAGCTAGAATATAGTCCTCTATAAAAGCTAGAAGGCGGAATGATGGAAAACAAAATCCAATAAAAAAGCATGATATATTATTACGATTACCTATTATATAATTTGCAAGTGAAAAGAAACCCAAACAAGAAAGCCTCCAAAATGGGACCAAGCAACTCCGTTCTCCCGAATACAATGTTACCCGCATTCGGACAGAAACAGGCGGGTCAGAGAATCAACATGCAGAGGTCAAAAATACACACGAACACCAAATAATCAAAGAGGACGCACAAGCGCCCCGAGTTTCTTTGACACCTTTTCCTGCTTGATCCACCATCAGACCGAGACAGAAGCCAGGGAATCAAAGAGACCAGAGGCAAACACTGCTTTTGGCTGTTGGCTGGTTACTGCCTGTAAGGAATTTACAGGAGAGCCATGAAACCAGCAACGACAGCGACGAAGCCCATGGCGGGCTCGACGATGGCACCGGCACCCTTGAAGGTGGCGGGCTGGGCGGGGGCGCTGGGACGCTCGGACTCAGCAGGGGAGACCGGAGCGGCAGCAGCAGGAGCAGCAGAGTGAGCAGCAGCAGGGGCAGCAGACTCGGCGGGAGCGGCAGCAGCAGGGGCAGCAGACTCAGCGGGAGCGGCAGCAGCGGGCTGAGCAGCAGCGGGCTGAGCAGCAGGGGCAGCAGACTGAGCAGCGGGCGCCGCAGCAGCGGGAGCGGCAGCAGCGGGCTGGGCAGCAGGGGCAGCAGACTGAGCAGCGGGAGCAGCGGGGGCAGCAGACTGAGCAGCGGGAGCAGCGGGAGCAGCAGACTGAGCAGCAGGAGCAGCAGGAGCAGGGGCCGCAGACTGAGGAGCGGGCGGCACCGCGGTCGGAGCAGCCGGGGGCGCAGTAGCGTTCTGGAAGCTAACAACCTCGCTGTTCACGATGGTCTTGACGAGGGTGACGGAGCTAGTCTGGGTAACCGGGACGACCTTGGTCGTGCTGCCCTCGGTGATGGTAGTCGAAGTAACTGGAATATCGTTAGCATCAGGAGTTCAGCAACGCTTGGGCTGCATAGAGCTTACCAGGGCAGGAGGTGGTCACAATGGTGATGGTGGTGGACTTCTGAGGCTTCGTGGTCACCTTGGAGGTAGTCGTGGTCGTGGGGGTGGGGCACGGAGTAGTGGTAGTGGACGGCGTGGTCGAGGGCTTGGTGGTCGTGGTGCACGGGGTAGTGGACTTCTGCGTGGTCGTGGTCGTGGTGGGAGTCGTGGTGGGGGTAGTCTTGCACTCAGACATGTGCCCATCCGGACCCATAGTCCACTTAGGAGCACCAGCAGACGCCTGGCTCTCAACAGGAGCGGCCGCGACAGCAGAGCTAGCCACATCCTTCTGCTGCATGACACCAGCGAAGGCCGGGGCAGCAAGCCCCAAAAGAGTAACGAAGCGGACCATTTTGGAAGAGATAACTTTTCACTGAAAAAAAATATCCGAATAAGCAGGGCAAAGGTAGAAACGAGTGTAAGGTGAGGAAGAGTAACGGGAAAAAGAAGAAAAAAGAAGATTTGATGGACGAGCAAGGCTGGAGTTTATATGCTCGTCCGGAGACAGTGTTCCATCACCCCAGGAGCCCACCGACGACAAAGTCAATGACGGATTGGTTGACACAGTGGTGTCGAATGATACCTGAATGGGGAGGTCAGCTCATTGGGCTGTCTCGAACAGCAATGGGCAGACCTGTTCCACAAAGCTCCATCTATGGCTGAAAGCAGGAACTGTGAGGGCTGAACCGTGGGTGGCAGAGGCACCACTGGAGGTAACTGAGTGAAATTTCTGCGCAATGATACTTGGGTATGGCGTATTGGGATGCAAACGTGACATTCAGCAGTTCAGCAGCCCACCAAAGCTCCACAGATCAACCCAAATGCGGAAAGACATGGGATGGAAGCTTGGACCTTTCGATCCTGGAGCTGGTGGGGTATTGAGCTGATTGGAGACCAAGCAATGCCAATAATAGCCAGTCTGCCTTTGCTTCTCTTCGAGTCAAGATCCAGTAAGCCCCATGGGCTGAAAAGATATGAGCTCGAATGGGAACATGAACCACGGTGACAGCTTGCCCACACTGGCAGGGCCCGGCCGGATGCAGCTACTTTTCGGACCATGGTCGATGGCCTCACCAGGGCACTGGTGTGAGCCCAAAACCAGATTCCCATTTGAGTCGTAGAAAATGCTGCCGGTGCCAGCCGCAAGTCCAGAGTGCAAACATTTGTTCTCTCCCGCAAAAAGATCGTCAAGGCATCCCGCAATCGAGGGCGCTAATCGGAGGGTTTCCCTGATACCTGGAATGTGGGAGACAGCATGGCCCGGCGCGCTTGGTGTTCCCATTGGGCGGGTAACACCCGAAGAATGTGAACACCACGCCAACACCTATTCGGATCGGCCAACGTACATCTCGGACGGGAGGCCCCCAATTTGGCTAGAGGTACGACTACCACACTCTGTAGTAGCAGCGAGTTGACCAGCAAGTCACCTAAAATTGAAGTCAATGACGATGATATTGTCCATTTGCGCTGAGATTGACCCATCCTCCCAAGGACCAAGGAGGAAAAGGGCTCAACACACGATGAATCCGGAAAAGTTGATCCAATCTTAGAAACACAGCGCTGGCACTGCACCGTCGCTGACGGGCAACCTTGGGACTAGCCACTGGCGCAGCAAGTGGGAAGTCTTGTCATCATCCAAGGCCCCAGGGGAGTAGGCAGCAGGAACATCAGACAACCCATTTCCGCAACCGGCAGGGAGAGTCAGGGAGCAAATGTCTCGTTCCTCCGTACCTGCAAGAAGCACCTAGTCAGGCCACAGTCAGGCCATCCACTAAGGCCGTTTTCGGAGACGTCCTATCACGTGATTAGGGTAAACGCGACCGCGGCGCGTCCATTTGTCGACTCACGCGACTGGCTGAGATGCTCGGTTCGGTCAACACAACACCTTCATTTACTGTTTGCGCGCCCACCATGCCTCACTCTATATCGCCGCCTGGTCAAGATGACGAGGTTATGCCAGATGCTCCTGCTGCGACCGAGAATGACACTGGTGTCAAACTAGAGGACATGTTCAACGATGACGAGGACGAGGAGTTCCCAGCATCGAGTGCACCAGATACAAAGATGGAGTCACCACCATCAGAGGAGTGAGCCACAGGATAGCCAATCTGCGCAGCAACTCGTCCACTGACCTGCCACTTTGTACAGGGTCCCTGCCCCCGCACCGTCCGGTGTCGATACCGATGTCATGCTTGCCTTTTATCAGCGACTATTCCCATTTCGATACCTCTTCCAATGGCTGAACCATGGCATTGTACCGACTCGAGACTTTGGGAATCGAGAATTCGCGCTCACGCTCCAGAATGATGCCTATCTTCGTTACCAATCGTACCCCACCGCCGACCTGTGAGAATATTCGCGTCAAACCCCCTGGAAATTCGCGAGCTGACAGCCTCAAACACAGGTTTCGCAAGGATATTCTGAAGATGAACCCCTCCCGATTTGAGATCGGACCTGTCTACAGCACCAACCCGCGAGATCGCAAAACACTTCGAGGCGGTCAAATGAAGCCAGTCTCCAAAGAGCTGGTATTCGATATCGATTTGACAGATTACGACGATATCCGGTCCTGCTGTTCGAAGGCCAATATCTGTGCGAAATGCTGGGCGTTCGTGACCATGTCAATCAAGGTGATCGATGGCGCTCTGCGCGACGACTTTGGCTTCGAACATATTCTCTGGGTCTACTCGGGTCGACGTGGTGCTCACGCCTGGGTCTGTGACCCGCGTGCGCGTAACTTGTCAGATGAGCGACGAAGAGCCATCGCTGGCTACCTCGAAATCGTGCGGGGAGGATCATCAAGCGGCAAGCGCGTAAACGTCAAACGGCCACTACATCCGCACATCCTGCGCAGTCTCGACCTCCTCAAAAATAACTTTGCCCAGACCACATTGAGGGACCAGGACAGTTTTCTCAGCGAGGAGCAGGCAGAACGCCTCCTGGCGTTGCTTCCGGATAAGACGTTGAACGATTCGCTGCGCAGGAAGTGGGAGTCCTCTCCTGACCGTCCCAGCACCAGCAAATGGGCGGATATCGACGCCTTGGCCAAAACCGGAAAGAGCAGCACATTGGATCCCAAAACCCTCCGAGACGCCAAGCAGGACATCGTCCTCGAATACACATACCCGCGCCTCGATGCCGAAGTCAGCAAGAAGATGATCCACTTGCTCAAAAGCCCCTTCGTGATTCACCCTGGCACTGGTCGTATTTGTGTACCCATCGATCCTCGCAAGGCCGAAGAATTCGACCCTCTCTCTGTTCCTACGGTGCTGGAGCTCCTGTCGGAGATTGATGCGTACGATGCGCAGAACCCTGCTGGTACCGCAGAGGCCGATGCCGCTGATGTGGAGGGTAGCACGGTGAACGACTCGGATATCAAGGGCGGGCGCAAGATGCAGGACTATGAGAAGACGAGTCTGAAACCCTACATTGACTATTTCCGTTCGTTCATTGCCAACTTGCTCAAGGATGAGCGGGCTGGGAAACGCGAGCGTGACGAGGCTGGTCCACAAATCAAAGCGGATCCGATGGAATTCTGATCTGGATTTGGATCCAGCTATTGTCAAGAATCATGACCTCATGCTTATTTCGTTCATCTCGAACTGTTGTGGGTCCGGCGCATTCGAGGCGTTTTTTGGGGTCTTACTCGATGGAGTGATTCTGGGCTGTTTATAATTTTTTAATGGCATGGCACACTTCATCTTTCAAAACTACAAAATTTGCGACCAGATGTAGCATAATTATTCCACCGTGGTTTTCATTTATTTGGAAGAAGAAATATTGGTACATGTGAGATCGTGCGAGCTGACAGCGCCATGGCAGACCACCTCACTGAAAGGGAGAGATGAAAGTTGGAGATGCAAAGAGAAAGAATTTCTGCATGCCCTTAAATTCAAGTCAAGAAAATAGGCCAGGAGGGTTATAGAAGTTGGAGAGACCGGGAAATTCCCAGCGCTTTACGCACCAAGGAAGTTCTTAACATCTAAAAAGCAAGGTCATGTTAGCAACTGCTTCAATAATCGAACATTTCAGGAAAACATACTCTCCAACCACCGCATGTACTCCTTCTGCTCCTTGACGGTGATGTAGTCGGGAATCATGTTGGCCAACTCGGCGTTGACACCACGCTCCTCCAGGAAGCGCTCAAAGTTGGCCTGCAGGGCCTCATCCAGGTTCTCGAAAGGAGGGCCGGCGTACAGGCTCTGGCGGGCCCAGTCCTTCTCGGCGGTCTGGGCATTGGCGAGATCGGCGTTCTGGAAGTAGGAGACCTCTTCGATCTGGAAGACACCATCCTGGACCAGGGTCTGGATCAACAGAGAACCACCGTTGGGCTTCTCGACGGAGACGTTCACCCGGGCAGGGAAGCCGGGCTCTGCAAGGTCAGCCCACTCGCGGTCAGCCGGCGAGACACTGTCCTCGGGGTGCTGGGCAACGGCGCCCTGGCCTCCACGCTGGTTGACGGCCTGGTGGCCCTGGAAATCCATCTCATCGCCCAGACCGGTGTCATCGAAGTCCTCCTGCTCGCTCAGGTTCTGGATATCGGCGACGGTGAAGGTGACGCGAATCCTGATAATAGCAATGCATTAGTATCCACTGGCCGGATCAATTGGAATTAGGGGAGACATACTTCTCGTTGCCAAAAGACTTGGAGAGGGCCACTTCCTGCTCTCCGGCAACATCCTTGACCGTCCAATTTCCAGTCTGCAGAACATAGTCGACATTCTGCGCCTGATCCTGAAGGTCCTCCAGACCAGACTCGTTCTCGTGCGTCAATTCGTTGTCAAGCTTGGCGATCAGCTCGGCGTCCCCTGTGACAGATTCCAGACATCAGTATGGTGTTTTTTTCTTTTCTTTATAGCTGCTGGAAATTTCAAGCCGGTCTAGTAACTTGGGGGAAAAAAGTTCTGCAACCACCAATGAGAGCCACATCACATCCTTACTTCACTTACCCTCAGCAGGAGATTGTCTGGCGATTGCAGAGGTGGAGAAAGCAGCATAGGCAGGCTTGATCGCCTTCGATGGCTGGTACAGAGCGGGTTTAGGGAGGATGGACACTGGGCGCAGAGCCGCGCGCGATAGGCCGAGCGAGCGCGACAAGGTGCGCGGGACAGAACGCGAGATGGTACGGAGAGATAACATTGTGAAGCGTTGATGGATGAGAGAGTTCGGGATTGGGAGAGTGACGGAAGGAGCTCGACAGCCGAAAAAGAGAGCTCACTCGATGGATGATGTCACATGACCACCCCAAACAGAAACTATACACGGCACACTACAGGGGATACTGTATATGGTTTCAGAGCAGTGAATATGGATTAAATATAGTCGACAATGACTTCAATGCACCATGCGCCTTGCTGTCCAGAACAGATGAATCATGACATGCCCTTGGGAGGAAAGCTGGACGTCTGTTTTCCTCCGTCTTTCGTAAATCGCACAAATTTCAGTGTGCTCAGACCGGACCAGTCTCCATTCCATGATTTTAGGGCTGCGAGCACATCTCCGTCACCCAGGTCCGGCATCCAGAATCCGGTCCGGAATTCCCCTTCCTCCGTATCCGTCCGCAGCTTGAGCGTCTCTTCCCGCTTGCTGGGCGGCCGCCCTTTGCGCCGTTCTTGTTGGAGTTGCTCGATCTCGTCGGCATCTCGGTTGATATATCTGTCATCGTCTTGGTTAGACAAAGCTTGTTCGGGTTTAATGGCGGCCTGACATACTGGACTATCAATTCAGCCATTTCGTGGTCTGATAGCGGCTTGTCTGTATCTTGCACCGCCTCGTAAAGATGTCCGATCCTCTCCACTACACAAAAATCAGTATATCCTCTCTGGAATGCGTGCACGACGGCTCTCACTGTATGGCTGTCTGCCCTTGAGGGTGGATTTGGCGTGGCGGGACAGTCGATCGTCTCGAGCACCCGCTCGTCTTAGTCGCTGGGCATCGCGACTGTTCTCATTCAGCGAGTCGACTTTACCCCTCTTCTTGGAGATCTTCTTGTGCACTTTCTGCAGTGTCTTGGCCATGGTGAGGGTGGGGAGTGGTATGCGGACTCTCTGGAGTGCGGGCTGGACTTTTTTTTCGGTTGCGCCTGCAGAATCGGGCGGTGAGTCTCCGATGGCCACCGCCCATCGTTCCATCGCGTCTGGCGCGTCGAGGACCATGAAACAAACATTCCAGTGACGCTGGGCCATGGAGCTATTTCCTCGGTAGCTTTTCTCCCCGTTGTTTCTTCTTTTGTTCTCTATTACCAGCGGCCGTGTTTTCTCCCACCCTCCCCCCGTTCGCATGTTATCGTTTGTCCAGTAAACACGAGGTCCCCAGCCTGTGCCTCGACCGGTGCCCGCCATGGGTATCAAAGGTACGTTGACCCCTGTGCTCAAGGGAGGGCAATTGGACCACTAACACCGTATAATAAGGACTTCACGGTCTTCTGAAGTCCATTCAAAGACCGTGTCATTTAAAGAAGTTCAGCGGTCAGACCCTTGGGGTCGATGCATATGGATGGCTACATCGTGGGACCGTCGCGTGTGCCGTGGACCTGGTCTTGGACAGACCAACAAGGAAGTACGATGCTCGGACTTGTCTAAGTCGACCTTAAGACGCTAACTGTATGACAGACATATTGACTTTGTGCTCAATCGCGTTCGCATGCTTCTCTATTTCGGGGTTACGCCATATCTCGTGTTCGATGGCGACAACCTGCCCAGCAAATCGGGCACTGAAGAAGATCGTCATCGGCGGCGACAAGAGAGCAAGGCTCTGGGCCTCGAGCTGCAACGCAAGGGCAGGATGCCGGAAGCCTACCAGGAGTTCCAAAAGGCCGTCGATGTGACGCCGTACATGGCCCGTCAATTGATCGAAGAGCTGAAGAAGATGGATGTCAAGTACGTGGTTGCGCCCTACGAGGCAGATGCCCAGCTGGTATATCTCGAACAGCAGGGGATCATCCATGGAATCATTTCCGAGGATTCAGACTTGCTCGTGTTTGGGGCGAAACGACTGCTGTCTAAACTGGACCAGCATGGTGACTGCATTGAGATCAATCGAGCTGAGTTCACTGCGTGCCGGGAGGTCAGCTTAGTTGGATGGACCGATGCCAATTTCCGTCATATGTGCATTCTCAGCGGGTGTGACTATTTGGCAAATATTCCCAAGATGGGGCTGAAGACCGCCTACCGCAGCATTCGCAAACATAAAACCGTTGAGCGAGCGCTCCGCATGCTTCAATTCGAGGGCAGTTATCAAATTCCTCGCGACTATCTCGCCAACTTTAAGCAGGCGGAATTGACCTTCCTCTACCAACGAGTCTTCTGCCCCAAAGCGGGAAAACTGGTGACTTTGTCCCCTCCAGATGATGATGTCAATTTGGACGAGCTCCCGTTCATTGGAGGCGATGTGGCTCCGGAGATCGCCGCCGGGGTCGCTTGTGGTGACCTGGACCCGACCACTAAAGGGTTGATTGAATTGAAGCCGGTAGTTGCAAGTAAATTGCCCTTGGGCGTTCAACGCCGCCAGACCCTGGGGTCGGAGCTGAAGCCAAACAAGCCGATCAATTCCTTCTTCACCCCGAAGCGAACGCCTCTGGCCGAGCTGGACCCGAACAGCTTGACTCCGTCTCCGAGCCAGCAGCGACTCTTGGAGCGCAATGCGAACAGCTCCTGGCAGGCCAACTCAGCGCCCTTACGCTCCAATAGCGTGAGTCGGTCTGGTCCGCTTCGGGCATTCTCAGACAACCAAGGTCTCAGCCCTATGGTGCGAAGCGTTGAGAGACCTTCGTTTCTGGCCCAGGCCGCGCGAGCTTCTACCCTACAATCTACTAAGCGGCAGCGACTCTGTTCTGATGCCGATGACGACTCGCTACCTGCTCGTCCGAATTTACGCAGTCGTTTCTTCGAACAGAGCCCGGGCCAATCCAGCCCCAGCGGACAAAAAGTGACACGTAGTAAGAAACAGCGCAAGTCGACGATGGATGTCTTTTCTGATGAGGTGGCCGAGGACATTTTTGCTGGCATTCCCGACCCTACTGAAGAAAACGAACCTGTGGATGCTCGAGATGAGAGCAAGCTCCAGGCCTCTGAGACGAACGGTGAAACTGCAGAACCTCCTGCGACTGAACCCGTGGATGGTGATTCATCAGCGGCCGATCAGGCGAAAGATGCGGAGGTGTCGAGCGACGTGGGCCGGGATTCCCCAAAATTCAACCGCGCTCTCGAGTACCATGTGACGCGACAGAATTCGACCATCCTGTCCAAGTATGCCTTCCAGTCGGAGCCACAGCCATCCGTACCTGTTTCTCGACCCGCTCCAACCAAGATCCCTGTGCCACAGTCATCTCGTAGGGGACCTGTCCCGATTACACGTCGCCCAACGGCTCAGCGGCAACGGCTGACACCCTTGCAGCGGATGGGACACGCCGCATTGACTCGGTCGAACACCATCAATCTGCCCACCAAGCTCCGTGACGCTGATTCCGCAGAGCCTCCGACAGCGGCGCCAGCTCCGCCCCAGAAAGCATCCTCCTTCACCGTTGGCCACGGTGCTCAAGGCAGTGAAGACCTCATTGTCCCGGACAGTGAGGACGAGGAAACCGAGGATACAGCACGAACCCCGGCGCCTTTGGACCTCAAAAGGTTCTCGTTTGTGGCGCAATAAGCATATGCATTTAGTTTTGGTATTGGTTTAGGGAGTAACTATCATTGGCCTCGGGATTATTGGATTATTGGATCATTCTTGGCGAGCCGCTTGCACTTTGACCGGGTGGCGAATATTGTTGGAGGATTATGTTTTATTTTGTTGTGGCGTTGGAAACATGAGACACGGCGGGTGTTTGGGCTCTTCGGGCAGCATTCGGATGATCATTCATACTGTGTGGATTCTAGGAGTAGAAAGGAGGCTGGAGCAATCAATCCACGGTCCGCGGTGGGACCCAAAGCTTGGCCTGATCGACCCTATCCCCGAATCGAGTTAGCGTGGCAGTGCTGGTTGCCAGGGAACCCACACCGTAAACAAAGGTCGTTGGCCCAGCCTCCTCTATTGCCCAACTACCCGACTCCATCCCCAGCCTCCAAAGCTTCATGCGATCAGTGGTGGACAAGATAGCGTAACGTGGTGTGCTTGGTGTCCTTCGCTTCCAGCTACGAATCCCTTTCTCTTTCTCTCTCTCCCTCCTTTTCTCCCCATTCCTCTCCTTCCGCAATCTCCATCTCTGACCACTCTCAAGAATCCAGTATAGGTGCGATCCGGATTCCACGGAGATTTACATCTTCTTCGAAACGTCAAGAACAATCCGTTCCGTTCCTATCTCCACATTCTTCTTCATCTTCCTCCTCCGCCTTCCATTCCAGCGAACTTGACAGCTGCAGCGCCCGCAAGACCAAAGCAAAGGAACGCCGTTGGGCGTCTGACGGGCCTTGAGTCTACATTTGTTTATTCGCGCTCCTTCTCGGAGGCCCGAGGAGTGAGTTGTTACGACTTGACGAAGAAGGGCCGCGAGTTGGCCGTTGGCAGCAATGGCGATTCGATTTTTTGAAGGATGGGGCCGTACGTGATCATTCTCCAGAACGATGGATTAGAACATGGCTAACTTTGGTTTCAGGATTTGTGCCGATGATCGGATACCATCATGTGTTGATGATTGTGATTGCTGTGGCGATTATCTTACTATGTAAGTGCATCCTCGAGGATCTGGCTGAATCGGCCATGTGAAGAATGTGACTAACGATCGATCCTCTGCAGCGCTCCTGTTGGCCGGATGTTCTTCATCGTCTCCACAAATTCCTAGCATCTTCCTGATCTCCATGTACTATGAGAAGTACAAGCCAACCTTCAACCTGGCCCAGGTCTTCCCCGACGAGATCACGGCCATCTCCCACATCGTTGGTACAGCCGAACTTGAGGTCCGCGTGGGATACTTTGGTATCTGTGTCTCGCCAGATGGGGGAGCATTTATCTGCAATGCGAACGCCACTGCCTTGGCAGAAATCGTGACCACGGAGCAAGATCCCATGAACTTGATTTGGGTCGCTTCAACTTTCAAGGATGCGGTCGTGTTCCCGTATCTCCTGTGAGTGGCCTTTCAACCAATTTTTACTCTGTGGTAATGCTAACCTGGTCGTAGAATCGTTGCTATTGTCCTCGCGTTCTTCTGCTTCCTCCTTCTGGCGACGTTCCCCGGCTGGCACGAGGAGGTCGACGAGTCCGGCTCCGAGCGCGAAGTCAAACCCTTCCCCTCTCGACCGGTCTCCCAGGCCGCCCTCGCCCTGATTTTCGTCGCCTCCGTGTTTGTCCTCGTGTCCGTATTATGGCAACATACGGCATCCGTCGCCGCAAGCACCATAGCCCAAGATATGGGCAATGGCAGCATCAAGAGTGGTGTCGGTACCTCCGCCATGGTACTGGGTTGGTTCGGATTCGTGCTCATGGTCGTTGTCACGATCGGTCTTTTGGTGATGATTCTCAGCATCAGTTTGATCCGGAAACTGACCGACGATGAGTGACGGGTTTGATTGTTTCTTTGTTTGGTTTCTCTTTTCAAAACTTGCATTTATCCCACCCCAACATTGCGATACGCACCTTCACCTCATTACACCATATGGCGAACGACACGAACGGAAATGAATAATATCGACGAGCGAATGAGCATATGGCTCGAACGCAACAGGATGGACGGAATGGAATATTTATGGGATGCCCCGCGGAAATTTGGATTACGAACATAGCAGGGGATCAGGATCTCCAAATACCTACCTTCCTGGACTGGACTCGACATATCCAGTATGGAATGGGCTTTTACCGGGCATTCTCAAAAGGAGATATGCCGAAAGGGCATAGAATGAATGTCATTTTCCATGGGCTGGGATTTCAACTCTTTTTCTTTTCATCTTCTTGGCTCTGGGCGTTTTCTTTGCCATGTATAAAACCAGCACTTCTTGTCATGTTGTATCCACTTGTTTGATTTGGAAAGTTTGGAGCGAGAGCCTTGAATATGAGCTCAGTAGATGCTAGTCAAATACCATGAAAAATTATGAAAAGACATCCATCCAAGTATGCTCATTGTCCATAGTCATGGAAAGTAAGAAGATCTCATTGCGCTGCATAAGTCATACAAGACGACACTAAACCACCGGGAACCATCATATCGCACTTACGAATGATCTAAGTATTCTCCACGCCGAAGATATTCATACCGACCTGCGCCTAATCCTTCTCTGATGCACGCCATGCCAGAAAACAACCGTGCGTGCAAAGTATAGACTTGAGCAAACCGCACCCCCAGTAGAAGCTCATGCTAACCATGTCCCGACGCCATGATAAAAAAAAGTAAAGAGACTCAGTAATTCATAAAGCCACCACCTTGTTCGTCGTGTGATGCATCATATCCACTGGTATGATCATCAAGAGACCGATACCCCGGGTGACCCCCAGCACCACGACCGCGGCCACGAGCTCCGCGAGCAGATCCACGTCCACGGCCAGTGCCCCGGCCTCGGCCGCGATGAGAGCCTCGACGATGGCCATCGTCATGGTGAGAACGGTTCTCCCCGGCAAGACGCTGATAAGGGTTATAGTTGTTGGAGCGACTGTCATAATCGCCACCCGGTGGATACAAAATCTCATCGTCTCGCTCCTGCTGGAAGCGGCGCTTGTGGCTCTTTCTCGCCGGCTGGCTCTCCCATTCGCTGTCTTCTTCAACCCGCAGTACAGCCTTCTCTCCAACGACAGTTTCAAATTCCAGAGCTTTGTCAGCCGGAACGGGGTGCCAGTTTTGAATTTTCCCTGCCTCAGCTGGGCGGACGCCTTTGCGGACAGCCAGGACGATCAGAGGTGCAGGGCTCTCCGTGAAATACTTCGCAGATGGAGGAACAGGCGAGACACGAGCTGCCCACACGCGATTCTCAAACACACCTGTTCCAGTAATCTGCCACTTTAGTTTGTGTCCCATGCCCCCAGCCTTGTTCCGGATGGATTTGGAGGCCGGCCGAGGAGTGATCATAATGCTGTTAGCCAAGTATTTCAAATCATTTGATTCAGCCAGGCCTGGTGGCAGGATCTGGACCAGAAGGTCTTGTGTCATGCGGTTGGAATCTTCCTGGGATATCAAATATGCGGTGTAGAAGACGGTGCGCTTGATCCGCAGGCGGTTGTATGAGGCCTTGCCATTTCCCATTGGGGGGTGGTGCAAGATGCCATTGTGGGCATTGATCATGCGCTGCACTTCGGCAGTTTCAGTTACGGGGTCAAGAAAAGTGCATCCCTCGGACACCTGGATGACTTCGGCATTTATGGGTCTGCGCGGTACGGGGCCTTGTCCAGATTGGAAATCCCTGTTGAGGCTCTCGAAGAAATCTCTGAATCCTTTCACACTGGTATGACATTAATATATCGTCAGGGTGAAGGCGTCTTGCACAAAACAAAAACTTACTGTTTCACGCGATCCTCGTAGACACGAATATCTTCAGCCTGGCTATAGGTGAGAATGATGTCCTCGAGGAAAGTCTGTTTGAAATTCATGGTCGACGAAAACCGTTCACTATTGGGACCAACTTCAGGCTTCAGGCCGATCAGGTCAAACTCGAGGTTCCGACTAGCCACCATTCGCTTGATGATGTCTGCAAATCCGAGCTCACTCCGGCCGGTCAGGAGCACGGTGAGCGCATCTTTCTGCTGCATGCTGAGCGTCACAAGGTGATACTTTGAACGAGTCAGCCTTCAATCTTTGAGCGGAGAGCTCAGTAGTCCCACAATTTGTTCATTCCACCACCCATTCCAGCCGCGCGCTTCCTCGACATCCGCTCCCTTGCCTGTGGCGAAGAGGATGTTCGGGTCATGCCACCATCCGCCATTCACGAAGCACTCCTGTGTTTGAAGGAAGCCGATGGTTTGGCCGTTCCATAGTTGTGGGTTCGGAAGAGGACTCAAGAATACTATCAGCGTTCCAATGTCAGTGTCCAGCATCACGGCCATGCGATCTGTAGATCCTCACAGGTGTTGTCGAAATCATAAACGTGGATGGAGCGAATATCAGAGACAGCTGTTGCAGAAAGAGAAAACTGTTAGTTGAACAGGTCCGGTGTCAAAGCTGTAAGTATACCAACCTGGTAGCTCTTTGTTCAAGACAGACCACCGCTTCAACGAGGTAATTGTGCGACTCAACGGCTGGTGGCCATTATGGACAGGCTCCTTCACAGACCCGTATGCCATGGCAGTAGGGTCGAGACGTGAACGAGTCTCGGAGATCACAGCTTTGGCCGAGCGCAATCCGCCAAACATTCTGCCAGTGTCTTGGTCCTGGTCAGGTTTTAGTTGAGAGGCTGTCCAGGTCAGTTCATTGCGTGGAAAAGAGAGTTGAGCCGAGGAAAGTGGACGACAGAAGAAGAGACAAAAGAGAAGAGGAAGAGAGAGCAAGAAGAGTGTGTGGAGGATGGGGAGATCAGGCGAAAGAAAGAGGCACCGGAATTTTGCCGCTGGCAGATCACTTGCCGCCTGCGCCAGCCAGAACACCTACACCAACCTACACCAACGAACCAACCAACTCATGTCACACTCCTCCGCCCATGGCAGACGATGTCGATCTGCGCCAGGAAATCCTCCAACGAACACTCCAGGAGGTAGCCGATGAGGAGTTGGAGAGTGTGGCCAATCCTTGCGTCATCTGCCTCGACTCCATCACCGAGCCCGGCGTCGCTGTGCCCTGCAACCATGCGAATTTCGATTTCCTGTGTCTTGTGAGCTGGCTGGAGCAGCAGCCGAACTGCCCACTCTGTACGAAGCTCACAACTCGCCACTATGGAACGCTTACTGATCAAATAATAGGCAAGAGCGAACTGACCGCGGTACGATATGACCTGAAATCACCCCAAGGTCCGAAAGTATACAAACTACCACCCCCAAGCACCAATCTACCTCCCTCTGGCCCTCCTACTCGACCACGCCCGCCCTTTCGACGTGGCGCAAGGCCACCCCGACGCGACCATCCACGCCCACAACCCCCGCAGCCCGACGATCCACTGCTGCGCCGCCGCAATGTATACCGCCACCAACTATATTCTCTGCGAGTGGGATCCAACCGACTATCACAGTATCGCGAGCTGACGCCGGACCTATTCAACCGCGACGAGGAGCTCATTTCGCGCGCTCGAAAGTGGATCCGACGAGAACTGCGCGTCTTCAGTTTTCTGAACCCAGAAACAGAGGAAGAAGAGCAGCGCCAGGGCCGGGTGTCTCGACCGGGACAACAACGGCTGGAGAATCGCAGGGCGAACAACGCTGAGTTCCTGCTCGAGTATATCGTCGCTATCTTGCGCACTGTCGATATGAAGGGCAGTGCTGGGCAAGCGGAGGAGCTGTTGCGAGATTTTATCGGGCGTGATAATGCTCGCTTGTTCCTGCATGAGCTGCAAGCGTGGTTGAGAAGTCCGTATATCTCTCTTGAAGACTGGGATCGTCATGTCCAGTATCCCAGTTCCCCGTCGAATACCCCCGACAGCGGACCGCGGGAGTCTGGTGGGTTGCCTCGTGGGCCGGCGTCGGGTTCTGGCCGGGATAGACCTCTCGCCGAACGAGTGACCAAGCCCCGATCATCTCGGCGACCACCATATCGTTCGAGATCTCAGGACGCTGCTGCTCGTGCACGGCGACTACAGTATGCTCGGGCCCGGTATGCTCCTGATTGAGCCCTAGAGAGCTCCGACGGATGGCTGCATTATAGACATTATGACCTAATGAGACATGTTGATATAATCGTAAACTTGGACTTGAACTGGAGGTACTTGCAGTGCGAGTATCACACTTATTTGTGGCATTCATGAAACAAGTAAAGCTATCTAATCCATGCTCGCAGTCAATGCAATCGTTATTCATAACTCTCCAGCATCAGCATATCTTCTATCTTCGCCGGAAACGACCTCCAGTCTTGGAACCTCTGTTCCGGATTTTCAGGGCCCGAAAGTTCGCATGAGTCTGAGGATTGATTTTTCGGGACTGAGGCTTCTTCTCTTTCTTTTCCGGAGCGCCTAGCTTCTTCTCCGTAGGATCTTTGGGTTTTGATTTCACCGCAGAAGTCACAGCCTCCTTGATACGCTCAGAGAAACTCTTGGACCGGGCAATAGGCTTGGATTGCTCCTCATAGTCAGAGTCGCCATCAAAGTCGACCTCTGGATCTGCGTTCGAGTCGAGATCCGGCTCAGACATGGTGTGGAGGGAAGTGGCATCGCCTTCATCGTTTTCTCCCAGGTCAGCATCATCGTTGTCCTTCTGCTTGCTCGGTTTCTGTGTCTCTGGCACCGCCGCCAGTACATCCTCGCTCTCATCCTCATAATCAGATTCTGCAGGGGCAGTAGGTTTTGGTCGCGAGGCAACTGGCCGCATAATTACTCTGCGAGTCGTCCGCTTCTGGCCCTTCTTCTTGTAAAGCGGGCGATGCTCCTGCTGGGGTACCTGGCTGTCCTCAATCTCAATATTGCCGGCCTCTTGTTCCTCTTCAAGCTCACGGAGCACATCCCACTCGTCATCCATTCGTTCTTCCTCCATGTCACGGAGACCTTGAACGAGATGCGATAGCCCTTTACTCGCGAACTGAAGTGGCTTCCGGGAGACAACTGGACTGAGGCCCGGGCCGTTCTGGTTGGCAGTAGCGGCCGGGTAGCGACCAGAATTGGAGCGGCGTAGGAAAGATGGTGTTTCTGACTGGGGTGCTCCCGGGGCTGCTGGAGGCGGTAGATCCGGTGATCTATTTTCTTCTGCTTCTTTACGGTCCTCCGCCTCTACCATCGCGGCATAGCGCATTGTTGTGGGAGTCGCGAACAGATTCGCCAAGTAAAACTGCTTGGTCGAGGAGGCTGGGGTCCGAGCCATCCTCGGTGTTTCCTCCTGCTGTTCTTCTTCTGGTGCCTCTGGGATCCTGTCGACCGTTTTGCGTTTGGATGGAGTTCGGAAGGCGGCTGCAAGCGTGTTCGCCTGCTTCTTCCCGGACGGAGTTGGGGCGCTTCCGCCCGACTCGGATAGAAGATCGAAGAGTCCTAGGGTTTTCCCATCGCGTTGGGGAGTTGGCCCAATTGCAGCTTTCAGAGGAGATGGCGCTGGCATATTTTGCTGGTGTGTGCTTGGACTGAAGAGTTTGCGGAGCGTCGACGGCGAGTCGTATGGGTCTAATTGGGATGGATGGGCATTCGTCGTCCGTTTGTGAGACGGAGTCGCGAATATGCCCTTGGCTGACTTGCGCGGCGCAAACTCGACATGCGACTCGGGGCCGGTAGGCGATGCATGCTTGCGTTTCTTGGAATGATCTTGGGCTTCGTGTCGCTGATTCTCGCGTCGAGCTAGGGCGGACTCGAGGGACTTGAGTCGACCGTATTCCTTGTATTTGGCGGCTGATGAACAGAGGAAATAAAAATCAGCGATTCGATCAACACAGTTGGTTCGAAACCTCAAAACTCGGGTGCCTGGACCTACCGATATCCGCGTTCTGCTTGATATCCTCCCTACCGGCTTTCTTGCCGTTGTTGGCTAATGAGAATGCTTTCTCCCATGATTTTAATTCCGCGCGCAAGTCCACAGCCTGACTGGCAACCTCCGCACGAGACCCCAGGGCGTGGTCCGCCATTATCGCATGGTGTGGTTGGGTGTTGGTGAAGAGAAGCTGAGCAGAGAAGAGACGCGACCCTACTTAACGCGGTCTGACGTCGCGTCACGGGTGGGCCTGAACCCTACATTTGCAGCCACTTGCTTGGGCACATCGTCGTAGGTACTAGTAACTACTAGGGTCATTTAATACTCCATTTGTTCCTGGCTGAATATGTCTACGCCTACTAGGCTGACATATTCCTTGTTAGCCTTAGTTCCTTCGGCAGCAGCCAGCGTTTCTCTTAGCTTCGGATTAACCCCCCAACCAACCACCACTGCCACAATATGTAATCTCACCCCGCTGCTTGCTTTGGAGGTCAGAAGGGCCGAAGGAAGTTCTAATCTATAGGAATTTCAGATAAAAGGAACCCCCTCCCCAACAATTCTGCCGACAAAAATCACCGGCTCACTGTCAATTGATCACGCAACATGGCCCCGCCTTCTGGAGAATCCCTATTAAACGCAGAGTTTGACGCTCTTGTGAAAGAACAGCTCGAGCTATGGAAAGTGCCAGGCCTGACCATCGCAATTGTCCATGGCGCCAACACGTATTCCAAGGTAAGGGCATCCTCAACCGAGGCATGTACCCCAATACTCACGTTCAACAGGCATATGGGTTCGCCGAACTCCCCGACAAGAAGATGACGACCGATGCGCTCTTCTCGACCTGCAGTACTACCAAGGCATTCACTGCTGCAGCGACGTCCATGGCAATCCAGGATAGCAAAGCTACCGCGTCGCCTTTCGACTGGGACACACCAATGTCCGCTCTGATTCCAGAGGATTTCGTGCTAGCTGATGACTACTACACTAAGAACGTCACGATCGAAGATCTGCTGTCGCATCGATCGGGCATGGCACCCTATATGTGGGTGCCGACCTGTAATAAAAAGGACGTGACGGTGCGCGAGACTGTTCGTTCGTTGCGAAACCTGCCTCTCTCGCAACCCCTGAGAACCAAATTTCAGTACAACAATCACGGGTACATCGCAGTTTCGCACGCTCTTGAGAAGCTTACAGGAGAACCCCTGGGCAAAGCGTTGAAGAGCCGGATCTGGGAACCCTTGGGAATGAATGAGACCTACTTCTCCATCCAAGAGGCCAAAGCAAGCCCGTCAAGCGCACAAAAGTTCGTCCAAGGCTACAGTTGGCATCAGACCGACGAAGGCGGCTCCTATAACCCGGAGCCTGCTATGTCTTGGGATGCTGTCACCGGTGCCGGCTCTATGGTCAGCAATGTTCTTGACTATTCGTACTGGATACGAGAACAGATCCATAAAACTGGCCCGCTCAAGGGCCACGACTCGCTAACGCAGCCTCGGGTACTTCACTTTGAAAGTGGCGGCATCAACCCGCCTGGTCCCTGGCATGCGTATGCGTTAGGTTGGTTTTGTGACTACTATCGTGATCAGCCTTTCTACACCCACGCTGGTGGCTGGCCTGGCTTTGGTTCCCTGGTGGGCTTCTTACCAAATAAAGTCTTTGGCTTCGCCATCATGGGCAATGCTACCTCGGTCCAAAATGTTGCATTCGCGTTACTCGTGCACCTCCTGGACAAGATCCTCAATCTTCCAGATGATCCCAAGCATAACAAGGAGCTTGCGGCATGCTTTGCAAAGCAACGCGAGGAATGGGACCGAATGGTCTCACCCCCAAGCTTGGATGATGTGAAGGCCAAGTTCTATCCTTCTTTGCCTGATCCTCCATTGCCTCTGTCCTTGGCAGTGGAGAAGTATGCCGGGACATACACGCATAAGGCGGGTGGTTCGGTTACCCTGACGGCCCAGGAGGGTTGTTTGACAGCAGACTTCTCTGACAGGCCTATCGCGGTGCGCCTGGACCTGGTACATGTGAGTGGAGAGTTCTTTATTGGAAAACTATGGAACCCAAGGAATATCCATTTTGAGCAGTTCCCTGTGGAATTCTCTGTTGGTTCTACAGGAACGGCTCATAAGATTGGGATGCTCCTTGAAGCTGCTTTGGGCGGAGAAAAGATCTGGTTCGAGCGCAAAGAATAGCTTGCGATGACTTAGATCTTTAGCTTCTATTCAAAAATCAGTGTCCCATCTATGTTGAAACTTCGACGTTACTCTAGAAGCACTGTATATAAAAAATCCACAGCTGCTCCGCATACGCACTAAAAAACCCACAGGCCATCCTCACCAGCTCGTCAGCCCTCTCGGCCTATCAAACCCACCCCTCAGCTGCGTCTCGGGGTGCACCACCTTCCCCTGCAGAATAGTGTAGTTAACAATGCCCTCGCAATGCTCAGGCCGAACGCGTGCCAGCCATATCATCTGCTGCTGCTTTTTCCGATACACCAGCACGTTAGCGGAGAACTTGTGTCCGCCCACGTGCGAGACGAAGAAAATGCCCGCACCGCCAGGCCGGGTATCATCCGCATCCCTGTCCAGTCCGCGCGGACGCAGGTGTCGCTCGAGTTCGCGCTTGATAAGCGGCGCGGTAATTCCGCAGCGCGCATCTCGCCGCCGGTGCGAGCACAGCAGGATCACGTAGTCAAGCTCACAGGGGCGCTCACTCATGCTAGATGCGGGGGAGGCACCGTTCTCCCTCTGTTGATCGACTGCTGGCGTATCGACAAATTGCTTAATGAATTCGGGCATGTCTGCTGCTGTGACGTGGTCCACAAAGGTAAATGATGGGAGAATTAGCACCGTTGTTGCTTGCTGGGTGGCGTCTTGCGAGTTCTCGTGGTCCGGGACTTGCAGATTTGAGGCCGAGACCATAATACGCTGGTATCCAACTTTAACAAATATCCATAATAGGAAAAGGGCAAAAGAATCATACCCCATGTTTGGATTTGGCGGAAGGCTGATCGAGCGCCTCCATCAGTGTCCCCTTCTCTTGCTCGACCTTTTCCTTCCAGTCGGATCGCCCCGTGGCAACAAGGACATGGGCATGAAACTCCTTAATGTGGCCATAGAGAGGACGCGAGGTCTCAACCTTGACTTTGGATGGAAATTGAATCGTACAATCTGCACAGTCCTTCAGGCAGTCTGCGCCGTCGCTTTTAGTATCCACTGTTGGGAATAAATATTTGTTCTCTTTTTCGTCATTTTGACTGGCAGGAGTGGACTTGGGCCCGAACGAGAGCAGCGAGCGCAGCATGGTTGGAGTCAATCAAACGTTATACCTCAGCCAGGTTGTTTTGTTGAATTGATTTTGGGGGAAATTTTTATGTTTACTTCCGAGGTGAGTTGCGGCTGCCTGCGGTAGATTATAACGTTCCTCGGCCGTCGTCGATATCTAGTATCTCCGAACCCCGAAGCCGAGCTCGGAGACAATCTCCAAATTCACAATTTCTTTTCGGATTCGCGATTTGACAGCCTTGACTGTAGCGAGCGAGCTGGATAGTGCCGCCTGCCTGGAATAAATCACCTTCAATAGGTGCACAGAAGTGCAATCCATGATGCCTGGTGGCCAGAGGTGTCAAAGCTCAAGCGCCCGAGCTTTTAGGGTTATCGCAGTTGTTGAGGTCTATGTATGGATTGAACGCGGACATCATAGATTAGACGTTTTGCAGAGCTATACCTAGGTAGCTACCGCTAAAATATGAAAGATGGGCTTAGATGCTAAATGACAAGCGCATGACCTGTAGATCGGGTGGGTATCTATAAGGGAAGACAGGCATCAAAACAAGATGAAAATGCTAAAGATCCAACCACGAAGTTTGTTCAGAGGAACTCTCAACCGAAGATGACGGTATCGGCTTGTGAGTAATAGAGGAACGATGGATCTTCTCAGACTGCACAGTAGACGCTGTAGACGCTGTTGGGTTATGTGAAGACTGGACAGGCTTGTCCGAAGACGGGGCAGGCTTCTCCGAGAACATGGCAGGCTTTTCTGAGGACGGCACCGGCTTCTCTGCGGACGGCACAGGCTTCTCTGCGGACGGCACAGGCTCCTCCGATGGAAGACCAAATTCTTTGGATATGAGATCAGCTAACCATGCCGGTGCTTCACCAGGAGTGACCAATTCCTGAGACGCAACATTAGGATTAGTCGTGGAATTTTCCGATATTTCATGCTGGTTTTCAGTGCCCGGCTCGGTATTTCCAGGGTCCGGCTGGGTCGCCGGAACATCAGGGGTATCGGGAACATCAGAAACAGGATATTCAGCAGGCAGCTCAAAGATTCCTTCCGGTGGCTCGGTTGGCCGCTCAGAATGTAATTCAGCTGCTTGTTCATGTGGTTGCCCCGAGACGAGTTCAGGAACAACTCCAGCGGGTGTTGGCTCGGCCGTGAAAGCTTCCAATCTCAGGACGCACATCAATGGCTCAGCCTCGGGCGGAGGAGGCACTTCGCCCCCCAATAGTTGTTTTGGAGTGACCTTTCGGCCGTACATCTTTTTGTTGGCAGAAGCCCGTTCCCCGAGCACGCCACCCTCAAGCGTGAGCCCGCCGTACATACCACGAGTTTTGGAATAAGCGTACATGCCCGCGAAACCTTTACTGCTAGCCATGGTACCCGCCTCGCCGCTGCGTCCAATGGGGCCGAAAGCAATGCTGATATTTCCACTGAGAGTCAAAGAACCGCCCTGGGCGAACTTCTTCATTTCTCGCTCGGTGTTGACGACAAAGACAAAGTCAGTCAGCTCCATCCCGAATTGGCCGCCAACTCCGATGCCTCCGGTCGCAATGGCTGAAGGAGCTGACCAGGTGCCGTCAGCGAGTCGAGCGACGATCAGCCCGGATCCAAACCGGACAGAGCCCAGAAATCCAGCTTTGAGGGATGTGAAGATCACAAGGCCCTGTAAGCACATTAGAACCTGTTCGGCTTTATCTCATTACAAATCCTCACCTTTGCCCTGGAGAGAACGCTCCGGGGAACTCCGCCATCCAGAAATGTCCCACCGTCGAGAGTGCCAAATTCCTTCGGATTGATGAACGAATTCAAAATTTTGCCGGCTTTCTTGCACTCCTCTGTTTGGATATTGTGAGACTTATCCTGGCTCCCTTGGAGTCTATAGGGAATAACACTTACTGGATAATGAGGCCGGCAGTGGATTGTGGAACGGATTGTGCATCCGAGACCTTATTGACTCGGAACGCACCGACGACATGGCGTGAATCAGGAGTATATTAATGATTATCAAAAATATGTCTCCCCGAGGGATTCACACGGGCCTCAGAGGGGTAATTAAGGCCTATGGTTGGGCGTTGGCGCAATCCGAAAGGCTGAGCAAGTAACTAAGCCCCTTTTCTGACGGCGCGGCGGAGAACATGCAGAGGTGGGGGCCAAGTTCTGTTTTTGGAGGACTGAAGGACTAGTGTGTGAAAGAGGCTCTGTGGTACAGTCAGCATGCAGTTCGAGAGCCTCAACGAGCCGCTTTTCTTTTGCTATTAGGGAACCATACTAGGCTGAAGGGTCATAGGTGGGGACTGTTTGGTTGTTGGTAGATCGCGGGAATCGATCAGTGCGTTGCTAAGAATAAAAATTTATTGCAGTGTTTGTAAGCACAATTTGGGACTACTAGTTAACTAAGTTAGTTTAACTTTACCAAGTAACTATTCTTTTCTAGGAAAGCCGGGCCGAATCGTGCTCTTGTCAATGCGACCCTGAGAGGGAAATAGGTGCGGGTAGTTATGCAGGGGCATAGATGCTTTGGAAGACAATTTTGGATCGCCGTAAATAAATGAACCACCAAGAGAAGATCTCTCGAAACAGCCGTGGGCGGCCAAAAAAAGAGGAGCCGCAGTGGGCCGTCCTTCAGGAATGACGGGAAAGTGGGACTGATGGTAGAGGCATTATTATTTTGCAAATAGTGATCGAGATCAGACGAAACCCCTTTCAATCCATTTAATATATCCTCCAGGCTCTATCTAGGCAACAAGACAAGAGAAGAGCAGACCGAAGTGGGCCCAACACGTAAGCCGTAACTAACCTAAACTCTCGCTCGAAAAGCTCAGAGCTAGATTGTCCCTCGGCTCTCATCGGAATCATAATAATTCCACCATGCTGGGATTGCGTCGCGCATGTATCATCTTCGTCTGTGAATGATAATGGCGGACACCCAGGGCCCTCCGCCCGCTGCGCAGCCCGAGAGGGTGCGTAAGAGACGCCGGCGCACCGTGGCTTGCACCCAATGCCGCAGTCGCAAGTTGCGCTGTGATCGCGAGTATCCCACCTGCGGGCGTTGTCTTAAGAGCAGAACTCCCAATAAATGCTCGTACGAGGATGGTTTTCTCTGGCAGCAGCCCACCACCGTGTCGGCCGTTGCCTTTGCCTCCGATCGGGGTTCCACCATATCTGCTCCCCCGCGAGTTGACCGCACGCCCGTCCAAACGCCTCCGGATTCGGGGACAGGTACCATGTCAACTCGAACGGAATCCTTCGTCCCAATCAATGAATCTGCTCCGCCGGCTTCTCAGGGGCGTCGTGGCTATCATCTCCATCATGATTTAGACCATTACAGTAATCATGCTCTGCCGCCGTTCCGGACTCGGCCGCCACGCGAACGCCGGGATTGCTTTTTGGAAACTGTTCTAGGCGCACCCAAGGCAGCTGTGAACCAGGAACCCTATGCGAACTCCGGGGTCGTGCAGCGACCCAAGCGGCCTGCCCCCGAGCTGGACATCACCGTCTCGGCCCAGGCTGATGAGGCCGATTACGGTGAAGAAGAATCAGACGATGCCCTTTCACCATCGCAAAAATTGGATCTTTCACCTCGCATGATGATGCGGGGCCGGGAGACTAAGACACGCTTCACTGGATCAGGGGTTTATGCCAATATCGTAGCACAGGTATGTCTCCTGCGCCGCTGTCAAGCTTCAAGCAGTGTTTATTAACCGCAACCTTAGTTTTTGGACATCCGATCTTTTGCTGAAGAAATACGGCTGTCCAATCCAATTCTCTCACAACTCCGTCCCGACCTGGAGAGGGTCAAGAGGGGGCTATGGAAGCGGATTCCTCTTAATGAGCCATTCCCCGAACCCACCACGGCATCACTGGTATCTCTCTTGCCATCTCGTGCAGTCGTGGATGAGCTGGTTGGCTTGTATCTGACTTATATCGAGTCTACACACCGCATCTTCCATGCCCCAACTTTCCTACAGGATCTTGACAAGTTCTGGGCCTTGGTTGATACACCCAACATGGCGTCCCCCATGTTTGCGGCTCAGCTCCTGTTGATGCTCTCCTGTGCCTGGCACCTCGCCGACCCAGTCAGTCTACAAGAGAAGAATGGGGAAGAACTCAAATGCTATACTCCCGTGCAGTGGGTTCTGCATGCCGAAAAATGGATCGAGAACTTGCACGTCAAGCGACCGGAAATCAATTCGATGCGAATCTCTATACTCTTAATAAATGCACGGAATTGGCACGGAATGAAGCACAGCCAGGCCTGGCTCGCCACGGGGACTCTGGTCAGACAAGCCATGATGGCTGGCTATCACCGTGACCCCAGCCGGTACACGAAAATCTCACCGTTCAACAAAGAGATGCGTCGGCGGATCTGGACGACGATTGTTGAGCTTGATTTGCAGGTTGCCTTTGACCGGGGCATGCCACCGTCCGTGCAAAGCTCAGATTACGATGTTTCCTCCGTTCTGAACATCAACGATAACGAATTTCACGAGGACGCCACCGACCTTCCGACGGGACGGCCGCTCAGCGAAGTTACGGATGCATCTTTCCAGTCCGTTTTACTGCTATCCCTTCCGCTCCGTCTCAAGGCTTGCCATTTAATGCACTCGCCGCGCATTAGTTGCCGATACGAAGAAATCCAGCACTTGGACTGGGAATTAAACCGACATATCGCGCGAATTCCCGCCTGGACGGCACTAGAAGGCATCGACGCGGTGACTCAACACAAGGTGAGCCTGTGGAAAGCGCTGATCGAGACCAAGTTGGCACAAACCCTCTTGTCGATTCACACACCGTTTGCCATCGAGGCCTGGCGGGAGTCATTATTTGTCCCGTCTGCAAGGTCTCGCATGGATGTTGCGAGCAAGATACTTTCGACACAGCGACAGCTTCACGAATCATCGAGGCCGTTGTCACTGTGTCTTCTTGGTGAATGGACTCTGCAGGCCTATATGTCGATCTGCCAGATTTTACACGCAGGAAAATCTCAGAATGGTATGTTCTCACTTCACTGTCTGTTCAATGGCATACTGACGAGTTCTAGCTCCTTACCACCAAACATCCACCATGTCTTTGATCCACAATCTTCCCGGCCTTCCGGAATCGCTTATATCTCTTGTGGAAACCACCCTGATCTGCCTAGAGGGCCGATTTCTGCTGGTTGTCAAAGGAGCGAAGGACTATTTCTTTCTGTCGACAATTGTGGCGTTGGTCAAAGCCAGACTATGGCCTACCCAAGCAGTCATGTACAAGCAGCAGGTAGTTGAACGGATTCTGTCTTTTGCGCAGACATTATTTTCTCGCCATGCCAACTGCGAGCATCTGGGCACTCCCGGGTTGGGCAGTTTCAAAACCAATCAGGTTTGCCTTTGTTCAATAATAAGCGTCTTGGTGAGATTTGACTGACTCGACTGTAGGTGGCTGCCTTTACCGCTACTCCTGGCATGGCCCCCGTGTTGTCCTCAGAATTGGAGAACATCCTTCCATCAGCAAATCTCGGCGTAAGCATCAGTCTTTGTCCCTCGCCTTTGTGCCACCCTAACTTTTTTTTTCCTTTTCACTATACAGTCCCCAGATAATTTCGATCCTTTTTTGGATGTATTCGATTGGGAGGATCTAACCGGATATGCACTCGTCGACTGATCTCTTTTTTTCTTATTGCCCCTTTCTTGAGCCGGTTGGTCTCTGTACTATATCCCTTTGATTTCATCCGAATTTCCATTCTCATCACATGGTTCTTCTGTCACTTATGCCATTTTGCGTAATTCCTTGTCGTCATGCCATCATCCAAATTCCACCTATGTACATGCATATGGCACGGGATGGCCCACACCGAGATCATCGCTAGGGGGCGTCGATCAGGCTTGGCTTCCCCGGGTCTGCAAGGAGCAGTCGATCACCAGAAGGGTCCAATTGACAGAACAAAGTGAGTGGTCAGACCCGATGGATAACTACCGGGTTCGCTAGGTTTTTGAACGGCCGAGACATCCACTCAGCCTCCAAACGCCCAGTGTGTTGTCCCTTTTGTTGCTGCCTTATTAATCCAACTGCGCCTTGTAGTGGGGCCTTAAGGGCTAGACACGCAAAACAAAGCACGGATCACACCACGGAGCCTCCGGACGCTAAGTAGACCAGTAAGCGAAGGTATCACTGAAAAAGATTTCTCCTCGTTATCGCGGTTGCAACACTCCATTTTCCACCAATGATAATATGTGGTACCTCCCCGATCAACCCCTGGCGCCACGTCTAACTGTCCCGCTGCGACAGGGGGTTCAGGGCACGGGCCTGGATACCTTGGGATACATCTAGCCCCACAGTATTTTAGGTCGTCCGGCGGGTCACTTCTTTGTATTTCTGCCCAGAAACGTGTCAGCCTAAAAGATTCTAAAAGGCTTGGCTACTATTTAGTCTCGATCGATAGAACCGATAGGACCCTACAGGGTCCTAAAAGAAAAAAAAAAAGAGACTAACTACACACCACCTGCTTTCCTTTTTTTTTTTTTTTAACTCTCCCTTGCGTGGTCGCATAACTACCATGTGCGCTGCCCTTTTTTCTCTTTACCATCTTCATCGTCTGAACCACTTCCTCTCCTTTCCCAACCTCCCCTTTCCACCTCACCCTGGCTGGCAAAATTAACAGCCTTGCAAGATGCGCTGATTCTAGTCAGCCATATTCTTCAGGGTTGTTCGTTTCCGCCAATTTTGGCCGGCCTGGGCTTTAGGTACATACGTCGCTCAATGCCACGCATTCTGTGGCTGCTGGCCACGTTCGTGGTTCTGATCCAGGCGGCTCCCCCGTTCCCATTCGGGGATGAGGTCAGTCAGGTCTACGAAACAACCGATACTCTCCCGCTGCCCAACTTGGGCAACATTGTTGCACACGATCCCAATATAGTCCAGTCCAATGGCTTCTACTATCTCTTCAAGGGTGATCCACATCTCCCCTTCTTCAAGGCCGCCAATATGAGCGGGCCGTGGGAACTGGTTGGCCATGTCTTCGACAAAGCCAGCATTATCCAGCACAAGGGAGCCCGCAAAAGGCCCTGGGCTCCGACGACTATTGAGCACAATGGCATGTTTTACTGCTATTACACGCTCAGCACACATGGCTCTCGCGACAGCGCCATTGGTGTCGCCACGACGACTACCCTGGACGGCAGTGCGTGGACAGACCACGGCGCGGTGATTGAGACAGACGGGGGCAAGGACTCGGACGTTTACCCATTCAACATCACCAATGCCATCGACGCATCTTTCATCACCGATCAAGCGACCGAGGAATCGTACCTGAATTGGGGCAGCTTCTGGCACGATATCTGGCAGTTGCCGCTCTCAGCGGATCTATTATCTATGAAAAATCCTATCGACCCAGACGCGGTGCAATTGAGTTTTATCCCGCACAAAAAGTCAAAGCCCGAGGAGGGGTCATGGATGAGCTACCACGACCCATATTACTACGTGTGGTTTAGCCACGGCAAATGCTGTCGTTTTCAGAAAGGATTTCCTGGGCGGGGTGAGGAGTACAGCATTCGGGTTGGCCGGTCGCGAAATGTGCGAGGGCCCTTCGTGGATAAGAACAATAATCTCCTCCTTGATGGTGGAGGCACGGTTGTCTATGCCTCGAACAATGGCAAGGTCTATGCCCCTGGCGGAGTGGGCGTGTTGCCGGGCATCAACGCCTCCACATCCGATATTCTATATTTTCATTATCTGAACACCTCAATTGGCTTCACAGATCAGGTATGCATGCCAAAAACATGGGACCGGATGAATGGGAATTAACAACGTTTCCAGGATGCCCATCTGGGCTGGCTCTATCTCAATTATACCGACGGCTGGCCGGTCGCAGTCCGAACGGAAGACAGCAGCAACGTGGGGTCGTTGCACTGCCTTCCCCGGTGGTCCTATTGGATGATATTGACGAGTATGTGGAGTTCTCAAGAGTTTCTGAAATGCGGAGTTGCTAAATAAGAGGTTACAGGTTTATGGTTCTACATTTGGTTATAGATGGCGGTTTTCCTTTTCTTTCCAGCGCATCAATAGAGCTTTATGTCGGCGGGGTTTGGGCACCGGCATAGCATTTTTACAGGTTATTTAGCGAGCATTTGGGGGTCAAAGTATTATTCTCGTTTTAGAAGGCATTCTTCGTCATATCAGATCCACACACCGACTGCGCCTAACGACACGTTTCTTTTTTTGCCTTCTTCACGGATCCCATCCGCCGTCGACATTATACACTGCTCCTGTAGTGTATGATGAAGCATCACTGAGCAGAAACAGCACGGTCTGCGCGATCTCCTCGGGGGTACCGAGGCGCGGAATGGCGGTGGGCGTATCAGTAACCTTGCCCTGAATCCCAGTCGCTTGATCCAAAAGAGGTGTTTGAATCGCGCCTCTGCAGCATCATATCAATCAGCGATTTATCATCAAGCACGAAAAAGAAGGCTATACTCACGGTGCGACAGCGTTAACCCGAATCCCAGGCCCAACCTCTTTAGCAACCGACCTCGTGAGTCCAACAACCCCATGCTTCGTCGCCGCGTACGCCGCATGCAATGGAAACCCTCGCATGCCCTGAATGCTGGACGCATTCACGATACTCCCCTTACCGCCAGGCGCGGAGTCGGCAATCGCCCGCAGCTCCGCTCGTAGACAGTACATCATCCCCGACAGATTCACGCGTATCAACTTATCCCACTCGTCGTCTTCCAGCTCGGTGAGCTTTCCCACACCGTGCTGCTTGCCAATTACGCCGGCCATGTTGGCCGCGCCGTCGAGCCGGCCGAACCGCGAGACTGTTGCGCTGATCCAGCCGTTCACCGAGGAAGAAGAGCTGACATCCACCACTGTTGTCATGATTGTGGAATCTTCGCTGCTGCCTGTGATTTCGGAAACGGCGTTGGTGAGACACTCTGCGGAGATATCGGCGAGGGAGAGGAGGGCGCCCTGGGCGTGCAGTTGGCGCGCGACAGCTAGGCCGATGCCTCTTACGCCCGTAACGGCGATAACTTTTCCTTTCAAGGAGTCCATCTGAAAGAGATTTTGAGGGATGAGTCGACTAGAATGATAGTGGGAGAGAATTCTTAAAACAGTCTCTGGTTTGTGTTAACGTGGGGTGTGCATCATCCCGCGGGCATCGGTGGCGCTCCGGGTTCTGGGTCTCATGTGGAGCCGGGTATTAAAGGACCCAAGCAGCGGGAAAATCGGCTGAATGACAGTTGAAGGAAGAGAAGGCATATAATAGCTGGGTAGTTGAAAATGGTCTTTCCATCAAATACTAATTAGGCTACTATACATGAACAAAAGCATTGATCCATTCCAGCCCGATTTACCTAAATCTCCTGGGACCATGCCAGCTTCACCTTCGTCGGATGCTTCACTTGCAGCGTTACCTTGGAAATTGAATCACGATACAACACTTCATGCAGTGTTTTACGAGACTGTTCCAGACTCATATCACCTTCTGCGACAGGATCGCAGCGACCCGATCGGAAGAGCACCGCCATGGCCGCCACAAACTCCACCTGAGACATCTTCATGCCAGGGCAAACTCGCGGTCCGCCAGACCATGGGATGAATGTACCTTTCGGGGGTGTGATGATATTCCCAGAGTTGTCAAGCCACCGGGTGGGCTTGAATTCTTCCACATCTGCGCCCCAGATATTGGGGTTAAAATGGATACTTTGCTGTGAGACAAAAATGTCCATCGGGGGTGTGAGGACATGTTGGGTGCCGTCTGAATCAACTAATGTCTGTGTTTCGCTAACCGCTCGGGTTGAGTGCAGCACGGGCGTGAAGTGGCGTAGTGTTTCGAACTACAAGGGTTGGTAAGTATTGCACTCAATCAAGTTGGAAAGGACAAAACAAACCATGACAGCTAGGGTGCGCTGACACTTAGGAAATGTTTCCTCGTACTTCCATTGCGAGATATCCGGGAGCGTGGCAAGTTCCTCACGCATCCAGTTCTGCCATTCCGGATGCGCTGCTAACAGACACACCGCATAGCCCATAGTATTAGCAGTGGTGTCGAACCCGGCGACACTGAATATAAAGAGGTTTCCACTGATCTCGTCTTCGCTCAGAGTCAGGGCCGGTTTGGCATCGGTACCTTGATCCGAAAACTGCACCAGGGAGCTGAGGAAGTTATTTCGGGGACCGGGTTCGTGCTTGGCAGTTTTTCGTTCGTCATTCAACATGTCTTTGGTGTATTGGCTGATTTTCTCCAAATGGCGACCCAAAGCTTGACGAGCCAGCGGCATGAATGACATCTGCAGCAATTTATGCGGCAAGAAAGCGGCCTCCGGAAGCATATCCGTGATCAGTGCCATTGCACTAAAATACCCTGCTCGGCCATTCAATTCTTCCTTGGAGTGAATTGGAAGCTCGGGGAGCCACGGTTGAGCTTGGCCATATCCTGCTTGCCCTAGTACATTGATAGCAAGGCAGCGCAAACCGCTTAATGTTTGAGAACCAGGCCGTTTGGACAGATAGTCCAGCATCTCCTGTGCTTGCTCACAACTTTCATTCCATACTGCCTCGCTGATCTTCTCATTCAGATTAGGTGCCACGATGCGGCGTTGTCGTTGCCTGTCATCACACATGAGCATAAGAGTATACCTTGAACCAAACCGGAAGCCACGTACCAGTCGTCGCCATTCGCCTAACATCGTCAATAAATGAATCCCTTTGACACGAAAAGCAACTTACCTGGAGCACATTAGATCCTAAAAACCCCATCATCCGCTTCACAATCGGCGCCTGTACAAAGTCCTTCCTTCGCTGCAGCACAATATTGCCAAGCGCAGGATCGCCAACCCTGTCTCTGAATTAGGACCAAACACAGATGAATCTTCATGTTGTGGGAGCATACCACAAGGCACACTGGTTCAGTGTGACCACGACAAACGCCGGTCCTAGTCGCTGATGCATCTCCGCTTTCCTGCGAAACTCCCAACCGACCGACACAATGTCTATCCGCTCGTAAATCCATTCGGGTAGATATTTCTCGAAATACGGTCGCAGAATAGAATTCAGAAGCATCCACGGCACGCTCCTGGTTTGAATGGGGACAATGTAGACGGGGAACCCGCTGCGACGGCCAATTATGTAGAACCTCAGGAAGGTAATCAAGGTATGTAGAACCCATATCAGAGCCAGAAGGCCTGAGGCGTATCTAATGGTCAGCTCCATTTTTCATTGAAATAATAATGTACTCCTCGAGGGGAACGGCAGGCATAAGAATGCAGACAAGCGAATAACTCAACATGTGACCAGACCGAGAACGAAAGCGAGAACGAGCCAGCTAAAGCGCAGATCGGGAATTTTGCTGATCCATCGGCCCCGCAGCCTTTTTGGAGAAAACGTCCTGTATTATTAGATTACTCTCCAGACATAGGGCACGGGGTGAGCACTAGTGGGTTTTTACCGCTCTTCTTCATTTGTTGTGTGTGTATGTCTCTGACAATTGGGTTTCCATCGAGCAAAAGCTATGTGTTGTGACACGCGTTAAACCCGAAAGGAATTGGCCGGTGCGGGGAAGGCTGGCGGGCACCGGCAACCCTACCAGCGAATGGCCTTTGAGTGTACGCGATCAAATGTTCGAAATTCTGACCATTTTGACTACATTTATCTACTTCTATTTTATGCATAAGTCGGAATAATCATTAAAACGACCATCAGGTGTTGCTGCTTGATTTAGGCGGACTTATGCGTCCATCAAGGTTGAGAGATTTCCCCACAGCTTTGCATACTAGCTTGTGTGGATTCGTCGGATTCCTACCAGTTGCTGGGCTTGTCTTCCTCTCCAATCCGAATCGCATTCCGTGTCATTTCGCGCAAGATGCTCGATCGGCAAGACAATGGCCCGATCCAACTTATATGGCAGTCCGCGGTGGCGGCCTCGGACCATCATGGCACAGATAACAAGTTTACTGAAGGTGGTAAACTGCCCACTGAGAGATGTGCTGACTGTCGGATAGCCCAGACTGAGCCCGACGTTGCCACTAGATGAAAGTTAGGAAGATATTGACCTTTTAAACCGTTTGTAAAACATGAAGAGATACATACTATGCGGAGACCACTTCGAAGAACACCGAAAAGACAGAAAACGCCTGTCAACGTTAGCTGCAGTGTTCAGATCAGATTTCATACTGAAGCTAACCGGATCTGAATTATCCATGATTCTCTCAGCTTCGGCAATGCAGATGCAGAATATACCGAGAAAAATATACCACAAGTCAAAGGTGAGTTGGTTGCGGATGTGGGCGAGAAAATAGGACCGACCGTCTCTCTCATCGATCTCGTTCGCGAGCGAATAAACCCCGAGCGCCTTCTCTTCAAAGACGTTTGAGGCTCTGACACCGAGTGCAATAGGGAATATAGAAATATACATCATCACCAGCAAACTGATTTGAACAGCCGGATGCACATCTGCCAAGTTGAAAATCGAGGTTCCAGTGTGTCGGGAAGAAGCAGCCTGAAAAATTGTAGCAATGATGCGTTGACTGAGAGGAAGATGGTTGGCTGCTGAATTGTGCAAGTCTAGTACGAGGATAAGGACAATATCAATGAGATTCATAGCAACCAGGATGCCAAACAGAAGCCATGTGGTTTGGCCCGGGAACAAAAGTGTGTAGCAACGTCGGGGATGGGATAGTAAGAAGCTAAGGGATTCTTTGCGAGATGAGTACTCCGGGCATAGTTTGGACATGATCCAGATGACCAGTCGGAGTAAGCATGGGTAACAAGTGTTCCCTGCATAGGCTAGAAAGCTCATGAGAAGTAGAGGGTAGGTGGCGTCTTGGAAGTGGATCATCGAGTCTGGGGTCAAGGTAAATCCGAGATTGTTGACCATTGTTTGAGCCGAGTAAATTCCCCTGTATAGACCATTTTGTCTTAGCATGACTTAGAATCGGGAAAGAACTCACCACCAGACTTTGTCCTGGCCACATTCTGCAAGGTATTCCTGGTAATTCGGACTGGTGTGCTGCATCCAAGGAACGAGACAAATTGCACCAAAAAGATGAAGGCCAATGAAATAACCTGTCTAGTTGTTAAATAGCTGATCGTGCGTTTATTATTGCGACTGGAGATACCAATGACGACTTTAAGCAACAGTTTCAAGCTGCGATATTCAATCCCACCAAGTTTCTCTCGATCCTCATCAGTCAATTCGTAGAACTGTGAATTCCGATCTAGAGTAGCTTGGGCGGAGAGGATTGGCAGATAGTTTGTCTGGGATTGTGGTATTCCGTGTGAAGATGGAGGCCGGGAGATTTGGCTGCGATTGCGAGATATACCTAGTACAAACATCATGGACGCGGCTCGTTCCAGTGTCAAGGTTGTAGAAATCAGCCGGTCAGTCCATGGAAGCATAAATGGCCTCCTAGCTGGACGATGAGACCTAAGAGATTCTGGAATTTATTGGCCATGTCCACTTAGAGATAGTTATGGCAATTCACCTTCATCGCTTTGATCATCAACTTCCAGGAGAGGGCTTCCTATTCATAATATGAGACAACAATATTAAGTTCATCAGACTTGACAGACTAACCTCTGTCACGTTTCCAAGGCGGAGGTATGTATAGAGCCTTGGCGTGATCATCATGCCCTCGCGGACGTGGATCATCTGCGAACTGAATGCTTGTACCAATGTTAGCGCTAATACCCTCTCCTGTTTTTATATTGCCGGTATGTCCCCGGTTCTCACTGGGGCTACTTCTAGAATTGTAAGCAACTCTGTTTGTCTTTCCTATCTCCATCAATATGCATACCCCGCCAGGCTGATTGAGCCGTAATCCGTAGTTCTGGAAGAGCCACCTTCCCCAGTATTCTCACAAATGCGATTATTAATGAGAGCAGGATTGACTGTATCCCTCCTCACTGGGTAGTCGGTATCTGCCTTCACGCTACTTGCTGCACTTTGATCTTTATAGTGATCCCTTCTCAAAAGACTCGGTGCTGTGATAATCCAATAAAGTAAGTACATAATACATTTTTAATAGGAATTAAAATGCGGCAATATGCTGTATTGTACCAATTTCATTTAGGTGTTTCTCAAACCACCATAATCGCACAACGACGACAGCAATATTGATGAGCATCAAATTGCCCAGTGTAGGGATGACGTAAAGATAAACCTGTTGATATGTTTTCAGAGCCTTGAGGTCAATGCTACTCAGAGGATTATTATTAGCTAGTTATAAGTTCCACTGAATGCAACAGCTTGTGGGACTAACGTATTCATTCCTGACAGCGTAGCAGCGCTGGCACCGAAGAAGTAAGCATCAACGGCCCGAATGTTGCCATTGGGATAGAGGATAAGTAAACTCGAAAGACTGAGAGCAATAACCCAAGCATCTGATTCAAATTTAGCCAAAGATAAGATACTTGATCTAAGTGGTTGCGCTGACAATGTAAAGCGAGAAAGTTCAAGGAAGGCTGCCACATCGCAGGCGGTACAAGACGGCTGGAGGGAGGCGAAGAAGGAATCAATATGAGCAATGATTCTGTCCTAAATACCTAATACTTAGATTGATTGCTAAAATTTTCCCTCATACATAGAATGGAATGTCTGGTCATATGCTTGTGAGAGTGTTGGCGTTGAGGGATTTGCAAGGCCCAATCATGGTTGCACGCGATCTCGCTAAAAGCATGGGGGTTATTGTGCTCAACTAAAGGAATTACTTTCTATCGATTGGGAAGGTCATGATCAGAGCAATATAACTGGGGTTAATAGCAGCTGGATTCTCTTCCTGCCTCTCTGGTCACTCTACTGATTTCTTAGAACTTCCCAACCAATCTACGATGTAGACAATGGCTCGACAACAACAGGACAACTTTATCTATACATTACAAACTAAACAGAAAATTAGAAGATCAACAAGGTTGCCGGGAACGAAATCACATACCTAGAGAATCGCTGTCAAGCATGATATTTGAATAGGCGCATTCAAAAATGAAAGGCATCTATCCTATCACGATGACCTTCCTGTGAACTTCCCCTATATCTTCGCAGCCCTATTGGCCCGCTTCCACATCTTTATCCGCCGCTGGTGGCCCGCGTTGAAAAGATCCACCCACTTCTGATCAAAAGGTGGCAATCGTCGCCCGGGTGTCCCATCGCGTGGCTCCCCAGCAAGAGAACGCATGTCCTCAAAGTATGCCTCGAATTCGGGGTTGATCATGGTAAATGCCGGACCATCTCCCTTGCGTGAAATGCGGTCATCCTCCCACCTCTTTTGCTCTGCAACAGAGGGCAGTGCTGCCCGGCCGGCCAGGACCCGCGCAGCGGCGACGGCTTGCCATTCGAATACTTTGAAAGTCAAACCAGCACCGACCTAAACAGCTTGGTTAGAATATTCACTCTCTGAGCAGAAAAAAAGGAGAGGTAACGTACAGCGCCCACAAAAATCAATGTAGGATCATGTCGGTAAAAGACGTGTTGATACAGATCAGGAACACGATTGTTTCGCGTTGATACCTGGGGCAAGAAAGGGAGGGTCCAGGTAAAACCGGTACCGAAAATGATGTGATCCACGTCCTTTTCGCAGGTACCGTCCTCGAAATGTACCGTGCGGTCCCCGTCGTCGTTGCTCGTGATGTGCGAAATCGGGGCCCGTCGTAGGATTCCGGGGTGCTTGAACGCCTCGTCACCGAAGTATACATTATACCGACCACGGACGACAGCATGTATTGGCGACTGTGCACTGCCTATGAGACTAACTGCCGTGTCGGCCGCAGAGACCGAGGCACCGACCGTGATGACTTTCTTCTCGTAGTTAGTGGCCATAACTACCCCCAAAACAACTATCGGGGGCAATACTTACTTTTCCTCTGTACTTCTCCGGGCTGCGATAGTGTTTTGTGTGTTCAATGCTGCCTGGGTTTCTGGCGGCAAACTCCTTCAGGCCAGGAATGGCAGGAATAAACGGCACCGCATAATGGCCCGTAGCCACCACGACCGCATCGAATTCCTCGCTCCACCAGTAGTCTGATTGGGCTCCGTTTTGGTCTGGGCGCCGTAGGGTCAGAACCCATTTTTGGATGTTGGTATCCTTGATGGCACGTTCGACGGTGGTATTGAATTGAACCAAATCCTGGTATTGCTTGCGGGTGAACAGGTCCTCAATATACTGCCTGATGACAGAGTGGTGCCGGAATGGAGTGTCTTGTCCGTGCCGTTCAATGGACCATTGCGACCTGACTGTTGGAATAGGCTCTTGCGAGAAAGACATAGCAGCCGCATCCACATTGGTCTCGAGCGCGGGATAGACTGGGGAATCAGTAAAGCGGTCCTGTTTGATAGCGGGGGTCCGACATGGCAGATTCACTGGAATCTCTAGTGGTGTGTCGGCTGTACGCTCCGAAAGCTTGTCGAAATCGAATTGTTGAGGGGGCTCATCATCTCTCGATACCCTGTTTGAAGGTCAGCATATGACAAGTGTATCGATCTCCATGCGACGTACCAGCAACCCCCGGGCTCTCTCCTGCCTGTCAAAAACGCGGATGACGTCAAATACTTTCTCCTGCATGAGTGCATCCACAGCAATTGCCCCCGCGGGGCCAGCGCCGATGATGGCGATGCTCTTGGCGCCAGGCATAGCAGCTTTTCGTGGTGTAGATGTCGACTGGGATACTATTGAGGTTGCAATTTGGCCCTCAGACTCTTTTTTAATAATGTCTCCAGACAGTAATAGACTTTCTCGGCCGAGCTCGCATTAACACTATTTCGTGGCCTAGGATAGGGTGAAGTTAGTTCACACCTGTCACGCCATCGGGCCTTCTTTTGCGCAAGCACGGCCAATTACATAGTAGGGACATACCGAGCAATGATCATAGGTCTAGCCGACGATGTGACCGAAAATAACTGAGTGAGACTCACACGCGACACGCTAAATTCCGCTTCAATAATACCCCGAGTTGGTTCAATGCCGACTTTTTTTGTTCTGAAATTTTATCTTCAATCAACTCCAGGCCGAGGATATGATTGGCCGAGCGCAGAGCCCCTGTCCCCTGCCGATAAGATAAGCACTGCCATTCTTGGCATTTTTTTCCCTCACCGAGTTAGCTACGTAGTTACTCCCTTTTCTCACGTCGTTCACTAACTATTCTTCAATTAAGAATAGCTACCGCCATCATGGAGGAACACTTGCGCCATAGTATCTCCAACCACCCAAATCCCTTCCAACACTTTCGCAGCGACTCCCCCAGCTCGTCTCACCGATCCGACAGGATGTCACCGCGCGCGGAGGCCACCACTTCAGCCCTGGAGACCGAGTCAGCAGTAGCTCGACAGCATCGCCACGGCACGGATGAAGAAGGTCATCAGCCTCCTCGATATTCTTCTGAGAGCGACCCATTCCACCTAGCTTCCAAGCTCAAGACCGACGAGGAAATCCGCCAGATCAAAGCCAATACTTCGCGCAAGCGCGATGGGTTATCCCAGAGCTCGAAAATGATAGATCGCGGGAAACAGGCACTTACGAATCGCAAGCTGCAGGGGTTCTACGAGAACCAGAACGAGAACATCCAGCGGATGCTGAAACCCGTCGAGGAACATGTGCGCGCGGCTCGCGAGTTGAACAATGAGAACAATCTCAAGTACAAGATCGCTGTGTACGGCAGTTTCGCCGCCAATATAATCCTGTGTGTCGTCCAGGTATATGGTGCCGCCTCTTCCGGCTCCCTTTCGCTCTTTACCACCATGGCGGACGCGATTTTCGACCCAATGTCCAACCTGACCCTCCTACTATGCAATAAAGCCGTGAACCACGTCAATCCGGCCAAGTTCCCTGCTGGCAAGGCGCGCATTGAGACGGCTGGCAATATTTGCTTCTGTTTTCTTATGACCGCTGTGTCCTTTATCATTATCGCTTTCTCTATCCGCGAGGTCGTTCAGGGCTCTGATACCCTTACCTCGACTTTCCACCTACCTTCGATTATCGCCGTCGCGGTGGCCTTTGTCACCAAGCTTTCCCTGTTCACCTACTGCTTTGCCTTGCGGGAGGTCTCCCAAATTCGGATTCTGTGGGAGGACCACCGCAACGACTGCCTTATCAACGGCATCGGTATCGCGACATCTATCCTAGGTAGCAAAGTTCGCTGGTGGATCGACCCTATGGGCGCTATTCTGCTCTCTTTTCTGATTAGCGGACTATGGCTGCACTCCGCTTACGGCGAGTTTCAGCTACTGATCGGTGTCACTGCAGACAATAAGATGCAGCAGCTTATTACGTATATCTGTGAGTTTTCCACTTTGCTATTGATTGTCTGAGCTACGGCGCTAATTACGTCTGTAGCTATGACGCACTCCCCCCTTATCACCGCCATCGACACGGTTCGGGCTTACACTTCTGGCCCTCGTCTGCTGGTGGAGGTGGACATCGTTATGGAAGCCACGGAATCCCTGCGTGCCACCCACGACGTCGCGGAGGAACTGCAAACAAAGCTTGAGTCTCTGCCAGATGTTGAGCGTGCCTATGTGCACGTTGACTATGAGACTACTCACAAACCCGAACATTTCCTGAAGAAGGAGCTTTGAGTTGTGTTTGTGTTTGTTATTTAAGAGTCTATGAAATAGTAATAGACTATCATCTTGGTTGCAGACTACATTTATATATAGAGAGTGTATATTGGCACAAAGAATCTGGTCAGGAACCAGACTGAGCTCTACCGGCGAGGACCAATCCTTGTCGCTCTGCATGAATGCAAACCATCAAGGAAATCCTGCACAGTCAAATTCCTTGAAAATGGAGCAGATCCCAATGAAGAGTTTTTTCGCGACGGGCCAAGCCCCATACAGTACGTTCTCCTAAAGGGGGATTTGCAAACAGCAAAGGTGCTCGTGGATTACGGCGCCAATATGGACTACGTTAGCTGCTCGTGGAGGCGGGTTAACTATAGAAAATAGCCGCTGTTGATGGCTGCCAAGCGACATGATGCTCCTTAGGTGCGAACGATGCTGGGAAAGGGTGCTAACCCAATATGTATTGGGGTGCGCGACATAAGTATTGTTCGGGACGGTGCGAAAGAGGTGGCCCAGATCAAGAGAGTGCTGCTTGAGCTAGGTTTCGATGAACAGGAGGTAAACGATGAGTATATCAAGTGCTTTACACTCATTGTACCCAGGAGAGCTGCTAGGCGCTGATTCCCATAGGGCCACGTACACGCTAGAGTGGCCGACTTGGATGGCGCCGGTACCTTGCCGACAACTGACCTCTTCTCTTAATTCTCTCTTGTCACATCTTTCTTGGTGCTACAGTAATCGGTTAGCAATAAGAATATACTGCCGTGCATCTCTCGCTAAAACACACTCTCGAGACTATATAATTCCAGCCTAGTTACCTGCCCTTCATCCATCCCAGTCGCTGCCACATTGCCCCGTAATATTAAGAGTTTACATTGCTCGGGCGCAGCTGGGCCGGGCGGTGCATTCTATGATTAATAACTATGTACATAGAAGGTTTAATTGGCACCCTCGAAACAATATTAATGCCTCATCAGCGTGTCTGGGATACCAATCCTGCATCCTTTCGAGAAGGACATACAGATAACCTGCTAAATAAATGTTTCTTTAGATTTAGCGTAACTAAACGCTTCTCAGTTAGGATACGCTTGTTGATCGCCCCATTACACCTGTCCTCTCCCTCGCCTTCAACGTCTTTCTTAGGTCTGGAGCAAACATCAACCGGGCCCATTTTGGTGTAGAACGAAATTTTCTCAAACCCCAAGTCAAAATTCCCACACAACTGCAAGGCTGTAGAGGAGAATGATAAAATTGTTCTCGGCGGCCCCTAGTCTGCGATAGAGAACAGAGATAGAGATCTGAGAGTAGTTTGCTGCTTCCGGGCGCAAGAAATCGAAGCTAGATTCAGTCCCTGATCCAAAGCTATTAGTATCTGCGATGTGTTAGTCCCACTAGACCTATTTCTATTTTAGTCTACTATAATAGGGTCATCTTGGCACCAACTCGAGTTGTGTGGAAACTAAGACCACTAACCCATGAGGTGAAATCCCTCCATTGCTTGAGGAGCTAGAACAATCCATGAGTAAGCTTACCTGGATCACGAAAGCCAGCATTGGACAGTCACAAACAGATTAATGGAGCTTGGATTCCTTTATTGCCCTGTTGGCCCTCAATATCTTGTAGAGGTTCTTGGCGTGTTCTTGTACTCTCGGCGCAGACTTGATAACAAGGGCCAGGGGCCAGCAGTTTCAGCCCCTTCCTGCGGCGAATAGTAGGATGTCTGGCATGACTTTGTTGTGTGCGTAATCAAGCTTAAACCACTTTGACGAACGTCGCCTCTCTCTTAGGCCGATGGCAAAATAGCTCCCCCGCCCCCCCCCCCCCCCCGAGGGACTCTGGGCCAGTTTCCGATTACCTCTAGGTACGGCGTCTATCTTCGTGATGATAATATCGTGTACTATGTTTGTATCCGCTTTCTATCCTGGTTCTGTCCCCTGTAACGTGGCCATTGTGGTCCCCGGGATTGCCCAGAGAGGATTTCTCTCGAAAGATTATGCCAGCACATTGATCCACATTCAGGAACTGTTTTCACTATTCGGGTTAAGTGCTGGCCCCATGGCGCTGATTGCCGCACATGTGGGGCGAGTCTTTTCGAAGTCATGGTCTCTATTATCAAAATCCTTTACAGTTGTACGAAGTCGATGAATTCTCGCAGCAATGTATATAAATGCAAATCCGCCCACCGGCACTGCTTGTACCGAGTGTCCTCTAGCAATAATCCACTTCCTTCTTGTGTGGTCGTGTTCAATATCGTCTGGCAGGCCTGAACACAGCAACACAGTATTTACACCACGGAAGTCTTTTGTACCTTGATTTTCGAAAAAGCCTTTATCATTATTATTCATCTCAATGAGGTACACCCGCATCGTTGCCATCGGCCTTTTGGGCTCCGCGATGGCACTACCCGCCCAACAGGGCATTGCGCGTCGCGGTCTTATTCATGACATTATTGATGGTGCTTCCAATGCTTTAAATGGTGGTAGCGATTCAAGTGGCGATGATAGCAGCTCGAGTGGCGGGGGTATTGGTAATGCTATTAGTGGTGCGGTCAGTGGTGCTATCAGTGGCGGTTGGAATGGTTTGACTGGTGACGGCGGTTCGAGTGACGATGATAGTAGCTCGAGTGACGGTGATACTCCCAGTAGTACTTCCACTAAGCCTGCCTCTACTTCTACTGAGCCTACCTCTACTCCCGCTCAGCCTGCCTCTACTCCCAGTGATCCTGGTATTCCAACCGGCACCGCAGACAGCGGCAGCGACAGTGACAGCGGCGACAGCGGCGACAATAGCACTAACAAACCACCTGGCAAAGTCTGCAAACCCAGGAGCCGGCCCAGTCCGGACGAAGTCGGCTCGCTCACAGATGGCGGCGTCATATTCGACAAGTCCCCTCCTTCCAACCGTGTGCCCTCGCCGTGGGGTCCTAGCGGCCACCGATCCACTCCGCTTTTCTTCAGCCGGCCTACCGCGAGCGCGATCGCGAAACGCTTCGGAAGCAGCGGTTACAAGCACAGGCGCAGCTCCGGACCCAGTAAGAGCGATGTTCTGTATTCCCCCCATGAGAGCCTACAATTAACTTCGTGCAAGACCACTCTGTTGAGGAGCGAGACTATAACAGCTCTATTGACAAGAATGGCTCTAATGGAGAACACGGGACACCTACGCCGTCCCAATCCGAGAGTAAACGACAGTCGCCGCCGCAGGTCTCTACTATTATGAATGCAGCAGGGGCAGCTGCGGGAGTTGTACCGATCGTCATCGGTACGCCCAAGGAGAGTGGCCATGCTATTGCTCCAGTTCTACAAGGGGGTGTTCCACCTGTTTCACCAGTGACGGAAGCAGCCGAGGCGGCTGCCGGCGTTGTTGGGGCACTTGTGGCACCCGAGAACATTTCCCGCCGAGATGATAAGAGCCCAGGTGGTGCGAATGGAGTGAATGTGGTCGATGCCCCAGGACAGCATCACGGATCTAATTCACCAGGAGGAGGTGAGGTTCCACGGTATCTCCATCTGAATGGAAAGACCCAGTCCATACTAAGAAAACTACTACCACAACAACTCCTGTTGCATCAAAATCTCCACCTTCTCAGTCGGGTACGCCCAGTCTCGTCGGAGGTGGTTCACCCAAGATGATCGAAGTACCATTGAGTGATCTGCGTCCACTTGAGGCGCTTGAGAAAGACTTAGCTCGTATCATTAAACAAGGTACGCCCCCCCACGCCTCTCGAAACTTCTACTCGAAAGTACCGAGATAATAACTCCCCATTAGTTAAAGAGTCTGAACACAAGAACGGCAATGGCGTGGCAGAGTCTGAACACCACAAGAACGGCAACGATGGGGCAGAGTCCGGACACCACAAGAACGGCAATGATGTGGAAGAAGGGCATGGTCCTGCACTTTCGGCTAGTCCGACTGCTGACCCTTCCACCATTCAGCCTACTCATATTCCCATCGGCACTAAGCCTGACTCTCCCGATGGTAACGGTGATAGTCATGGTGGCTCCGTCGATGGTCACGGCAGTGGCTCTGGCCGCGGCCCGAATGCCGCTGGCGGAAACAAGCCGACATCGACAAGCTTGACTGTCTCGCCGTCCCCCAGCTCCGCTACGAAGTGGGACCAGCAAGCTCCCGCATCTGGTGGTGAGAGACGAATACTCCCTTGAGGGAGTACTTTGAACCTCCACTGCCTCGACACTGTTTCGCGGAGTCGACCATCTGCGCCCTTTCAGCGACCGCTCGATTTTGGAAGTTGAGCTCGTTTAGACGTCGATCAATGTTTGCCATGCTGCTAGACTGCTGAAAGATTTCTTCAACCGATTTTGGTGTGATTTTATAATGAGCCTTTTAGAATTGTATCGATAAAACTTTCACAACCAAGCCTTCTGAGCATTCCAGCTTTTCATTAAACACTTAAATGGTCGAGTTCCTGAAGCAACTCAATAAAATCCTCGTCACCTTGTTCAGCGAGTGCCTTGAAACTTGATTTATTTATCTTCAGCCACTCTTGTTCTTCCCCAACCTAAAGTCGAAAGATTTCGTTAGCATCAGGTCTCAGAGCCGACAAAGCAGCACAGCTGAAAGTTAGGAGAGAGTGCCTACCTTTGGCCTTGAAATTCCTGCTTCAAGCGCCGTGGTTAACGCTCCCATTACCCATACTGTGCGAAGATTGTTCTCTCCTTCTTTTCCCACAATCTTCTCCCATTCAGACACAATCGTCCTACAATGCTCGATGTACGATTCGTTGCTCCGGCCTTCACTGGCCCGTGTCCGAATAATGATTCTATTATACTTCCGCAGCACGCCGCCCCGGAATACGATCTGACGGCTGGCATCCGTGAATCGGACATTTATAAAGAAGTGTGGTGTATTGAAGCGTGTCACATGTAGATTTGTCAGAGCTTTTGCCAGTTGCTCTTGCTGTGCAAACGTCAGGGGACAGACATATTCCACGTCGTAAAGAGGCATTGTAAAGTGAAACCAATCAACGTAATATAGTCGGATGGTAAGTCAGGTGCAGAGAAAATGATGGATCTCTGTGTCCTCTCTTGATGGGATTTAAAGGTGTTTCAACCCCGCCCTTTCGCGAAATACGTCGGTGACTCGGCCGAATACGTCAGTTTGAATACCTGGCTATTATACCAAACCGTGGCTATGGGAGATTATCTTAGAATTTCGGACTCTACCCACGCCATCATAGCTCAACCTCGGCTGTTGTCATGCAGACTACCGACGAGGGAATGGAATCAAGAGGTAGAGGCGCTTTCTCGGACTTTGGCTTGTCCCCGTACTTTTTACCGAATCTACAAAAGCTAGTCACTCCAGGCAACAGAAAGCCAGAAATAGATGCTACTAGCTAGTCTCAGTGAGTCATATCCCTCGTCGCAGTCCGCGCGTGCATCTTGCCGAGCCAAGACTGCGCTGTCCAACGCCGAATCGGTTTTCCCCAAAGCACAAAAACAACGACCATTAGGTTATTTGCAAGAAGAACCCCTCCAAAAATTCCCGAGATGACCACCGCGTACCCCCGCGTCAAGATCCAGTCCAGCAGGAAGGAGCCCATCCCGAAAGAAATGGCTTGTTTCCCAAGATTCATGGCGATCAGCATTTCCGGGGTATTGGCGTTGTATGAGTCCACCGCGTAGGCCAAAGTGAAAGTAAAGTAGAAGTAGGAGCCAAACTGGTCCAATGCTACTCCAGCAAAGTACCCGACCCAGTGCAGGTTGCGTTGCGCGGTAAAGCCGTAGACTACCAGTCCAGCAGGGGCAAGCAGGATAGCGGGGAATAAGACCGGGAGTCTCATTTCGGCTTCGCGGATGCCGTTGTTGCGCTTGGTGAGAATTGCTGCAAGGCGATCTGAGCTTGATGTGAAAGGGAGGGCGAGGAAGTAGCCGACGAAGGACCCGACTGCGATAAGACCAGAATTGGTCTACACTTTGTTAGAGTGGTTTACTCGGGGACGTTTTGACTGATTTACATACCTGGCTCCAGTTATACGGTGGCTCTGTGATTTTTAGTGGAAAGGTGTAGTTGAACGCTAATGCCCCGAGGCCAATATACAACCCTAAGTCATGGCAATACTATTAGTTGAGAGATTTGAAGTAAAATTCCAAACTTACCGTAGCTGGCAATTACCCAGAAAACAGCCGGAATAAAAAAATATGAGAATGACCGGAGCATTGTGACAAAGAATTTGGCGTCCGGATCAATGGAACTCCACGGCTTAAGGGTGGCCAGGAAAGTCTTCCGTGGAGGCACTGTTCCGGAAGCATTTTCGACCTGCACAACATCCCCTATTTTCTCGGCATCATTGTCTGCAGTGAGAGAATTCGATGAAGGATGCGGGGAAGTAGGACTTGGTGGACGATTATAGGCTGATTCTTCCACAAACAGAAAAGCCATAATAAGAAGCGCAGCAGCAAAAGCGGCTTCCACGTAGAAAAAAAGTCGCCATGAGTAACCCCCTGCAAGCATATAGCCTGCATAGAGAGGGCCAGTAGATCCCAAGCATAGACACACTTCTCAAGTCAGACAAACTGAGTTGTTCTTTCTGGTTTCCTGAGACTGACCTGTGTAATATCCGATTCTCTTTCCCCGCTCGTGGATAAAGAATATATCGTTAACGAATTGTACTGGCAGGCTCTCGCATACACCACTTGAGAATGTTAGTTGCACTCTATTGTACTAGGTTATGAATAATGATACCTGCCAAACCCATGGAAGACCCGGGCAACCATCAAACCCGTATAAGTTGTTGATCTCGAGGCACCAATCAATCCGGCCAGGAACTAGTCTGCGTCAGTCAGCAGAACAAATGAATATGCGAGATCCATACTGTTGCCAGAGACAATAGTGTAACGGGACGACGTCCCAGCTTCAGGTACATTGGCACAAGAATGAGAGACCCTAAGCAAAAATCAACTGCTGAATAAACACGGATTTTTGAGCATTATTACCAATTCCAAAAGCCAGATTCGGATATGAAATCAGACCCGATGCCTTCGACGCGGATATCCCAAACTCTTCACTGTATATCCCGATATACACAGACGGACCGACGAGAGAACTGTTGCCGAGAAATGAGTAGACCGAGACAGTAATCAAGATGATGTTCTTTTTCCACATCGGCCATTGTAAAGGGTCATTGGGATCTTCAGCAGGCACAGGATAGAGGGCTTGTCCGTAGGCCGTGTCATCGCCCTCGGCGGCGCTTAGGTCGACGGTGCCTGGGATATCGCCTTCATGGGCATGGCTTTCTCATCTGTCAGCGACGCGTTCTGGGAACGTTACGGTACAGGGAAGCTTCTCTACCTGTGCACAAGATGCGTCCTACCCCCTGAGGCTGCTGGGTTTGGGACCATATTCAACAAAGAGCTTTGATTAAAGCCCAGATAGAAACAAAAAGATTCAGGTAATGGTTATGGAAGGATTAAAATGGGGCTAAATTCCGGGGTAGCTTGCCTTTATTTGATTGAACCCCCATGGGGGCGACGGCATTTAGCACATCTCAGCTTCCGGCTATTCTCCAGATAATATGCAAGCCATTCCTGCGGGGTTGGGATCTGCCATCTGCTAGCTCTACCCGGTAGGACCGTGCTCTGTTTTGCACTCAAGTACCACAGGGTTGTATCCTCATCGATGACGTTTGTGACTGTAGGGGAGTTATTTCAAGCGATCGTAACTTCCCAATCATTCGCCCATTTTTCTGCATCTGAATACAGGATAATAAGCAATCCGACACAACCCCGGCTCATCCCCGGATTGTCGCTTTAGGGTTTGGCAATGATGGGGCAACAAAGTAGCCCCACACGGGGCAGGGCAGCCCTGTCAACAATGATAATGCCGAGGTCAAAGGGGTGAATCCAACAGTAGGTAAATGCTGTAGAAGCTATTTCTATTTAAAAAAACGCATGAATGATAACAATTTCACAATGGGTACATCTCCACGTCACCCGAAAGCCTCGATGTCAAGTGAAGACAACAGAAAGCAGGAAGTTCGCAATTCAGACGCCTTGGGCACCGGTAATCTCCTTGGTGTCACTAATATGTCTTCAATGGAAGTCACGTAGCCAATGGTGCATTTTCAGGTCCTCCGTGAAGGACACCAAGCAGCTCTCCCGTCTTGGTGACCACGAACTATCCGGAGTCGCCTGATTCAGCGAAGGGATAATCAGAAGTGCACACGGGCGCGTGTTCATGGGTTATGACAATCCTGACAACCCCACTGACTGGGCCGTGTGGTAAAAATACCCTGGTACGGGGAAGTATACCCGGCGCTAGACCTTTCACATCTTATCAATTCTCCAATCGTTTCAAGTGTATGTATACTCGGCTTCGGAAGGTAATCATGACTCTCCCGTGTAGGGACAGCCACCTTCTTATAGAGGTAGACAATGTATGGACCTAGACTAGGTAGGGTTGTAAATACGATGTTCTAGTTACCATTGGCATTTAATCAATTGAGTCGTGTCTGTCTGAACGGAACGAGTATGCTATCAAATCCGCAAAACACCAGCCCTAAACAGTAGGCATATCCTATCATAACCCCAAATCAAGTCCCAAACTACGTAAACACATCAGTAGCATACCTCTCCTTAGTCCTCAACTTCTCAAAGAACTTCTCTGCGGCAGCCTCCTCATCTAGCTCCGCATTGGGTACCTCCTCGCCAGTCTCCTTCGCCCTAGCCAGGCTCTCGCGCCTCTTTTCCAGGTAGATTTCCTTGCAGGCAGCACGCACCGCGCCACCAACCCCAGTACTTCCACAGACATAGATCCTCGCGCCCTGCTCAAAGAGTTGGACGATCTCTGTCTTGTCCTCCAGCATCAGATCCTGGACATGCTGGCCCGGCGTTTTGTCTGCAGGCCTGCTGTACGCCCAGCGCACATCGACGGCGCCTTCTTCGGCCCACTGAGCTAGCTCTGCGGCGTGGATATCATCTTGGCCCTTTGTGCGGCAGCCAATGTACAGGACTGCCGTGGCGGGTTTTTCGTCTTCAGAAGAGGAACTGCTGCGTCGGCCGCGGATCTTCTCCACGCGGTCCATTACGAACCCTCGGAACGGGGCGAGGCCGCTCCCCGCGCAGGCCATGATCATCGGTGTTTGGAGATCGACGGGTGGCTTGAAGCCCGAGTGTGATGGGCGGACGGAGATGTGGGCGCGTTCGCCGGGCTGGAGCTCGGAGAGGTATGTCGATGCAACGCCCATGTACTGCTCGATGGCTTCGTTGTCTTGCACTGGCGGGGCCGATAGCGCGGGGGCGTTCAACACGGAGAAGGTGATGGAGCATTCAGACGGATCGGCCAGCGGCGAGGAGGAGATGGAGTACTGGCGCACACGCATTGGCGGGAGCATGGCGAGGAAGTCGCCGATGGAGAGGTTGATGGCTGTGTAGCGTGTTAACAGATCCAGCGGGCTCACGCGCTTCCGGACGATCTCGTCTGTGAAGCGGCTTGGACTGGACGCCATGTACCGCAGCTCGGCTTGGGTTTCTGCATCTCCGATGGCGGCGTCGGCAAGGATGTTGAGGTCACGCTTTGAGGCTGGCTGGGACAGTTCCACGTAGGTGGAGAGCAGGTCGAAGGCTGATATGGGTGTGTCGAGGGGGATTGATGGTGGCGCTGTTGAGGTCTGCGATGTCTTTTGAATGCGCAGCATGGCATCCCAGGGTAGATCGAAGCGGCGGATTGCGCGACGGACGACAGAGTGCGGGTTCACGGGCAGAATAGCGAGATAGTCGCCACATTGGTAGGTCATATCCGACGGTAGCTTGAATCTGATCATCCGCTTAGTGGGGACTCCAGGCTGCGTCAGAAGTCTGTTCTCAACCACGAAACCTTCTTCCAGTTGCAGGCCGAGGGTAGAAGCCCGCATTCCGGAGCTCACGTCTACGTGGAGAGACGATTTCGACTTGGAGTTTGGGTCTGGACCGGTCCCGCCGAATTTAGCTGTGATGCTGGGCCAGAATGCCCTCTCTCCCCAGCTGTCGAAGTCGGTAAACATGTCGGAGTTGGCTGCGTCGGCCAGACCAATGTCGCAAAGTCGGTTTCCTCCATTCTCCGCAATCAATCCGTTTACTGCTTTAGGGATGCGATGGAACGTGGAGGCCCAGTCATCTTGAAAAAAAAGAAGAAAGTTAGCAACATGAGTGGACGAAAGAAATGGGATTACTCACGGTGTCCACAGCCAAAGACTGCGTAATTGACTCCATCCAGATCACTGCCCTTGAGATAACTGAGCCACTCAAAGAAGTGGGCAGCGTTATCGGGTGGGTTCCCCTCATACGAGGCCGTGATAAAGACCACAGGGTCATTCTTGGCAATGTTCTTCATCGCCGAGTCGAGTGAGCTGACTGCGGCCGAGTAGCCGTAGCCAATAGCATCATCAGCCAATCTCCGAGCAAATGCTTCACAGGTGCCCGTGTTACTTCCATAAAAGATGTGCATGGGCTTCAACTTGGCGCCTGCTACAGATGTCGCCTTGGGTTTCCGGTCCCGGCTGGCTGCGCCTGTAGCCGGGGCAGCACCCGCACTCCCGCTAAGGGTGACGCTCAGCTGTGTCGGATCCAGTCCCTCTCTGAGAGTGGCCTTCATATGGAAATCCTTAGGCTTGATGGTGAGGGTCTGCTTGATCCGCAGATCATAGCTAGGATTGTCCATCTGGAAATTGAAGTTCTGGAGCAGAATAGCAATCACGAGCAGAGCCTCCTGCCACGCGAAGGGGCGGCCAATGCATCCTCGCATGCCATTGCCAAACGGCTTCCAGGCGTTCTTGGGCAGTTTTTCGAAATTCTCGTCCAGCATTCTCTCCGGCCGGAACTCGTCCGCGTCGGGCCCGTAAACCTGCGGATCGCGCTGCATCTTGCCCAGCATGAGGACGATCGGCTCGTCCTTGTGCAAGACGTATTTGCCACCACCCAGTTTGACGGGGTCTTCGGTGTTCTTGTCAGGATGGGCATGCATGGCAATCATCGGGGCAGTCGGGCTCAAACGCAGAGTCTCGCGCATCACGGCTGTGATGTAGGGGAGCTTGGACATGTCTTCGACGGTGATCTTGCGACGCCCAATGACACGGTCAACTTCCTCCTGTGCTTTTTGGTATGCATGGGGATTCTTGAGTAGATAGTAGAAAAGGAACGACAACATGCCAGATGTTGTTTCGTGGCCTATGGTAGTCTCCGTCAGCCCTGTTAGATATCGAAAGTGAGGAGGGTCCATACCGGCAATCAGGAAAGTGATCATATTATCCACAATCGAACCATCCGTAAGTCCCTGACCCGTCTGCGGATCGCGGCCCAGAATCAACGAGTTGAGAAGATCCTTTTTCTCCTCGGGGTTATTCTTGCGCGACTCCACCAGCTCCTGGGCCAGGTTGCGCAGGAAAGTGATATCATTCCAGTACTTAGCATTCTCGCTGGTAGGCAGGTTATTGAGCAGAGCGGGACGACGCGCCCTAGTCCCCGACCCAGACAGCAGGCCAACCATGGCCTCGACGAATGGATGCATCTCGTCATGATAGAACGAATTGAACCGTGTTCCCATGGCGCACAGCGCAATCGTGTCCAAAGTCAAGCGGGTAAAGTCGTCTGTGACGGTGATGGGGGCATTGGGCCCTTGGCGCGCCCATTTCATCACGAGCTGACTAGCGATATCATACATCTCTAACATTGGGCATCAGTCACTCCGTTTATCCTCTTTTTGTTGCCAGGTGGAGGGGCATACCATCGAACATGCCGCGAATATTCAGCGGGCCAAACGCCGGCACCAATACACGGTGAGCGACGGCCCAATTCTCCTCGCCGGGGTAATTGGCCGTGAAGAGACCATCGTGTACGCCGTTGCGGATCTGGTTCAGCCCTCCAGTGACGATCTTGGTGAATCGCTCTTCATTGCAGACCTCGTCTACTAGCTCGTGGGAGCTGATGAAGACACGTGGGGTGCCGAATGTGGTGAGTCGGAAGATTGGTCCTAGCGGGCCAGTCAGTTGGTTATTGAGTACTCCAGGTCCTGTCTACCGTACCGTAGTTGTCAGCCAGCAGCTCAAAACTCCTGGTGGGCAGCTCTTGTTCAATGTCATAGATATTGCCGAAGAAAGGCACGCCCTTGGGCCCCGGGATGGGGACCTCTTTAGCCATGGCGAAGAAGTGATGAGAGGTTAGGTTGAGTGTGATGAGGGCAGGGTTGGGTGAGGATTATAAGGCTCCCTTGCGCCGGGCAACAATACCACCGAGGCACGGATTTCGGCGAGTCCGAGTTCCTACGGTGAGCTTCCACGGATCCAGCCGTTGGGCCCGATCGCCGACCGCAAAACTAATTCTCCGAGACACCTTAACACGGCAGGCCTTGCGATTCAATTAATCCGATTCCCGACTTCTCTACTTGCGTTTCACTCTCTTGTCTCACACAGCCCACCAATCCCACCGCCGGAAGGGCTAACTGAGCCAACCCGTTGGAATAGTCCACGACGTCATTGCACAGCACAAAAATAAATAAGGCTACTACTTAGCCTACCCACCGAATGCAATAGTCCCCCGCATCACCTCCGAACGCGACATCAGCGCCCTCTCCCAAACATCCCGCCGCAGCCATGCGCATGCGGAGGTGGCGAGGCTTCTGATTCTGGACGGTCGCGCCGTTCACAGCGACTCACCGCTCGGTTATGCGGCGCCCTTTGGCCGGGAGGATATCGCGAGAGCACTTCTGGACCAGGGTGCTGACCCCAATCCTGTCAATAGGCACGGGGCGATTCCGCTCGACCTGGCCACAGTACGTGGTCACCAAGACGTGGTGGACTTACTCAAGAAGCACGGGGGCGTCCTACGAGCAGAGATGGAAGAACTTAGGCGCGTCTATATGAAAATGATGAGTGAAGGAGCCTGAGAACGAAATATGTGCACATTCAGGTAGCGGTATATAACAAAATCAAGAATAGCGGGTGGCCGGTCCAACGCCAACGACTAAAAAGGTTTTGACTGAGAAAGAAGGATATTGACAGAAAGATAGCAGCAGACAGAGAGGGACAAAATCCAGGCCGGGTCATTAGTGAAGTGAATGCATCTGCCATCGCAGGGAGACATCGCCGGAGTGTACGGACAAGACAGAGCAGCAGAAAGATTCGTAAGAGAAAGGATCACGGCGACTGCTACATTGCTTGGTAGCCGTTGTTGCGATAGCTAGTGGTGTTCCACTCGGTCTGCTTCCAATCGCTCTGGTAGTTCTGCATCTCGTTGCGCTCCGTGTTGTATCGGGCGTCGTCAAGGGCGTGCTCGAGACGACCTCGCCGCCGCTGCTTCATGCAGTAGAGACCAAAGGCAACAATGACCAAGGCACCGGCGGCGGCTGCACCGCAGTACACGCCGATATGGGCGCCCTCGGGCAAATCGTCCCATTTCTGGGACAGACTCTCTGGCGGGTTGGCGATTCTCTCTTGCGCGGTCGAGTTTCCACTATCAAAAGCTGTTAGGATGTCATTTCGATATAATGGGACCAATAATCACTCACCCAATCACGTCGATGCTATTAAAGGAACCCGAGGTGCCTTCGTACTGGTACTCCTTGCCGGTATGGAAGTCCTCCACGCGGATCCGCTGGATGGTCATGGTGAATGGAGCTTGGGACCAGTCGACCATGCCTCCACCCCACGCGATGGTCCCTGCTTGCTGGCCGATAGTACCCGAGGGCCAAAGACTGGCCTTGACCCGGCAGGGTGTCTGTGGGTAGTTCTGGCCGTAGACAGCGAGACGATCGGTGTAGTTGACCTGTCGGACCAGGTCACCATCGACCCACCACTGTAGCTTCTGCGAATCCCAGTACGTGGTGTAGTTGTGGAACTCGGTGTCCGCATTGAGGGCAGTGTGATTGGCACCGCGGTTCCAGGTGGTCGTGTTGCCCTTTCCGAAGAAGTCGGACTGCACGATGCTCGTGTTATAGCCGACCCATTCCCAGTCGATTTCGTCGAGGTCGTCAGACTCGAGAATCACACCGCTGATGATGCCGGCGCCCTTAGCCATCTTCGCATGCACTTCCATGACGCCGAAGAAGATGTAGAAGTTGGACATCAGCAGGAGGGACTCGCCCTCTGAGTTGAGAGTGAACTCGGCGCCTTCGGAGGTGTAGTCGAGCGAGCCGGAGGTCATGTTCCAGAGGGAGTCGTCGAGGGTCTCATTGAACCAGAAGGTGTGTTCGGTGCTCAGGGCAGGATCCGGGGGCATGTTCCCTTCGTTGGGTTGCAGGATGTTTGTGAGTTGGACTGGGCCGCGACATAGCTGACCAGGGCGGCCAGGAAGAAGTAGAAAGCGAGCATGATGATTGATCGTTCGTCAGGGGAAGTGTATTCAAAAGAATGGATGTGCTTCAGTTGGGCACGAGCGAAGAGACGGGACGGTGGGAAACTCCCACCAGCAAAGAACGAACGAGGGTCAGACGAGGTCGTACATGAAGCAAGAAGGAAGAAAAGGAAGAAGAGAGAGTGAGTGTGAGCAGTGTGGGTGTGTAAGGGGAAAGAGCCACTGCTAGTGGATTACTAGCCCGATTGGGAAAGCGCGAGGGAGCCGTGCCTGGGGCTTAACTACTTTGGGCAAGTGTATTCGTCGGGCACGATTATTGCCAGAGAGCCTAGGAAGGGAATTCATGGTCGCACTAGAGAGTATCGATGTCGTGGTATATCTAGTCCAGTACTAAGCTCATAGATGCACACCCTGCAGCCTCCCGTTCGTGCGACTTCACGATCTGTCAATGTTTTTCCCTCCCCCTTGCAGAGCTTTTTTGCCCGAGATGGAGAGCCAATCATCACAGCCCCAGAAAGCCAAATCAGACGGTGGAGCCGGATCCTGCCTCCGCTCAAACAAGTTCGTCTAGGGTGGATGGTGAAACCAACAGCGAAGTATAGATAAGCGCACGCTGATGTGATTAGGCATGGATCGCGAACTAACCAACCATGATGGCCGATGGTGATTTAACCCCGTCCGTGGAAGAAAACCCAACCAACCAGCCAATTGAGTCTGGACTTGGTCGGTGATAATAAGCATGCATAACCGTCATTATTGATTCGTGCCTCATTCATTACCTACAGATGTATTGCCATCAATAATCATCATAGGGCCTGAGCCCCCTGCTTTCTACCCCCCCACCTAAATCCCCGACCCAGCCCAGCCCAGCCCAGCCCCAAATCCATCAACGCCATTATTAGTATCGCCCCATACCCTCCCTGCCTCCCCTCCAATTCAAGTCAAGTCACATACACCCTCTCCGGCCGGCGCACATCCGTCGGGTACCGGCGCGAAACAGGTTTCTCCGTGTACTCCACGACCGACGGGCGCCGACGCCGTCTGCGACCGTGAGTCCGGGTAACCGGCGGCCGGTAGCCAGGGTCAGGCTCGCCGCCGAAACTCCACGCGCCAGGCAGCTGGCACAGGCGGATGAGCCAGAGGATCAGCAGCGTGCCTGCGATCGTGCCGATGACAATGCCAGCAATGGCCCCGCTGGAGAGACTGTTTGGGCAGCTGGTGGTGGATGAGGCGGTGGATTGTCGTGGAGATAGGGTGGTGTTGATTGGGGCCTGTCAATTCGTAGAACGATGGTTAACTATAACTGAGGGTTTGGGACTGGGTCGGGTGGTTCCCGGATGATGCCGTGGAATGCTGGAATGCTTACCATGGTGGACGCCTCGTGGATGGTGGAGCCGCAACCACTGTGTGGATAATGATGAAAGCAGTGACCACCCGAACAGAAGCGAAAGAGAAGCGAAAAGAGACGCAACGAGAGATATATGAAGAAGTTAGGAGCAGGATCCTTAATTAACTCTACTTAATCCCGAGGCTGGACACCCCAACCACCCGTGACGTCACTTGGCCTACCTACAGCCAGTAAACAAAACCGGAATAATGGGACACTCCAGTCCAATCAGCCTTGTCTCACTCGTCAATTCCGGGCATTGATGGTCTGACCCGGCTTACTCTCGTCACTCCCACGTCTTTCTCATTTACTATTCCACATAGGGTTCAACATGGCTCCTCGATCCAATGCGGGGCAAGGCTGCAGGTCATAGATACATTGACATGAATGAACACTTGGGCCTGCCATGGCACACGCACAGACAAGCGGGGTCCGTCCTCCTCTAACAGACTACCCTGAGTGAATTATAGCTGCACATGTCCCGGCGAGGGCGGTGCCTCACCCGTCTCCCACACGGTTGGCTGCTCGCCAAGCTCGAACTCAATTGTCCCGCCATTCGTCATCACATCCTCATGCTCAAACCAGTTCTTCGTCCACGCCTTGCCATTGACCTTGACGCTTTGCACGTAAATTCCCTCGTTCAGACCGTTGGCCGTGATGCGCAGCGTCTTGTCTCCGCTGACGGTCATGTTCAGGTCGGGGAACCAGGGCGACGAGAGGAGGTACACTGGTTGTGTGACGACGGGGTAGATACCCAGTAGTTGCCACAGGAGCCACGAGTTCATGGCGCCGGCGTCGCTGTTGCCGGGGATGCCGTACGGGGCGTCTTTGAAGCTGTAAATCATGGGTGTTAGTCCAGTTTCCAATCTGGGGAATGCTCAAGGTGGTGAGTGCAGGGAAATCGTACTACTGGTAGCCCAGTCCGCGGGATTGTTGCACACTCTTGTATTGCTTGTTGATGTAGTTGTACAGGTAGGGGGTCGCGAAGTCGGGCTCGTTGCTGTGCCTAGTCAGTCTGGAATAGCTAAAGAGTTCGGAGGACTCACCCGATGTTCAGCAATGTGGTAATACCCGCACCGTTCGCTCCAAGGTTCTGCACAGATGTATTTGGTTTGAACTGGACAGAGATTAGTCGTCTGTCTAACACTCCTGCGACGTCAACCTACCATCATGTCAAGACGCGACTCGAAGGTCTTCGCTCCGCCCATGAACTGAATCAAGGTCTTCATATCATGAGGAACGACGAAAGAGTATTCTGTGCCTGTTAGCTTCTACTCAAATTCCACCCCGCCAAAGGATCAAACTCACCCCACGGAACACCCTCATAAGTATAAGACTGCCATTCACAGCTATAGCAGTAAAGCGGATCGTACCCAGAATCATTAAACGAGCCATCAGAAAGCTTCGGCGCCAGGAATCCCGAGAAGCCCAGGCTCTTGACATCCTTATCCCAGATATTCTGCCAATTAGCAGAGCGATTCAAATATTTCGTCCGGTCCCCAGGCATCTCGCCCGCGGCAACCTGGCTGAGCGCAAAATCATTGAGACTGTACTCAACGGTGCGCGAGATGCAGCGTGTGTTGTGATCCTGCGACACGTACCCGAGCTGCTTCCAGTCGTCGAGCGCACCGCGGCCTTCTTTCGTGCTGGCTGTCAGATCGGTCGGGTCGAATGTGTTGTACGGTGTCACTTCGGCGTTCTTTTTCATGGCTAGGTATCCGTCTGTCCAGTTGATGGAGCCGCGCATGCCCTTGACGTAGGCGTCTGCGAACATGTTATCCGCATCGGAGCCGCCCTGGACTAGGCCATTCCAGTTGCCGCTGCGGCCGTCAGGGAGGTAGCCTTGGTATCTTTACGCATTGTTAACATGTGGTTTTGGTTGGGGTCGTTCTCACTTACCTCCAGATATCAATAAGTCCTCGGATCATGGACTCATAGTAGGTTGGCTGGAATATATGGTAGAAGCTGACGGTGCAACGGAAGATGTCCCCTGGATATCCGTCAGTAACCCATACTTTTCAGAAGTGTTGGATTTCAACCCACACATGGTATAAAAGTCGTCCCAAAACGGCTCCCCTGAGTCCCACAGTGGATTCTCACCGGTTCGGTCAGACGGCATCAAGTGAATGAAATACAGCGAACTATACAGCAGCCTCACGTTCGTCATATTCGCCGAATTGTCCAAGGGGACCTGGACTTTGTTGAAAACATCCTCATTCCACTCCTTGACAGCGTCAGTGACCGTGTCATTCAGGTTCCACGAGGGAATTTCTTTGCGAATGTATGAGCGGGCCTTTTCGACCGAGATGGACGAGATGCCCACGCGAGAGGTGATATGACAAGCTGGGCCGTTATCCCAGCTCATGAGGGCTCCGATTCGGTTATTCATAGGGCCTGAGGTGACTTTGCTGGTTGTGTTGCCGTAGGCGAAACTCGGCATGCTCACGCCGCCATCGGCCAGATTTTGATACCGGGGCATGGGGTCTGTGTTCACGCCTGTGAAGGTCTGGGAGTGGTCCGGAGTCTCGGAGAATTCTCCATAAAAGAACACCGTGAAAGGCGCGCCTGGTCTTCTGTCAGAGGATGCAATTGAGTTTGGGTCAAGTGAGTATAGAGTATACCGTTATTCCAACCGCCAATATACGTTCCATACCCACTGTAGGCTTTTCCGTCGCCTTCGATTTGAATCTCTCCACCAACATAGAACTGGCCATCCGCATCGCCAGGGCTTCCAGGTAGATACTGTCATGTGCTTAGCATTGTCTTCCGCAATTTTTTCGAGTCCAGGTTGTCATACGTGAGACACGTCCACGAGAACATGTTTCTCGCCCTTTGGGAAGGAGTACTCCATAATACCAGCATGACGAGATGCCGACAGTTCCACAATCACTCCACTCTGTAGGTGCGTCTTGTAGTAACCCACACTGGCCGTATCATGCCCAATCTGCCAAATTGTTATCCCAGTCCAGTTTACACAACCATTTGCAAAGGGTTAGTACTTACCCTCGGCTGACTGTAGGTGGCATTGTCCAGCACATTGACCGGCGCAGCAACCGAGGTCAAGGGCATCTGGGGAATAAGCCCGTACTTGGGACTGCCACCAGTACCGTGCTCATGCATCATACTGATGGCAGTGACATTACCATCGGGTGTCCAACCGCCGTTGAGGACAGCAGTGCTCCAATTGGCAGCCGTCGAGTCGATTCCAACCTTCACGACACCAAACGGCCGCGCGCCGCCCACAAAAATATCACCGCCGCCATATCCAGAGCCTGGGACTGGCCCTTCAGAGCCAATGAACGGATTCACGAATTGTGAGAGGTCTACCTGAGCTGCCGCCGCCGCCGTCGCCACAGCGCTGGCACGCAGGAACAAAATCCCCTGGATAGGGGACAGAATTGGTCGTAGGCGCATACTGAGTCCAATAATTTAAATTCTACCGTCTCGCGCTGTAGACCATGGGCGGAGAGGGAAAGGAGGCGGGTTATATTAAATATTTGCTGCCTCCGCTTTCATACATTCCAACGCGCTTCGGCAACGATCATCGTCGCAAGCAGTGTAACCCCCAATAGTCCCAGCGGACAATGCTGATCCATCCCACAAAAAGGAGGTTCCTCGGTCTTTTCGGGGAAATAGACTGTCGTCGCAATAAGTATACCCCGCATCAGGGCATACAGTTGTGTCCGGGAACCGTGTTCCGGGGGTTGATGTGCGCGCGCCAATGATGACATACCCGATACGGTTACATCGGCAGAAAGGGTCTATCGGAGTAGTACGAAGCTTGTTCGGATTTTTGATTCTCGAAGATGAGTAAACGCCGAGGTCTGGACGAGGTTTCGGGGAGATTTTGGGCGAGACGACGATCAATGCGGAACGGAGTATAGGCTGAAGTATCGGCGGCTGCGTCATCGAAAGAATTAAAGGAGCAATTAGACTACACAAGAAACAAGTCGGACTACATTACAGAAATCCTGCTGTTCTTCTTATGCTGAAGGTGGCATATTCCTCGAGCACTACAGCCCTATTGACAGAACATTCTCATGGAACATCAGAAGCCAGACAGCTTCAAAGGAAACCTGGAAGACCCGGGAACAAAGTTTTCTATTTTTCAATGAGCTCGAAAGTAGCATTCAGCTTACATTGCGCATCGTCATTCAACTCAATTCCCTCCGTTAGCTTCACTAAGACTTGATTTCTTAAGCGTCTCCTACCAGAAAAGTCTCAATCGCTTCCTTAGGCGTGAATTCTGCTTTGGTCTCTTCACGTCAAAAATTGAGGCAACGATTGGAATATCGGTGATATGATCGGGTGATGGGAGGATAATTCTATAGTTGGCCCTCGTACTGCGGTTAAGCAGTCTCAGCCGTCTAATCCCTTACATTCTGTCTATGGATGGCGATTATCTGTATCAACTCGCCCCCTATCATCGCCACAGTGGCGAGATGCGAAACCGGAAATATATTTTTGGTGAATTGGGGAATTGGGGAATTGGGCGGAGACGAGATTGACGGAACAAAAGGTTGTTTGACCTAAACGTTTAGAGCTGAAGTTATTCAATACACACGGTATTGCATATCGAACAGGTCGAGAATATATTGCTACGTATATCAAGTTAAAACGAGAGGGGACGGGCTAGTTCCCAAGTGGTTTTAGGAGTAGGGTCTATTGCTTCCAGCTTGATGCGCGATTCCTCGGTATGTTGTCTTTACAGTGAATGTCTTTTTGGATGTAGTTGGCCATTTTTACCCGAAATACTTTTCTTGTTTTTACATCACATGAGGCTAGATCCCTTATATTTGCCTAGCCTCGCACATCCCATTCCTGTTTCACCGATATTCCTCCATTGCCTGGCGACATCTGTTCCTCAAGCCTAGCTTCTCTAGCGAGTGATTCCTGGCTCTCACGGTCCTGAACAGCGACCCCGACATGGTACTTCGGTCCCATCGGCCGCAGCCACAGCTGCCTCGACTCATCCTTCAGCGGCTGGAATCCGTCACTATCAGGGGGCTTAGACCCTGTAGATTGTTTTGACGCCTTGACAGGCGTCCGGCCTGATCCCTCCGGTGAGTATACTGAGCGTCCCAGCAGGGGACGCATCATAGGAACACAGGCGAGCGTAACAGCGAGACAGGGCTCAACGCCGCTGAAGATGTTGGCGCGGGGAATCGTGTATGTGATATCGGCGAAGTTCATTGTGGATAGCACAGAGATGCGGAGAGCGCTGATGATGCAGGTTCTAGATTTCGGGGTCAGCAGGGGTCATATTGCTTGAGGGGCAAATCTTACACTATTCCCAATCCGAAGACAGTGATCAGGGTCATCTTTTTGTATCTAGCCATCTGCAGCCGATACAGCAAGGGCATAGGAGTCGCCAGCACAACCACGTCGGTGACGAGATTGATAACACCTGTCGCCGTGAAGGACGCGACCTGATCTCCGCAGTGACCTCCAGGGATGGTCTGGTCCCAGTTGAAGGCGAACGGCCGGCAGATCAGACACCCAGCCAAAATTGTCGCAATGGCCCAGGCCACGATCACACCCATTGTCGACCATGCAATCCCCTTGACCCAAGTGACAGGGAAAATGCGGATGTAGAGGAGTAGGATAGAGACCTTGGTGCAACTCAGGCTCAGAACCCAGAGAAACTGAAGCGGGATGATCAGCTGTAGCAGTTTGGTGATGGGTCCCGGTCCATAGGTCTCCACGATCTGCATGACATGGCCGTACCCAATGCCGGCTTGGAACACGCCAGTGATACTGATGGATTGGAGACCGACGCCGAAGATCTGTAGTTATTTAGCATGGTCGACACCACCTCGGGACCATGATTTACTCACGCAAGCGGCAATAATGAAATAGTCACTCGGGGTCCAACTCTTATGCGCAATCTGGTGGGCCACCAGGCGCAAGCACGTTGCGATGGTGGCCAGAATAGAGAAGGCGAGGGCAGAGCCCAGCACCGCTCTTTGGTCGTGCGTCTCAATAGGGAAAATAACAGTCATCTTCCTCGTGTGAGGGATAAGGACAGTCAAGCCACACAAATGAGAAAAGTGAGGGAAAACCGTTAGCAACTTATATAAACCATTTCGAATTTACCTGTCAAAAGGATCGGGACCCGCTGTCAAGTATGCGCTAAGAGCGGTCCAGGGGCAAAAGCCCCACTAAGGTTTTCTTTGAGTCTTTCTCTCTTCGGCATCAAAGGAGCAGATCATTGGATACCTAGCACAAAAGTGTACTAGAGTGTAAGCGACTTGCGGCCAGTCCACAACGTTAGTGGGGTGGAGTGGATGTGTCTCCGAAAAATAGCACATAAGTACAATTATATTGTCAACCGCTCAATCCGACCAGGATTCGGCAAATCCGCCATTCTCCCACAGCAGCCCCTGATTTAGTCGAGCATGAAGTGCATACATATGTAGTCGAAATAGTTTGCATTCCTGTTATAAAATAGGGTAGTCGAGGTAGTTTCTAATCATTCAGGCCCCTCGTGGCCTCCTTAGTGGTCTCAAGAGCCAGTCCGATACTAGTCCATACCAGTGATTTAACTTCCAACACATCAAACTTTGGATGTTACTAAGCTTGAAATGGCATGGATAAACAACGGCGCAAGGCTCGGCACTTCATACTCACCCGTTGATTGGCCACAGGTGTTCTTTGACAGGTTATTCGTACCGTCCCGCCGTCCCGGTTCCTAGCGTGGTTTCAGCACGAGAACCGCTTAAACGGTTGAGGGTTCTTGGGCCCCGAGAACAGGTTCTAGACGAAATATGGACGAGTCCATTGTTTAAGTCCGCGGAGGCTTGGACTGGTCACCCCCTGTCCTCAATAATTAACATCAAACTCGACTCCTCCAACAAACGCCCACCTCCGATCGCCAGCATGGCTACCACCTCGACTGTCGTGGTCGCCCTAGCCTTAGGCCTGTTGACACTGTTCTATGTCGGTAGGAGAAGCAATGGCAAAGGAGATAAACCGCTCCTCAAACTCCCCCTCATCGGCGACCTTCATAGCTCCCCGATCGAGACGCCACTAACGAACTGGGACGACTGGGCGAGACAGAATGGTCCAATTGCCGTGCCCAAACTGTTCGGCCTCATACCGATTGTCGTGCTCAATTCGTTCGAGGCCGTTACGGAGCTGTTTAGTCGTCGCAGCCAGTGGTATAGCAACCGCCCACCGTCCGTATCCATGGAAATGATCACCGGCGCCGAGCCAGGGCAGTCCAGATTCACTCTGATGCACGATTACGATGATCATCTTAAGCTGCACCATCGCATCCTGGCCCCCAGTCTCGGCGCTCCCGCTGGTCCGAAGTATCAGCCCTTGATGGAACTCGAGGCCAAACAGCTGCTGTTTGACCTCTCCAACGCCCTGCAGCAGTGTGCTGGTGGCATGATCAGTACCGATGCCATCTATCCGCTTCTGGAACGCACCCAGTCGAGCGTCATACTCGCGCTGCATTACGGCCTGCGCATCCCACGCTTCGAAGAGTCCATTCTGCACGAGGTCATCGACGTTCAGACTCAAGTTACCCATCTCGCTGCCAACCCCGCCCTGCCAGATATCATTCCAGCCCTCCGCCACCTGCCAGGCTTCCTGTCTCCCTGGAAGCGCGCTTACGACAAGCTCTATGCCACCCAGGTTGACCTGTACATGCGTCTGTTCCGCCACGGGAGGGACTCGGCAGGCTGGAACGCCACGAAGCAGGCCCTCTCCACAGCAGAGAAGTACGCCACGAACGGGATCCCAGACCTCGACCTCGCCTTCACGCTCGCGACATCCATCCAAGGCGGCATGGAGACCTCACCGCGCCAGCTGCTGTGGTTATTCATTGCAGCGATGCACCAGCCCTCGTTTATGGCCAAGGCACACGCCGTCCTCGACGAGGTCGTGGGACGCAATCGCCTCCCGCAGTTCTCAGACCGCGGAAAGCTCACTTTCATTGATGCCGTTACGCACGAGCTTTTCCGCTGGCGGCCCATATCTCCAGGGTCCATCCCGCGCAGGGCGGACAAGGACGACGAGTTCGGAGGTGTCAAGATCAAAAAGGGCGTCACGCTCATGGCCAACGCGTGGGCCATCGGGCGCGACGAAAAGGTATTCGATCCGGCGCTGGGAGACTCCCAAGTCTTCGTTCCCGAGAGGTGGCTGCGGCAGGACGGGGATGGAGAGGAAAAGCTACGAACGGACCTTCCGCTGCCCGTCTTCGGGCAGGGCCGGCGTATCTGTCAGGGCAAGAGGGTTGCCACGGATGGGACATTCATGCAGGTTGCTAATCTGCTCTGGGCGTTTGACATCGAGCCCGCTGAAGGGGAGGAGGTTGATCCGTGGGCGATGGTCGTGGCGGGATTCATGACGATGCCGAAGGAGGTGAAGTTCAAGCTCAAGCCAAGAGGCGACTGGGTGCTGCAGGTTATTCAGAGAGAGTGGGAGACAGCGGAAAAGAGTCTGGGCAAGGTTATGGGCACATCAAACGATGTGGAGAAGTAGATACTAATATCGACCGCCCTTCTTAAAGCAGCGGCGGGGAGGATGCCCGTTCAGCAAGAAAAGTCTGATACGTCTATAGGTGCATATAGTCGATAGACCAAATTAAATTCAAAGCCAATACTCCCCGCCCATGATATCACTGGCGACAACAATGCGGCAGAACGCAAAAGAAAAGATGCATGTCATTCTAATCATCACCGGCCCTCGATATAATCACGATTCTCGATCGTAACGCTCTTGGTCATATGATTGACCTTGTACACACCGACAAGTCTAGATGCAAGCTCGAACTATGGAGATAATTAGCGGATGCTCTCTGGTTGTGCATAATGATACTACCTACCATGTTGTTTCTGAGGGAAATGACAATAAACTGCGCGTTCTTTGTTCGCTCCTTGATATAGGATGCCACAATCGAGACCTATCACACGAGATCAGTATAAGAAAAGGGAGAGCAATTGGGCAGAGCTACTCACGTTGCGGAAATCCAAAGCCGCGTCAATTTCGTCCATGACATAGAGCGGCGTCGGCTTGTAATGATGAAGGGCGAACACCAGCGCCAAACTGGACAGCGTCTTCTCGCCACCAGAGAGATTGCCAATGTTCTTCCAGCTCTTCTTCGGAGGCATGACCGAGAACAGAATTCCTTCCGAGAAAGGGTCCAGGGAATCCACCAGTTCCAACTCGGCGTTTCCGCCCATGGTGATCATCTGGTACATCTCCTTCAGACGCAGAGAGATGATGCCAAATCCCTCCATGAACCCGTTCAGTCGAGCAGAGCGAAGTCCATCCAAACGAGACTTAGCGCTGTCGCGAGATGCCAAAGCAGTCGCCAAGTCCGCAGACCGGGACTCGTGCTCGGCCGCTCGGCGGCGGTACTCTTCAATGACGGACAGATCGACGGAAGCATTCTGGACCTTCTCCTCCAGAGCGGCAATGACGGCTTTCAAGGACTCCTTGTTCATCTCGCCCAACTCGTCCTTGGTGTACATTTGAAGCTCTGCGGGCTCTTGCTCGTCACCGAGGTCGCTGACGTTTTGTACGGACAGCTTGGAAAGCTTCTCTTCCCAGTATCGGCTGCGTTTCTGGTTTTCGGACAAAGCCTTCTGGTTTTCATCAAGCTTATTGCGCATCTCAATCTCGGTAGCTCGGGTCTCGTTCAGTTCGGCCACCTTCTCGTCAAGCTCTTCCTTCAGAGTCTCGAGCTCGCCCTTCTTGATTTCCAACGCCTAGAAAAAGGGTCAGTGCTAAGTTTAACATGATCAGATAAGAAAAAAAATACCTCTTGGGCTTCATCTGCTTTCTGCCTCCAACCAGAAGCATCATTGGCCTGATTCTCAACATCCGCCTCCAGCTTCTCCAGGTCGCTGGTGATCTGGCCAATTTCCTTTTCAGACTGGCTGCGAGCCTTCTCATGCTTGCTGATGAGCTTCTCGTTCTTGGACTTCTGGACCTCGGCGTTGGAGATCTCTTCGGCGAGCATGCCAATCTGCTCCTTCAGGCCATCGACCTTGGCTTTTTGTCCACGAAGGCGAACACCACCAACTTCCATGATCTTGCTCTGCAGAGTCTGGATCTCCTCTTCGATGCCACTCTTCTCGCTATTGAGCTCTTCAATTTCATTGTTCGTCGAGTCAATCTGCCTCTGGAGGGCAACTGCCTTCGCTTCGTCATCCTTGGAGGGCTTGTGTTCCGCACTCAACTCCTTCACCCGTCGTTGGGCGTCCGCGAGACTGCGCTTGGCACTGTCGATTTCGATCCTGATCTTCTGAATCTTGGTTTCCACACGAGGAATCTCCTCCGACTTCTCGCTCATCTGGGCCTCCACGTGCCGTTGTTTATCTTGGAAGGCCTGGAACTTTCTTTCCAGCTCCTCCAGGTCAGACTCCAATCGGGTGACTTGCTCCTTGGTGGTGTCGGCCACTTGCTTCGAGGACATGCCGCCGCGTGCGACACGAGTGCCACCACCGCTCATTGTTCCCGACACGTCAATCAGCTGTCCATCAAGTGTGACCACTCGCCATCGCCGAGCACCGTAGGCAATGCGATTGGCCTGCTCCAGGTCTTTTGCAACGAGAGTGTTTTGCATCACGCTATAAAATGCCGGCGCAAATTTGGGATCCTTGGGCTTGACAAGATCAAAGAGACGGGGCACGCTCTCAGGGGTATAGAGGGTTGACATGTCACGGCGAGGCAAACGGTCAAGGAGGATGAAGTTGGCTCGGCCAAGGTTGTTCTTCCGGAGATAGTCGATACATTGCTGACCGACTTCCACAGTTTCCACAACCATGTTGTCCAGAGCCGGGCAGGCGGTCGAAATGGCAACATCATACTTCTCGTCGATCGTGCCCAAGTTGCCCAGTCGGCCGTGGAAGCCATCGATTCGACCAGATTCCTTGAGCCGCATTAATCCAGTCAAAACGCTGCCGCGGTTCTGTGTGCTTGCCAGGCTAACTCGTGCCTCGTCCGCTTTTTGCCGTGCGCTGGAGACGTGGGCGCGGACCTCGGGCTCGCGGCTGGAGTACTTCTTCAAGTCGTTTTGCAGCTTCTCAACTTCGGCTTCCAAGGTCTCCTTTTGGGCCTGTCGCTCCTCAAGTTCGGTTTCTTTAGACTCGAGTGTTTCTTCGATGGTGGCGATCTTGCCCTGTGCCTCTTCGAGCAAAACAGCACCCGCGTTGCCCCGTTCCCGCAGAATGTCGAGCTCACTCTGAGCGACGGCGACGCTGGACTGTTTCTGGTTGATCTTTTCGTTCCACGGCTCCAAAGACTTCTGTTTGGCGGTAATTTGATCAGAGAGTCCCTGAGTCTTGCCCTTGAGCCCTTCACGAATGGAGGCCAATTCTTCCTCCTCTGTCTTCATCTCCTGCTCGAGTTGGGCCGTCTCGTTAGTCTTCTTGTCGATGTCGTAGGCGTGTTTCTCGAGCAGACTCTGGCATTCGGACGCGGCAAGACGGGCAGACTGCATCGTCTTCTCCAGCTTTTTTTGTTTGCCGAGAAGGAACTTCTTCTTTTCGTCGAACTTGACCGACTCCTTGTCGTATTTGGCCATTTCCTTGAGCAAGCCCTGGGCCTCCTTCTCCATGGCTTCGTATTCCTTGACGCCACGTTTGTATTGCTTTTCGAGCTCCTTAATGCCGGATTCATTGCCCTCGTGCTTCTCGAGCTCGTGGTTAAGCAATTCCTGCATCTGGAGAATAGCCTCCTCGGTAACGCGAATATTATCCGCGCATTCATCGATGTAGATTTGATAGAGGGCCGATTGCTTTTGTGACAGTTCGTTTTCATCGCGGATGTATGCCAAAGCCTTGTTCTTCTTATCCTCCAGCGCGTTCTTTTCTTTCTCCACGTGCTGGACGCGGTTGTTCTTCTCCATGCAGACGTCGTTCAGAGTCTCAAGTTCAGTCGCGGCCTCTTCGATAGGGGTCTTGTATTTTGAAGTCCCAATGATATCTTCGAGATACTCCAAAAGACCTTCGTCATGTTCGCCGGTGGCCTTGGCCTTCATCTGGGCGATCGACTCAACTTCACCCTGCAGAATCAGGAAACGCTTGTGATCCAGGTCAATCCCCCGGTCTTTAAGAAACGTAGTCACCGCGGTAAAGTTTGTCTCCTTCTTGTTCATGTAGTACTTGCTGGTGTTATTCTTGAACGCTCGTCGCGAAATGATCAGTTGGGAATCTGGAACGACTTCGTGGCCGCCGTCGGGTTGGTCGAGAACTTGCTGAAAGTGGACTTCGACTTCGCAGAAAGGCAGGTCGGGGTACTGGGCAGAGTTGTGGATGAGGGCCGAGATCTTGCCTTGTCGCATCTTGCTAGCGCGGAAACCAAAGACAAAAAGCAGCGAGTCAATCACGTTCGACTTGCCCGAACCATTGGGACCAACGACAGAGGAAAAGGAGGCATGGAAGGGACCAACCACCTGACGGCCCGCGTAACTCTTAAAGTTTGTTAAGGTCAAGTTGGTGATAATCATGCGAGGTTTGGCCTCCGCGGGCTCTTCGGGTGCCGGCTGAGCCACGTTTCTCGACTTTAGGACAATGTCCATTGGCCTCTCAAGGACTGTGGAGTTGGGATTGATGATGGAGATTTGCGATCTAGGCTCCTCGGAATGCTTGGACGGCGACTGGTTGACGGCGGAGTCGGTGATATCGGAGAGAGGCGGCACGCTTTCCCGATGGGCCCGCGCTTCAGGCTCTGGCGATGCAGACGGCTCTGGAGTGGGGAGTGAGCCCTTGGTCGGCTTGGGCGTGATAGAACCACGACTCTTGCGGGGATGAGCCATACTTTTTCTTTTCAGCGCCGCTTTATTGGAGGGAGAATCAGGATCTGCCTCCACGGAGGAGATATTGATACTCTCATCATTCTCATCGTCGTTAACATCCATCATCACCTGTGATTCCTCCGAGTCCTCCGCGGTCGCCTGCTGCGACTTGCGCGTTGGCCGGACTGTAGATGGCGTCGCAGGCTCCAGCTTCATTCGTTTGTTGCGCGGGCCACCCTTTACGGCGCGTTGTTTGGGAACCGGTGTGTAGTCTTCGGCTTCCTCGCTCTCGTCGTTGTCGTCTTCGGTGGCTGCGGTCGGCGTGGCGTTCCCGGGGTCTTCAGATTCAGAGGTGTCCTCAACGGCATAGCTCCGGCGGGCAGCCACTCGGCGCGAGGACCGGCCCTTTGTAAGTGAAGCCATTATGCGCAGATCAATACCGGGAGCGCGTGCTTCATAGGGACGCGAGGGGGTGGGAATGGAAGAAGGAGTTAAGTGAAAGTGGGTTGTTGTTTACTCTCAGCCCAAACGGGAATTGCCCTGTGCGTTCTGCCACAACACTGCCTCACCGCCTTATGTCATTCTGCCCGGCTTTCTTTCTTACCGCGGCGGCAAGCACCAGAAGAGTCCAGGACCGCGCGCCATGGCTCTATGGGAGGACTTCGAGACCATCTTCTTCTTTAACAAGAAATATTCCTACGATGCAAAGGTCGTCGAACAGATCCTCGCCAACCGGCGGGCGCTTGAGAACCAGCTTTTTGCCGACCGCTTGCTAAGCCTGCTCGGCATCAAAGGAGGTATGGGATGCGATTTTTCCAATGTGGATGCCTCTGGCTAACTTCCAGCAGTAACCAAGGTGTATCCGCCAAAGACCAATGCCGATCTGCGCTCTCTTATCGGCCATATCGTGGAATCGGCCCTCGATATCCACCATAAACAAGCCTTGATCTACTACATCCTCAAAGACTGTCGCGCGGCCCCAGATGCTGCTCAACAATTTGCCCGTCGATTCCACCTGCCAGAGAAGTACCGTCTGTTTATTGAAGGCCTGTGGAACTTGGACCGACTCGAGTTCAGAGTGAGTCTATCAGAAACCCCGCTTTCTTGATTTGTTCTAACGGGGGTGCATGTCGACAGCGAGCCATCGAGTACCTGACCGAACCTTCTTTGATCCCGACGTTTCCTGATGAGATCCTTTACACCTTGACCATGACCCACCTCCCCAAACAGGACGACAGCCTGGCAATCGCATATTACCTAACCGTGGCGCCCCCTCTTGCGACAGAGAAGGTTCAGCACGCCTTCTTCGCCGCTCTCTGTCGGTCCAACGTCACAGAGGCATTTTACTTCACCCGCAGGCACGATGAATCCCACCGTCGTAGCTACTTTGCGCAGCTGGTGGAGCACGTGCACAAGAACAAACCCGGGCAGAGGCGTAGCAAGCGCGCGATGGAGCTTATTGGCCTTCCATTCGACGAAGACGAGGCACAGTGGTTCGAGGAGGTTCTGCTTCACGGAAATGCTAGCTCTCTCCCCGGTGCGAAAGACACAGTGATGATGCGACGCCTTGCGACTGGGCAACTGGACAGTCTGTCGCCCGAGCTCGAGTCACTCGGCGGGAAGAAGATCGATGGGCTGAACTGGGACGATTTGCGGGAAAGCATGCGGCATACACAGACGATATACCCATCCAGTGGCAGTGGAGCCTTGGAATGAATGTTTCTTTATTTTCGATAGCACAAAAGATTAGGCGCAGCAATGGGAGTTCGTGGTTCTGGATTGAGTCTGTCGATTGTAGATGCCGAAATATATAATGCGCTGCGGCACCTGCCAGTACTCCGACCGGCCATTCGTGTTTCCCGTTCTGCCTAGAGGAATATATTCCTAAGCAAATATTACACTGTAAAACAAAAATATCCTAAAGCTCTCTTTCCGAAAGTTATCTAGATGAATAATCTTTGTGGTTTCATCTGTAGTCGACGTGATAAGCAGCTGATTGGCGCAGGGCGGCAGAAAAGCCCCAAACAACTGTCGCCGCCAACTTTCAACATCCACGCGTTCGGCTGGCCACGACCGCGCGCTTTTCGTCGCATCAACTCTGGACACCCTTTATCGGAACCCTTTTTCTAGTTGGTGATATTGTTTTCCCAGTTCCTGACTCGGCCCCTGCGCGGGGATCGCGAGTACGTCCATTGAACAGCCGGTGAACCGACACCATGGTTGTCTGCACATATTTCCAGCAGGGTCGCTGCAAGTTCGGCGGTATGTTTTCTCGGGTCCAAATCAAGCAAGGCGCTAATCATGCCTCAGACCGCTGCAAATTCGAGCATCCAGGTCGTCAGACGACTGGTTCCTCGGGAAATCGATTCGGGGCTTTATCCACACCATTTGCAGGTATGTCACAGCCATTCGCCATTGGGGGAGTTTCCTCAATAGGCTATTGTCCATGAACTTCACTTTTTATGCTTCACTCGTTTATCTTGCCCTTCACTTTCTGTTTGTCTTTCTCTCTCCCCCTCCCTCTCTCTTTGGCCTTTTGTCCCTTTCATCTCAGCCTCTGTCAACCTGTCTGCTTTGCCAAAATGGCGCCTCCGCAAGAGCAACGTTCCGCCGCCTATGATTCAGATTCTCATGGTGCCGATTAAGGCATGCACTCCCATGGAGCTTTGCTTTGATGATGGCACCCCATGTACCCCTACTGGAACCATTCTACTGCCTGATGGTTTGCGGGATCGCCCTTTCGATGTTAAATTACGCCGATTACCTTCACTGCCGAATGTTGAAAAACCTTCACTGCCTGTTTCGCGGCCTCAGCCTGACCATCCTGCCCCATCCCCAATTGTACTCCCTTCGCTGTCTGATCTTTCGCAGCCTATGGCACCCAATGATTTTAAACCACTCGAAAATAACTCATGGAATCAATAGGGCGAGGAACATCGCAGACACAGCAACCAACGGAGTAAGAGGCTTGCTACTCAATCTTTCTACCTAACGACTAATACACATACAGTTATGGCGTCAACGCAAATGATATCAAACTCGACTTGACCGTAGGCAAGGGACGGCCTGAATGGGTCCTTTCATCTTACTCTCCGCAACGCCATGTCCCGCGACAACTCTTCGGTGGCCAACCCCGCGAGCAGAGCATGGAAGAGATGCGTCTGCGTCACTACGAGCTCGCGGCGGCTGGGAACATGAACCAAGCGATCCAAGAGGCACAGGCCCTGTACGAAGAAGCCACCAAGCAGATGGATGTCGCTTTAAATGATCTGAACGGTGCTGTGAAGTACATTATCGACGGCGGGAACGAACATCCCAATCGCATTGACATCACCGAGGGCAAAAAAGGCCCGGACTCGGCTCCAGCGGCTTCAGCGCCACCAGCTTCAGCATTCGGCCAACCTTCTTCTGCGTTTGGTCAGCCTTCTAACTTGGGAGCCACTTCGACGTGGGGAAAGCCTACACCTGCGCAGCCCTCACAGCCTGCACAGCCTTCAGCATTCGGCCAGCCGTCCACAATGGGTCAACAACCTGGCTTTGGCCAGCCGTCCACTTTCGGTCAGCCCAGTGGCTTGAATCAGGGATCTGCCTTTGGGCAGCCCTCCACCCTCGGAGGCCAAGGCGGTGCATTCGGCCAGCCAGCGTTCGGCCAGCCTGCATTTGGGCAGCCTTCAGCTCCGGCCCCGACTCCTTTCGGCGGCGCACCTTCCACTGCCTCACCTTTCAACCAAGTTCCTCAGAACCAGCCAGCAGCCGGTGGCTTCGGCCAACCGGCAGGCCAGCCTGCGCCATCGCCATTTGGACAACCTGCTGCACCATCAGCATTTGGCCAGCCCTCCGCGTCTGGCGGGTTCGGACAGCCCTCGCAGGCCGCTTCACCTTTCTCCCAGATCCAGCAACCGCAACAACAACCCCCTAACCCGTTCGGCCAACCGTCCGGCACCACAGGCTTCGGCGCGCCGACCCAACAACCCGCAGCTCCAGCGCCCTTCGGCCAGCCCGCCGCTCCAAAGGGTGTGCCAGCTCCACCAGTCGATACCGGACCCCGCGCATATATCAAGATCGACGATCCAAACCAGCTCAACCCTCTCCCGCAACTTGAAGGCGAGACCTTGCGAGACCCAGCCACCAACCGCCTTACAATGTGGAAGGGCCGTCCCGTGAAATACATCCACGATCACCCATGCTACCTGCATCCGCAAGGCGACAATCATTGGACCCGGGTCAACTTCCCTGACGGACCGCCCGACGAAGCGAGCTTGCGTGACTCGCAGGGCCGGCCCGAGGATTACACACCGGAAGTCGTGGCGCAGTACGAATTCTTCCTTGCCAATGGTTACTTCAAGGATGGGATTATGCCGACTATGCCGCCGAAGCGGGAATGGATCAGCTTTGGCTTCTAGGGACACTTTTCTGTTTGATGGTTTTCGGGATAGATAAGGGAGACAGAGGGCGCTTGGGTGCGGTCGGACAGACAACCTCTCCATGTACCTGTGTACAATACCATGACTACGAATTGAACTATGAAGATGATAATTTTCAAGATGTTTCCACAATTTTTTTTTTTTAGTATCCCAGGTCAAATCTAGCGGGTATCAACAACTCCTCGAAAGAGCAATCGGCGAAACCAGCCCTCCTCCTCGGTCCGCGTCAGCAGACAATCACACGGAAGAGAAAGCTAGACCCAGACACAGCCCATGCCTCTAAATACTTAGATTTATGCGGCAATGGTAACCTCCACCTCAACACCAGCCTCGATGTTGATGATGATCTGCTTGACAGTCTCGGTGGGGGCAAGCAGGTCGATGAGGCGCTTGTGGATGCGCATCTCGTACTTGTCCCAGGTCTTGGAGCCCTCACCGTTGGGGGTCTTGCGGGTGGAGATGTTCAGGGTCTTGGTGGGCAGACGGACGGGGCCCTTGACCTGCAGCGACTTGGAGCGGGCACGGTCGATCAGCTCCTGGCACACCTTCTCGAGCGAGGCGACCTTGCGCGAGGTGAGGGTGATGCGGATCTTGTGGACCTTCTATACAGGGAATCAGTATTTTGATCAAGGAGTTGCGATTTGTTGGATGTGTTGAGGAAGACGTACAGGGCCCTCGCCGAAATCCTTCTCGGGCTTCTGGAAAGACATCTTGTGTGATTGAGTAATCTGTGCGTGGGATGTTAGAGATTGAATTGTAGGAATATAAACGAGAAGCACATACGGAAAATTGCCGATCAAGACCTGAACTGCGTGGCTCGGTAAAGTGATGATGGGCCGGTGATTGATGATGGTGATTTGATGATGGAGAAAAAAAAGACAAAGTGTGGCTTGGCATCTCGGTTATCTGCCACTAACCCGCTTTGGGACGCCGCAGCTGAGTCAGCATCGAGGACGGGTGAGGGCCATGATTATGATGCTGTGTAGGTATGGGATGCTGGTTTGTCTCGCTGCTCAATTCTCTCGCTCGCCCTCATGGCGGACTTCCCGCCGCTCGCGCCAGTGCCGCCCGCTGCACTCCGGTCCACCATCCCATCAGATGACTGGGAAGCCTGCCTGGATGCATGGATGATGCTGCTGGGCATTCGTCTAAATGCAACAGATCAGCAATTCCAAGATGCCGCGGTCCACGATGTCCCGGCCGTCTCCTTTTTGGAGTCGTACTATCAGCACATGGCAGCCGGGGATGCGGGCCTGCAGACAGGACCCAAAGCAAGAAGACTTCGGAAGCTCTGTTTTCTCGCGACAAGGCGGTACCTGCTGAGTCTGGCGGATCCGCCAGAAGGCATTCTTGACTGCAAGCTGTGGGGCAATCTATGTTGTTGTTTTCCTTCAAGCACGGCGTTGAAGACATCACTCTCAAAGGCATGGGATTTGCACAGTGAGAAGCTCATTTCCAGTCTAGAGAAGACAAAGTCTCTCATTATCAAGCAGCTGTCTCTGGCAAGCGCAACACCAAATCCAGAGGTCATGGCGGATGTCCGCCGCTTGACGATATTGGCGTCCGTGCTACCGCCCTGCGGTCAAGTGTTGATGGCAGGCTCGGACTTCCTGGACACCGTCTCGGATGCCTACCTGACCCAGAAGAACCAGGAAGATCTCCGCCGGATTCTCGTGGCCAATATCTATGTCGGGATGATCTCGCTGTTGAAAGAGCCATCGGCCAATCTGTCCTTGCTCCTGGACCAGCTATTCAGCCTTAAAGCTGCCGCAGGCTTAGGCACACCGAGGATGAAGAAGGAACCGACTCTGCTTTCTGATCTGGTTTGCAGTTCGGATATCCTTCTTCGATTGGAGAAATATCTAACCGCGCATCCACAAAAACGAGCGGAGGATCTACTCGTCCAATTACGCGTCTACCAGATGGAATCCAAGCCCCTGCACCACCGGTATCAAAGACGCAAGAAAGTGGACAAGGGTAAAGGCCCATCGTCTGGTGCTCTTATCCCCGAGGAGCTCCATGTACACAAGATGTCACTAGTCACGCAAGTGCAAGACCTCTTCCCCGACCTCGGGTCCGGGTTTATCGTCAGGCTCCTGGAGTTCTATAACGACAACCCGGAGACCATCGTCGCGCAACTTCTAGACGACAACCTGCCACCGGAGCTCCAGTCTCTAGATCGAACCGAACAGCTACCGGCCCCACAAGCAGGATCCAGCCACGACGCGTTGGCACTGCGGCCAACGCCTCCAGCAATCCCTTCACCCCCATCATCTGCGCCAACGCGCAAGAACATCTTCGACGCAGACATCGATATCGCCGAACTCAGCCGCTCCGAAGCCGCCACACAATCAAAAAGCAAGCTCCGCTTCGGCCGCGCAAACCCAGACCTGACAGCCGATGAAGTCCTCGCCGACCGCAGCCAGCACGCCACCAACAAAGCAGCCATCCTCTCCGCGCTGGCGAATTTCGACTCCGACGACGACGAGCGCGACGACACCTATGACGTCGCCGACGTGGGCGGAACCGTCGACGCCACGACGGCCGGCACAGACGCTGAGGCAGAGGCGGACATGCGCAACCGCCGCGCCGACCAACTAGATATGATCCTCTTCCGCGCTTACAAGTCCAATTCTGCGCTCTTTGCGCGTGATTCTGCTACACGTCGCTCGCAGCCGCGCGCTTCTCTTAAGCGGGACACCGAGATGACGGATGAGGCTATTGAAGGGTGGGCTGTCATGCTCTCCCGCGATCCGAAACGGCTCGCTAGGCTTGAAGATCGACTTGCGCTGGATTCTGGCGGTGTTGGTGGTGGGGCTTTGAACCAGACGGATCTGCCTCCGACGTCGTACCGAAAGCCACGGCCGGAAGAGATCGAGTCAGATGAGGAAGGCGACTCCTCTGTTTCTGCTGCTCCGCGCGGGGGCAGAGGCGGCGCGGGAGGAGGAGGAGGTGGCGGTGGACGCGGACGAGGCAGAGGTGGTAGAGGTAGGGGTGGTAGACCACCACCACAGTCTGGGGAACAGAGCGGTGCCGCCTCGAGACAAAAGAAGGAGGAGAATAAGGCCAGCCGCGCAAATCATAATCGGCGACAGCAGCGTGCGAAGAAGATTGCGCGTGGGGGTGGGCTGCCAGGGTGAATGGGATGGGATGGGATGGGCCTATCTCTCCCTCGATCTCTCACCCTGTATTTAGAGCATAGCATATTTAGGATCGTTAAGAGAAGCATGAAATAAAACACATTCGATTCATCATTATGGACACGCAGATGTTGGGGAAATATACTGATCATGGCGTGCGATCTATCTACAGAAACCAAGGAAATTCATAGCCCGACAACCATCGCCGTCGGGGCGTTCGTTGAAGCCGATAACACTCAGTGGTGATGATCAGTGAAGACACCCTCTTGAGCAATCGACCTGCGACACTCCTCCAAAATGCGAACCTGCTTCGCCACATCAGCCAGCCGTCCAATAACCTCTTTATTCCCGTCATAGAACGTGAAAGTGGCATACGGAATGCCAGTTTCGCGACAGAACTCGAGAATATACTTCTGCGCCTGGCGCAAGTTATGGCGAGGCATGCGCGGGTAGAGATGGTGGATCGCCTGGAACTGGAGACCGCCGTGGATGAAGTCCAGCCAGGCGGGACAGTCGACGTCCGACGTTGTGCGCAGCATTTTCTGCGGGAAGGACTCGTGCACGCCCAGGTCGGCGGTGGACATGGAGAAGTGCGAGAGGGTGAGCTGGACGTGGAGCGGGCCGGTGACCATGTGCGAGACGAGGAGGAAGGTGAGCCGGCTGCTCCAATCTGGAATGGATCGGTAGATCACGCCGTAGCCGAACCAGGTCCAGAAGACGAACTGGCCCGCTACCTCGAGCCAGATGTGCCACCAGGCAGGGCCTCGTTTGGGGGCTTGCCGTTTGAGGAGGAACTCCCAGCTCAGAACATAGAGGTTGAATCGCGCGAAGAGCATGATCGGATAGTAGGACCAGTTCTGGATTCGCAGGAGGATTTTGGTCGCGGCGTCGTGGGGCATGATGCGGTCGTAGTAGGAGCTGCGCAGGCTGGTGAGGAAGCGGTGGGAGACAGCAAAGAAGGGGATGTGCTGAATGTCCGGGTCATGTTCGGGCTCGTTGGTCACGATGTGGTGGACGTTGTGGTTGCGTTTCCACCAGCCTAGACTTAGGCCGCCGATAAAGTCGGCGATGAGGATGCCAATCACCGTGTCGACGTGGAAGTTGTGCGTGATGCCCATGTGGCCGGCATCATGAGCTGTGAAGACGAGCTGGTGCCAGAGACAGCCTAGGAAGAATGCGGACGTTGCCCACCATCCCATGCGCAGGAAGATGTAGAACAGGGCGGCGAAGGTCGTGTAGCGGCAGCACTCGATGAAGTAGGAGAAGTAGTTGCACTGGTAGAGCCCGGCTTCCTGCATGCGGATGTTGAGCTCGCGGTATTTCTGTTTAATGTTCTCCTGGCTGGCGGTATCCAGAGAGGGATATTTGGCGGTGTCGAAAACAATTTCGTCCTTGGTTCGAGCGTCCAAGAAGAACGGCTTGGGTTGGGAGGGTTCATTGGGAGGTGTCGAGCTCGAACTCGAGGGGTCCGACATAGGCTGTCTCCGCCGGGCAGTGGATTTTGAATCGACTGGATCAAAGATGGGCGAGGGAGGCAGGGATCCATCCTCGCTGGAGCCCTCCGGGCTGGTCAAGTCCTCCTCGCTTGAGCATGTTTCCTCGGAGTATGGGCGGAACTTGCCGCCTTGAATGGGCGGTACGAAGTTGATCCATGTCCCCTCGAACCAACCGATCTGGTATGAAGGCATCCGCTGGCGAGCTTCTGTTGAGTGCAACCTAGTTTGGAGAGTCGGGTCAGTGTTTGTTTATTCCAGCCGAGGTACGCCCACAACCACATACGCATTGATCTCGTCCGTCGCATCCCTGCCCACCATGTGCCTGATCGAGACGTCTCCTCCGGGATGGAAGGGCAGCCAGGCATCTACCTTGAGGACGCGGCTTTCGTAGATGAGAACATGCTTGCCCTCCGCAATCAGGCCCTCGATCTGCCGGCGAGTGAAGACGGTGTCCTTCTTGGACGGTCGGGAAGCAGCAGTGGCTTTCTGCATGGCGTGTAGGAGGGTTGAAAGAGTGAAGTCAACACCTAGGAGGGTGGAAAGGGTGGTGTTGGAGGAAGAACCCACCGTCCCAAGGCTGAAACGAAAGGAAGGAAGGAGGGTGGATCAACACGGGTGGAGGGGCCATGATCGACACTTCGTCACTTGTACACATTCTGGACGGCCATAGTGAATTCAACAACCACATATGTAATAATGGAGGATTCCCTCTCATCCTTGGTCCAGACATGGCTTGACTGGGACCAGGTCAGTCGGGTTATACCTCGGAAGCACACTTCACACTGACTCCACCAGGATCCCACCACTCGCGTGGAGATAGAAACCCTCCGGGCTTCCGACGATACCGACGAGCTGGAGAAGCGCCTGCGCCATCGTAGGTGTCTGTCTGTTGTTATCTGGTCCAATCTAATCGAGGAGTAGGCATCGACTTCGGTACCGCCGGTCTGCGTGGCCGCATGGCCGCCGGCTTCTCGTGTATGAACTGCCTGACCGTCATCCAGGCGTCACAGGGGCTAGCCAAGTACATTCGAACCAAACATCCAGAGATCGCTGCTGCCGGGGTCGTCATTGGCCACGATGCTCGCCATAACTCGGCCAAGTTCGCCTCGCTTGCCGCAAATGCGTTCCTCAATGAACGCATTCCCGTGTGGTACTTTCAGGAAGCGTCGCCGACTCCCATGGTTCCCTTTGGAATCGGCCATTTCAAAGCTGCTGCGGGGATCATGGTCACGGCGAGTCATGTAGGTCGCTCCCAATTACTTGTTAGTACGTGGCTGACGGACAAATGTGTAGAACCCAGCTGAAGATAATGGTATTTGCATCCCGATAATAAGAATTTGGCATATTTACTGACAATTTTCTAGGATACAAAGTGTTGGGCTCCCCAAGTTTTGTTATCCTTTCCGCGCTAACTTGATCTACACCACAGCTACTTCAACAAAGGCGCCCAGATCAATACTCCCATGGATATGGAAATCGCACAATCGATTCGGGAAAATCTGAAACCACAGGAAACTGCTTGGGTCATCAATAGCATTGTTCCAACTGGTCTATACCAGAAAGTCTTGTCGGATTATACCAGCCAAGTCAGCAAATATGCGGTTCGTCATCATACATGCTCTAAAGGAGAGGACTGACGCCGCTTAACAGAAATCGACCGTGTCAGACTGGAAACCTCCCAGGCCATTCGTGTACACCCCTTTGCATGGTGTGGGAAGCTCGGTCTTCCAAGAAACTTGCCACTTAGTTGGGATCACTGATTATGTGACTGTTGCTTCTCAGGAGAAACCAGATCCTGATTTTCCCACGGTGAAATTCCCAAATCCTGAAGAGGCCGGTGCTCTGGATCTTGCTATGCAAACAGCCGATCAAGGGGAGATGACTTTGATCATCGCGAATGATCCTGATGCGGATCGGTTTGCGGTAGCGGAGAAAGTCGAGTGAGTTCTTATGTCCTATTTTGAATAGCTTGCAACTCATGACCACCACAGCGGAAAGTGGTTCACACTCACTGGAAACCACGTTGGGGTTCTCCTTGCCTCGCACATTTTCGATTCAATTGAAGCCACTCAAGGCCCCTCTCGTACAGCAGTCCTAACGACAGCCGTGTCGAGCGGCATGATCCAGAAAATGGCGGCGGCCAAAGGAGTTCACTTTGTCGAGACCTTGACCGGCTTCAAGTGGATGGGAAATGTTGCCCGAAAACTCGAAGACGATGGATACACCGTTCCATTCGCATACGAGGAGGCACTTGGTTACATGTTTCCATCGGTTTGCTATGACAAGGACGGAATCACGGCTGCAATGGTATTCCTAGCGGCGGAGGCAAAATGGAGGGCACAGGGCTTGACTGCACATGCCAAACTCCAACAGCTCTTCTCCGCGTTTGGTCACCATGAGACATTGAACAACTACTTCCGCTCCCCGAATTCAGAGCTCACCATGCAGCTGTTCCGAGGGATCAGGGGTGGCCGGCATCTTGCAGAACGCAAGTTCGGCTCGTTCCAGATTCTTCGGTGGAGGGATTTGACGGAGGGTTATGACTCTGAAACACCAGATAACAAACCGGATTTACCAGTGGATCCGAGCAGTCAGATGCTCACATTGTGGTTGAATGGGGGAGTGCGCTTCACTATTCGTGGTTCGGGGACTGAGCCGAAAGTCAAAGGTAGGCATTGTGATATGGTTACCTATTTGGCGAGGCTGACTCCGAGTGTTTAGTGTACATTGAGAGCTGCGGCTCCTCGCGTGAAGAAGCCGTCAAAGCCGTCTGTGACACCTGGCTGACCGTGATGACCGAGTGGATCCAGCCATTTACGCCGTCGATGACATGCAGCAAAGAACTTCCAACGTCGTCAGGCCATATCCTCAACATCAGCTAGATGCAGGTCAAGGATCTGGTAACCTAAATAGGACTGTGCTGGAATTCTGAAACTGCTTCGAGAAGCAAACATGCATGCATCTCTCAGGCACCGACGCCCGACGCATCAGGCAAACTGCAGCCCTAGTGTGACTTGCAGCTGCACGCCCGGACCGAGAACAAAGAAAAGTATGCATCATCTTCGAATCGTAATAGTTATCTTGAAAGTCATGAGATTTGGTCACACCAACCCCTGTACCAGAAAATATCCGCGAGCTGCGTATAAGACGGCCGGCTCTCCTCTTATCGTAGAATGCCCGACGGTTCAAAACAAACACCACACGCTCGAGATATTTCAGACCCTTGAGATGCATTCCGACAGACCATTTCACTGCCGCCACCGCACCGCCTCTGACTGCGACTGCTGTCCTCCGCCATACCCTCAGGTGGTAATGCCCCCACACAGCGTCCACAGTCACAGCCACAGCCACAGCCATCACCGGTGCAGTAGACACTGCACCGATGTATCCACCTCCGACGAGAGTGATTCCGCCTCTAATAACCGGCACCGAGGCCACCGCGGCATTAGAATTACACCAAAAGAGTCCAGCTGCCATTCACATTCACACTCTTGCTACTGCGCTTACAGCTACGACCATTCACCTCATGCGAAGCATACATATTGTCGCCAGATATGCGCCAATAATGGCGGCAGTGTGTATTCAAAGTGTCTGCGGTCTTCATCATCCGTGAATTTGCACCGCCATGCGCATCATCGGACGAAGGCCGAACATCAACATTGCATGTCCGGACATGGACATGGACATGTAGTAAATTATCCATATGAGTGTAGTCTCTGCGGCCATGCCAGCGAAGAGAGTGTGTCGGATTGTCCAAAGGAGCACCATTGCCCTGGGAGTCATCATTGTCATCGCCAACGCCAACGCCACAACGACAACCACAGCCACAATACCCGACCTGCGCAACGACATCCCTCTTTCCGGGTGTGGGGGCCGCCTTTACCCGCCGCTATGATGGATTGTGGGCACCGAGGATGCGCATGTAGGTGATAAGTCCATATGCATGATGGAAAACGGAGTTCAAGAGTCATTATTTGATCACAATTCGAATCGCAAAGATGATCACCAATGCCTCGCCGGTTACCTGGAGAGGGGCCAACAACGGGGTCCATGGGAGCCGAGCAGTTTCAATTTATTGAGGAACACTATCAAATAAGTTATTTTGATATATATTTGCAAATAACATACCGGTTTGTAGGAGTCCAGCGAATAGGTTATGGCGACATTCGAGATGGTCTCTACGGCTGGCTCTATAGTTAGAATATGATTATAATTAACTCCAAACCTGATACATACGACCACAGGGTGTGGAGAACAGGGCTTCCCGTCCGCTCAGCCGTACTTAAGCCACCTACTGTGCAAGGCCAATCTCGACGTGCCCTTGACACCCTTGTCATTTTAAAAGGGCGATAAGAAAGTGCCCTGGAGTGAGTGTGGGTGATATGGGTGAGAAATTTGGAGACTAGGGTGATAGAGGTGAGAACGGGGTGAGAATTATCACCCCGATGGGTGAGAAGGGCTGACCTCTCCCCCGGGCCATCGTGAAAAAGATAAATTCAGGACCTAGGGCCATTTATCCTCTTTAGCATTGCTCTACTAACCCCGCAAGCACGATGTCTACCGAATTGAAAATCTAAAAAGCTCTTAAAGAGCGCATTGCACGTGCCGCGTCGCGTGGATTCATGCGAGAGTACTGGGATTAGCGGGAATAAGAAGATAATACTATCTGCCATAAGGAACTCGTACCCGCGACGCTTGAAAGATATGACTAGGTAGCTTTGAACTAGGCTCTATAAGTTTTTAGTCTATAGCGGCCAAACGGATTCTAACATTTAGTTGTTAGGGATCAGACCAAATTGTGTCAATTAATGGCATGTCCTATGCACAAGAAGGATTCATTAAAGAAGGAAAGAAAGAAAAGGGGAACACATGATGTGCAGATAAACATAGCAGAACGAAAAGGCGGTCAGCAGTCACGAAGCTTCAGCTGAGTACTGTGGTATAACAATATCAGGACTTCGTACGAAGGTCGTATAACATTGGGCTAATCGAGGGCGAATCAGACTATCTTCCAATTTTAGAGCCCCTAACTCCCCTACCAAGGCCTAAACGGAAGCGGGTTCAAGATCAAGGAGGCGAAGGAGCGCCTAGTCAGAAGCGGAAGAAGGCAGCGCCAAAGTGCTCTACATGTGGTGAAGTAGGGCATACACGAAGATCATGTAAATAATAGAGAGTATGAAATTCAGATACAATCATCACATGACTTATTCTATTACCTAATCCCATGGATTACATAATAAGGAGTGTCCCTAGGGGAATTGCTAGGGACACCCCCGTTTTCACTACGGGCACCCCTAATTATGTAATTACCCTTATTACATAAGTAGAATAATCATGTGATCTGTATCTGAATTACCACAGCAACATCATTCTATAGTCTGTTCTACTATAAATCCTACCTTCCCCCCCCCCCCCCCCCCCCATTTCGAAGCTCTGTAGTTATCTACATCAAAATGGAGCCCCCTACAGAGCAGATCTTTGATTCTAAAGAGCTATTAATAGACTCTGTGCGTCAGCATGCTCTCTCCCAAGGCTACGCTATCACTACTATACGATCAAATGCGAATAAAAATGTCTTTCTTGGCTGCGATCGCAGTGGTATTTATCATGATCGAATCAATGCGCCAGAAGGGTCAAAACGACGACTAACAACTACACGACGGATTGGTTGTCCATTTAAGCTATATGGGAAGAAGATTCCTAATAGTGAGAAGTGGGAATTAAAGGTACGAAACCCAAGTCATAATCATGAAGCTAATAATAGTATGATAGGTCATCCTTCTGCTCGCAAATTTACAGATGAGCAGCTACAGATCATTCTTTATATGTCTGAGATTGGTTCAAGACCCCGTGATATCCTTGCTCTAATCAAACGAGAGGATCCGAATGCTCTTATTACGTCTAAGGATATTTATAATGCACGAGATGCTTTACGAAGACAGAAGCTTGGTAATAGTACCCCCCTTGAATTTTTACTAAAAGCTTTACAAGAAAATACTTGGAAATATGCTTTAAAGCAAGATATAGAAGGACGTATCCTCTTTTTTATGTTTGCACACCCTGAATCAATTAAATACGCTAATAAATATAATAGGGTTTTTGTACTAGATTGTACTTATAAAACGAATCGATATCAAATGCCTCTATTACATATTATTGGCATATCACCTTCAAATTCAACATTTAGTATCGCATTCTGCTTTATGCGAAATGAAGAAGAAGAGAGCTATATTTGGGCTTTAAAGGCCTTTTTCTCTTTTCTAAACCCCTTACCCTTTGAACCAGTTCTTTGTACTGATCGAGATCTCGCTTTATTAGGTGCAATTAAGGCTATCTACCCTACATACCCACATTTACTTTGTATATGGCATATTAATAAAAATGTGACCCAAAAAACAAAGCAGCACTTTTCTACAAATGACGGACATCAAAAATTTCTACAATCGTGGAATCAGCTTATCTATTCGACTACAGAGAGTGACTATAATTCTAGGCTTCTAGATTTTAAGAAGCAATTTCCCTTCCCTCCTATTCGCTATATAGAGGAAACTTGGCTAATCCATAAAGAGAAATTTATAGTTGCGTGGACACAGCAATACCTACACCTAGGTAATTCAGCGACCTCCCGAGTTGAAGGCTCACATGCCTTCTTAAAAAAGCATATAGGAGCTTCAACAGGGGACATGTTACTTGTATTTGAAAGGATTTCACAAGCTTTACAAGCCCAACATGCTACACTCGAATATGATTTTGCAAGAGATCAAATTGAAAGGGTAGTAGTACCATCACAAAAGCTTTTCACTAATATTTTGACTAGGACCTCTCGATATTCGATTCGACGAATTAGTGAGCAAGTTTCAAAAGCTAAAAGAGCTACAGATCTAGCTCCTTTGCCTCCCTGTACAAATACGTTCACAAGAACTATGGGTCTACCTTGCGCACATCGGGTTTCTAGCTTATTGAAGAGCAATCAAGCTATTCCATTAACAGATATCCACCAATTCTGGCGAATAGGCCTAGACGACGGTGAATCAGAATATCTTCCACTATTAGAGCCACTGATTCCTTTGCCAAAGCCTAGGAAACGGAAGCGGGACGAGGTAGAGCAAAATGTTGATAGAGAGCCTATACAGAAGCGGAAGAAGGCAGCGCCAAAGTGTAGTATATGTGGGGAAGTTGGACATACACGAAGATCATGTAAATAATAGAGAATGAAATTCAGATACAGATCACATGATTATTCTACTTATGTAATAAGGGTAATTACATAATTAGGGGTGCCCGTAGTGAAAACAGGGGTGTCCCTAGCAATTCCCTGTCCCTAGCAATTCCTGCTCGTGGATCACGTTAACGGTAAAAAATTAGATGAATCAGCAAATTATACAGCCGAAAAAGGAAAATCTTAGCAAATTTATGCAATTGCGGTCCCGTGGTCCGGTCCTTGGTCACCAACTATAGGACCGGGACCGCACCATTTAGAGGCCTAATCAAACTTGCGTTTGCTCTTTTCTCCCGACAGGTCATGGGTTTTCACCTTGACTAATCCTTGACTATCTCGTGACAGGTCCCTCGCAATATTTTCTTGTACTAATGCACTACTACTGGACGCCACGATTGCCAGAGTCACAGAAAAATGTGGCATCTCATAGTTCAGTATGTGTAGTAAATTCTGAACTGGCCCTCAAGTCTTGCCTCCAGACGCCTTTTAGGGGGAGGGGGCAGATGGCCGTTAGAACCCTAGATCCGACAGATCAGGCATCTGGCCAGATTTCTCAAAATTGTTCCAGTCCATAATTTCCACATTGCCAAAATTGACGTCGTCCCTATTTGTAGAGCACCAAACCTTCAAATCCAAATGGCCTCCCTTGCCATTCAATTGCGCCTCAGGAAGGCAGAGCTGGACGGCTCCAGTATCTCCAGAATATTCAGAGACCATCAGTGTTCTTCGCGCGTCCCAGTCCAAACCCAGACTCATAAAATATCCGTCAATCAGCTGGACTTTCTCGCTATAATCTTGCAAATTCTGCCACAAATATATGGTTCCATCTCCCAGATCGCCTTCACAACCGCCCGTGTTATAGTCCATTGGGATCCACGCTTTATGGATTTTTGCAAAGTTGGACTTGAGCGCCGCGATCACGCAGTACCTTGAAAGGAGCTGAATCAGTTTCGGGATCCTCGACAATTCATTTAGGGCAACGAACTCTCTTTGCGGCTCTCTCATTTCGTCCGGGTCCGCGTACATATATATACCTTCACCAAGCTGATTTCCGCCATGTGATGCCGTAGGGTCATAGGTAACTGTCCCTTTTTCTCTATATTCCTTCGCTTGGAGCTATTCAATGCCAAATTAGCTCATATTAACCTCTTTAGTGAATGGAAGATAAGGGTATGTGTTTACCGAAGAAACTTCTCTGTATCCAATCACTTCATAGCCAGTCGGTAGGTTAAAATTGGCCGAAATAACACAAGATACCCAGAATGATAGGGCGAAAAGCAGAGAAATTTGGTAAAAAGCCATCATGACGGCAATTTGGTGAGTGTCGAAATAGAAATGGCAAGCAGAGGAAGAACACGGGGCAGACAATTAAATATGACTTGGAAAAGAATTGACCGATATTTTTGAGGGCCAAACTCACCATCGTCTAACTTCCTGGTTCCACAACTGGGGCACTTTGCTAGCAAGATTTCTCCCAGGATTCTTCCATTTAGAGGGTCCGGCCCCCTAAGACCAGCGATTTTTGCTGGCCTCTAGCAATTGTATTCTATTGATAGCTTCCTCTGACTTTTCCCAACCCGGCTGTACGAAAAATACAGTATAACGTCCACCAGGTTGTATTTTTTTGGGGGGTAAATATCGGGCTCGTCTAACGAGTCTGGTCTACCTAGGTACCCACATGGATTCTCAACCTGATACTCGCCCCAAGTCGTTGTTGTGGGTCCGACTTTGGGGCGAGTACCTGAAAACGGGAGGATCTGAAGGGAGAAAACCGAACGCCCTGGTGGGAGCACTGAAAATAGGTACACATTTTGTATGGCTGCTAAGTTTCTATATGCTCGCGTAGAAGGTCGACCACATTGCGATGGTTTTGCGATAAAGCAGCCTGGAGTGCATTACTAAATCTTCCACCTTCGGCATTGACATCGGCCCCCTGGTCAAGTAGCATCCGAACTATCTCCTCACGACCGCGGAACGATGCGGCTTGGAGTGCGTTGCCATAGTCTCCGCCCTTCGCATTTACATCTGCGCCTCGAGCGAGGAGCATCTTCACCACTTTCTCATGGCCGTTGTAAGATGCCGTGTAAAGTGCAGCGCTGTAACTTTTGCCTGGCTCCGTGACACTGGCGCCGTGTTCCAGTAGCATGTTTACCACATTAGTCCGGTTTTCCAACGATGCAATATAAAGTGCGCTTCCATGTCTTCCGGTGGCATTGACATTAGCACCCATCTCTAATAACAACTGTACAACCGGCTCACGGCCAAGGAAGGAGGCTGCCCACAGAGCAGTCTGATAACAACCCCCCTCTATATTCACATCTGCACCATACTCCAGGAGAAGCCGGACTATCTTTGAATGACCTCTGTGCGCTGCAGCCTGGAGTGCGTTGCCGCATTTTCCGCCTTTGGTATCAGGATCAACGCCCTTGGTTAGCAGAGTTTGTGCGACTGTCTCATTTTCAAAGTGGGCTTGGGAAGCCGCGAGGAGTGCCATGCCCCCTTCGGTTTGGATATCAGCTCCTTTGTTTAACAGGAGCCGAACAATACTTGCATGACCCTTCGATGATGCAATTTGAAGTGCGCGTCCGTATTTGCCACTTTTCGAGTCGGTGTAATTCCCCTGCTCAAGCAACGTGCACACCAGATCCTCACGACCTTCTTGTGCCGCGTTTTCGAGTGCGGCTAAATCTGCTGGCTCTTCGGGGTAAGTCAGTGTATGTCGTTTTCATGTATTGTGAAATCGTTCAGATCAGGTTAGCCTCGAGGGTGGGCATCATACTAGAAGATGGCACCGCCATTGGATAGGAGTAGATGTCATATATTAGAAGTAGTGTCCTCGGGCGAGAAAACCTGGGATATTTGAGATGTGAAGCCGAGGAAGTATTGGCTCGGTGATTTGAGACGTAGTCTGCACGTCGGCCCCCGTTGAAGGGAAAAAAAAAAAAAAACCACGCGTTCAATTCCAAACTTATTCCTGGGACAGGGGTAGTTATACAGTGGGACAGCAAAAGTTTCCGACCACCTCCACACCGCCCTTTCGACGCCGTTATGTTGCGACTGTATGCCTGATCCTTAAGGTTACTGCTACCTCACAACTGCGCATTGATCGCATGGGACACGTAGTTGAGCGTACCCAGGAATTCGCTGAGCGTACCCTGCTTGCTAAGTCCGATGTCTCTATCCCACCCTATTTTTTCCAAAACAAAAGCCTAAAACCTCCCTAACACCTCCCTAAGCCCTAAGATCCTAAATCACCAACCCTCCCTAAGCTAAAGACCCTAAATTTGTAGAGGAAAGTCGGCAAAAAGAATATAGAAATTAATAAGCAGGGTACGCTCAGCGAATTCCTGGGTACTCTCAGCTGGGCCCTCGATCGCATGCATGATGTCGTGGAGGAGCGGGGTAAATGCCTGTATATAAAAGCCTTGCTGGCACCTGAGTTTCAGGGGCCAGCGATTAGTCTTGGAATTATACTGTGTCGCACCCAAGTCATACAGCGAGCCTCTATTGCCCGAATCCGTAAAACCTCCCTATCAGGTGTATCGTGAGACTACCCCGACACCGTGGGTGACCACCAGCGAATCCTGACTGTTGCATGTATTCTTTTATTTTTATTTTTATTTTTATTTTATTTCCACTGCTATAATGAGCGTGTTACTTTCTTTCCTATATAGATAAACTAGAAGAATCTTCATTACTCTCTGTCACCTAAAGCAATGGCATAAGGCGGGTGGATGGTGGAAAGGGACTGTGCATGGCGTTTAGCTATCCAAAAACTCTATTTTTCTCGTTTATGCATCACTGTCTTCAACTGGAGTTACCAGTACAAATAATTTTGAAAGATCCGTGTCTTTGTGGTGTTTTCGACACACTCTTCCTCCTTTACGTAGGGTTATTGCGGCTATAGATCTTGATGACATGATCAAACGTTGTCGGAACAATTTAGATCCGCCGTCCAAAAAAAAAGTTGTGGAGCCTTTGATCCGCTCACTTCTACGCCCTCACCTCACCTTCCCTCTGATCTTAGGGGACAACCCACAATGACAACACGTACACATGATGACTTCCTAGGCATTGACGATGACGAGGCCATCGACCGTGGCTACGACTCCGAGGAGAAGGTGGCGGAGAGCAAGGGTCGTGCCGTAAAACGGCGGCGGACGGCAGATCGAGACTTTTTCGGTCTAGAGTCGGACCACGAGGAGTCCGATAGCGAAGACGAGGAGCAGCGGTCTCGGCCAGATATCAAAGGCAAGGGCCGCAAGTCTAGGCAGACGGAGTCCGAGGCGGAAGAGGAGGAGGAAGCGAATGACGACAAAGAAACAACGACCGCCGTCGTCGACAAGAAGACCAAGCCTACGAAACCTCTCTCAACCAAACCACCCAAAGCCTCTGCGAAGAAGAAAAAGCCAGGCATTATCTATTTTGCCTCACTTCCGCCCTACCTCAAACCCGGCGCTCTCAAAGCCATGCTGGAAGCCAGAGGCTTCGAACCTATCACCAAAACCTTCCTCTCCCCGCTCGTCTTGAGCGACTCGCGCAAACGGGGCAACAAGCGCAAGATGTTTACGGATGGGTGGGTCGAGTTTGCCTCGAAACGGACTGCTAAGATCTGCGCGGAGACGCTCAACGCGACTATCGTTGGCGGCCGGAAGGGCGGCTGGTACCATGACGATATATGGAACATGAAGTACTTGTCGGGGTTTAAATGGGATGATCTGATGGAACAACAAAGAAGGGAGAGGGCAGAGCGTGAGGCCCGGACTCGAATGCAGGATATACGCGCCCAGAAAGAGGAGAAAATGTTTCTGGCCGGCGTCGAGGCCGGGCGAGTTGCCGATGGCATGGCCAGGAAGAGGGAGGAGAAGAGGAAGCGGTTGGATACGGGCAAGGAGGAAGCTGTGCTGGCGAAGGCACCGCAGGCTTTGCGGAGGAGGTTTGTACAGAATGATGTTGTAAAGGCGAAGGAGGATCAGCAGGCTATTAGGGAAGATGCGAAGAGGGTCTTGGGCAAGATTTTCTAGGCACTTTTGCCCATGGATCAAATTCGAATCGTCTAGTCAAAGGTCGAGCCGCATCTGTATAGTTTCCCATAACGGGGCGGTCCCAGAGAAAACCTTAATCAACATTAATTTTTTTGTTTTTGCATTGCATAAGGATTTTATGGATGGCAGCGTTGGTAGATGGAGAATCATTTTATTCAGACAAAGGAAATGAATCACAGGAAATGCTACATGTAGTTTTCTAGCGGGGCTAGTAGACTAAACCAAAAAAAAGTAGTACATGGTGTTTGTTGGTTGGGGCAGGAGGATATCAGGTTTCTAGAAGTGGATAGGCTTGGAGTAGGTGGCCATGGCAGCCTCCTTGAAGGCCTCCGAAAGGGTCGGGTGAGCGTGGCAGGTCCGGGCGACGTCCTCGCTGGACGCACCGTACTCGACGGCGAGGGTGGCTTCGGCGATCATCTCGCCGGCGCCGGGGCCGATGATGTGCACGCCGAGGATGCGGTCGGTCTCTGCGTCAGCGATGAACTTGACCACACCCTCGGTATCGAGGTTGGTCTTGGCGCGCGAGTTGGCGCTGAAGGGGAACGAGCCGACGTTGTACTTGACGCCTGAGGCCTTGACATCGGCCTCGGTCTGGCCAACCCACGCGACCTCCGGGTGCGTGTACATGACACTGGGGATGGCGCCGTAGTTGACGTGGCCATAGCCCTTCTTGATGTACTCGATCGCCGCAACGGCCTCCTCCTCCGCCTTGTGCGCCAGCATCGGTCCGAAGGTGACATCGCCCACCACGCGGATGTGAGGCAGCTTGGTGCGGTACTCCTGGTCGATCACCAAGCGGCCCCGCTCGTCCTTCTCAACGCCGGCGTTCTCCAGGCCCAGACCCTCGGTGTAAGGACGGCGGCCGATGGCAACCAGGACGACGTCCGCGTCCAGGGTCTCCTCCTTGCCACCCTTGGCGGACTCCAGGCTCAGAGAGATCGTCGCACCGCTATCGTCGCCCTTGGTGACCTTGGTGCCGGTCTTGAACTTGATGCCCTGCTTGCCCAGGATCTTCTGCGACTGCTTGGCGATCTCAGCGTCCATGCCGGGGCCACCAATCTGGTTCAGGAACTCAACAACGGTGACCTCAGAACCGAGACGAGACCAGACGGAAGCCTACGATTTTTGTTAGCCAGACCCTTGGGAATGAGGACAAAAAAACTATACCATCTCCAGACCAATGATACCGCCACCGATGACGACCATCTTCTTGGGGACCTCTGTCAGCTCCAGAGCACCAGTGCTGGTGATGATGCGCTTCTCATCGATGTTCAGTCCGGGGAAGGGAGTCGACTCGGAGCCGGTGGCAATGATGATGTTTTTGCCACGCAGTGTCTGCTCACCACCGTCGTTCAGGTCGACCTTGACGGTGTTGGCATCGACGAAGGAACCAGTGCCCTTGACATAGTCGACACCGTTCTTCTTCAGCAGGAACTCAACACCCTTGGTCAGCCCATCGACGGACTGGTCCTTGGCCTTCATCATCTGCGTCAGGTTGAGCTTGACATCCCCAACCTCGATACCGCGCTTCTTTGAGTCGTGGAGAATCTGGTGGTAAAGATGCGAGTTGTTGAGCAGGGACTTCGAAGGAATGCAGCCGACGTTCAAGCAGGTGCCACCGAGTCTCCCGCGCTTCTCGATACATGCGGTCTAGTCGAGTTAACAAATTAGCCCTCGAAAATAAAAAATGAAGCTGAGAGGTTAGAACCGCACCTTTAGACCCTCCTGGCCGGCCTTGATAGCCGCGACGTAACCAGCAACACCACCGCCGATGATGACGAGGTCGTGTTCCCCTGTTGCCCGATGGGCCGGAATCAGCAATCACTCCCGGGAAGCACAGGGTAAGCCTCCGATAGCGTCGGAAGGGCAGTATGACCAAGGACTCACCTGCATCGGAAGCGTAACCACGTTTTGAGCGGCCAATGAAGAGCGTTGGGGTAGCGATGAAGGTTGAAGGGACAGCCTTGGGGCCGCAGCGGATGGCAGTGCGCGGCGTAGCCCGCGGCAGGACGGAGCGAAACATGGCGGACGCGAAGGAAAGGACTCAAGAACAATAGATAGGTAAATCCCCCAAGGAAGTCGGAGAAGGGATGGAGAGTGCGCAATGGGGGCAAAGGTGGTTGTGAACGGGAAAGAAACGAGCTTTTGCGGTATTTTGAGACAGGCTTAGCTAAGCAGCCGGGTTGACTCGGTTGGGCCGACTTTGCCGGGAGCGATGCCGATAGAGAATATTGAGGACAGGCCGTAGTAGGTGGATGGATGTATTTGTTGGAAATATTTGAAAATCAAGCAATAAACGGTGTTGAATAAGACGTACCCTATGGCATTATTTATGTAGAATAGCACTTGGTGGCTCTCCGGGTAGCAGAATCCTTTTCCGCCCTCCACCCGCCCGGCCAGATCAACTCTAGCCTTTCCCCAGACCCAATGAACGCCATGCCCGCGGAGT